TCAGCAAAAAAGAAAGGAATGCTCCATGAGCTAGTCTCAAATCGAAGGACCCCTGATTTCAGATACAAATTCAGCAAAAAAGAAAGGAATGCTCCATGAGCTAGTCTCAAATCGAAGGACCCCTGATTTCAGATACAAATTCAGCAAAAAAGAAAGGAATGCTCCATGAGCTAGTCTCAAATCGAAGGACCCCTGATTTCAGATACAAATTCAGCAAAAAAGAAAGGAATGCTCCATGAGCTAGTCTCAAATCGAAGGACCCCTGATTTCAGATACAAATTCAGCAAAAAAGAAAGGAATGCTCCATGAGCTAGTCTCAAATCGAAGGGGCTCTGATTTCAGATACAAATTCAGCAAAAAACAAAGGAATGCTCCATGAGCTAGTCTCAAATCGAAGGACCTCTGATTTCAGATACAAATTAAGCAAAAAAGAAAGGAATGCTCCATGAGCTAGTCTCAAATCGAAGGACCCCTGATTTCAGATACAAATTCAGCAAAAAAGAAAGGAATGCTCCATGAGCTAGTCTCAAATCGAAGGACCCCTGATTTCAGATAGAAATTCAGCAAAAAAGAAAGGAATGCTCCATGAGCTAGTCTCAAATCGAAGGACCCCTGATTTCAGATACAAATTCAGCAAAAAAGAAAGGAATGCTCCATGAGCTAGTCTCAAATCGAAGGACCCCTGATTTCAGATACAAATTCAGCAAAAAAGAAAGGAATGCTCCATGAGCTAGTCTCAAATCGAAGGACCCCTGATTTCAGATACAAATTCAGCAAAAAGAAAGGAATGCTCCATGAGCTAGTCTCAAATCGAAGGACCCCTGATTTCAGATACAAATTCAGCAAAAAAGAAAGGAATGCTCCATGAGCTAGTCTCAAATCGAAGGACCCCTGATTTCAGATACAAATTCAGCAAAAAAGAAAGGAATGCTCCATGAGCTAGTCTCAAATCGAAGGACCCCTGATTTCAGATACAAATTCAGCAAAAAGAAAGGAATGCTCCATGAGCTAGTCTCAAATCGAAGGACCCTGATTTCAGATACAAATTCAGCAAAAAAGAAAGGAATGCTCCATGAGCTAGTCTCAAATCGAAGGACCCCTGATTTCAGATACAAATTCAGCAAAAAAGAAAGGAATGCTCCATGAGCTAGTCTCAAATCGAAGGACCCCTGATTTCAGATACAAATTCAGCAAAAAAGAAAGGAATGCTCCATGAGCTAGTCTCAAATCGAAGGACCCCTGATTTCAGATACAAATTCAGCAAAAAACAAAGGAATGCTCCATGAGCTAGTCTCAAATCGAAGGACCCCTGATTTCAGATACAAATTCAGCAAAAAAGAAAGGAATGCTCCATGAGCTAGTCTCAAATCGAAGGACCCCTGATTTCAGATACAAATTCAGCAAAAAAGAAAGGAATGCTCCATGAGCTAGTCTCAAATCGAAGGACCCCTGATTTCAGATACAAATTCAGCAAAAACAAAGGAATGCTCCATGAGCTAGTCTCAAATCGAAGGACCCCTGATTTCAGATACAAATTCAGCAAAAAGAAAGGAATGCTCCATGAGCTAGTCTCAAATCGAAGGACCCCTGATTTCAGATACAAATTCAGCAAAAAAGAAAGGAATGCTCCATGAGCTAGTCTCAAATCGAAGGACCCCTGATTTCAGATACAAATTCAGCAAAAAAGAAAGGAATGCTCCATGAGCTAGTCTCAAATCGAAGGACCCCTGATTTCAGATACAAATTCAGCAAAAAAGAAAGGAATGCTCCATGAGCTAGTCTCAAATCGAAGGACCCCTGATTTCAGATACAAATTCAGCAAAAAGAAAGGAATGCTCCATGAGCTAGTCTCAAATCGAAGGACCCCTGATTTCAGATACAAATTCAGCAAAAAAGAAAGGAATGCTCCATGAGCTAGTCTCAAATCGAAGGACCCCTGATTTCAGATACAAATTCAGCAAAAAACAAAAGAATGCTCAATGAGCTAGTCTCAAATCGAAGGACCCCTGATTTCAGATACAAATTCAGCAAAAAAGAAAGGAATGCTCCATGAGCTAGTCTCAAATCGAAGGGGCTCTGATTTCAGATACAAATTCAGCAAAAAACAAAAGAATGCTCCATGAGCTAGTCTCAAATCGAAGGACCCCTGATTTCAGATACAAATTCAGCAAAAAACAAAAGGAATGCTCAATGAGCTAGTCTCAAATCGAAGGACCCCTGATTTCAGATACAAATTCAGCAAAAAAGAAAGGAATGCTCCATGAGCTAGTCTCAAATCGAAGGAGCCCTGATTTCAGATACAAATTCAGCAAAAGACAAAAGGAATGCTCCATGAGCTAGTCTCAAATCGAAGGACCCCTGATTTCAGATACAAATTCAGCAAAAAAGAAAAGGAATGCTCCATGAGCTAGTCTCAAATCGAAGGACCCCTGATTTCAGATACAAATTCAGCAAAAAAGAAAGGAATGCTCCATGAGCTAGTCTCAAATCGAAGGAGCCCTGATTTCAGATACAAATTCAGCAAAAAAGAAAGGAATGCTCCATGAGCTAGTCTCAAATCGAAGGACCCCTGATTTCAGATACAAATTCAGCAAAAAAGAAAGGAATGCTCCATGAGCTAGTCTCAAATCGAAGGACCCCTGATTTCAGATACAAATTCAGCAAAAAAGAAAGGAATGCTCCATGAGCTAGTCTCAAATCGAAGGACCCCTGATTTCAGATACAAATTCAGCAAAAAAGAAAGGAATGCTCCATGAGCTAGTCTCAAATCGAAGGACCCCTGATTTCAGATACAAATTCAGCAAAAAAGAAAGGAATGCTCCATGAGCTAGTCTCAAATCGAAGGACCCCTGATTTCAGATACAAATTCAGCAAAAGAAAGGAATGCTCCATGAGCTAGTCTCAAATCGAAGGAGCCCTGATTTCAGATACAAATTCAGCAAAAAAGAAAGGAATGCTCCATGAGCTAGTCTCAAATCGAAGGGGCCCTGATTTCAGATACAAATTCAGCAAAAAAGAAAGGAATGCTCCATGAGCTAGTCTCAAATCGAAGGACCCCTGATTTCAGATACAAATTCAGCAAAAAAGAAAGGAATGCTCCATGAGCTAGTCTCAAATCGAAGGGGCCCTGATTTCAGATACAAATTCAGCAAAAAAGAAAGGAATGCTCCATGAGCTAGTCTCAAATCGAAGGACCCCTGATTTCAGATACAAATTCAGCAAAAAAGAAAGGAATGCTCCATGAGCTAGTCTCAAATCGAAGGACCCCTGATTTCAGATACAAATTCAGCAAAAAAGAAAGGAATGCTCCATGAGCTAGTCTCAAATCGAAGGGGCCCTGATTTCAGATACAAATTCAGCAAAAAAGAAAGGAATGCTCCATGAGCTAGTCTCAAATCGAAGGACCCCTGATTTCAGATACAAATTCAGCAAAAAGAAAGGAATGCTCCATGAGCTAGTCTCAAATCGAAGGAGCCCTGATTTCAGATACAAATTCAGCAAAAAAAGAAAGGAATGCTCCATGAGCTAGTCTCAAATCGAAGGACCCCTGATTTCAGATACAAATTCAGCAAAAAAGAAAGGAATGCTCCATGAGCTAGTCTCAAATCGAAGGAGCCCTGATTTCAGATACAAATTCAGCAAAAAAAGAAAGGAATGCTCCATGAGCTAGTCTCAAATCGAAGGGGCCCTGATTTCAGATACAAATTCAGCAAAAGAAAGGAATGCTCCATGAGCTAGTCTCAAATCGAAGGACCCCTGATTTCAGATACAAATTCAGCAAAAAAGAAAGGAATGCTCCATGAGCTAGTCTCAAATCGAAGGGGCCCTGATTTCAGATACAAATTCAGCAAAAAAGAAAGGAATGCTCCATGAGCTAGTCTCAAATCGAAGGAGCCCTGATTTCAGATACAAATTCAGCAAAAAAGAAAGGAATGCTCCATGAGCTAGTCTCAAATCGAAGGAGCCCTGATTTCAGATACAAATTCAGCAAAAGAAAGGAATGCTCCATGAGCTAGTCTCAAATCGAAGGACCCCTGATTTCAGATACAAATTCAGCAAAAAGAAAGGAATGCTCCATGAGCTAGTCTCAAATCGAAGGAGCCCTGATTTCAGATACAAATTCAGCAAAAAGAAAGGAATGCTCCATGAGCTAGTCTCAAATCGAAGGGGCTCTGATTTCAGATACAAATTCAGCAAAAAAGAAAGGAATGCTCCATGAGCTAGTCTCAAATCGAAGGACCCCTGATTTCAGATACAAATTCAGCAAAAAAGAAAGGAATGCTCCATGAGCTAGTCTCAAATCGAAGGACCCCTGATTTCAGATACAAATTCAGCAAAAAACAAAAGAATGCTCCATGAGCTAGTCTCAAATCGAAGGACCCCTGATTTCAGATACAAATTCAGCAAAAAAGAAAGGAATGCTCCATGAGCTAGTCCTCCTACAGTATTCCTCTGCCTTCAACTACAGTACCTCTACAATATCTTCTACAGTAGCCTATTGCCAGTTTCTACAGTATCCGAAAAAATCCAAAAACTCATTCAGTTTTTCTCCTCCCTGGTTTTTCTTGTCCCATGACTACTGTAGGTGAAAAAAAACCTCCTACAGTATTCCTCTGCCTTCAACTACAGTACCTCTACATTATCTGCTACAGTAACTCGTTGCAAGTTTCTACAGTACCCCAAAAAAATCCGGAAAAAACAAGTTTTCCCTGCAGATTCACTACCCTTTCAAAACCTACAGTAACCCGTTCCACTAAAAGTACAGTATTCCGAAAAAAAACCTACAGTACCTATCGAAAAAAAACCTACAGTACCTCTTTCATGCGGAAAGACATGAAGGGAAATAACTAGGTGCTGTTAGCCCTTTTCATCCTAAGTAAATTAGCTGTGAGTAAAATGAGACTTTTTCAAATTTTCGCGTGACCCATTTTTTTTGTCCAATTTTTTATATAAAAACACACGAATACGAAGATTATTTATTTTTCCATTTTTCGAAAGCCATGTCGAACGTCGATGAATTGACAAAAATGGCTAGCGATGGTCAATTGCCAGAAAAAGTAAGTTATAAACAAGAATCTTGAAATATATATTAATAATGTCTGTAATATATTTCAGTTAAAATTATTGATGGCACTTTTAAAAAGAAGTGAATTTTCGAATTGTGATCCATTCTGCGAAGCGAAGTTCGAACCAATGGAACCGCCACCGAAAGTTGAAAATGCGGAACCGGAAAAAGCTGTCAACATCTTGACCGTCTTCAAGAATCCACAACTTCGCAAAAATATCTTGATTCTTTGGATCATGTGGTTTATTACTGGAATGACGGCGTACTTGACAGATTTGTGTGGTGGAGATATGACTAGCAATTTCTGGGTCGGCCAGTTTTTGTCGGGCATTTTATTGTCGTTGGTGAGAATTGCGATGGGATTTGCGGATGGATATTTGCCATGGATGGGAAGACGTTTTGTTATGTTATGCTCGCAAAGTTTGGCTGTTGTTTTCTTCGCCTGTGTTATCTCGTTCCTTCTCACCGATCAAAAAGTTAGTTTAACCTTTTTTTTTGAATAAATAAAAAAAAATATTTTTTAGGGTCAATGGTTCTACACTGCTGCCTATCTTTCCGCATTCGTCTTCACTTCCATCGTTTGGGAACCTTGCTATCTTTGCGCATCTGAACTTATGCCAACTGATGTTCGTGCAACTTCAACCGCCAGTTGCTCAATCATCGGAAGATTCGCAAACATCGGAGCATCAATGCTCAGCGGACTCAAAACTGTTTATCAGCCAGGAGTTCATATGATCTCAATTAGTTTGGGAATTATTAACATTGTTGCCGCCTATTTTATGTTGGAAGAGACAAAGAATTGTAGTTTGGATAAGGCTGGAGGAGGTGCAAAGGCTGCCGAAAAAGCCAATGAACAGGAAATGACTGATCTCATTAAGAAGAACGAGGAATTGGAGGAAGATGTTGAGAAGAAATAAGCGATGGTTTTTGGTTTTACAGTATTTTTTTCTTTTGATACACAGTATTTTATCACTCGCATAATTAATAATTTGTCAACTTTTTTTTGTACCAACAATAAACTTATTTTCGAAAAATTTCAATTTCAAAAATTTCAAAAAGGAATGCTCCATGAGCTAGTCTCAAATCGAAGGACCCCTGATTTCAGATACAAATTCAGCAAAAAAGAAAGGAATGCTCCATGAGCTAGTCCTCCTACAGTATTCCTCTGCCTTCAACTACAGTACCTCTACAATATCTTCTACAGTAGCCTATTGCCAGTTTCTACAGTATCCGAAAAAAATCCAAAAACTCATTCAGTTTTTCTCCTCCCTGGTTTTTCTTGTCCCATGACTACTGTAGGTGAAAAAAAACCTCCTACAGTATTCCTCTGCCTTCAACTACAGTACCTCTACATTATCTGCTACAGTAACTCGTTGCAAGTTTCTACAGTACCCCAAAAAAATCCGGAAAAAACAAGTTTTCCCTGCAGCACTGCCTCCCCAAATCTACGTGTGTGTGGAAAAACGAAAAATGTCTGGCACGCTCTCACAAACACACACTCTCTCGCACACAACTTTTTACTTTTATTTCGCGAAAACAGTGCATATTAGGAGCTGATTTTTATGTGTTTTTCATCAGAACCACAATAAGTGTTATACATAGTTCGAAAGAGAATTTCTTCAGCTACAAACACATATGAAATGTTATATATGAAAACGAGGTAAAAAAAATAAAAATTTCATGCAAACATGACATGGTTTTTTTGAATTGTGTGAAAAACGCATGTGTTTTTTGATGACCTGGCTTATTTTTTGAATATCGAATATATGTATAATCAAGTCGTAGTTTTGTGCAGAATCTCAAGGGCTTTCAGATGATGTAAATCAATATTTATGAAATTGTGAAATCATGGAGGAGTAGGGATTTTTCGTTTGTCAATTTTTTGAACGAAATTTTGATTTTCATTTGAAAGGAACTCGAATGAAGTTTACATACGTTTTGTAGAGAATTTCTCGGGCTTCAAAATCATATATATTTCTATACACAAAAATGAAAATTGAAAGCACCGCTTTCGGTTGAAAACTCACCGCTGTTTTTCGCAACGCTACTAAACGCGCTTTGTTTGTTTGGTGCAAACCCAACAAGTTTTCAACCGAAAGCGGTGCTTTCAATTTTCATTTTTGTGTATAGAAATATATATGATTTTGAAGCCCAAGAAATTCTCTACAAAACGTGTGTAAACTTCATTCGAGTTCCTTTCAAATGAAAATCAAAATTTCGTTTAAAAAATTGACAAACGAAAAATCCCTACTCCTCCATGATTTCACAATTTCATAAATATTGATTTACATCATCTGAAAGCCCTTGAGATTCTGAACAAAACTACGACTCGATTATACATATATTCGATATTCAAAAAATAAGCCAGGTCATCAAAAAACACATGCGTTTTTCACACAATTCAAAAAAACCATGTCATGTTTGCATGAAATTTTTATTTTTTTTACCTCGTTTTCATATATAACATTTCATATGTGTTTGTAGCTGAAGAAATTCTCTTTCGAACTATGTATAACACTTATTGTGGTTCTGATGAAAAACACATAAAAATCAGCTCCTAATATGCACTGTTTTCGCGAAATAAAAGTAAAAAGTTGTGTGCGAGAGAGTGTGTGTTTGTGAGAGCGTGCCAGACATTTTTCGTTTTTCCACACACACGTAGATTTGGGGAGGCAGTGTGCAGATTCACTACCCTTTCAAAACCTACAGTAACCCGTTCCACTAAAAGTACAGTATTCCGAAAAAAACCTACAGTACCTATCGAAAAAAAACCTACAGTACCTCTTTCATTCGCAACATACATCAGTATCCCCGGATTTTCGTCCGGAGGGGATCTGGCTAACTTTGGTAAAAAGGGGTGGGGACGACCGGCTAACTTTTCGAAAAAATAACAATTTACACCCCAAAAACCAAGTTTTTCTCTCTATTTTTTGAGGGGGTGTGGCTAATTTTTGTATTTTCACATTCCGGGGGTGGCTAATTTTGAGGCCCTGACCGGGAGAAACTGATGTATGATTCGCAAGGTTGAAATTGATGATCTTTGTGTCACAACTCATTCAATCAAATGGACCGAAGAAGAAGCTGCGGATGAATTCCCAGAAGCTAATGAAAGTGTCGGACATTTTTTTTCGTTTCTTTTGTTCGATTTCAGAAAAAGTTATCGAAATTTTTTGTTGTTGAAAAAACTGTGATTGGCTGAAAATCATACGTCATCATTCGTTTTTGATGACGTGGCGTTCCCTCAATTTTTTAATTATGTCACGCGAGAAAATAAATTTAGCAATTTGAAATTTTTGGAGGGGAAAATCAATTTGAGAAAAAAACATTTGAAGTAAAACAAACAACAAAAAACATAAATTTATTTTTCAAAACACACGGAAAGTCAAGTTTTCTTTTTCGGTTTTCTTTTCTCCCTATGATATAGTTGGACAACGACTCGACTTGAGTCGACTCGAGTCGACTTGGAGTCGAGTCGTTTGGAAAATACCTTTCGACTCGACTAACGACTCGAGTCGTTTAGTCGAAAAGGTGAGTCGATTAGAAAATGACTCGAGTCGAGTCGAATGGTTTTTTTCGACTCGACTCGACTCCGATGGTCAATTTTCTCATGGTGGGTGGGGCTTTTGTAATATGGTTAAAGACACATAGAAAACTAGAAATGTTTGTTTGTAATCTTCAAAATTTGAATGCGCGCCTTTTTTCAAAGTTGTGTGTTGTTCGTTTGAAAAAATGAAAAAAATAAATAAAAAGTGGTGGTACGGTATGCTAAGAATGCACACATGTGCGGCAAATCACGGACATTTGTGCAAACACCAAATTTCGCGTCGGCTGAGCGATTTCAAAAAAGGAAATTTCTTTTTTTGACTTTCGCTAAACTCAATATTTTTCAATTTTGTTTATGTACTTCCACTATTTGAAGAATGATACAAAACATGCAAATAATGATTTTCAAACGATTTCTAGTTTTCTACGTGTCTTTAAGGTGTTGGCTTAGATGGTGAATATTGGATGGTGATTGGTGGACATGGTGATAGTGCACCAATCACACCAATTGCACCAATAATTGGAAATTGGTGTGATTGGTGCAGTTGGCGCAATTTTAAAATTTGTTGAATTGGTGGATGGTGGAATTGGCGAATGGTGCAATTCGCCAATTGGTGTGATTGGTATATTTGGTCATTGGTGCACCAATTGCACCAATTGGTGAAATTGCACCAACTACACCAATTGGTGAATTCCACCATCCACCAATTCCACCAATGGTTAAAATTGCGCCAACTGCACCAATCACACCAATTTCCAATTATTGGTGCAATTGGTGTGATTGGTGCACTATCACCATGTCCACCAATCACCATCCAATATTCACCATCTAAGCCAACACCTTAACCATATTACAAAAGCCCCACCCACCATGAGAAAATTGACCATCGGAGTCGAGTCGAGTCGAAAAAACCATTCGACTCGACTCGAGTCATTTTCTAATCGACTCACCTTTTCGACTAAACGACTCGAGTCGTTAGTCGAGTCGAAAACAGCTGTCTTATCGACTCCGAGTCGACTTGAGTCGACTTGAGTCGTTGTCCAACTATACCCTATGATCAACAAGTTCCGGACGTCGTTCAATTAAATCAATCAAATCTTCGGCGTTGAATTTCGAGTAATCTCGTTTATATTCGCCAGCCTTCCTGAAATTATTTTTTTGTTACTATGTTTCTGGGAAATGTTTAAACTGAAAGTATTTTTGGGCTTTTTTTGAACAAAGCAAAACTCACTCGAGGTATCCTTTTTTTTGAGAAGATATATTCAAGGAATATTCCATTCCAAATTTCGTATAAACCTTCTCTGTCACATGGATTGCTTTCAAAAGTGTTATTGTGGGATGCATTTCGATTTTGTTGAAAAGCTGAGAAAAAACCAAATAATCTTTCACTTTTTTTTTCACTACTCACTTCTTTGTATTCTGTACAAATTTCATCCTCAATTTCTCGATCGCTTTCTCGTCGATTTTTCAGTTTTCCTGCCATTTGAGTGAATATTGAAAGACATTCTGCCGGATTCCTTTTTACAGCTTTTCGAGCTGCAATCAATACAACACGAGTGACCATACATCAGTTTCTCCCGGTCAGGGCCTCAAAATTAGCCACCCCCGGAATGTGAAAATACAAAAATTAGCCACACCCCCTCAAAAAATAGAGAGAAAAACTTGGTTTTTGGGGTGTAAATTGTTATTTTTTCGAAAAGTTAGCCGGTCGTCCCCACCCCTTTTTACCAAAGTTAGCCAGACCCCCTCCGGACGAAAATCCGGGGATACTGATGTATGAATTGAAATAGCGTGTTCATTTACTGATCCATTTTCAGAAATGTAGCAAAAAACTATGAGATGGGATAGAAAAATATAAACTCTTGAAGTTTTGGCCCTTGTGAAATCAGAACTTTAAAAAAAATGTAATTCAAATTCAAAAAACCAACCATCATTCAATAATAAATATTTGTGCCATTCAACAGCCATTCCATATTTTCTCATTTTTTCCAAAACCGTTGCTCCATGACTACAACATCTCACCAAAACCCAAACATCCGTATATTTTCGATAATAAATCGGTAGACTCTGATATTGTTTTTTGTCTCCACTCCGTAATTCATCAATTGTATCTTTTGCAGTTAGCGCAAGTTCAAAAGCCTCTTCAAAAGTTGTTGAATTACTCATTTTTGAGAGGATTTGAGATTCGAGATTTTTCGCGGATATATATTTCATAAGCATTTCTCGATTTTCATAGAATCCAGCGATTTTTATCGATTTTCCAGTTGATGGAAATTTGACATCACCGGTTTCAATTTGAAGAAGTACATATCTTCAAAAAAATAATATTTCAAATGAAATGTTTCAAATAGAAATAAACTTACAGAAGATCTTGATAAACATTTGATTTTGGATTTTCGATAAGTTGCGCAGAATTTGTTGTAGTCGGACAGAATAATGTATAAATTGCTTGGAATAATTGAATAACTTCATCCTTCAAACGAATACATAATCCAAGTTCCTTTTTGACTGTTCTCAAAATAGCAGATCCGATATTTCCAGCAGTTCCAAATATTGATTTCTGCGAACTGGCGAACGATTTTATTGATCGAATAAGTTCTAAACGACCTCGATTTGGATCAATCTTGAATTTCTTCGCTACAATTTTCAGAACTTGTAGATCCGCTAAAGAAATCGCCTCATCTAATGTTTTCAATGATGAATCATCTTCCAAAAATTTCCATTTGATAAGTTCAGTCACAGAAGAGTAGAAATTCAGAACTTCGGGATATCTGGAAAGGTTTTTTTATGCAAAATCAATAATCTAAATGAATCTCACTTTTGTTTCAATTTTTCAGCATGAAACCATCCCTGTTTTCGTAAAACCAATCGAATCAATAACATTTGTGAGTATGAAGAAATTTCACTCACAAATCGATACATTTTCAACAAATCTTCCGTCTCCCAAAATTTCTCGTCGTAATCTGATTCAAGAATTTTTTTGAGAATTTTCAATGTGAATTTCAGATAATACTGTGCATTTCCATTCGGAATCTCAATTTTTTCCAAAATTTGTTGCTTCGAAACAGTTTTGAGTTCCTCTTTTGGACAATTTAATTCCTGTATTCTTGTTGATCTTCGTCGATTTTCAGTTTTCACTTTCTTTGCTTCAAATTGAACTTCAGATTTACTTCGTTTTTTCGGTTGTTCTTCTACTTCTTCAATTGGAGCTGCTTCTTCAAATACATTTTCTTCGACAATCGGCGAATTTTCGTCTTTTTCATCTTCATCTAAAACTATTTCTGGTCCAGCTCTTAATAACACAGCTTCTTCTCGAGAATATGTTGCAATCATCTGAAAATTAATTTTCTTCTTTTAAATCTAACTTCGATGATAACATTTACCATGCATTCTTCATCGTCTTCTGCAACTTTGCATTGATCCAAATGTTCTCGATACTGAGCGATTGTTAGTTTTATACTGCAAACTGGACAGATCTGAAATAAAAACAACAACTTTTATGAGTGGATATTTTTTTATGTGTGGAAAAAACTAACTTTTCCTTTGTTCTGTCTTTCGAAAGCAGCCATAATAGACTTCCTATATTGAACCGGTTCATTTGTCGATTTTTTCATCTTATTTTCGTTCAGAATCGATTCCTATTTGAGCAATGAATAACCCGTGCACAAAAAAAACAAAAATTCCGCGGTCGAGAATTCAAAAAACAACCGAGAAAATCGACGTTTTTCTAGGCCAGATGTGTGCAGAAGGGCGAGCTTGCATTTCTACTTTTGTTTTTTCGTCAAAACGCGTTGGAATTGAGTTATTCACATAAATATGTACGACGAAGATGATATTCCTGTACGAGAACCGGTAGCAAAAAAGACCAAGCCAATGGACAATATTCAAATGCAGTTTCTTCAATCACAACTGGCCAAGAAGAAGAATGCACTTCAAGCTGCTGCAGTAAGTATTTTTTGGAAAGAATATTCTTGAAAACGATTTTTTCAGCGATTAAAAAATGTCGCGAAACCAGCAGCACCATTGCCAGTTATCGATTTATCCGCAAGAAACAAGTTTAATACTTCAAATAGTCAACCAATGGGACTTCGGCCTGTAAAAGCTATTCCAGTTGCAGATAATATCAGTTTCCTACCAAAAGCAGCAACAAATGATAGTGTAAGTTGAAGATTTGAGTCTCAAACTTATATTTATTTTACAGTTCATGATGTTCGGTGAATATTTGGTGAAAAATGAATATCAAATAAATGTTCCAAATGATTATGAAAAAATGTCAAAAATCATAAATGAGAGGAAAATGAAAGAAAAAGCAGCGAAAGAAGTTGCTAAAAGATTAGCTCGTGAACATGAAGATGAAGATAAAAAACGAACAAAAGGAGCCGCAATTGCTCCACCTCAAGCACTTATTGAAATTCCACCACCACCTGAAAGAGATAACGAAAAAGAACAACAAGCATCTTCATCATCTTCTGAATTAATGCCACCTCCCTCATTTTTACCAGCATTTGGAAAAGCAACAAGTCGAGGTTTAGGAATTGCTGCAAATATAATGAAAAAACATGGATATAAAGAAGGGCAAGGACTTGGAAAAATGGAACAAGGAATGAGTACAGCATTAAGTATTGAGAAAACTGGAATTCGAGGTGGAAATATTGTGGCGAATGATACAACAGCAACAACACCAAAAGCACCAACATTTGCAACAAATTCATTTGAAGCTATGCAAAATGCCACCAAGATTCTGGCTCTTTCAGTGAGTAACCCTAAATAAAATTCAAATTTACTGATCAAACAATTCAGAATCTGATATCATTGGAAGAACTTCGTGGAGATTATGAAAATAAAGATGAATTTGGCGCCGAAATCCGGGAAGAATTGGAAAAATGTGGGCAAGTCAACAAAGTTATTGTTCATGTTGTAAGTTTATCTTTACCTCTTATTTTTATGTCAAAAATTATTTTGTTAGAATGAATCAGCTTCGGAAGAGGAACAAGTTCGAGTTTTGGTGGAATTCACGAATTCAGCTCAAGCGATCAAAGCATTTGTTGTTATGAATGGTCGATTTTTTGGTGGAAGGAGTGTGATGGCCGCGTTTCATAATGTTGATGATTTTCAGAATCAGATATTTTGAGAAATGAAATATTGTTTATGAAATTTGAAATACTTGCGTGAACTCTGAGATTTAAGGTATTTTTTATTTAAAAAAAATGAAACCGTTTGATAAATTTTAACGTAAACTCTGACGTGGCAATTGGAAAAGTATTTTTTAATTAAGTTTGGAAACTATTCCAGTTTTCCATCATTTTAACTCTTAATTTAAAATTTTTAATTGTTCTCAATTTTTTTTTACAATTTTGTAAAACATTTTACTTGTGACGTGGGTTACAAAATCAAAACCAACCACGAAAATTCAATCTTTTCCCAGTGAAGAGTCAGATGTTCGAATTTTCGAAATCATCTAGAAATAATCAACAAATCCAAAAAAAATAAAAACTTTATTCAAGTTAAAAAAAATCAATTATAAAATAAGCCAAATATACGCGTTTCTCTCACCGCAATCAAAAAAAAACCCGTTCAAATATTTTCGTATCTCAGGAACCATTCAATTCAAGCTTGACTTTTGTCGATCTAAAAATAAATATACTTTTTTTGCGGTTAGGAAAAAGTAGGATAACCAAAATGTCTAAACTAATGAATGTTAAAATTAAAATGAAACAACATGCGGTTGAAACAAAAAAAGAAGGGAAAAATGAAAAAGTTAAGTGATAATCGAACTAACAAGAAGTTCTCCGTGTCGAGACCAATCGCAGAATATATAATAACGAAGAAGAGTACGGTATTTGTCAGAAAACAGCATGTAGATTGCAATGTTGCTCGATGCATTGATTATCACCTGCAATTCTTTTGTTAAGGCTTGAATTTTAAAAAACTAAAGAAAATATATTACCAAAGTATTGTTGACAAGGACCATATATTCGAGAAGTTCATCTTCGATTTTCATGATTTCCAAAATGTTACAAACAAAAGATAAAGTGTTGCAAGCGATGAAAATGACAACAATTGAAATGAGCATAATTGAAGTTTGTCTTTCTTTTCGATCGGCTTTTTTGGAGAATTCTTCACCTTCTGTGCCACACTGCAAAACAATTTATGATCGGAAAAAGATAATTTGTGAACCTCTCGAATTCAGTATACTTTTTTGTACCGAATTTTCCTTTTGTAAGATCTTTGTCTCGAAACTGATCTCATTTTTCCATTTTCATTTTCAATTTCAATATCAAAAACACACAAAAAAACAGCTGAAAATTTCATCTGTCATATGACATTTTCTCGGAAATCCAAAAGTTCAGCTGTCCTTTTTCCCTCTTCATTTTTCAATTTCGTCTTGTTCTCACCTGCGAAACCATATGCATTTTTCGACTTCGTCGAACTGCTCCCAAAACTCTTGAATTGAGTCCAATCAGCAAAGCGAAAGGTATAAAATACATCACAATTATCGAAATCCAATTCTGGTAGATCAACCTGCAAGAACTATTGAACAGTTTTAGGAGATAGAGGAACTTACATATACATATCACTGTTTCTCATTTCAGTTGGTCTCAACAATGGCAAATAATAATCGATGGCTTTTCGATAACAAACATCAGCGACGCGAACTTCGAAAAATTTGGGGATATTGTAAATACTGGAGAATGCGATGAGTCCGGCGATAAACCAAGTAACTCGTTTTTTCGGCAACCATTCGACTGATTTATATGGATGACAAACACCAATATAGCGATGGATTGAGACACCAACTGTCATATAAACACTGGAAAAAAAACATTATAGAATTTTTTTCTGAACTTTTTGACGTTTTTACTATAAATTTTTGCACAAAAAACTTTGCAAATTAGAAATTATTCACAATTTTTTTTTGATTTTTCTTCTCACCAACCTGCAAGTCTGTGCTGTTGTCATAATCGGAAACATATAAGGAGTCAACGAATAACTGATATAACTACCAATCCAAAACGAGAAAAATTCACCAAAACGTGGCAAAGTGAGAACAAAAAACGAGGAGACAAGAATAACTGTATCAGAAGCTGACAAAACTGCCAAATACCAATTGATTGATGAAGATGCCATAATTCGATGGGTGAAAACGCGGACAGATGTGATATTTGCCAAAATACCGAAGATGATTATTGGAATCACGAAGATACCAATGACAAGTCTGAAAAATGTTTGAGATGAAATTCTGTGAATTTCAAATTTGGATCTCGACCCGATTTTCAAGATCTCTGAATTTGACGATGAATCAGATTCAGACATTTTTGAAAAACTCACTTTTCAGCTTCGAAATACTTCTCATAAACATCATCACATCGACAAAGAGAAGTTGGTGGGCAAAATGTTTGATTTGATGTTGGTGATTCAATATTTTCACCCATCGAATCATCTAATTGGATTAAAGGCGCAGCAGAAGAAGAAGCAATATTAGAAAGAAGTGATTCATAATCAAAAGTATTTAGAATATTAGAAAAATTAGAAGAAAAAGATGAGTTAACTTCTGCACTCATTACTGTAGTTGTGGTTGTAGATGTTGTTGTTGTCTTCGTCTCGGAGTTGATTTCGGATATTTCTCGTCGAATTTTTCTGGACGCAAAAATCGCACCGAAACTAGTCGACCTGAAAAAATAATCTGATAAGTTTTTTGTATTCGGAGAACTTTAAATAAGAAACTTTCAAAACAGGTGAAAAATTGCAGATGTTTCTAAACCTAAAGCTACCGTAATTTTTAAAGGATCATAAAATATTTTTGAAAAATGAGAAGAAAAAGAAGGAAAAAGGGTACATAAAATGACATAGTTGAGTTTTCCTTCCGATATGGAAAAGAGAAAAAACATAATAATAAAGTAGAAAAATAACAAGATTAGAAATCGGCCAGGCTAGGCTAGAAAAAAACTAATTTCAGCACGAAAAAAAACTGAAAATCTTTTCTTTTTTCTTTCCATGACAACCATAGATATTAGTAATAATACTAGTTTGTATCAACAAAAACAACATATTATGACAAAGAAAAAAGATATCTAAAAATAAATAAATGAATCTTGAATTATTTTTGGAGCATCTTGAGCAACAAACTTTGGTTATCAGATATCAGGCAGAAAAAAAATTCGTGTGTCAAGTACAGGTGAAATTTGTGCGTGACATATGATATCAACAAGTTTGTCGTCAAATTTTTGTTTTTCTTAACTTGAAGCAAAAAATAGTGGCTCCAATGAGAGAAAAGATATCGGGAAATTGTACTTTGGGGACCACAAAACCCGGAACTTGAATTTATGTTTTTCTGGGAAAAACTTGGAAGATTTGAGAATTCTGAACTAGGAATCAAAAAGGGTAAGAAATCGGGGTTCAAAATCAAGTTCGGCTGGAAATTTTCAAAACTTATTTTTGCAAGAAAAAATTCTGAAACTTGGAAAAACCCCGTTTAAAACTCAAGTTTTCTTCCAGAATCTTCTCAAAAAAATTCCCAGACAAAATCAAAAAATGAAACAAGGATCACAAAAAATGCCGCAAACTTTCAAAACTAAAAATACACACCGCTAGCGGAAGTCTAAAATTTCCAAGAATTCAGCATATTTCGAATTAAAAAAATTCATAATCCACCAAAAAGAAGTGATATTCATTCAAATCATTCAACCGAGAAAAGCGCAAGACCAGCCGAAAAATGGGGGAATTAAAATGAATTAATCATTCGCAAAATTATTATTATAACATGATGAATGTGAAATAAAAAAGAGCAAGAGCAAGATAGAAGAAATAAAACTAGTAGTGACTAATTCGACTTTTTTTCATTTGGGAATAAAATTCTTTTTTTCAGTACTAAACTGGAAAAAAAAGAAAACAAGAGGAAGAAGAAGAGAAAATTTAAGACAAAAACACCAAATTGATGGATAAAAAGTGGACACAAAAAAGGTCAATAAAAGTGCAAAAATAATTAACTAATGTAATTTTTCTCAAAAAAAAGAGGCAGATTCTGAATCAGATCGAACAGAAAATAGTCAGATTCACAGTTTTCAAAGAGGTCAGACCTGGCCCAATATCAGGACTATCTTAGATTTTTTTCAGATTTTACTACCGGAAAATGCTGATTTCATGATGGAATAAAAAATAAAAATAGGTGATACAGCACCAAAAAATTTCAAAGATAAAAATTGGCAAAAGATAAAATGGTGCTTTATTGGCCAAAATTGGGTCAAGGTTTCTAAAAAAAAAATTTGAAAACGTGGACAAGACCAAAAAAATCAAAAAAACTAATTTTCTTTCACACAACTTTTTTCAAGTTCTCCTTTTGTTTTGCTCAAAAATAAAGGTCGAAAAATTAGTATTTGGTAGAATAACTTACACACATATCCCTACTTTTTCCACAAAAACAACTCAAGTTCACAGTCATTCAGAAAAACATCGAGGAGGGGAGCATAAAAATTTACATACCCGCCAGAAAAAAAACTAAACCCAGACTAAAAAACAACAATTTATGTTTTTTTTTTCCACGTGTGAGAATCTAGCCGAAAATGCATATTTTATCGCTTTTTCTTATAATGATGACAGGGAAAGAAATGGGCATAAACAGAACAAGAAAAAGGAGAATGGACAGTTTCTGAGGAAAAATGATGGGCTGAGATTTTATAGAAAAATGGGAAAAGTTCAAAATTGTTAAGAAATCTTAAAATTAGATATGACTGTGTAATTTGAGATTTTTAGTGATTGATCTGAAACTTACAAAATTAGTAAATTCACAAGTATTTGAACTAATAATCCAAAAATTCGAGATTTTTTGAATCTCTTTGGGTCCAAATAAATTCGAATTCAAGATCTTGATTTAAAAAAACTTTTTTTGAAGTTTCAAGAAAACTTCAATTTGGTATTTTTTTTTAGAAAGTTTTACCTCATAGGTTTATTGAAAATTGAATTTTCAGGATAGCCTAAGATTTTTTGAGCTCTAAATAAACTTCTGATTTTCATTTTTAATCCCTTAAAATTTGAAATTCTCCCGGAACCTCTAAAATGAGCAATCATTCATTTTAAGTGCCAAAACCATCGAAAACAACATCATTTTCTTGCGATTTGCACCAACTACCTTGGGGAATTCGCAGTTTTCTGTCAAAACATCAAAACAGATGATCAAATAAAAAACTGGAAGATTTTCGAGGGAGGCAGGGAGGGCGAAAAAAACGAATGAAAGAACGAAGTATTTTCCAGTTGTGGTCCGTTCCAAAAAAAACGACTATGACTAGGAAGAAAAGAAAACCGAAACGAAACGAAAACATCGTTTATATAAAAAAGAAGAAGAAGAAGCAATAGATGGAACAACAACTACTACTAGATACTTGTTGAAAAAAAAAGAAAAAGCAGAAGAAAATGACGAAAAATAGGAAAGAAAAGTGACCGATGATCATAAAATGAAACAATAGGAAAAGCACAAATGCAACAAAAACAAAAGGTATTGCAAAAATTTGAAACTTTTTCCGGGGAAATTTGAGAAAAACCAGCAAAGTTCAACAATTCTTTTCCTTTTCTCTTCAGGAAACAGAAAAAAAAAACATCTGGATTGTCATTAAAAAGTTGGTAGGCAGAAATGAAAAAAAAATTAGAAAACGAGAAGACAAATTGATATTTTTTCGAGAACCAACAATCATAAATTTGATGCTCGCAAGTTTCGGAAAGATTAATTGAATTTGTTGGATTAAAATAAAACTAAACATCGGGAAAATCTAGGCAGATATAAAATGACGTGGCGAATTTCACCATATGATTTCACTACGTTTTTTAGAAGCCAGAGACTATCGATAAGTGATTTAAAACATCGTGGCAAAGATCATCTGAAATCATAAGAAAAAAATCTTCCGGCACTATTAGGAATTCATGTTCAAAATTATAAATTCTAACCAAAAATCCAAAAAATTCCCGGAAATTCAAATATTCTCTCTATCAAAGATCGAAATGAAAGTCTAGAGGTCCAGAACTTCAGACTTTGAAGAATAGTTTTTGAAATAAGAAAGATTCTGGCTGTTACTGAAACTTTGAAAATCATTAAAAAAAACTTGAAATTTTCCACCGCATAACGTATTGATCAATTCATTCTAAAGTCTAGCCGAAATTCCCGGAAATTCAAATTTTCTCTCCATCAAAGATCAAGAAAAACCTCCTAACAAGTCGAAAAAAACACAAAAAACTGACCAAAAACCAAAAGAGACTTTATCTAATTAAACCAACAATTCAAGTGTATCCAAAGGAAAAGGGAACTTTGAGATTGTCACTCATCATCCACCTACATCAGAAAAAATATGACGAGGAAAAAAAAATAAAATGACGAGCAAGAGCAAGTTAGTCTAAATGTTATGCAAATGGGATAGATAGAAAATCAACATTTCAACATTTTCCTGTCAAAATCTTCATTCTGCAGTTCTTCTTTATAAATAGAGCCGCAAGATGAATGAGTTCAGTTATACATAATAAATAATACCGATTTTTCCGGTTGATTCATGCATTTCAAATCGTATTTCTTATTTTTTTTTTCTGCCTTCAGGAGGTCATAAAGTTTTTTTTCTGCTTCTAGCTATTATTATTATTTTTTGAACATGAAAACGATGATGTGGCAAAAAAAGTGCATAACAACTACGCAAACATCTAACATCCAACTATTAATCAGAAATGGCAGCTGGAAAAAATTATCAGGCGAGGAAGAAGGGGAGAAAACCTAATTTTCAGCTGTTTCAGAAACATTTAAGATATATCGGGGGAAACATGTGATGTTAGGGGAAGTTTTGAAGAAAGTGTTATCGGATTACATTTCATTGAAAAAGTTCAAGGCATGTTTACAAAGGAAGGTTGGAGGTTCCGAAAGTTATGACGTGAAAAATTCGAAGAGAAACATATAATGCTCAACTTTTCGTTATAGCTTTGAAAAATTTCAAAATTCAGTAGATCAACCGCAATACTGTTCACTACTTCTTGGCAGGTTTCTGAAAGCCCAGTGTTCACGTAGCTGAAGCTTTGGAACCTCATTGTCTAGGACCCTCGTCTAGTTATCCACGCTGGCAAGGAGCAGCGCCTGGAGAGATTCTATGCCAAGTAGCCATGCCTAGCAAATTCAAATGTCAAGGGTCAGCGCCTAGACAGCCTATGTAATTCTCAAGGAGCCACGCCTAGATGGCCAAATGGTAAATAAGGAGTGCCTAGAAAGCCTAGCAAGGAGATTATTCGAAACATCCTAAAATATCTGTCTACATCTTTGTTACAACTAATAACCACCAAAATGCCTCAAAAAACGCTGTCAATAATTATTTTTCACCAGAAAGAAAAAGCTCCACAATAAACAACAAAAAAAAATGATGTGGTCCCCCCAGTTTTTCTCAGACGTTTTTTTCGGTCATTAATTCTATAGAGTAATTTACTCAACAAGTTCAAAGACAAACTCAAATGAAGTGGAAAAAAGCAACAAAAAAGAGAAAGAAACAACTGCCAAAATACCTCCACCTAATAAAATAAAATAAAGAAAATCAGATCTCGGGTGGAGCCTGTGCTTATCACAAGTACATCAATTAATTCTCAAAATCTCAATCCGAACAGCTGTTCTGATGAATTTCAGTCAGAATCTCTCAAAAATTCTCGAGAAAAAAGAAAAAATGACACATTTTCAGCCAAAATATATATATTTATTTATTTCTTTGCCTTGGAACACATATGTGATGAGAAAAATGAAATTAATTACATCGGCTTCATTATTATTTCAAATGAACTTTTCTACATATTTTTGAGAAAAAACATGGTATTACGTTTGTTCCAGACTAATTTATTTTCGAACCTCGTCTGGATTAATTTTTAGCATAGAAGGAAAGCCTAGAAAATTGGTTGGGAAAAAATTGAAATTGGTCTATAAGCTTCTGTGTTTTTGTTGTTTTGAGATCGAAAAAAACAAAATCATGAAGGGAAACCCTTCAATTTGATTTTGACTTCAAATCAGAAAAACAATATTTTTTTTGAGGGAGGGGTGGGGGTAAAAATCTTAATTTTGAGTTAAAAATGACCTTCTAACTTTGAAATTTCAAAATTTATGAAAAATTTTATGATTTTCTTGATTTTACGATAAAAAACATAGCATTTCAGATTTTTAATACATAAATGGACTTTTTTCAAACACAAGTTCTCCCTAATAATAATTTTCTAACTCAAGTTCCCATAATTACTTTCAAATCTAATTACCAAAGTTTTTTTGAACTCCCTAAAATTATTCAGCAAAACTAGAAAACTCATAGATCACCATGTTTTTCTCGAAAAAAAGGTCATCGACTATTTGGAAAGAAAAATATAGAGATATCCATATGAAAAAAATGATGCTTATTAAATAATGATGAAGAAAATGAAAATACTCATAGAACAATTAAATGAGAAACTTTTTTCAGTGAGAAGCAGATAAAGTCTAAAGGGAATCGGGTCCGAAAAAATTGAGATCTAAAATCTATACGGATACATACAATAAGGCCGTGGCCCAACATTTTCAGGAATTCCCAGATTTTTGGCTAGTAAGAACCCTTGAACTTTAGCAACTCTGGCTCAAAGTGTGAAAAAAACGTATCTAGTCCAGAGAAAAAGGAGGAAGCAAAGGAAATTAAGATTTTTTTCAAATCATGGAATGTTTATAATGGAAAAAAGCGAAGCAAAGGGCAACTGTTGTTGTTATTTTTACCCAAAAAACATAAGAAGAAATTTTTTGATGAGATTTATTGACTCCAGAAGGTCATTTGCAGCTGAGTCACATTGTTTCCAGAAAAAAAGAGAAAAGGTCAAAGATTTTCCACTATAATCCAATCAACTAAACCAAAGCGAACACTTTTTCCAGTGAGGGGAAAATCCAACTTTTTTTCAATTCACACTTCTTTCGAATAACAAACCAGAAAAAACAGGAAATCCTAAAAGAGAAAAAAAGAAACAGAAAAATGCTAAAAATATATACATGTTGAAAAAAATATGACTGACTTCAAGAATATTTCTAAAAAAAACACACACATACTAGCTTGTGATTGTTAATTATTCAGTGACGAGTCCAGAGAATAACAAAACTTATTTCTGTCCGTAAAATACTGGAAAGCACGTATGATTATTAATCCAGTGGACTTTTTGGGAGAAGGGGAAATGTATTTGTATTTTTGTAGCATCAATTATTTTATCATTTCATAGAGTTCACATTGCGGGGAATCGAGAAGCTCAGAACAGTTTCGGAAAAAATTTCTCAAAATTCTCAAAACTGTTTCTACCCATCTTCTTTCAAAAATTAGGTTATTTCATCTAAATTCCCTGGAATAAAATCTCTACCACAATAAAACTGATAAAAAAATCAAGAAAAAAAACGGCGAACAACAAAAACATGAGCAACTGACTTTTCAGAAGAAAAAATACTCTTTTTCTATTTGAACAGGTTCTGTTGAAAATAACACAATATAAAGATTTTCCGCTGTTTTCTTGTTTTTCGTTCGCAACCGATGATGAAAAAAATATTTCGTGGATTGAGAAAAAAAAGGGGGATTGGTCAATTCTATTCATTGAATGCTAACTAACTAACTAGATTGATTTGGAAAGAAGAAGGAGAGAAATGAAAGAAGGGTGACGATTATATGTATAGGCTGAAAACCCACAATTTTCAAATCAAAAACATGCTCAAAGAGAATTTCGGAAATCGATGAACATTTACTTGAAACTCATAAGGAAAATTCTAGAGGTTGAGAGTTGAAAATTCAAAAAATAATTGACTACAGGTCCAGAAAACAACGAAATTTTCAAATTTTGGATTTTCGTTCTTCAGATGCAAAAGAGCGTTCACTTCAAATTTTTTCAGAAAAATTGAAAACGTTTTTCATGAATTTCAAATTTTGAGTATCGAGATCAGTTCTGATAATCAGATTTTTACAGCAAAATTCGAAGAGAGGAGCGAACCTAACAAAGTTCTTGTAAGAAACAATAAACGGCCAGAAATACCTCACTTTTTCTAGTTCAATCGAATATTTCTAGTCTATAAAATATTTCCCATAAAAATGTAACAGAATTTTCCAGCCAAAAAAGCTTGTCTATTCATCAAATTTTCAATAAAAATCGGAACATTCTATTTGTCAATACATTTAACCCCAACCAAAAAAAGAGGTGTCTGAAAATAATAAAAGTGTCGCAGTCGATCAGTGAAAAAGTGAAAAATTAGGTGTGTCCTGGGAATATTTTCACAAAAACCGCTTTTCGACTCTGCTTTTAGCAGAAAAAAAAGTCAAAACAACCAAGGCGTTTCGATTTTTGACCCAAAAAAATAAATCGCGTCAATTTTTCAAAAGATTCATCAATCTCAAAAAGTGCTCCGGAATTCGAAATTCGATCCATTTTTTTGAGAGGAAAAAGGAATCTAACAAAAATCGCAAGATAAAATAACAACATATTAATAAAAAACTGAGTCAGGGGGTTTTGAAATATGAGCAAATCTTCTCAAAAACACACATATTTACAAGGTTTCAGATTTTGTCTAACAAGAAGGCCTAACAGAACGAAAAATATATATTTATTTTTTCCAAAAAAAAAAAGAAAAAAAAACAATTGCTAATCCGATATTTTTTGAATAAAAAGAAAGTTACGAAAAAATATCATCATCTAAAAATAGCCAAAAAATATGAATAACTTTGTTATATAATATAAATAATGATATATTTCATTTCATCACAAAAAAGGCGAGAAAAAAGTGTTCAGTGAGTGAAAAACGTGCAAATCTGACAAACAATTTTATGTCTCCGCACTAATTAACCAAATTTATTTGGATTAGTCTGATGTGATTCATATTGAAAAATGAACTTATTTGGGTGGAAAAATGATCTCATTTTTCTTTACAGAAAATGTTTGCTCGATTGAAAAAAAAAGAAAATACGAAACCAATAAACATTTTTATGTTTGTTGGAAATTGAAAAATTGTTGGAATGATGGGAATCTAGAATAGATACATTTGCTTGAAATTAATTTTTGGTCTTGTAAGCTATGACGTGGCAAGATCTTCTCAAGGTTATGAAATATTTGAACAAGATTCATCTATCTTTTGCTGTCAAAATTTTTCTAAACCCTATAGGGATTTCGGAATGAGAAGTTCAATTTTGCCTCAAAACTTCTTTGGCTAAAATAAGTTTTGATTAAAATTCCAAGAATCATTAAAATAGGGCGGGCGTTTAATCCGATTTATCCTAACAAAATCTATTTTTGATCAAGTCAAAAAGCAGCTCAAAGTGAGAATTTTTGCATTTTCTTAGGAATTGAGGTGACGTTGGAAAGATTGTTCTAAATAACAACTTTTTGAGACCAAAATATCAAGAATAAAAAATCTAGAAACAAATTAGACAAATATAAATGTTAGGCAACCTTTTAATTTCAGGTTTTCAATATTTAAGTATGGTCTGGAACTTCCAATTCGCGTCTAAAATTCATGAAATTAATTTTTTTTTGGTCGTAAATTTTTTAAAAGTACTGTAGCAAAGTTAAAATTAATCCGAAGCACCTCGGAAAAATGCCCTTCCAGACCACCTCAAATCCCCAAAAAATCATCTAATTCTGCAGAAAAAGCTTCCGGACGACCAAGAAATTGAAATGACACAAGAAAAAGAACAAAGTCTGCTTGGACGGAACATGGCAAAAAGTGTGAAACAATTTTTTTTTGTTTTACTCCACTGGGAGTGAAACAACTTTTTTTCTGGCGGGGGAAAAAAGTATTTGTTTGTTTCGAAAATGGAATTGAGGAAGCGGAAATATTATGTAGCCTGAGGCTAACAATTTCGAACATTTCATCTATTTTTTTTTTGAAAAATATGAAAAAAAAATATTTGAAAGGACAGAAAACGCGTGGGAATATTTCAAAGCTTATGTCTGTCTTTTTTTTTCGAAAAATAGAAAAGTTCAAAACTACAGTAGTCAGAAATTTATGTTAATTATTTGAAATTTCCGAAAAATAAACAAAAAGGTTAAAGAAATAGACAACTTTTAAAACTGAGGTTCAGGCTGGCCCAATATCTTGATTTTGCTTACTTTTCTACATACTTTCCAACCAGAAATCATTCAAAATATGTGCGTTGATAGAAATGGCGCAAGGTTGAAAAAAATAATTCGAATTTGAACGCCCGCCGAGTTCTAGATAATCTAGTGCATTTTTGGGCGGCGGTGTGCGGTGTTTGCAGACTTTTTTTTTACTTTTCTTTTTTTCGTTTTTTTTTTGCAAAAAACGGATTTTTGTGATGAAAATCGGTTTTTGACTATCGCAGCACATCAGGAATCATGATTGTCGATATTTAGGTGAGTTTTCATGAACATTTCATGGTTTTCATGTTCATTTTCAGGAAAAATTGGCGATTTACAAGTTTCGAAGGATTTTCGATGGAATTCTCAATTCAAGTCGTTTTATGACGTTTGGTGAGTTTTTTGTCAAAGTTTTATGCTAGATGATAGTGACTCTAGGCAGAATCGAACAAATAACATCTTTAATTGTTAATTTTGTAACGATTTTGGCTGTGAGTCCATCAAAATTCAAAGTTTTATTGAAAAATGAATCTGAAACTGATTTAATTGTTGTTAATTTCAGAGAACAACTTCAATGTGCTGTGTTAATGGATTTGGAGGCTAAACAAAGTGATGATTCGCCAAAAACATCCCGGAATTCTGCGATTTTCAGAAATTCGCCAATTTTTGAAGATTCGAAGCCTATCCAAAAATTTCTTTGCTCAAATGTTCACTCAAATGCTATGTAAAGTGTTTCTTTCAATAAATTTGCTGAATTTTTCCAATTTTTTATTCGGTTTCTTTAGGTTTCTTGCTTTCCACAAACCAAAAAAATAAAAGTAAAACAACGAGACTCCGCGTGACACTGCGCTCACACAATCGCGGCAATTTTTTTATTTTCAAACGAGGGTTTTTTAATTTTTTTCTTTTGCTTCAAAAAAAGAGTTAGAGTGAGTTTTGAGAGTTCTCTCTTTGCAGATGTGTCAAAAATAGTACGAAAAAAGTAATTTTGGTATGTTTTGAACCGTAGCTTAAAAGTTGTCTATTTCTTTAACATTTTCCCAAGAATAGAGCCTGGAAAAACTTTCTTTAAAGAAGATGGAAAAGTACACCTAAAAACTTTGAAGAGTTCTTCAACTAATCTAGACGAATTCATCTTTTTTAGGGAAATGAGAAGAAAAAAGAAGAAAGGAAGTTTTCAGCGAATTTAAGGAAAAAAAAAGAGTGAATACACTTTTATCGAATTTTGTTTTGTTTTCTTCGAGTAACAAAAAAAAATAACAATAGGGTGAATATTTTTAGAGGAAAAAAGTTGAATAAAAATATTCTTTGTTTTTTTTTGTATAAAACAAATGACTCATAGAAAAAGGAAAAGGTCGAGTGTTTTATTTTTGGCAAATATAAACTTTTTTGTCATAAAAAACTGTTAAAAGTTCGCCAGAACTTTTGTGTTTAGAAATTTGTAGAGCACAGATCGAGAAGAGGCTAAAGATCTGGGTCCGATAAATTTTGCGAAGTAAATTGCATACAAATTTCAAGTTGATTCTGATTTTCTTCAATTTTTGGGCTTTTCTAGAGCTCCAAAATATTTGATTCTAAAATTTTAATTTTAATTTTAAATTCCGGAAAAATCTTCAACCCTCAAAATTCAAACATAAAACTGATTTTTGACTCGAAGGCTTTCCGAACTCAATCAAAGTTTTTCCAACAAAAAGAACCCAAAAAATGCTTCCAAATTCTCACATAAAATTCAAATGGTCCCAAAAATTATGAAAACAACACATTGTTTTGAAATACTTCACATAATTTTTATGTTTTTTTTTTCGAAAAAAAAAACAACATCAGATTTTTGTTTGACTGACAACATCAAACATCGTCTGGAGTAGGCTTGGATTTCAAAAACTTTCGAGAAAAATTGATTTTTTTCTGGATTACAATTTTTTAGAGTTGTCAATTTCAGAAAAAGAATAAAAAAACAATTCTTGGCTGAAAAAAGTCAAAGTTTCTAGAAAAATTGGTCTAGCTGACTGACAAAGCGAAAAAATCTCTCATGGGAAATTGGGATGAGTAATGATATTTATATTTATAGATTTTTTTTTGAAAAATAGAAATCTAGACAAAAAAAAGAAATAGATTAATTTGGAACAAAGTCGAAAAACTAGGCAGACTTGTTGAACGAAAATTGTTGATAGTTAGTCAGCTCAATTATAGTCTTATGCTACTTTTTCGTTCTTTTTCTCTATTCTTATAAATTGTTTCATGAGAAAAAACAAATTATTTTATTTTCGATTGGGAAATAAGTTCTGTTAACTTAAATATTTGAAAATAGCGGAAATTAATTAAAAATTTTTAGTTTGGTGTTGAAAATAGATTTTTATTTCAATAGCTCAACTTTCAGTCCGAATTTGTCGAATGTTCAATTTTCGACGCATTGAAACTTGGAAAGAGTCACAAACTCTTTTGACAATAAAAAGACCAAACTTGTGCGAAAAGTGTAGTTTGGTGTGTGCAGTAAAAAGTTCTAGTTCTAGTTAATCCCCTGGTGAGACCGGACCAGTAAAAATCAAGATGAAACCAAGAGTGCAAAAAACTTTGCAGAGATATTTCTAATGAAATCATAGATGTTCAAAAAACTCTCTACATGCTTTTTTTCAAGAAGAAAAAAAGAGAAACAAGAAAAGTTTTTTGAACATTCAACCAACAGGTGTGAATTTCCTGCGGAAATTCGCCTAACTGATCAGAAAATAAATAGGTTGTATGATGTTGAGAAAGAAAAATGTTTCCCCGAAAAACTTACCATCAAAAAAGTATGCATTCATTTTCAAAAATGCGTCAGTTGCACCTTCGATTGTGTCGAATTTCATATAAACAATCGAATCTTGGCTTTCGACTTCTAAATTGGTATAAGGTGGTGGTCGATAATTGCTATTTCTTCCGATTAGACGATATTTGATCTCTTCATTTATTCGACGGATTTGTTGACCAAGTGTTTCATCACATCTAAAAAAAATATGGAATGGTTTTTTCTGGGAATTTTTGGGAACGTAAAGCTCGAAATATTGATATTGAGTGTGGAGTCCCCAAACTTTTAAATTTATGATTAAATTTGAATAATTTGGAGTTTCCTAGTGATCTTGTGATTTTCAAATGTTCATATCGAAAAATTATTGCAACCGCTTTGTTGGAAAATATTCTATGAGATTTTCTAGTCCCGAAACATCCCAACCTAAATTTTACCCTGCTTATGAGGGTTCAATTTATGGATAATCTAATTCTGGATATGAGTTATGACGTGGCAACTTCACAACATTTTTCTGCTCCCAAAATATGCATTTACTCACAATGGTCCAACCATTCCTCTAATTTTCAAAGCCACCGACGGAGCTTTAAAATTATTAAGATTCTTCTCATCCTCTTCACTCTGAATACTCTTTTCTCCCCATCCTCGATGCGGATTTCCAGATATTTCTTCTTCGTCGTCGATTGAAGAGTTCGATTCATCAGAATCTTCCCAATATTTGTGTCGTCTCGATCTTTTTAGCATTATATGCAATTGATGGATTAGAACTGAAATTAAGGATTTTTTTCTAATTTAAGAGGATTCTACTGAATTTCAAACTTACCAGCCATGAGAGAAGTGAATAAAATTATATACATATGATTGATATAAACAAAAGTGAAAAGTTGAACAGTTCTGTTGACAGCTTTTTTGTATTCTTCTGAAAATAAAATTAATTGTTTTTCAGAGCTTTTCTAGTAAAGGACATACCTAGTAAATGATCTCTTATTAGTTGTAAGTATTCGGTTGCTATGTACAAATAGGCAATTTCGAAGAACGCCAGAGTTAATAAAAAACATTGTAAAATGATGACAGATGGATCAAAATCACTGAAAATTTTAATAGAATTGGAAACTTTTCTGAAAAATAAAAATATAAGTTACCTTGTGATATAAAATGGAATACGGTAGAGAGTTCTCCAAATCCGTCCAGGCAGTTTTATTAGTTGGTAGCAGATTATCTAGAAATGACTGATTATTGATCAAAAATCCGTGGCATTTGGGAAAAATACGTGGTTTCTCACGTAAATTTTCAAATATTTGAAACGTCATGATTCATTTGTTAAACTCACCGATAAAATATTGACTGCTTTTGAAAGATATTCGAGAATTATCATCCCTACTTCTACCTGAAAAAAGAAGGTATTTATGGAAAACGAAATTTTTGAAAAATTGCAGAATCGAAAAGTGTGCTCTTCTTATGATTGTTTCCGAGCAAAAGAAAACAAATTTTTCGCAGAGCCATGCTCTTTGAATTTCATGAAATAACGCAATTTAGCTACAATTGAATTAACTCCAATTGGAGGAGGATAAATAAAAGTTGTGATTTTCAAAATTTTCCCGGAAAAAAAAATAAGAAAACGTCGAGAGTGTATGGTTTCTCGAGAGAGTTTAGAGAAAAAACAACGACACACCGCACTGCGCATTGTTTAGCGTGGCTGGGAAGAGTCGGATCCTAGGCCATATAAAATTTATTTTCAATTTTTTAGGTTCCGTTCAAAATTGTGTCCTTATCTTGCTTGTTTTTGCGTTTGTGACAGATAGAATTTGAAAGAAAACTTTGGAGAACCACCATTTTATTACTGAAATTGTTGAAAGCGAGAAATTCTCCATAATTCCTGATATTGCATCATTTATATTTCAAAAAATAGGATTTTTGTTTGTTTCAGATTCTTTTGTTTTTTCACTTTCAAACACGTGTTATCAATCGAAAATACCAGTTTTCGCCTCGTGTTCCTTTCTAAAAAAAACATTCATTTTTCTTTATTTACAGAAATGTTCCGAGCGATTGGTAGAAGTTTGAACATCTCCCAAAAACGTTGTCTCAATTTGCAAGAATTTCAAAGCAAAGAAATCTTGAATCAACATGGCTGCAGTGTTCAAAAATTCGTTGTTGCTTCAAATCGCAAAGAAGCCGAAGCGAAATGGATCAGTTTCGGTGATCATGAATATGTTGTGAAAGCGCAAATTTTAGCGGGAGGGCGAGGAAAAGGAAAATTCATTGGTGGAACAAAAAATATTGGTGGTGTTTATATCACAGAAGAGTGAGTTGATTTATTTTTTAATTGTTTGTTTTTCTAACAACATGTTTTTTCAGTAAAACCAAAGCTTTGGAAGCAATCGATGAAATGATTGGTAAACGACTTGTCACCAAACAAACAACTGCAGATGGTGTGAAAGTGACAAAAGTAATGATTGCTGAAGGAGTTGATATTATCAGAGAAACATATTTGGCTATTTTAATGGATCGTGAATCAAATGGACCAGTTGTTGTTGCATCACCAGATGGTGGAGTTGATATCGAAGCTGTCGCCGAAAAAACACCAGAACGAATTCATAAAACACCAATTGATATCGAATTAGGAATGACACAAGCGCAAGCATTGAAAATCGCCAAAGATTTGCAATTCCAAGGAGAATTGGTTCATGCAGCAGCCACAGAAATCAAGAAATTATATAAACTTTTCATTTCGGTTGATGCGACACAAGTTGAAATTAATCCATTGGTTGAAACTAGCTGCGGAAAAGTATTCTGTGTGGATGCTAAAATGAATTTTGATGACAGCGCTGCATTCCGTCAAAAGGATATTTTCAGTTTGGAAAATTATGAAGAGCAAGATAAACGCGAGGTTGAAGCCGAGAAATATAGTTTGAATTATATTGGATTGGATGGAAATATTGCATGTTTAGGTAAATTTTGAAAAAGAAAAAGAAAAACGGTTTTTGAAGTTTGAAATTTCTAAATGTTGTAATCCGTTTTTTCAGTAAATGGAGCTGGTTTGGCTATGGCTACAATGGATTTAATCAAATTACACGGAGGAGAACCTGCCAATTTCTTGGATGTTGGCGGTGCTGTCACTGAAGATGCAGTCTATAATGCTGTTCGAATTATTACATCTGATCCAAAAGTCAAATGTGTTCTTATCAATATTTTTGGAGGAATTGTTAATTGTGCAACAATTGCAAATGGCGTTGTAAATGCTGTCAGCAAAATTGGATTGAAAGTTCCAATGGTTGTCAGACTCGAAGGTAATTTTTCGCTAAACTATTTAGAACTCTTCAAAAAAAACTTTTTTTAGGAACCAACGTTGATGCGGCTAAACAAATCATGAAGAAATCTGGTCTTAAAATTATCTCTGCTGAAAATCTCGATGATGCTGCCACTAAAGCTGTCGCTGCTTTAAATCACTAAGTTCTTTTATTTCTTTTTTATAGAGTAGTTTAGATTGGCTTCATTTGGCTATTTTCTCATTAAATTTTCTAATATTTTTTACAATCATGTCATTTTTCGGGTCGTTAGAAGATAAAATTTCATTTTTCACCCGTTTTTTAACAGAAAAAGAAGAAAAAGTTTCTAAATGTTTTTTGGTATGAATGGAAAATTACTAACATATTTTGCCCAACAATATGGCTCGGAAATATTAATTATGAAAATTGAAATACGATTTCCGCTCGAAAGTTTGCGCACATTCGTGATCAAATATCTGTAAAAATGTTGATTTTAAGAAAATTTGTTTCAAATACTTTTTACCTTCGATCATACAATAATCGTCTCCATGTGTTTTTGAATGCTCTTCGTTGCAGCCGAGTTTTTGGGCGATCATAAATTACATTGAACTGAAATTTTGAAAAAAAAAATGAAAAAAATAACACTAGGTTCCACCGAGATTTGAACTCGGGTCGCCACAGGTGGTGGGCTGGCAACCCGTCTCAGACCTGTGCCGCACCAGTGTTCCGAAAACCGGAACCGACCGGTCTCGCACCAGTATGACACCCGTCAGAGTTCCTGATCAGGGGTCAACAAGGGGAACTTGAAAATGAAAAAAATCTATATGTAGAGGACCAATGTCCCCAGAAACCAAAAATATAGACTTTGTAGTCATGTCCAATACGGACTAGAACAGCTTTTCATAGAACCTCTAATTCGAAAAAGCAAGCAACACTCGCTTCTCTTAAACAAACTGACTCGCAGACAGTTGGCTGTTTGTGCGTCTCGCTATGTTTTGTGTGGGAGATGGTCGAGCAGTATGCGACCCGTGACGCGCCAGTTTTAGGCGACCCGTGACAGGTCTGCACCCGTCTGACACCAGTAACAGACCTGTGAACGGCCAATTTCACTGACTGGTGCGCTACAGGTCTGAGACGGATTGCCAGCCCACCACCTGTGGCAGGATTCAAAGTCCTGAGTGCTAACCGCTACACCATGGAACCGTGCGAGAGGGCAACGCAAACATTGCAAGCAAATAAAAGACGGAAAAACGAGAGATATTTACCTGACAAGAGGACAAATTCGCATCATCAAATGGAGATTTTGTGAATAGTAGTTTAATCTGATCAGAACCGCCATAAAATAAATTGATTGAATCGAAACGCGGGCGATGCACTTGGACCATTAGGAAATATACAAGATCCATTGAATCGGCATCGCGAGCATCTAAATTTCAGGTTTAAAAAATATTTTCAGCAAAGATTAACTTACAATGATCAGTTCCCCAATTAATTTGCCTTGATTTCGGATTCATTTTATGTTTCATTGTTAGAATACTGTATTCAGGATTTTGAAATCGATTAACTTCTGGATGATTTTCGCTGACTGAATAAACATGACATTTTGGATTGTTTCTTTTCAATTCTCTTTCCATACTCAAATTGTTTTCATCAAGCACAAATACCGTATTACATTTATGAGTTTCGTGCTGGAAAAATGAGGGTTTATAGGTGATTTTTTGGAACGAGTTATGACGTGGAAAAATTTAGTGATCCCAAAAATTAGAGAAAATTACAACTGTAACTTACATCAACCAACCATGGTAGCCAAATAATCGAATTTTCTCCAGATCCATACCTAACAAATCGATTTTTGAAATGTTTCGCTGAACATTTGTCAACTATTTGATGCAAAGTTGGCCACATCTCAAATTTTTATTGATAAAATTATTTATGCTTCCCTTAAATCTCACCCTTCTAAAAAAGCTATCATCAGATTCTCGAACTGGTGTAAAACTATGTAAACATTCTCTTGCTCCTCGAATTGTTGTGGCTGGCTGGAATCAAAAATTCTGGATATTATGTATTTTCCAGTAAAAAAGAAGTTTACCTTTGGAACAAATATGAGCTTTAAAATTGTTGTTGTGAGATGAATAGAAATTAGTATTAGAAAAATAACAGAAGGGTGAGATAATTTGAAAATCATTAGAAAATTAAGTTAGTTAATTCGAATTTAGAAAAAAATGAAAATATCGATTTGTGAGAAGGGAAGAAAACAGAGATCTGATCTGAATCTTGGATTCCTTTAATCAGATAAACATTCCAAGCTGGTTTCCTTGTAAATTGCATAGGCTAGGTGTAAAAAAGAGGTTCTTGGTGGATATATTTTTGATCGGAAATTTTTTGAAGATTGGTTTCAGGATATGGGAAGTGAGAGGATTGAAAGAAACAAAAAATTGAAATTTGAATTTTGAAATTATTCAAAAATTAATTTTTGATTCGTTAGTCGTTAAATCAACATAACATTTTTAGAAAAAAAATTTTTCAGTTTTCAATTTTTCCCACTCTGCATTTTGGTACTGTGCCTTATGGGGGCCAAAAATTGATCGAGATTTTCGCCGCGAAAATAATTTTGAAAATTTTCTTTGTGAGAAAATTGGGCTTCATGAGCTTTTGAGAATCAGGAAGAGAAATTCGAAACATCCGGGATTTTTCAAAAAAAATGCCGGAAGGTTTGAAAATTCCTCAAAAGCTCAAGAAACCAGCCCTCGAAAAAAGTTTCTAATCTTTGGACCACAAAAACATGAATGAATCCAAAATTTTGGAACTTTTTTCTCGAGTTCCACGCACATTTCTAAATTATTTAGATTCTCAACTGTCCAAAAATTTCATTTTCTGATTTCACATGGTATGATGTTTTGAAATGTTTCACTAAAGTTCGTTTCAAGTCAATCTCAATTTCAATTCACGAGTTCAACTGACCTCTTCTCTTTCCCAAAAACAAACTACATAAAAAACACAAAATAACAAGATCATTATGATCATGTTGTTTTTCTTTTCCATTTTCTTTTCTCAATTTTTTTCGATACACAAATTAGCGAACACGAAAACACTAGAAAAAAGATGACCCTAAAAGTACTTCTTATTTTTGACATACAAACAAAAACAATTCGAAATTCAAACAAGTTTTTCAGAGTTTCTATATAAACAAAACTGAGTTCGATGATTTCCTCAAAAAATGTCGACTTCCACTGCAATCTTCACATTTTTCCTAGTCATTTCTCTCGTCTCCGCCAATATTCGATATCGCCGTAATTCATATGGTGATGAATTGGTGACACCATCTGGCGGAGGTGCCCCACCACCACCACAATATATTTCCGAAGTTGCTGCGGCTACAGTCGCACCGCAAGGTGGAGGAGCACAGACTGGAATTATGTCATCTGGTTATCGAGCAAAAAGAGATGCTCAAAATGGATATGGTGATGAATCAGTTACACCATCTGCTGGTGAATCAAGTCATCCTGTTATGGCTGTTGAAAGTTCGGCAGTTCATGTTGATCAAGCTGGAGGATCGTCAAGTAGTGTACATTCTAGTGGTTATTGATTTTTTTTTGTGATACATAAAGGTTTTCGATTTTGGGACCATAGAAAAATTGACACCAAAAAAATTTGAGTCAAAAAATTTTCACGTGAAAAATTGTTTTCTACCTTTTTAATAAAATCCCGATTGGGTGGTGTCTCGATGGAAGTAGGATTTTTAAAAAACTCGGGCCGATTTTTTTTTGAAAAAACTCGGGCCGATTTTTTTTGTTTGACAAAAATACCCGCCCAAATGAAAATTTCGATTTGAGCGGGTAGCTGACAAAAATTGAAATTTTTATTTTCGTGTATACAGTCAACAAAAAAAGTAACAGATTTGGAATAATCCAAAAATGTAAAAATGAAATCGATGAGTTGGGACCTAAATGACACTTCCTCTCAATCTTAGACTTAGTAAGCCACCCAGAACCAACTTTGAAGCTAAAAAAATTGAAAGAAAATTTTTAACACTGTTAAAAAACAAAAAAAATCAGAATTTCACCAAAAAATGAAATTATTGAGAAAAAGTCATGTCTCCAAACCGAAATTTCTGTTTGGAGACAGCCATGTCTATAAATATGCAAATAAAAAAAGAGATTCAATAATTTTTTATTAAAAATAGTTTGATGACGTCATCCATGACCGTCTCCAAACAGAGCAAAATTAGGAAGCCGTTCCTGATTTTGCCATGAGTCATTTTTTGATCAAAAAACTTGAAATTTTTCATGAATTTGTTTTCCACAGAAATTTGAAAATAATCACAGAAAAAAAACGGAACTGAAAAAAATGAGAAGACTGTTACGCCTGGGGGCTAACAGCCCCTAGTAATTTCAAAAGAAACGCTTTGTACATTTTTTTAGATTTCAAAAAAACGAAATAAGTTGAGACCAAATCGAGAGGAAAAAGAAAACTAATTGTGAATTATTTAAAAATTTGGTAAAGAAAGGCTGACTGGCGAGACGGAAGATCTTGAACTTTCATCATCCAAAAGCCTCAATAAACGATAAGCTCTTGATAAAAGATAGACACTGAAGGATGTTGCAAACAATGTTTTGAGCCATGTTTGTGATCTAAAATTATGTTCGTTTTAAAAACTGTTTTTCTCATTTTCGAATTTCAAAATATAAAACTCACTTTGACGGAAAAATGGCTTTGATCAAAACAGCGGCAGGCAAACTTATGAAATTGAAAAGAGTCGATGTCAAAACACTGAATTCGATTCTTTCCCATTTATTGACACGATTCAAATTTCTTCTAAAATACACGTAGAAACCGAGTCCCACATTTGCATTGAACAGAATCGTATTACTGACAGCAAGATCACCGGTTGGGAACAAACTGCAATAAAACAATGAAAATAAGCACTCCCTTCAAAAACTAACCTCGAGATAATATTTGGACTAAAAAGATGAATTGTATAAAGTGTATGTGATACAGCACCAGAAAATGGCAAATAATGCGATAAAAATGTGTGGAATGTTAGAGGTGGAAACCATTTCGCCCAATCGATTCCGAAACGAGATTGTGGAATTGTTGAAGATGATTCTTCAGATACACTTTTGATTGTTCCATTAGAATCAGAAATGACAACTTTCTGAAAAATTTGAATTTTATATTACCAAAACGTCGGTGGTGCAAAGGGCTAATATGAGCAATGCAAACGATATAATAAAACACAGCTGCACCCCAAAAACTCACATCTCTTACTTCAATAATTCTGTCACCATTTTGTGGTGCATCATCAATTCCTCGACAATTTTCTGGCTGTCTTAGAACAATCATCGGATCATTTTGATCATCACATACCAAGCTAGGCAAGGGTGTACCATCAGTTTCAATCAGTTCATCCATTACATTCTCAATAAACTCTGAAAATTGTTGATACATCACATCCAAATCAATCGACCAAAGCTTCTTATAATATTCCGGAAAGGTGGAACCGTATCTTATACTTCCATTTTTTCGTAGTAACAATTTTCTCATATCCTCTGGGTCTAAAGGACGTAAATCTTCATAAACTCTGAAAAATCAAAAAAAAATCCAGGGCCTTTTTTATTCGAAAACACTCACAGTTTTAAGCCCGCGTTTACTTTTTCTTTGAGTTCACTAATCCCTTCTAAACATTTGTTCACTCTCTCATTTTCCAAGTCCGATAAGTCCTCATTTTGATTCTCCATTATTTCTGAAAAAATTAATTTATATTTGTCAGATATTTATTTTTATATCCAGCCAAATTTTGGGAATTTTGTGGACACACCACGACCAGCTTTTTTAATGATTGTGAGATTCCAAACATTTTTCAATACAGTACTAAATTTTATGAAATTATGCAAAAATGTCAAAAATCAAAACAAGTATATGGAAGTGAATATGGTCAGAATCACCATATGGCTTCAAAAAAAGTTTCACACAATTTTGGTGCCGAAATGACAAAAAACATCAAAAAACTGTACTGCACAACAGTATAATACAATAGAATGATCTTTTTCCCTTTTTTGCAGCGTCTATTTATTTTTAATATATACAACATCCATATATGCGGCGTCCTAATGTTATCTCAACGTGTTGGGAAAGTATCTGACCACCCCAATTACTCCATACGTCGTTTTTTCTTTCCAAAATCAGTTTTTCCCTTTTAAAAAATTGAATCTGTAAAAATTACTTTTTTTGAGTAAATGAAAATATTTCTATCCATTTATTTTTCATTGTTTGGCATTCTGAATTTTATTGAAAGTTTCGAAAATGAAATTATAAACACAATTCACACTTTTGGCTCGATATATAAATAAATATGTGACAGATATAAAATAGTTTTTTTCAGAAAATATGGCAAATCAAAATGAAGAACCATCGCGGGAATTTGTGCGATGGAAAAAAATATTGAATGCGGATATAAGACGAATGAATAAAGCGATAATTACCCACGAAAGGTGGGTTGATTTTGGTTGATTGAAGTTTTTAAATTAATTGATTTTTCAGAATTCGAGAAGAAATAAAACTTTTCAAGTTAGAAAAATCAAGGAAATTACACCGACAAAATGAAGATTTGGATGTAATGGAGACATCAAATAAAGAACTGATTGAAACTGATGGCGAACCATTGAATAGCTTGGTATGTGATGATCAAAATGATCCGATGCTAGTTTTAAAACAACCAGAAAATAATCGAGGAATGGATGATTCACAACAAAATGGTGACAGAATTATTGAATTGAGAGATGTGAGTTTTTGGGGTGCAGATATATTTTATTTATATTGTCAATTCTTAAAATCCAGAAGCATTGGAAGAAATAATCAAATATACAGTAAGCTTCGCGGTTTTTTCGATTTTTGTAATTTCAAATTAGAAAAATCAAATTTTTCGGTCCAAAGCAATTTTTCCCCAAATTTTTTTCTCGTGTTGATTTTTCATTTTCCCTAGTTTTTTCCAAATTTTCACATCGTATGAAATTGGTTCGTTTTTTATTTAGAACATCAGTATTTTTCAGTATATTTGAGGGTCCCAAAAAATATAAGAATGCGTCAGAAAAAATAAAAAATATAAGAATCATCTGCATTACTCATATTAGCTTTTTACCCATTTTGGTCTCTTAAAATCAATATAAAATTCAAATTTTTTAGGAAGTTGTCATTTCTGATTCTAATGGAACAATCAGAAGTGTATCTGAAGAATCTTCTTCAACAATTCCACAATCTCGTTTCGGAATCGATTGGTCGAAATGGTTTCCACCTCTAACATTCCACACATTTTTATCGCATTATTTGCCAGTTTCTGGTGCTGTATCACATACACTTTATACAATTCATCTTTTTAGTCCAAATATTATCTCGAGGTTAGTTTTAAAGGGGCTGTCCTTCAACTTGAAAAAGCACATCCGCAATTGTGCGTCAGTATTTTGAACTAACTAAAAGCCTAAAGTTGATAAAAATCACCTTCCATAGTTGCAAAATGTTGGGAATACATTTCGCGAGAAAAAGACACGAATAACTGAATAAAACATACCCTCCCAAGAATTGACAATAAGTTATTGGATCCCGCGAATCGCGGAGATCTCGCCCGTGATTCCCTGATTTCAATGAATCATCCTCAACTATATATTTCATTACAGTTTGTTCCCAACCGGTGATCTTGCTGTCAGTAATACGATTCTTTTCAATGCAAATGTGGGACTCGGTTTCTACGTGTATTTTAGAAGAAATTTGAATCGTGTCAATCAATGGGAAAGAATCGAATTCAGTATTTTGACATCGACTATTTTCAATTTCATAAGTTTGCCTGCCGTCGTTTTGATCAAATCCATCTTACCAGCAAAGTGAGTTTTCTCCCTTGTATTTTGAAAATGAAAGTTGATTTTAGAACACAAACATGGTTAAGAACATTGATTGCAACATCGCTCAGTGTCTATTTTTTGTCCAGAGCTCATCGTTATTTGGGGGATAGAAAGTAAAAAAATGGCAGCATTGCTATGTCATAATTTTATTCCGGGCGAGTAAACACCCTATGTAATTTGTCCCTTGGGTGTGAGCAAAATTGTTGATAATTATTCATTTCCGAGTATAATTTTTCTCCTCTGAACTTTTCATGTTCAATAAACAGTTTCATTTTTTTTGCTCAAATCGTGAGAAACTTTCTTTTCATGTATTATTTTCAATTGATTTTATTTCCTCTTTTTCTTCGTTTTTTTTGCACTCAATAAGTGATTGATTGTCCGGTTGTTTTTCAACACGAAAAATAAAGCGAAAAGTCAACAAAAATGTACGAAATCTGGTAGAGCGCAGTCAGTCCACTCCTTATTTTTTGTTTTGTTTTGTTTTTTATTTCATTTGGTTGTCAACACAGTCATTCATTCATTCATTTTTCTAGTCAAAGAAGAAGTATGTCGTCGAGTTCACTTTCTTATATTTTAATTCTTTCGATTTGTGTTACATTGGTCACTTCGTTGTATACAAAACAATGTAGGTTTATGAAATCAGAAGGGAAATATTCAGAACAGAATTTAGTTGCGATTTTTGTAGAATTTTTGATGCTCGTAATTTTAGGCTCGAAAATCTTGAATTGTTTGAAATCTTGAAATTCTCATTGAATTTTGAAACCCGGAAGCTCAAAGCATAATTCAACCTCCTGATTCACAACTGATTACAAAAATTTTCTGTAGTAATTTTTTGAAATCAAAATTTTCCAACAACAAAAATCTTCCTCCTGTGTTTCTAAAACAAATTCCAATTTTTTTCCAGTCGAAGTAGTTGGCCCATGTGTGAATCTTCAATGCCCAGACACTTATACTTGCGCTCACAATGATTGTATTCGAGAGAAACGTAAGATTTTTAGTTTTAGATTTCTGAAGCTCTAGTCCCCGATTTTTCAGCAATAGCTCGACCGGGTATCCCATCAATCGGTCCATGTGTCAATCTTCAGTGTCCAGTTGGACACATTTGTGTTGGCGATGAGAATCAATGCTATCCAACTATGTAAAAATGCGAAATATTTAATTTATTTTTGAAAATTTTGAAATAAAGCTCTATTTTTTATTATTATTCATCGCAATAATATTTTGTAGGCGTTTTGGGAATTTTTCTCAAATTTACAAAAAAATAGAAAAAAACTAATGAGCAAAAAACTGATATTCATAGAAATCAGCTGTCAACATTACCAAAATCATTTTCATTTTTTTTTCATTTCATACTTGAAAATGGCGAACTTCAAAATGGTCGATTTATTATTTTACAACTCTTCAATTATCATAAATTCCATAATAATTTGTATAATTTCAACAATTGTGAATATTCTTGGTTTCTTCATGATTCTAACACATTCAAAAAGAGATAATCCAACTTATCGATATACTTTATTGATTTCGCAATTACTTTTATATTTTGGTCAATTATATTATGGAATTGCTATGATTATTCTACCACTTTTCCCATTTCCTGCAGCAATTTCAATGGGAATTTTGAGATTTTCGTTTTCACCTCATTATCAAGTTGTTAGTTTAGTTTTTGAATGAAAATATAATTAATTAATTAATTAATTAATTCAGGGTATTTATGTGTTATTTTTTGCAAGTTTTATATATTCATTATTTGCAATTCTCATAGTTCGACTTCGTTTAGTTGTTCGCAGACAAAGTATTTTCAATGTGAGCTGGATTTTTTTTTGTGAGAGACTGAAAATACATTTTTTTGCAGATCAGTGATCTCACATACTTCAAAATTCTATCGATTAGTTTTCTTCTCACTGTAGTGTTTACAGCTATAATTATCAATTATTTGAGTTGTTCTGGACATGAAACATTTTATTTTTTGAGTTTGGTGAGCTTACAAAGTTTGGGAACTAGGTTTAAAATTAGTAATACACTTTAAAATTCCTCCCACCCAAACAAATATTTTTAGAAATATCCGGAGTATCGATATTTGATGAATACACCTGGAATTTTAATATTTTGCAATGAAGCATACCTAAATATATTTCTAGTTTTTTGTATTATTGCGATGTTTCTTATTCTTCTTATTTATATTTTAATTAGTTCAGTGATTCATTATGAGGTTAAACAACAAATGACAAATATGAGTAGGACTTTGAGAAATCATCATGATACTGTTTTGAAGGATTCTGTTCTTCAGGTTTGTTTTTTGAAAATTTTTTTTCAAAGAAGATTTCTTGTCATTTTTAAAAATTAGATAACTTTTGAATCTTCAATAAATGGAAGACAAGGAAAACTCGGAATTTGAAAAAAACAACCATGAAAAAATTAATCAAAATGTTCCAAATAATTTATGAGACCGAGATAACCTGGTCCAAATTCTTCCAGATCATCATAAAAATCTCAATAGTAGTCTGTTGGCCGGTTTGGTTAGTCATCGATGTTTTCATGAATCCTGATTACGATTCTACAATTATCACAAATATCACTCATTCATTATTCATTCTTTCTCCAATTCCAGCAACTTTAGTCATGATTTATCAACATCCAGATTATTGGAAATGTATTCGCAAATTCTTCGGATGCCCGGATAAAAATGCTAGAAGATCTGCTCTTCAAAAATCACAAACAACTATTGGACGATAATTTTTTTTCTGGACATAAAATCAATTAACTTTTGTTGTTTAACTTTTTGTGGAAACTTTCCTTTCACTTTTCTGCTATCTTATCAATTGGTCACAGTTCCTGAAAATGACAAGAAGGTTTCAAAAAAAAACGGTTCCACTTTGAGGAGAAAACTATAAAATGATAAAAGGGAAGGGAAAATTCTCATTTTTCCAGAAAACTTCCTTTTTTTGTTTCCTTGATTGTTCTTTTTTGAAAAATCGCAACAAAAATTGAGGAATTGAGCTTTATTGAACTCTTGTTTTCCCATTAAAGAATCCCCAAACAAAATTTTATTTTCCTAGAATCATGGGTGCATTTGGCACTGTTGCTTGCGGTTCAGCGGCAATTCTGATCATCGGATCTTTGGCTACAATGATCTACATCGTCTCGGACATCAATGGATTATACCACGATGTGATGCGAGTATCACAAGACACCAAAAGTGTTGCAGATGATGCGTGGCAAGAATTATTGAAGAAGAATGGTGATCCACAAACATCTCGAATCGCTTCAGCTATGCTTTTCGGTCGTGAAAAACGTGCAGCTCTCCCAGATCATTGTCAATGTCTCGAAAGATCAAAGGGTTGTCCAGCTGGGCCACCTGGACCAAAGGGACCAAATGGAAATCCAGGACAACCAGGAGTTCCAGGAATTCCAGGAAAACCTGGATCCGATGGTTATGCTCGTCATATTCATGAGACAACTGGCGGAGAATGTCAACCTTGTAAGGCTGGACCACCGGGACCACCTGGACCAGATGGATGTGCAGGAGAACCAGGATCTGATGGAAGACCAGGACCAGACGGGCAAAATGGCAAGCCAGGAACACCAGGATCACCAGGACCTGCTGGACCAGCTGGACATCCAGGTAAACCAGGAGTTGGAGGAGCACGTGGACCACCAGGAGAGCCAGGAAAAACCTATTTGCCTGGAGTTGCTGGACATCCAGGAAACTCGGGACGACGTGGACCACCTGGACCAGCCGGGCCAAATGGCAAACCAGGAAAGCAAGGAGCTGACGGAATTCCGGGAGCTGGTGGAGCACCAGGAGCACCAGGACAACCAGGAGTTGATGGAGAGCCAGGAGCACCGGGAGAGGATGGAGCACCAGGTGGTGATGCCGCTTATTGTCCATGTCCAAATAGATCGGTCGCTGTTGAACCGGCACCAACACAAACTGAGGAACAAACCTATGGAAAAGTCTAACAACTTTTCTGTTGATTATAATAAATCGTTCATTCTGCATTCAAAAAAAAACAATTAAATATTGGGGGAAAAGAAAAATGTGGGCCCGTTGTGAGTGGAGTAAAAAGTTATATTTTTGTTTGATTGGGGGAAGTTCAGATCAAAATTGAAAAGAGGCTGCACTGAAAACGGGCGTGGTAATAAGAGTTTTGATTTCAGGTTTTTTTCTGAAAAATTGTTTGAAGATCTGAATTTAAGATCAAATTTCATGACAAAGTTAGGCTTAGGCTTAGGCTTAAAATTCAAAAGCTTAGAATTGAACCTTCAAGAATAGACTGAAATTTATAAATGCTTAGGCCTGAGCTTAAGAGACGTTTTTTGCAAAAAGGCAAATAGGGTCGGACAACAAAAAAGGGTGTAATTTTAGAATCGGCTCAAATTTTTTTTATTGATACATGGATGCATGGTGAACATTTTCCACCATATTTTTTTCCATAAAATCGATGCACCATTTTGGTGGGGGGTGATGAATGCGAAAAATGGCATTTTTTCAAAAAATCAGAACTCAGCTCAAACTTCATTATTTTTGATGATCAAAAAAGGATTTTGTAGCTCTTGAGACGCTCTTTACTCCTGAATTTACTAGAATTGCCGAAATCCAAAAATGAATTTTCAAAATCGATGAAAAAATTTTGACGCTAATTTTCCCCCCTTAAACGCCATTTCCGCAATTTCTAACTCGATCCATTAGATCCGCCTTGCAATTTTACGTCGGATTAGTCGAAAAAAACGGAAAAAAGGGGGGGCCTCAGAAAAGTTTGATTCCAGATTCTAATTTTCATTCTGACGCGCGCAACACACATGTGTGTATTTTGTGTGCGCATGCTCACATATATGTGTGTTGTGTGTTAGAAGCTTGAAATATACAAGGGTACTGTAGTGTGTGTAGTTTTTTTTGTATTTTAATTGTATATTTAGCATCTGGGGAGGTAAGAAAAACCCCGAAAGATTTTTACATGCAAAAATGTTTTTTCCTGGGGGTGGACCTTTTTTTGAAAATTTTTTTGGTTCTGAACTTTGAAAAATCGTAACTTCACTTACAGTGGACGAAAAAATCGAACATAAAAGCTAAAAAAAGCTTACATTTCGCTCTATTAACTCAGCTCACACAGCAAATTTTTTTCTACGTGACCTCAAATAAAAAAGTCATTGCAGAATGTGTTTTACACGCGGCACACACATCTGGGCGGAGCCTAATAAAATCCTGTTTTTACACGTTTTTTGAGGATTTGAACCCGAATTTCAGGGAAAAGTTGATTTTTCACTATCAGAATTGAGCAAAGAAGGATTGAGGGAGGTCCAGAAGACAGAAAATTGCTTTTAAATCTTCTAATTCCGCTCAATATGACGTTTCTCCACATTTTTCTCGATTTTCCCAGGAAAGACAAGAAACTTTTGATTCAAAAAACTATTACTACTTGAAAAATTATCAACTACTTCTAAAAATGTAGTTTGAGCATGTTTCCTTCGGTTTCGGCTTCAAAAACACATTTTTTGTGAAAAAACACAAAGAAAGAAATTTTTTTTGCGAAAATACTGTAGCGACACGTGAAATTGTGCAATGAGAAAATGCGTAGTGAAAAATTTGCTGTGGCTCATGGACAGTTCTATGGACTGGAAAAAATTGTTGTAACAAACTTTTTTTTTCTGATCTACAAAATTCGAAATTTTCAAAAAAGATCCAATATCTCTCGGTACTGCTCCTAGTAAGCAGCTCTGACAAGAAGTCACGCCTGAAGAGCAAGTTTGAAAAGGAAAAATCTGGCAAGGAGTTACGCTTGGAAAATTGATAGGATCCTTGTCAGATTTGCTCTCTAACGGCATGTCAAAAAGCATTCGCTGAGAGTGAAAGAAACGAGAAGATATTGGAGTCCCGCGTGATCTACAGCGAGTAAAAATTGCTGGTCTAGAACTTGTGAAATAGCATTCAGCTTGATTTTTTAAAATTCATTCTTGAACTTTCAGTGTGCCAAGAGAGTAAAAGGCCTCAACTTATTTCGAAACAAAATATGTGCAACAACAGGGATTTCAAAAATTATGGATTTTTTCTTTTTCACTTCGTTTCAGGGCGAACAAATAGAAAAACCCGCGAAACTGAAAATACCGCGAAATTTATGGGGTGATTCAGGTCGAAAAAAAAACTAAAAAAAAACGTTTTTTACAAAAAAATTCGATTCAGCAAATGTCAAAAAACTATTTTTTCCACACAAAAATGGAAGATATCTCGCAGCGAAAATGTTTCAATGAAAAAAAATGTCGAGAAATAGGAAAAAAATATAGTTTTTTGACATTTGCTGAATCTAAATTTTTTGTAAAAAAAAAGTTTTTTTTTAAAGTTTTTTTTCGACTTGAATCACCCCATTAATAAGGCTGACAAGCAGCCAACTGTTGGGTCCTGAAGCGATGGTCCATGAATTCTCATTTTTAAAAAATTTTCGGGGTTTTTTCTGTCTGCGTCGCGTTTTCTCTATTTGTTCGTCCCAACACAGGGTTAAAACGAAGTGTTTTTTCACTGATTCTGAGTCTACTTCACTCTCAGCGATGTTCAATTTTCAAAGGGCTGACATGTAGTGCTCTAAGATCGAGGATAGCTTTTATGTTCGATTTTTTCGTCCACTGTAAGTGAAGTTACGATTTTTCAAAGTTCAGAACCAAAAAAATTTTCAAAAAAAGGTCCACCCCCAGGAAAAAACATTTTTGCATGTAAAAATCTTTCGGGGTTTTTCTTACCTCCCCAGATGCTAAATATACAATTAAAATACAAAAAAAACTACACACACTACAGTACCCTTGTATATTTCAAGCTTCTAACACACAACACACATATATGTGAGCATGCGCACACAAAATACACACATGTGTGTTGCGCGCGTCAGAATGAAAATTAGAATCTGGAATCAAACTTTTCTGAGGCCCCCTTTTTTCCGTTTTTTTCGACTAATCCGACGTAAAATTGCAAGGCGGATCTAATGGATCGAGTTAGAAATTGCGGAAATGGCGTTTAAGGGGGGAAAATTAGCGTCAAAATTTTTTCATCGATTTTGAAAATTCATTTTTGGATTTCGGCAATTCTAGTAAATTCAGGAGTAAAGAGCGTCTCAAGAGCTACAAAATCCTTTTTTGATCATCAAAAATAATGAAGTTTGAGCTGAGTTCTGATTTTTTGAAAAAATGCCATTTTTCGCATTCATCACCCCCCACCAAAATGGTGCATCGATTTTATGGAAAAAAATATGGTGGAAAATGTTCACCATGCATCCATGTATCAATAAAAAAAATTTGAGCCGATTCTAAAATTACACCTTTTTTGTTGTCCGAGCTCCTTCATTAAAATTCACCTTTTTGCAAAAAACGTCTCTTAAAATCTGAAGGCTCGGACTCAGACTTAAATTTTCAAAAATCTTCTAGGCTTCGGCTTAACCGTGTTTTCACACTTAATCCGAACCTAAATTTCATTCTCACAAAGGTTTTTTCTCGAACAAAAATAGTTTTCAGAACAAACTAAATTTTAAAATAAAAATTAAATACCATCTCAACAAAAGTTCTCAAAGAAACATCTGAAACCCATATTCAGTGAACCTTTCCAATTTCTCCTAAACCCAACCAAATCAAATCAAATCAAATCAAATATCATTTGCAAGTATGCACCGCAACTTCTTCAGTACAAGTTTTGCATTTCACCTCACAACACCACACAAATTTACATTCACATTGAGTTTCTCGAACTTCCAATCGTGTATTATATCCGCGACCACAACATAAAAGATCGCAACTTTCGGAATTATACGAATTATGAAGACATTCTCTTCCAGTTGTTCCCAATATTCCAGCTGTATCATTTCTTTCACAATAAGAAGGAGATCTATGAACAAATGCCATCTCATTTCCTCGAAGTGGAATTTTTCGCTCACTTCGCTCTTTTCTTCGCAGCCTTTTTGTGGCTTTTCGTGTCACCTGAAAATCTCTTTGATGAGCCGCATAAAATGTAGTTTCTCAAAAAATTCACCTGCACCGAAAAATGATCATATCTCTTCTTGAGGAGATCGGAAACCTGCGCGAATTTGGGCATTTGTAGCCAACAAGTTTTGAACTCGCAAGATCCTGAAACACCGTGACAACGACATTGTCGACGAATGTTTTGAGCAATTGCTTCGCGGCCCACAAAATTGTTGTGTTTTCGAACGAGGTTGATGACGTTTTTGGTTTCTTCGAATTCTTTTTGATCGAAATCGTCCAGGAATCTGGAAAAAGGTTTTTGAATATGAAAAATGTGATTTTTTCTTGAAAAAATCCGGTTCAGAAACCTTCAAAATTGGGTTCTGAACATGTTTTATGACGTGGCAAAGTTTGAACATACGTATTTTTAACAGAAAAAAAACGTGACTTCAAAAAATGAAAGTTTCAAAAACCCCAATTCACCTTCTCGCATATCTTAAACCATATGGAACATTATCCGAACAACCACCCCATGAAAATTGATCACGATTCAGCGCAGTACTTCCATCATTTTCAGCAATATATCTCTGCATTCCTGGTTTACTATCACATCCACAATCTGTCAAATTGCCCGTATTACATCCTTTTGTAATTGAATGAACAATACTCGCTGACATCAAAGCAGTCAAAAAAGCCGCTTCTTTATTTCCCGATCGAAAAGTTTTTCCAAGAATATCTTGAAATTTTCCATGTTTTGTTTCAGTCACTTCATCTCTCGATGAACAATTCCATCTTTCCATTGTGAATTTCGTTTCACATTCTCGAATTGCTTCTCGAACTCCTCTTGCGATAAATGGAATTGCAAATGGGTTTTCAGCACACATTGTTTGTTGAATTGTATTTAATCCATCTAAACGACGACATAAATCTTTGAAATGTTCTTTGTCGAAAGATTGATAATGTGGACGAGGTTGATATTCACTGTTACCAACAAATGCCAAGGTTCTGAAATATGAAAAAAAATGTGGGGGGGGGGGATACAGTAATCCAAAAGTTCTGAAATAAAACTTACAACCAATTATACGGTATTTCCTGTGTGTTAACAAAAATAGCAAACAAAATAAATTGAACCACGTGTTTTTGCATTTTCTGAAAATGATTACGGTAGGAAAATTGATAAAAAATTAACTACAGTAATCTAAAAACCAATAAATTTTTAATCAAACAACAATTAAACTTATCTACAGTAAGATTGCGTAGCAAAAATCAAATTTTCAAAAAAATGTCAATCTTTAACCTAATCTATTTTTCTACCGTACTCTCTCAAGATTTTCGGTTCTCAAATCAATAAAGAAAAAAGGAAAACGAGGCAAATGTCCTTCTTGTGCGCATTTCAAAGGTTTATGGCCCGTATCACATTTATGCAAATATTTCTTCATTTCACAAATACATACATTTTTCATCCAATGATGAAACAAGAAAACCAAGAAAGAAAAAAAAAGAACTAGGGATTTGGAATTCATTCATATGTCAAAAACTAAACATCTGTTTGCAATTTTAAAATGAAGTGAAGTGAAATCAAATAAAAACATTTCATTCTTTCCAAAATGCGATAAAGCTTTAACAAAACAAAGAGAAAAACAGTAAAGGTCACGGGGCTCCGAAAAAAATATGAAAAACCAACAAAAAACCGAAACAAGTCATGGCTTGAGGAAAAAAATAATTATACATGTCAATGATTAGAAAATTAAAAACTCGTTCCCAGAGTTTGAATATTATTACCAACGTGGTTCAGATTAGTTGTTTTAGATGAATCCACGATAAAATTTGGCTCGTTTCCAATTTGTGAAATTATGCGTTCGAAAAGAGCACTGTCTTCGCTGAAACATTTTGTTTTCGGGAACTGGAAAAACTAAAAAAGTTACCTTTCATTCTCATTTTCATTTCGTTTCTTCTTTTCAGCCGTCATAATCAATTCATCAGAAAGCAAAGTTGTTTGAGTTCGAGAAGTTTGCATTTCTCCATTTCTTCCAGTTGCCAATGGAACATAATCAACCGTGATTTTTTCGATGCTTCTCTTTTTCTTATGTCTGCAATAAATGTTGGTTATATTTGGAATGTTAATTTAGTATTCGAAAAACTTGTTGTATTTTAAATGAATTTCAGTATTCAAAGTCCCTTATAAAAATTTGGAAATCATGTTATGTGAACAATTTTCCCGAGAATTTTTCATAGAAAATTGCATTATTCAAATTATGGAAAAATTCCTACAGTATTCCATTTTCCAAAAAAAAACAATCTTTGGTTGAAATCTAAAATAATATATTTGCTAAAAATTGAGTTGAGATAACTCAAAAAATGAATAGGACTATTATTTCTTCAAAGTTCTCCTAACATAAATGTGAAAATAAATTCGTATATTTTCCGAAAACCTTATTCACAGCCTGGTCCCCCATGAAATAAAATTTCGGGAAAAAATCATATGCAAAAACTTCCGCGATATTTTCCCATAAAATATTGAAATCATGTATTATGATTCAAATTATGGAAAATATACCGTATTCCCGATTTCCCACATAAAAAACAAGGAAACGTTTCCCTATGTTGTTTTTATGAATTTACAGTACCCCGCAAGCTTCATAAAATTATATGTTTCACATTTTGCCATTAAAAATTCATAAAATTACCGTATCCCATTTCTGAAAAAAACAAACCAAAAAAAACGAACCTTTCCCAATAACCAAGAAGAAAGCGATTAACGAAAAACGCTTCAAACATATAAGAAATAAAAGAATTTGCAACGGCAACCAAAAGTATGAAAATGCGAAAGTTTGTCGAAGGAATATCAACATTTCCAATAAATGTGTTGACCAATTCATGTGGCCACATAACAATCCAAATGCATAACAAAACTGCAAAAACAGTGAGTGCGCAAAGCGGTTTATTTGATAAAATTGAACCGCGATATGGTGGACCTTTTGAATAAACCAAAGCAAGTGTGATATATTGAAACATTGAAACACAAAATGTAACAGTTCCTTGCATACTTCTCTTATCTTCTTCTTCACCTTCTGGTGTTGGTTGATATTCAATAAACCATGGTTGATATGTGATCGATTGAAAAACAAGAAATTGTGATGCTCCCATTATAATCAATTGTCCAACAACTGAAGTCATACTTGCAACTGATAATAATCGAGTTGGTGGAGGTGTATTCGCCAATTTTGAAAATGCTGGAGTATTTCCGAACAAAAATGCAAATGTTGTAATAAGAAACATATCAATAAACATAAATTGCCCATCAGTTAATATATTCAAAATCGAATATAATTGAATAACTGTCACAAATTGTGTCAATGAATATCCAGCCATATATTTGAAGATACCAAATGATGTCACTAATGCAGCTCTTCCTTCACTTATAACAGTTGGAACACATCGAATATCAGCAACTCGCGAAGTGAATGGTGCAGCAATCGAGGCTTCAGCATCACTTAATGAAATTCCAGCATGTGCAGCTTTCAAAGCAGCACAATCATTTGCACCATCTCCACACATTGCAACAGTATAACTAACATTTTGAAGATGTTCAACGAGTTGTTGTTTTTGATCCGGTGCCATTCTTGCAAAAACATCACAAACACAAACCAATTGATCAACTAATTCTGGATATTCATGAACAATAACAGCAAATGTTGGGCCAGATATTGCAAGATGATAACTACTTTCAACAATTGATCCAATATCTTCTGGACAAATACTTGCTTCAGTATGAGTTATTGAAGGCAATCCACCATTCAATGAAGATTTCCAACTTCGAATTTCCGATTCGCTATCATCAATAACTTCATCAGAAGAAGACACAGATTGTGTAATAATCAATTTAGTTCGGCCATTTTCATCCAATTCTCCAGGCAAATGTTCAACAAGGAATGCTCTTTTTGATGGTCGTATAATTCCGCATTCTCTAGCAACAGATAGACCAGTCAATAAATTATCACCAGTCACCATAACAGTTCGAATATTGGCTCGATTTAATTGATTTATAACACCAAGAGTAACCGGTTTCACTCGATTTTCCATAACAATTAGGCCAAGCATTTCCAAATCGCATTCTACGAGGTTTCGCGAGATTTTTGAGGCTTTGTTGAAATTCATATCGAGGGAACGGCGAGCAACAGCAATTAGTCGGAAACCGTGTTGAGCATATGCGTTGACTTGAGTCTAGAAAAATTGAAATTTTCAAAAAATTCTTGAAACTACCAAACTTTCAAAACTTACCAAATAATCATCAGGAACAGTTTTCGGATCGCACAAAGATAAAATCATTTCTGGTGATCCTTTTGAATATAAAACCATATTATTTGGTCGTTCAGCTGATGGATCAAAAACAATAACTGACATTCTTTGTAATGATGATGAAAATGTGAATTGTCGAATAACTGAATATTCAGCATCTGGGAATTTATCAGCTTTATTTGGTTTTATAATCGATGGCTGAACATTATCAAATAATTGAGTTTCTTCTTCAACTTCTCCTTCTTCCATACTCCAACCAGTTTTTTGAAACAAAATCAAATCCAACGGATCACCGTGTAGTACTCCATTAATTCTAGTCAATGAATGACACGTTGCAATCGCTTTCACAATTTCTCCATCAAATGGAAGTGTTGAACGATTTGATAAATCAACAACTTCACTCAAAAAACTGACGATTTTATCGATGCCTTTTTGAATTGGTCGAATAACATGGAAATCAAGCCCGTCTTCGGTAAGTGTACCCGTTTTATCGAAACATACAACATTTATGGCACCACACGTATTAACTGTTGAGGGAGAAATACAAAATATTTGCTTCTTTTTGAGACGAAGTTGAGCATTGATTATTCCGACTGACATTGCGGCTGGTAGAGCTGGTGGAACTGTGATTGTGATGATATCAAGAGCACGAACAATGATTTTGTGAAGAGTTTTCTTTCGGCCAACCATTATTATGATTGTGTAAATGAAACCGAGGCCAGAAATACAAGCGAGGAACAGAATGAACTGGAAAAGGGATATTTTAGGGAGGAGGTGGGAGGAGATGAAAATTACCTTGAACAAATCTTTGGTGAATCTAAAATCAATTGGTTTTGGATACATAATAGATCGAACAAGTTGTCCTTTGAGAGTTGAATAAGCAGTTCGCAAAACTATAGCCTGAAATGAACATTATTTTGATTTTGAAAATAGAAATTCTAGGAATTTTTATTCCATCTTGAAAATTTGGGTTTTTATAAACATGAGCAATGCTACAGAATATTCCTTTTTCCTAATATGAGCAATGAAAAAATTAATTTCAGATTTTACCGAATCTGTTATCATTTTTCATTTTTCAAGGAATTTACCAAATCTATGCAATATTTCCCACAAAAACAAGTTTAATCAACTTTTACTCATTCTTTACGGAACGAGTAAAAGATAATACTTTTCATTTTCACCTACTTTACTTGATAACAAAACTTATTTAGGTCATTAATTAAACCAGTTTCTTCTCCTTCAACTATCCGAAATTAGTATAAAAAGCATATCCATTCCATCAAAATCCACAAAAAAAATGCAAGTAACAACAGCTACATTTATAGCCAGTAGTTTGTCTGGAATTGCTCTTCTAACATGTCTATTCGCGCTATCCTCAATCTACAACAATGTTCAAGAATATTGGTTAGAATTGGATGTTGAAATGATAACAGTTCGTCGTGAAATGGATGATATGTGGAAAGAGATTATGCACATTGAAAGTTCGAGTGGTGCAGTTTTTCGTATTCGTCGTCCACGTGGTGGAAATTATAACGAGGGTGGATATAAAGAGCAACCTCCTCCACCTCCACCGCCACCAGCTGGATATGATACTGCGCCCCCAGCTTCACATGATCAACCACCACAAGCACCTTCTGGTCCAGCTCCAGAATCACCAGAATCTTGTCAATGTAACGCTGAGAACAAATGTCATCCAGGTCCACCAGGAAACAAAGGATCACCAGGAGCACCGGGACCAAATGGGCAACCCGGTCTTGATGGAGTTCCAGGACATGATTCAGAAGATGTTGAGCCACAATCACAAGACACTGGAGTTTGCTCATATTGTCCAGCGGGACCGCCAGGATCGCCAGGCCCACAGGGACATCCAGGACCACGTGGAATGCGAGGAGCTGATGGGCAACCAGGTCAACAAGGAAAAGATGGAAATCCAGGAAAACCAGGAGAAATGGGACCACAAGGACCGGCTGGAAAGAATGGACCAGAAGGAAAACAAGGAGAGAAAGGAGCCGATGGAAGAAAACCAATTGGAAGACCAGGAGCAAAGGGACAACGTGGAGAGCAAGGAGGACCGGGTCCACAAGGATCACCGGGGGCTGATGGGCCAACTGGAGCAGCTGGGCCTGCCGGAGCACCAGGAGGACCTGGTGGACAAGGAGATCAAGGACCAGATGGGCCAATTGGGCCAGAAGGAAAAGTTGGGCGACCAGGGCAAGATGCGTAAGTTATTTTTTTTTGGGGAAACTTGTCGATTTTTGACAAGAAAAAACTGGATTTTTCCGTAAAAATAAGACAAATAGAAAAATTTTGCAGAGAATATTGTAAATGCCCAACAAGAGGTTCAATCGGAGGATCATCTGGTGGACGCGGAAACAACGCGGAATACAAAACCGGCGGTGACTCATATCGTCGTAAGAAGGTTCTCAAAAAAGTATTGTAACCCTCTTCCCTTTTTCCTACCTTCACTTTTTTGCCGCGATAAAACCGTGTTTGCAAGACTTGTGTTCCACAATAAAGCACATTTTTCGAGTGTTTCTCCATATTGAAAATCGCATCATGTGTTTCATCGGTCAATGCGACTTTTGTAATTGGCACAGATTCTCCAGTTAGCACACTTTCATTTACAATAACAGTTCCATTCATCAAAACACAATCACATTGCATAAGGCATCCGTGGGGTGGAATAAGGAGAATATCACCTGGCACAAGTTCTTCACTTCCGATTTTCATTTCTTCTCCATTTCGAATTACTTCAACTTCTTCGTTTGAATGAACCATACTTCGCAATCTAATGATAAAAATAGAAATAATAATATAACATTCATATAAATTTCTCTTACCGTTTTTCTTGCGATCTAATTTGCCAAACATCCATACAAATTGATGAAATTGATAAAAGAACAATAAGTGAAGCATAATATGCATATTCGTCATTATACCAAACTGTGACACTAAAAATTTGAAAAACATAGAAAGGTGTGATGACTTCCATGAATAGCAAATATAAAATTGGTCGCAAATTGACAACTATTTCATTCTTTCCAAAAAATTGTAGACGAATTGAGACATCGGATAATGATAAACCTTGATTATCTTGAGATACTCCAAGGAAAAATGAGCATGGAATTTGTGAAGCGATTTCACTTGAAGGAATCCATTCACCAGTATCATCATCTTCTGATTCAATCCAAACATATTCCAATTTTCGATAAACAAACCAGCGAACTTCGGGAACTTCGATCATTTCACCACTTTTATTTGGAATCATCCCATTCGATTTTCTTTGCACTTTTTGTAATTCGGTTACATTGTGATTGTCAGTGATATGAATGAATTCAGCGTTCGAAAAATTACAAGGAACAAGGCGAAATCTCACATTCCATTTCTCTTTCCAATGAAGAATCAAACGAAAGATACCAAATGTTAAAAAAGACAATATATAGAATAGAACCTGCAAAAACCTTACATGGTGAATTAAAGAATTTTTGCTTCAACTAACCGTCCGAAGGGGTCCCGTTCTATAAGCATACAACGTCAAAATATGGTCTCCAGATTCTAGAGTCATTCGGTGGCGTCGTGCGCCACCCGCCTCCACCATGCCCTTGTAGATAGTTTGACCCAGGTGGTCTCTAAACCAAAAAGAGACTGAAAAAAGCAATCAATTATTTTTTGTGTTGGAGATAGAATAAAATATGAAACGGAGAAAAAAGAAGGCCTAGCTAGGCGAATTGAAAAAAAAATGATAAATTAGGTGTCAAGAACAAGATTTTTATCAAGATTTAGAATAGAGGTATTAAGACGAGATGTTTTTTTTTTGGAAAAAAAAAGTATTATAGAATAGAAAAAGAGTTCTTCCGTCGCTAGGGAACCATTGATTTCGAAATTTGTTTTTTTCCAGGATTTTTTTCCTAGAAGATATAAAAATTTTGTGAATTGGTTTTTTTATGTGGTTTTCTAGGTGACATTTGAGATTTATGAAAGCATTGAAGCATAAATATAATTTCAAAAAAAGATCTGTTTCAATTCTCAAAAAAAAAGTGCCAAAAAGATAAGGAAACCAATGATAAGAACAAATATAATCAAAGTTAAATAAATATTACGAATTCTTGCAGCCGTTTAGACGAAAGAAATGAAATGAAATGAAATGTGCAGGGGAAAGCACACTTTGTACCAGCAAAAACTTCGCGGAATAAAAAATGAGAGACGCAGAGAAACAAACTTTTTTGCAAAAAATCGAATGGGGCGCACTTGCTCGCTTAGAAATTTCGAAAATTTATAATTTTTTAGGCGTTTTTTTTCGTGTTTTTCCGTTTACGCTGGAAAACGTGACAATTACCGGTTTAAGAAAATTCAATTTTTAATCAAAATTACTTGTTCTCCCTGTATATTATAGTATATCCAGTTTGAAAAAAAGAATTTATTATAATATGTTCAATTTTTCAGCACCGAAAAATCATGGATTTATTTGATGCATTTGATACGAGTCAGACATCGACAATTGTGAGTTTTCTTATATTTTCAAAAAATCTTGAAGTTCTTTTAATTCTAGGCAGCTTCTGGAGATGCTATGCAAAATTTGGATGATGAAAAGAAGAACAAAGCAAAACAACAAGCTGCAAACCTTCTAGACGCCATGCGAATGGACACTGGAATTGCAACATTCCAAGAAGAAGATGATAGTGAAACACCAGCAAAAAGGCAAAAAATGGATGTTGACGAGGTTGAAGATGAAGTTGTGCAAAAGTTCGAGCATATTGTTGTTCACACAATCAAAACAGATAATGAGAATTGCACGCATAAAGTTGCCTTGCCACCTGGAATCGAGTTTGCGCCTTTGAGACAAAGTGCGCGAGAACCGGCGAAATATTATCCATTTCAACTTGATGCTTTCCAAAAACAAGCTATTCTTTGTATTGAAAATAATCAATCGGTTCTTGTTTCTGCTCATACATCAGCCGGAAAAACTGTTGTTGCCACGTAAGTTTGAATAAAAACAGCTTCAGTTTTTAAGAAAAATGAATTTTTCAGATATGCAATTGCTCAATGTCTTCGTGATAAACAAAGAGTAATCTACACTTCGCCTATCAAAGCCTTGTCAAATCAAAAATATCGAGAACTTGAAGAGGAATTCGGAGACGTTGGTCTTATGACTGGAGATGTTACTTTGAATCCAGATGCTTCTTGTCTTGTAATGACAACTGAAATCTTGAGATCTATGCTTTATAGAGGATCAGAAATTATGAAAGAAGTTGGATGGGTTATTTTTGACGAAATTCATTATATGAGAGATAAAGAAAGAGGTGTTGTTTGGGAGGAAACTATTATTTTGATGAGCGAAAAAGTTCGACATGCTTTTCTGTCTGCTACAATTCCAAATGCTAAACAATTTGCACGTGAGTTACTCTAAATGTCTTCAGAAGTTATATTTAATTTTTAGAATGGATTTGTGCAATCAAACATCAACCCTGTAATGTTGTTTATACTGATTATCGTCCAACTCCACTTCAACATTTCATTTATCCAGTTGGTGGAGAAGGTCTTTATGAAGTTGTGAATGTGAAAGGAGAATTCAGAGAAGATAAATTCAAAGATGCGATGAGTGGATTGGCAACAACTGGAGATAAAGCTGGAGGTTTTCAAAAACGAAATACGAAAGGAACAAAAGGTGATAGCAATGTTTTGCGAATTATTCGAACAATTCGAGAAAGTGATATGATGCCTTGTATTGTTTTCTCGTTTTCAAGAAAAGAATGTGAAGCTTATGCGTTGAGTTTGAAAGATATGGATTTTAACGAGGATACGGAAAAGAAAATGGTCAGCGATGTTTATAATAGTGCAATTGATAGTTTATCTGAAGATGATAGACAATTACCACAAATTGGTTCGCTTTTACCATTACTTCGAAGAGGAATTGGTGTCCATCATTCAGGACTTTTACCAATTTTGAAAGAAACTATTGAAATTCTTTTCGGTGAAGGATTATTGAAGGTTCTATTTGCTACTGAAACATTTTCAATGGGATTAAATATGCCAGCAAGAACTGTTGTTTTCACATCAGCTAGAAAATTCGATGGAACTGATAATCGATTTATCACATCTGGAGAATATATTCAAATGTCGGGAAGAGCTGGAAGAAGAGGAAAAGATGATCGAGGACTTGTTATTTTAATGGTTGATCATCAATTGACTGCTGATGATGCTAAACAGATTATTAAAGGAGCAACTGATCCATTGAATTCGCAATTTCGATTGACTTATAATATGGTTTTGAATTTGCTTCGAGTTGAAGGTCTTGCACCTGATCATATCATCAAAAGTAGTTTCTTCCAATTTCAGAATTATGATAAGATTCCAGGACTTCGTAAAAGTGAGTTATTACAAAATTTTTACTCGAAAGATGTCAACTTTTTCCCCTAATTTTTTTCGTTTTCAGAAATTCAGGAAGTTGAGCGAAAAGTTGATCGAATGAAATTGCCATACGAAACCGAAATCAACACATATATGGACATTGAAAAAGAAATTGAACAAACGAAAAATGCGATCAAAAGTATTGTTCGACTTCCGAAACATATTGTTCCATTTTTACACGCGGGTAGATTAGTCAAAGTTGTTAGTGGAGAACGAGATTTCGGTTGGGGAGTTATTGTAAATTATAAACGACGAGTAAATCCGGATGATAAAACTGATATGTTGTGAGTAAATTGAAGGGTACTTACCGGGAAAATTGGCGAGGTTTTTAGAGCGAGAATAAAGTCATTTAGGTGAACGAATTTCTCGAGAAATGATCATGAAAAACTGACGTGGAAAATATATTCCAAAAAGTTCACGTTTTATTTTTAACTATTTAACATTTCAATTATTTGTGAAAAAGAAAATCACGTTTTTGCAGATATGTTGTTGAAGTTATGCTTGCCATTGATCCTAGTAGTGTTAGTGACACTTCGAATCCATCGACTTTGATTCCAGCATTCAACAAGGCAGATGTAAGTTTTTCAGAGAATTTTTAATTGGAGCTGAGAAATCAGGAAAATTTTTACAGAGAAGATGGGAAGTTGTTCCGATGACTTGTGATCGAATCGATGAGATTTCTGCGATTCGCGTAAAACTTCCACAAGATTTATCAACTCATGATGGAAGAATGAGATTGAATGGAATTATGACTCAAGTCATGGTTAGAATGAATGGAATTATTCCACAACTTGATCCAATCACTGATATGAAAATAACTGATGAGAATTTCAAGAAGACAATTGAGAATCTGAAATTATTGGAGGGAAGACTTGAGGAGCATCCAATGAGAAAAAGGAATGATTTTGAAGATTGTAGGAAGGAATATGAGAGGAAGAAAGAGGCTGAAAAGGAATTGAAAGCGGCGAATGATGATTTGAAGAAAGCTGAAAGTGTTTTGCAATTAGGCGAACTTGGACATCGAAAAAGAGTTTTGCGGAGACTTGGATATTGCTCAAAAGATAATACAATTGAATTAAAAGGAAGAGTTGCATGCGAATTATCTGCATCGGATGAATTAATTCTCACTGAAATGCTATTGAAAGGAACATTCAATGCTTTGGATGATGCACAAATTGGAGCACTTTTATCATGTTTCGTTTTCCAAGACAATTGTCCAGCACCAAAACTTGCGCAAGAATTATCTGGATGTTTGAGAACTTTGCAAGAGCAAGCTCGCCACGTGGCAAAAGTTTCGAATGAATGCAAAGTTGAAGTGATTGAAGATAAATATGTGAACTCGTTTAATCCGGGACTTATGGATGTTGTTTATCAGTGGATTAATGGAGCATCGTTTTCGGAAATTGTCAAAACTACGGATGTATTTGAAGGTAAGAGTTGATTTCGGGTATATATGGGGGAACAAATTAAGAGCTACAGCTAGAAAGCCTAATTGTCAAGGGCCCATATCGAGACATTTATTCTGGCGAAGAGCCGCGTCTTGAGAGCTTTTATGTCAAGTAGCCAAGTCTATTGGATACAAATTTTCAAATGAACTCAAAAATTCACAGGTCTCCAGATTTTTTTGAATCATCTCAATTTTAATTTGATTCTAGTATCAATAGTTTTTGTTTAATTTCATTTGAATTTTAATATATAAATATTGCTCAAAAATTGACAGGTCCCAAATGTTTTTTTCAAAATTTTGAAACCAAAAAGTTCAATAAAAAATTCCCAACTCTATTTTCTTCCAGGTTCAATAATCCGTTGCCTCCGACGACTCGAAGAAGTATTGCGTGAAATGGTGAATGCGGCAAAAGCATGTGATAATAAAGACCTCGAAGAGAAATTTGAAAGTGCTCGAAAGAAATTGAAACGTGATATTGTATTCGCAGCATCGTTGTATTTGTGAGTCACAATCACAAAGTTTTATTTTTATTCATCTGTTACAATTGTTTTTTTTTTCATTTTCTTTGTTGTTATAATTAATTAATGAATTCATTTTTGAGAAAAAAGAAAAATCATCGAAACTAGAATAAATTAGTTCATAAAAAGAAGATAATAATAACTAGAAAAAAGGAAGGAAAGAAAGAGAATCCTGATGCATAGTTGATATAGAAGACACTAAATTCACGGAGATTTGAGAGGTTTCTGAAATATTCGGAAAGTTTTGAAAAGTCGAAATTAATGACTACCTGTATAGATAAAGTTCTGGAGGCCACGAATTTTCAGCGGATTTCAAATCCGAATTGCAATCCGGTTGATCACAAATCCATTGTTCTAAACCGGTGTAGGAACGAGTGTAACCAATCTGGAAAAAAATTAGGATTGAATTGAGTTTGAATTTTTGTGACGTCATAAAATATTGGGACCAAAACTAACTAGATTACTACTCCTACAGTAACCATTTCAGTTCGGATTTCACAAGTAAATTGTAGTGTTTTCAGAAATTCGTAACCTACAGTAATATTTGCTTGTTAGAAATGTTAAAAATTCAAAGGCTACAGTAATCCGTGGTTCGCGAGCTACAACTATCCTCGTTATGGAATACACATTTACAGTAATCCTCGCAGTTTGCATTTTATAAGGTACAGTATTCCCTTGAAGTACAGTTATCTTGAATTTTTTTAAATTTGAAACAAAAGAAAAATATATGAAACTTTTCAAAAAGTGTCAAATAAAAATCTGAGTACACCATCTTTATCGCCGTGAAAAACTGCATGGAAATATGCTTTGGTGGAGCGAACGGGTGGCGTTTTAGCGTTTCGGGGTTCGTGGCGAGACCAATTTCTAAAAATAGCGCGCAAAATGGAGAGACGCGAGACATTTTTGTGCATTTGCGCGTCACCGTGTTTACACAAGTCAATACAGTATACCAACCGCGAACCGAGGGCCAAAAAAATACGTGGGAGAAAAATCATAAAATATAGGCACAAAGCTTTTTTCTAAAACGATATCTCGTAACGAACGGTTTTTTTTTCAAAATTTTCCGCCTTCTTCTATTCTACTTTTTCCTTTCCACCTTTTTGAACATGTATTTAGGGATTCCGCCTGAATTTCTTTCAAATTCGAACTTTTCAGACAATGACTTCTTTCCGATGCGCCAATGTCTACCACAGTTTCCGCTTTAACCAAATCAGCAGACTACAAAATGGAAATGTTCAACTGTGGTCTCTTCCAAATTCTGATGAAAAAGCGTTTGAGTGGTAAGTTTAAAAAAATGAAATCTTGATAAAATAACCTAATTCATGATTTTAGGAATGCGTCAACAACATTAGCCGATGATCGAAAACTCAAGTTCTCTCTGAAAACCGATCCTCTAAATCCCATGACATACAGTTGTGAATCTAGAGGTTATTACGCTTGACATGTTGCTGGATAATGAAGTCGTCAGTCAAAAATCGTTCACGATCAATCTCGACACGGACTTGTCTAGTTTTTTGTTGTTTCTTCACATGGCAAGTACGGAAACAACTGCTTATTGTAAGTTAATAATTGTTTTTTTTAGAAGGAACAGTTTATAGAATTAGGTATCTTAGAATCAACGAATGTGTACCAATATTGAAAAGAATTGAATATCTTGAAATCAACCGGAGCCGTGAGATTGTATCTCAGTTGATATTCGCGATAAAGAGCAACTTTAGCGAGCTGAAGGTAAGTTCAGATTTTTATGGAGATTGTTTTAAAAATTGAAATACTTTGAAAATTGGAATATTTCCAGGATTCCGTAATTCGAAAGTACAAGAATCATGGACAATACAGCCGGCTCAGACGACACGCTGATTTTCATTTGGTCAATGCGGAAGTTCGTCTCCAAATTCTCGAGGGGTTAAGAATCGATGCTCGTGAAAATCCCGACTTTCCGGATGGCGATTTCGATTAAGGAGATCTGCATAATATTTTTCTCGTTTTCTTTGCTTCTCGTTTTCTTGTTATTTTTCGTGTTTTATTAATTCCAGATTATCTTTTAGTTATTCAATTCGTTAATTGAATAAATTGTTTGTTAATGAAAATAATCTGGAAATTTTCCAATTTTACCTTGGTATTTTTACTGTACCAAAGATTCGGTCTCGATACTTGATGTCTGTTTCCCTCATTTTTTGGAGATATTTATCTTCACTGGTTGTGTCTTTCAGCATAGACAAGAAGAAACATTGTGAAAGGCGAACAGAGAAACTATTCGAGGATTGGATGGATTTTTGTTCAAAATTTCGACAAAAACATAGTTTTGAAACGACGCTTTTGATTTGTTCAAAATAAGTAGGTTTTTTTGGGAGAAACGAAACATTGGGAATTTCAGGGAGATTGATTTTTGAATTGAAAACAAAAACAATTTTTTCTAAATCGGGCACACTTGCTGAAATAAAACATAAAGCAAAAGTGCTATAATTCAAAAAATTGATGTATTTCTGAAATTACGATTGTTCATTTTTATCTATGAAATTGAGCTAGATAAAACATTTGGAGTGGCACCAATATTACGATTGGAACTGGAAACGTTTCCAGATTGAAATTGCAATTGAATCATTTATGGAGAATCTTTTGGAGAATCCATCTAAAGAAAATAATCTTTTTTCTAAACTTTCTCTCGGTCAAAATTTGTAAAATTAGGAACCTTTCCCGCTCACTCGTTTCAATCCTTTTCAGAAAATTCGTGGCCTACAGTAATCTTTACAGTTCGTCTTTTTCAAGATTAGGTTTTCTTTTCTGTTTGTAATCTTGAAAATTCAAAAGCTACAGTAATCCATGTAGCTTGTAGTTCGCGAGCTACAGTAATCCTCGTTATGGAGTTCACATTTACAGTAATCCTCGCAGTTCGAATTTTATAAGGTACAGTATTCCCTTGAAGTACAGTAATCTTAAATTTAAAATTTGAAACAAAAGAAAAATATATGAAACTTTTCCACTTCTCATTTTTTCGAATCACAGACTCGGCCAAAAAACGACATAGCTCGAGGCGACTCGCTACACATTTTTCGAGACTCGTTTTGCAGCGAGTTGCCCCAAACGCGCCTCAAAAGTGGCGAGTGTCGGGCAACTCGCTACAATTTTTGCCCATTTTTAAAATCATGGTTTTCATGCTTTTTTTTCGGGATTTCACAGTGATCCATTGATTAATTAGTCCATATAAATGTAGGATACTAAAGCTATAAGGGGTAGATCTACTTTTGCTCCATAGATACAGTTTTTGAAAAATGCTTCTGGACACCCTCCGAGAGAGTGGATCGGGGCGAGAACGGGGCAAGTTGCTTCACGCTCGGGCGAGTCGCCCCAAGCTCGCCCAAAGAGCCTCGGGCCAGTCGCCCGAAACGTGTAGCGACTCCGCCCCGATTGGTAGCGACCTCGCCGTTTTCTGCCCGAGGAATCCTACACTAGTTTTTTTAGGCTGGTGTAATTTTATCGCTCACAATAGAACTTTCACAAACATTTTTCATGAATTCAAAATAAAAAAAAACATCTAATCAAACCTTGAGTGTTGATACAGTATTCAAAGTTGCTGAAGAAACACAACCTCGATAAACATCCCCACGAGAAGTTGCACTAATGAAACAGAATTGGCCAGTACAGTAATCACCGGTTTTGACATAAGGAAGACGTGGAGAAAAATAATCAACTTCACATTGAATTTTGGCAATTGTTGAATCGATTGAGAGAGTTGAATCGAGTTCCTGCGAAAAAATATTGAGATTCTGGAATGGGCAGAAGTTTTTTTCAAAAAAAAAATTAATTTAAAAAAGTTCTGAATTGGATCAATTCAAATTTTTAGGATAAGATTCAGAAGTTATTTCAAATCGAAAGTTTGTGATTTTGTGAACTTCAAAATATTTATCTAATTTTCTTGAGCTATAAACTGATAGCCAAGATCTAGGGCTCCTCCATGAATTCAGAACTTTTCTTGCAATTTCCTCCCTAGAAATTCTAAACCCACATTCGATCCATAACACGCTTTCAAATTCGGCTGTCCTCCATATTCCAACCAAACACAAGAATTTGGATAAAAATTGAAAACTGTAAACGTTGGGAAAATATCAAACTCGTTTTCCTTGTTACAATCTTTTGTTGTCCATGTATAATTCCCCTCTTCAGATGAAGCCTGAATTTTTTCGTGGAGGGTTTTTGCTAAGTTGATTTATAGATCTACCTGACTGGAAAGTGATGAGCAATAATTTCCAGCGCATGGTCGAATCCATCGAACTCGTGGAGTTGTTGTAACTTTTTCGGGGCGACAAGTTTGAAGTGGAAGAATGGTTGATGTTTCGGTGACACTGGTTTCTGTCACATTCGTATTACAGTAATCCGCGCTGAAAAACTTGGATTGCTAGAAGAAGTCTGCAAGGAAAAAATCCTACTCTGAACAGAAGCAAATAACATTTCCATAATGATTAATACGACATCCTTCAGATGGAATATCACCAAGGATACAACCTTTTTGGATCATTGGAATATTTTCATTTGGATAAAAATATTCAGCATGATAACAGTAATCACCACGACAAGTTGAAGAACTACGATAACATCTGGAAGAAAATCTTTGGAAAAAGTTTCGATCCAAATTTTTCTTATGGAAAAAGATAACAAATTTTGTGACCGCTCACCCTATAATTTTCAAACCCCCTTTGAACTAACTCATTTGGTGTGAGATCGCATTTGGAACATGTCAAAAGTGCATCAACTGATTGAAAACTCAACACATAAAATAATAATAGAAACCCTACAGCTTGCATTTTTCAACAACGAAATGACAAAACTTTTTTGCATATATTGAAATTTCATATATTCATGAGAGCATACTCATTTTCATAAGCTGTTTGTGAAAAAGAAATCAAAAAGAGACGCAGACAAAACGAAATGACTCATTTTCTGGGTACTGTACTATTTATAAAAAAAACGTGACATTTTTTTACGTGAAGATTTTAATTAATTCAAATTCTTACAAGGGAACCTTTTTTACTCAACACTTCAAATCATGATGAAATTTGGTCCATGGACAGCTTTTGGGGCCATAAGAACACCCTAAAAATTTAAGTCTCCCAATGGACCTCTGAGCCAAGTTCTGGGCTCTCAAAAACTTAAAAAAGGCCTAAAAATGGTCATAAAAGTCATCATAGCTCCATTTCAAAATTTTTTTCGGTGGAAATGAAGTTTCAGATATTGATCAGCATAGTCGATTTACTAAAAATACATCAATAAAAAACTTTATTTCGAAAAATTTTGAAGTTTTTTATTTTTGGGCTGAAAATTCAGGAAAATTCATATGTGCCCCTGCTCATTCTTTTTTTCAAAATCAGAAATTTTTCTGAAAATTCGATTTATTGATGGTTTTTGGGTAAATCGACCACGCTGATCATCATATGCTACTTATTTTTTCATAAAATTGATTGAGAATTGAGTTATGACGTGTTTTATGAGCCAATTTTGGCAATTTTTGAACTTTTGAGAGCCCAGAACTTGGCTCAGAGGTCCATTGGGAGACTAAAATTTTTAGGGTGTTCTTATGGCCCCAAAAGCTGTCCATAAACCAAATTTCATCATGATTTGAAGTGTTGAGTAAAAAAGGTTTCCTTGTTAGTCATTCCGCGAAAATATCTGTGGAGCACGTTTGTTGTTTTTTGGAGAGATAAGAAAAACAATTGTTTTTTATCACATTCTTTATTAAAAACATAAATATATTGTATTTTTTGAATCAGTGAGTCAATTAAAAACTTTTTATTTACACAAAAACACATTTTAAAACCATTTGTTTTCTATATAAAGATGAACCTCGGTTTGTTGATTCGACGCAATAAACTATTGGTCACAATGCTTGCCATCATATCAATCGGTTTTCTTCTCATCATCAGGTCAGTTGTTGATCATTTTCTGCTGCTTGTTTTGCTGTTTCAATTATCTCAAATTATTTAATTTTGAATTTCCTCGTTTTTCGTGTGTGCATTTGTCGTCGTTTTGTGTGTTTTGTGTGTAAACACGCGCGTTCGAGATTTGTTTTTTTGGGAATTTTTTATTTTTGTTTTTTGCTGGGTTTTTGGGGGAAAACTTTTGTTTTTAGGTTAGGTAGGCCGAAAAATTGATAAGTCTGTTATTCCCATAGCTCACAACTGTATCCCCAATGTTTTTCATAATGTATCCTCTATAGAAATTTTGATAGAAAGGTGTCACTTTTTTTTTAAATTGAGGAGTTTTTTCTCCCTCCAAAGAATGATCGAAAATTGCATCATCCAATCGGCTGTTGTAAAAACAATATTAAATGTTTCAAAACGAAATTTAACAAACTCATTTGATGATTGAAAGTGCAGGAGAAACTTTTTTGTTATTATTCAATTCAATTTCCGTTTGGATTCTTTTCTAGCTAAAAAAAAACATGTATCCATAGAAAAAAAGGATTAAAAATATCTCGAACACGCGCTTGACAACACATATCACACACTTAACACGAAATATGTCGTCTCTGTCCAAAAAAAATATATGCATGTATATATCTCTAAAATATGCAGATGATGATAACGAGCCGATGGGCGTTGGCCAGATCACTTAGTAGCATGGGATGCGCGGCTAGTCGTACACCTCGAGTTGAATCTTCGTCTCAACCAACAACGTGGGCTCAACCCTCACCAAAACGTATCACTTCGACAACAGTTACACAGGTTCATCTTTCTGTTTGTCCTTTAGTATATGTGTTGAATATTCAATGTTTTTCAAGTGGTTTATATATTTTTGAAAAACCTGTTTGTCTATAGGTGGCCCCCGCATCAACATCAGCAAGTATTGGGACGGCTGGTTCATCAAATGATAAATCATCGCCACGTGGAAGTTTAACCACAACTTTCTCAGAAGCACAGAAAAAGATTGGAGAATCACAAAGAAGTTTGCACACCATAAGGTTATTTACCTATGTTTTTGTCTGTTGGATTGCGTGTTGTCAAGAAATATTATGAAACTTTAATGAACATGCGCTAGATAGATAGCTAACAAAATTGTGTCAGTTTTTGCCCTGCCTTTTTTACTGATAAGAATCAAATAGTTCTTTTTTTCTTTTTAGTCCTTGCGCTACTTTGCACTTTTCTCCTTGTTTAAACGTGGGAGGTTTTAAGGCAAACTTTTTAGTTATTTACACAGCGTCGTTGAATTTACAATTTATTGACTAAACATTCATTTTTCAAACCAAGCATATTATTAAAAATCTTTAACTTATCTCTATGGATACCAAACCAATATTTAATCTCTGTAAATCTAGAATTTTGAAAGAATCCCCTCAAAAATATGTTTTTTTTTGTCTCTTTAAAATCAAAAATCAATAAACACATGAATTTTTGACGTGAAAAAAACGTGACCCGGTAAAATTTCCAACATGATTTGATTTCTCGAAAATCATTATTTCGTTTTCCAAATTTCCAACGAAAATGTGGTTTTTCTGCGGTCGATGTTTTCGAAATCCAAAAAAGTGAGAAAATTAGCTCGAATTGTCTGTGTTGTTCTGCCTAACTATTTCAATAAATAACCAACAATTTTTGTCACTTTCATATATTTTTCGATGTTCTCTAAATGTATTTTTTATTTTGCAGGTCGTCTACCGATCAAGTTATTCATCCCAAAAGTACTCATCAAAAAGCAAAAATGAGCACAGGATCTGGAGATTCGAATACTTATTCAGTTGTTGAAAGAGGAACTTTGTATGATTTGGATTATCGTGTGTTCTTCAGTAAGAAATCTTGTTTTTCTTGAGATCTCAAAGAATATTATAATTTTCAGAGGGACCACAAGGAATCATTTCCCCATGGCACGATATTCCATTGTATGCTAATGAAGAAAACAAAGTTTTCAACATGATTGTTGAAATTCCAAGATGGAGCAACGCGAAAATGGAAATGGCTACAAAAGAACCATTCTCGCCAATCAAACAAGACGAAAAGAAAGGAAAAGCTCGATTTGTTCACAATATCTTCCCACACAAAGGATATATCTGGAATTATGGAGCATTGCCACAAACTTGGGAGGATCCAAACCACATTGTTCCAGATACTGGAGCAAAAGGAGATAATGATCCAGTTGATGTGATCGAAATTGGATCAAAGGTTGCAAGCCGTGGAGCTGTTTTGCAAGTCAAAATTCTTGGAACTTTGGCTTTGATTGATGAAGGAGAAACTGATTGGAAATTGGTTGCTATTGATGTTAATGATGAGCAAGCTGATAAACTTAAGGATATCAATGATGTTGAAACTGTCTTCCCAGGACTTCTTGCGGTAAATTCTCACGGAGAATTTTGGGGCCCCTTTTGAAATGATCAATTTTTGGATATCTCAATTTTATCGCTTCAGAAATTATCTCAAAAAAGCTTGATACTTTTCTGATTCAGCCCTCAAAATTGAATCTAACCTAATTCCTCGGTTTCTAATCACAATGTTTTGCAGGCTTCCGTCGAATGGTTCAGAATCTACAAAATCCCAGCTGGAAAACCAGCCAACGAATTCGCATTCAACGGCGAATTCAAAAATCGCGAATACGCTTTGAAAGTCGTCGATGAGACCAACGAATACTGGAAAAATTTGATCAAGGAAGCCACTCCAGCTCTCAACACGTAAGTTTATTCCTATATAATTTTCTCTCCTTCAATCCAGATATATTTCCAGTGTTAGCCGTGTGCCTGGCGCTGTTCATCAAGCAACCGATGATGCAGCCAATGCAGCTGTAAATTCAGCTCCAGAATTCGGAGGACAAGCTGCTTTACCAGGAGATGTTGACAAATGGCATTTCATCCAAGGATGACTAGACGTGGCGAATTCGAAATTGTGATTTGATTTGGTCTTTTTTCTCTACAAATTTCCCCTAATTATTATTATGATTCAAATTTTTAACAGTTTAGCAATCTTTGTTTTTTGCATTCATTCCATAAATAAAGAAAATTTTGGTTTATTTTTTTCGTACCAAATGTTGATTTTTTTAGTACGTTTGAAACCGTATTTATATTTCATTTTTTCTTCTTTTCATAGTTATTCAGAAAACTTTTGAACCCAATAAGAAGTTAGGTGAAATTCCAACATATTCCCACAAAAATTATGAGTTTGACCTCTTTTTCGGCGCCGGCGGCCGAAAAATAAAATAAAAAATTTCGTAATTTTTCGCAAACACGAACAGAGAAGTAGAGGATAGCCAAACAACCAATTCTTTTTCTTTTTTTCACCCCTCTGTCCACTTTCTTTCTTTTCTTTCGTCGCCTACTTCGATGTAGAAATTGTTTTTTATTTTTATTTGATATATTTCAACTGGAATATTTGAATCTGTCAGTTTGTGAAATTAGAAGATTTGTCACTGAATACAAGATTTCGAAATATTCTTCAAGTTTTCTTAATTGCGAGATTTTCCCTCAAAACAGCGATTTGATCCTCAAAGCTAGGTAAACTAGCAAAAAAACCGCTGCCGAAGAAATAGTGTGTGGTTGCGAGAGTGCTCAGACAACGAGAAAACGAAGGGAATCAAAGGCACACATATTTATTCGCTCGTGGTCTCGTTGGGTTTTGGCGGCAAGGCCATAATTCAAATTTGAGAAATGCACAAGTTTTTAGGCAAATCATATATCTTTTTCATTTTTGGGCACCATTCTTGCTGTTTTCTTTCAGAGATCCAACTCGGCCTCAAGACTCCCCTAACTACTGAAATTTTAATAAAATTTCGCAATTAAAATGTTATTTTCTAGAAAGTTCAGATGACTAACATTTTTTTGTAGAAAATCCTTTCTTGGTTGAATTTTTCGAACAAATTAGGGCAATTTTTCCTCACAGAATTGTTAGTTAATTATTTTTCTATTTTCACAACCAAGATTTCTTTTTTTTTCTGCAAAAGCACTTACCGTATTTCATTTTGTAGTCTTCGAATAAGTACAAATTCTTCTATTTTCTTCTAGGAAATCACTGGAAGTTTTCATTCTCTGCAACTACACAACTATTACTGACGAGTGCGAATCTTGAATAGTCGTGCTTCGAAAGTAATATTGAAGGTGTGTTATATTGCTTTTATTAATTTATGTTATCATCTGATCCTTCATCAACAAATATTTCCTTTTTTGCAGTGGGAAATCGTTGAATCTAGTTTGATGACATCTGTGATCGAACAACAACAACAAAACGCGACTTCGGGAGCAACTTCACCAATCAAATCGGCCGCCACAATTCAACCATCCGCGTTCAATCAGAACAACGCGACTCCGATTACAAACACGGTATCACCAAAAGTTCGACTCGATTCACTTGGAGCCGATCAACCGCCGACGAAAAGAGCCAAAGTTTTTGAGCAAGAAAACGTGCTTTCTGGAGTTCAGGTTGGTTTTTATGAATATTAGTTTAGCTCAAGTCTCATTCCGAATCTGAACGTTTTGCTTTTTATTCTTCTAATAAAATAGATTGAGAAATCTTTCACGTATTTATTTTCTAATACACGTCATTCTTCACGTGCAGTATTCATTTTGAAAAATTTTTGAGCAATGTGTTGATGAGTTTCGAGTTTCGGAATTTCTTTCGCATATTTCGGTGTGAAATAAGGTCAACAATTAGAACTATAGGATTTCAACATAATCTTCTTTTTCTTTCTTTTCTCTCACACTCCCAACGTGATCTTTTTTTTCTCGTAAGATTTTAATTGCTTATTATTTTCTGGTTAACATGTTGCCCTTGGCAACTGTTATAATATATCATTGTTAGATTTTGTTACTAGTATTTCTAGTCGTTTTTTATTGAATGAATGTATTCAGCTTATAGGAAACATTGTATTTTAATAAAGGTTTGTGAAGATTTCGTAATAACAACTTTATGAAAACGAAAAAAACAAATACACACAGTGTTTGCCTATTTAATGTCCAGTTGTTGATCTTTTTTTCCATTTCATTCTGTTCTTTTTCCGTTCCCTCCCCTAGTAGCCAAACGAACACTCTCACTTCTTATCACCTTTTTTCCCAACTAACTAAAAATCATCATTTTTCATTCAGGTGTTTTTTTCTTGTTGAAGTTTTGAAATATTTCCGATTTTCCAGCAATCCGACAAAATCGAAGTTGATCCACCAGTTGGAAACGGAACTAATTCTCAACAACAACAAAACTCACAGAAGAATAACGGAAACAATATGAGCGACGAGAAGAATGGAGATGTTTTGGACAAAAATTTGTACTCGAGACAAATGTGAGTGTTTTTTAATGATTTGAAAAAAAGCAAACTAGAATTTATTCTCGAAAATTTTCAGTTACACTTTGGGAGAATCGGCTATGGTGAACTTGAGAACCGCTTCAGTCTTGATTTCGGGACTTGGATCAGTTGGTGTCGAAATCGCCAAGAATTTGATTCTTGGAGGTAATTTTTATTTTTTTTCCTTTATAAAAAAATTACCAAAATCATTGCTTCAGGTGTTCGTCATGTCACAATTCATGATACCAAAACAACAGAATGGTTGGATTTATCAGCTCAATATTATTTGCGTGAAGATGATATTGGAAAAAATCGTGCTTCAGCTTGTTATGAAAGATTGGCTGAATTGAATGATAGTGTAAATGTTGAAGTATCGATTGATGATCTTTCTGAACATCTTGTTCAACGCTTCGATCTTGTTGTTCTAACTGATACCAACAGATCTGTCCAAATCCAAGTTTCGAAATGGACACGAGCCCATTCTCGCCGACTTCTTGTTGCTGATGCTCGAGGTGTTTTCTCGTATATTTTTAATGATTTTGGAGAGAATTTCCGAATTGATGATGGAACCGGTGAACAAGTTCGCGAATTCTTTATTGAACATATTGATCGAGCAACCGGTGAAGTCACAACTTTGGAGAATTTGTTCCATGGTTTGGAAGATGGAGATTATGTGACATTCTCAGAAGTAAAAGGATTGGATGGAATCAATGGAATTGAACCAATCAAGATTGTTGTCAAAAATGCATTCAAATTCAATATTGGAAAAGTTGCTGAAAACTTCCCAGATTATATTGAAGGAGGTCGTTGTAGACAAGTCAAAGTTCCACATCATGTAACCTACAAAACATTCGAAGAATCATTCGCTGATCCAGAATTTGTTATTTGGGATTATGCGAAATTCGATTATCCACCACAATTGCACGCATTATGGACTGCTTTGTATTCTTTCGAAGAAAAATATGGAAGAAGACCAGCTCCAAGAAGCACATCTGATGCAGCACTTTTGAAACAAGAATTGAAAGGAGATGTTGAAATTAGTGAGAACTTGATTCAACTTTTTGCATTCCAAGCATCTGGTAATTTGGTGACTGTTTCATCGGTTGTTGGTGGAATTGCTGCACAAGAAGCGATGAAAGCTGTTACACATCATATGACACCACTTAAACAATGGATGTAAGTTTTGTATTTGGGAAAAATATAGGTTGAATCAGATTTTTGTTAAAAGTTTCTGATCTATATATATAGAAAAACTGATCGATTCAATTTTTGTTGCCTCTCAAACATTTCTGAAACATAACTTTTCAGGTACCTTGACCACGTGGAAGCTCTTCCTGGAGATTGGACATCATTCGACAACGAAAAATTGACCGAAGCTGATTGTCAACCACGTCAATCGAGATATGATGGACAAGCTGCGATTTTCGGATGGCCATACCAAGAAACACTCTTCAAACAACGTTGGTTTGTTGTCGGAGCTGGAGCAATTGGATGCGAATTGTTGAAAAACATGGCAATGATGGGATTGGCTTGTGGAGAAGGTGGATTGATCAAAATCACTGATATGGATCAAATTGAGATTTCCAATTTGAACAGACAATTTTTGTTCAGAAAGAAGGATGTTGGAGTGAGTTTTTTGCACTAAAAGTTTTAGCTCATAAATGAATGTTTTGCAGATGAAAAAATCGGAATGTGCTGCACGTGCTGTGACTTCTTTCAATTCAGATGTTCGAATTCAATCATTGGCTGAAAGAGTTGGAGCAGATACTGAGAATATTTTCACAGATGAATTTTTCGATGAATTGAATGGTGTTGCAAATGCACTCGATAATGTTGATGCTCGTCGTTATATGGATCGTCGTTGTGTTTATTATCGTCTTCCACTTCTCGAATCAGGAACAATGGGAACAAAAGGAAATACTCAAGTTGTTTATCCATATCTCACTGAATCCTACAGTTCTTCTGTTGATCCACCAGAGAAAGAGATTCCAGTTTGTACATTGAAGAATTTCCCGAATGAAATTCAACATACAATTACATGGGCAAGAGAACAATTCGAAACATTCTTTGCTCAACCAGGAGAAGTTGCCAACAAATTCTTGCAAGATGAAAGACAATTCAATGAACATGTTGAGAAATTGGCAATTGGACAAAGAATTCAAATTTTGGAACAAGTCAAAGATGCATTGATTGATGGAAGACCATCGAATGCTGAAGATTGTATCAAATGGGCGAGACAACAATTCCAAGAATTGTATCATAATAATATTGCACAAATGTTGCATTCCTTCCCACCAGAACAATTGACTGATCAAGGTGCCAAATTTTGGTCTGGAGCTAAAAGATGTCCACATGTTTTGAATTTTGATCCATCAAAAGATGAGCATTTCAATTTTGTGTATGCTGCATCGATTTTGAGAGCTGAAATGTATGGAATTCAACCAATTTTGGAACGCGAAGAAGTTATTCGAGTAAGTTTCAGCAAAAATTGATTTTTTTTACAAAATCAAAAAAAGTGCTGAAAATGTAATCTTTGAAAGAAAGTCTCAATATTCTAAAAATTCACTCAAATCAAATCTTTTTTCTCCAGGTTGCTCTCTCTGTCACTCCTGAACCATTCAAACCAAAAGTCGGTGTCAAAATTGCTGTCACTGAAGCTGAAGCAAAAGAACAAGCTGAAAGTGGACTCGGAGATGATGATGCAGTTGTTGAAGCATTGAAATTGAAATTGGCTCGATTGAATGTGAAAACACTTCAAAAATTGAATTGCATCGATTTTGAAAAAGATGACGATTCAAATCATCACATGGAATTCATTACTGGAGCCTCGAATTTGAGAGCTGAAAATTATGATATTCAACCAGCTGATCGAATGAAAACCAAACAAATTGCTGGAAAAATTATTCCAGCTATTGCAACAACAACTGCAGCTGTTGCTGGTTTGGTTTGCGTTGAATTGTATAAGGTTGGTTTTTTATTTTTATTTTTTGATTTATAGAATCTAAAAATCAATATTCTAGGTCATTGATGCGTCTGGAATTCCAAAAGTTCCACTTGATCGCTTCAAGAATACTTTCATCAATCTGTCCTTGTCATTCTTCTCATCTGCTGAACCAATTGCTGCACCCAAGAAGAAATATCTTGAAAAAGAATTCACACTTTGGGATCGAATTGATATCACTGGACCACTAACAATGGAGAAATTCATCGAGGATCTTCAAAGACAAACTGGTTGCGAACTATCGATGTTGTCTGCCGGAGCATGTTTGCTCTATTCGTTCTTCATGCCACCAGCAAAGAGAACCACAAGATTGGCTACTGGGTGAGTTGAAGTTACGGAGATTTTTTTCAAATTTTTAAATCGAAAAATCGTATTTGTTTTAATTTTCGAATTGAAAGTTTAAAAATTTATCTTGAAGTTTTATTATTATTTTCACAATTTTTTTCTCATTTATGTGAGATGAAATTTAAATTTATTCTGGAGAAAATTAATTTATCGTCAAAAAAAAATTTTTTTCAGAGTTCGTGAAGTTTTCGAAGAATTATCGAAAAAGAAACTGGATGATACTGTCCGATACATTGTTCTCGAACCAATGATGAATGATCCAAACGACGAAGATGTCGAAGTCCCATATATTCGTTATGCTTTGTAAGTGTTGCTTTTACAATCCTCCCCCTCAGTTTTTATCGCTCCCCCCATGTTCCCTATCTCGCCCCCTCTCTCTTTACATTCTAATTTATTTGATTCTATTTGAATCCTTCTCATTTCAATTCGGTCTTGCAGATTAATGCGTGTTTTAATTTTTTTCTTTTCTTCTCTTATTTTAATGATGAATTTTTTATTGAATCAAAATTTGAAACATGAATAAATAATTACATAACAATGACCCGGATTAAATCAACAAATTACTTGATCTGAGATATCTGTGAGCTGAAGATGCGAGACTTCGAGAGAATCAAATTTGCCGGTGTCAGAATACATTGCCTCTGTCGAGATAAAAGATCTTGAATTTTTTGAATCGAAAAGCCCCATATAACGATATGCTCCCGACAAAAGGTAGATACTGAAAGATGTTGCAAACAATGTTTTGAGCCATGTTTGTGATCTAAAATCAACTTTCATTTTCGAAATTCAAGATAGAAAACTCACTTTGCCGGGAAGATGGATTTGAACAAAACAGCGGCAGGAAAACTTATGAAATTGAAAATAGTCGATGTCAAAATACTGAATTCGACTCTTTCCCATGGATTGACACAATGCAAATGTTTTTTGAAATACACGTAGAAACCAAGTCCCACATTTGCATTGAACAGAATCGTATTACTGACAGCGAAATCACGAGTTGAGAACAAACTGCAATAAAACAATGAAAATAAGCACTCCAATCAAAAAACTAACCGAGAGATAATATTTGGACTAAAAAGATGAATTGTATAAAGTGTATGTGATACAGCACCAGAAACTGGCAAATAATGCGACAAAAATGTGTGAAATGTTAGAGGTGGAAACCATTTCAACCAATCTATTCCGAATCGCCATTTTGTGTTGAAATCGCTATTGTGAATAGTTGAACATGTTTCGCCTACTGATATTCTACCTGCATCTTCAATACCGGTTGCCTGAAAAATTTTAGATTAATTATAAAAAATGGTCACAATTTAATACAGAACCGAATAGTTGCCACGTGTAGTTTTGAAAAACTCGAGTTAAACCATCTCTGGATCTATATTTTGAGTGCTATTTAAAAATATTACTGCCACGATGTTTTTTTTTAATTTTTTCTGGTCTTAAAACTAGCGTCGGATCATTTTGATCATCACATACCAAGCTATTCAATAGTTCATCATCAGTTTCCATCAGTTCTTTATTTGATGACTCCATTACATTCTCAATAAACTCTGAAAATTGTTGATACATCACATCCAAATTTATCGACCAAAGCTTTTTATAATATTCCGAAAGATCGTCACTGTATTGAATAGTTCCATTTTTTCGTTGAAACAATTTCCGTATATCCTCTGGGTCCAAATGAGACATTTCTTCTTCGAGTCTGCAAAATCAATTAATGAAAAAAACTAGTAAACCTAAATAGGGTTTTTTCAACAACACTTACCTCAATCTCTCCTCAATCACTGTTTTTTCGAGTTCGTCGAACCCTTTTACACATTTTTTCACTCTCACTTTTTCCAAATCCGATAATTCCTCATTTTCATTTGCCATAATTTCTGGAAAAAACTACTTTATGTTTGTCGCGTTCAGCCAAAAATTATGAATATTATAGACACGCCACAACCTTGACAGATGCACATATTATTGAGATGACGATAATTTTATTTCCAAGAATTTCAATAAAATCCAGAGTGTCAAAAATGGAAAATGAATGGCTATAAATATTTTCATTCACTCAAAAAAAGTAATTTTTACAAATTAAATTTCTTAAGGAAAAAAACTGATTTTGAAAAGAAAAAACGACGTATATTGGAGTAGTCAGATACTTTCCCAAAACGTTGAGATAACATTAGAAGACCGCATATATGGACGCTATATTTATTAGAAATAAATAGACGCTGCAAAAAAAAGGAGAAGGTGTTGAGCACCAAAAAAGGTACTGTACAACTTTCTACACAATCTCTTTCTTTTTCGCATTTGCGGTATCCAAATGTTTTCTCAGTTTTTCTTATTTATTTTGAATAAAGTAGTTTTTCAGAAATAATGGCAAATCAAAATGAAGGACCATCTCAGGCATATGTGCGATGGCAAAACGAATTTAATATGGATATAATTATGCTCAATACATCGAAGATTAACCTACAAAGGCGAGTGTTTTCGACACTTGATTTTGGTAACCAAAATTTGGTTTATTGAATTTATTTTTAATTAGTTGATTTTTCAGAATTCGAGAAATATTATATCTTTTGAAGTTAGAGAAATCAAAGAAATTACAACGACAACATGAAGATTTGGATGTAATGGAGACATCAAATAAAGAACTGATTGAAACTGATGGTGAACCATTGAATAGCTTGGTATGTGATTATCAAAATGATCCGACGCTAGTTTTAAGACAACAAGAAAATGATCGAGAAATTGATGATGGCAAAATTATTGAAGTAAATTTTCGGGATCAAATTGTTACGATTTTTCGAATAAAACAGATCTGCATTGCTCATATTAGCTTTCTTTTCGTCTCAAGAGAGGAAACTCTTTTTTAATTTTTGGTCTTGACATAATATTCAAATTTTTTTAGGAAGTTGTCATTTCTGATTCTAATGGAACAATCAGAAGTGTATCTGAAGAATCGTCTTCAACAATTCCACAATCTCGTTTTGGAATCGATTGGTCGAAATGGTTTCCACCTCTAACATTCCACACATTTTTATCGCATTATTTGCCAGTTTCTGGTGCTGTATCACATACACTTTATACAATTCATCTTTTTAGTCCAAATATTATCTCTCGGTTAGTTTATGAGAGGATTTTTGAGAGTTTTGGGGTTGGAAATTTTTTTGTGGCTGATCATGATCCGACAGTATAATTCTATTTCAAATTGAGTTGATTTAGATTGAAATCATGTTTCAAATGTTTTCCATCAATGAAAATTGAGAAAACCTTGTTCTAATTCAGAAAAACAAAGCAAAACTCTTGATTCTATTTCTTTGCAGTTTGTTCCCAACTCGTGATTTTTCTGTCAGTAACACGATTCTGTTCAATGCAAATGTGGGACTCGGTTTCTACGTGTATTTCAGAAGAAATTTGCATCGTGACAATCCGTGGGAAAGAATCGAATTCAGTGTTTTAACATCGACTATTTTCAATTTCATAAGTTTGCCTGCCGCCGTTTTAATCAAAGCCATTTTTCCGGCAAAGTGAGTTTTCTCTCTTGAATTTTGAAAACAAGAAACAAGCAAATTTCAAAACGAACATTAATTTTAGATCAGAAACATGGCTGCGAACATTGTATGCAACATCCTTCAGTGTCTATCTTTTATCAAGAGCTCATCGTTATTTGGGGCTTTTGGACGATGAAAGTTCAAGATGTTCTATCTCGCCAGTCAGCCTTTCTTTACCTATCGCCAATCGCTTTACCAATCGCCACTTTGTTAGATAATTTTTTAGATTTTTCTTTTTCCTCTTGATTTGGTCTCAATTTATTCAATTTTTTTGAAATCTTAAACTTGATCGATGTTAAATAAAATAATGTGTTCTGAAATTCCACAATGTTTTATCTTTGTCATTTTGACAAAAACTGCACCTGTTACTGGTTTTGTTTGCGTTGGATAGTCTACATCATTTTTAAAAATATTTTATTTTAATGATGAAATTTTTTATTAAATCAAAACTTGAAACATGAATAAATAAATACATAACAATGACCTGTATTGAATCAACAAACTGCTTGATCTGAGATATCTGTGAGCTGAAGATGCGAGACTTCGAGAGAATCAAATTTACCGGTGTCAGAATACATTGCCTCTGTCGAGATAAAAGATCTTGAGTTTTTTGAATCGAAAAGCCCCATATAACGATATGCTCCCGACAAAAGGTAGACACTGAAAGATGTTGCAAACAATGTTTTGAGCCATGTTTGTGATCTAAAATCAATTTTCATTTTCAAAAAACAAAAGATAAAACTCACTTTGCTGGTAAGATGGATTTGATGAATACGGCGGCTGGTAAACTTATGAAATTGAAAAGAGTCGATGTTAAAACACTGAATTCTATTCTTTCCCATGGATTAACACGATTCAAATTTCTCCTGAAATACACGTAGAAACCGAGTCCCACATTTGCATTGAACAGAATCGTATTACTGACAGCAAGATTACCGGTTGGAAACAAACTGTAATGAAATAATGAAAAAAAGCACTCCCCTTCAAAAACTAACCGAGAGATAATATTTGGACTAAAAAAGATGAATTGTATAAAGTGTATGTGATACAGCACCAGAAATTGGCAAATAATGCGATAAAAATGTGTGGAATGTTAGAGGTGGAAACCATTTCGACCAATCGATTCCGAAACGAGATTGTGGAATTGTTGAAGATGATTCTTCAGATACATTTCTGATTGTTTCATCAGCATCAGAAATGATAACGTCCTGAAAAATTTGAATTTTTTATTCATTTTAGGAGACCAAAAAGTATGCGGGGCAAAAAGCTAATATGAGCAATGCAAATGATTTTCATTTGAAAAAATGGTAGCAATTTATAAAAGAATTGCTCATATTAGATGTTGGTTTAAAAACGGAGAAGATAAAACCAGAATTAATTTTGTTGATTTGAAATCATAAATAAAAAAGATAGATGATCCCAAAAACTAACATCTCTTACTTTAATAAAACTGTCACCAGTTTGTTGTGATTTATCAATTCCTCGACAATTCGAACCATTTTCTGGTTGTTCCAGATGATCATCAGATACAAACAGATCTCTGTTTGATGTCTCCATTACATTCTCAATAAACTCTGAAAATTGTTGATACATCACATCCAAATCAATCGAACACCAAAGCTTTTTATAATATTCAGGAAGAGTGTAATTGTATCTTATAGTTCCATTTTTTCGTAGAAACACTTTTCGTAAATCCTCTGGATCTAAATGAGATAATTCAGCATTAAGTCTGCAAAATTAATTAATGAAAAAAACTAGTAAACCTAAAAAGGGTTTTGTTTCGAAAACACTCACCTCAATCTGTCCTCGGTCACTGTTTTCTTGAATTCTGCGAACGCATTTGACCATTTGACCACTCTTGCATATTCCAAATCCGATAATTCCTCATCTTCATTTGCCATAATTTCTGGAAAAAACTACTTTATATCTGTTGCGTTCAGCCAAAAATTATGAATTTTATAGGCACTTATTGAAATGGCAAACATTTATTTTAATTTCAATAAAATCCACAATGCAAAAAAAAAATGGAAAATAAATTAATATGAATATCTTCATTTGCTGAAAAACGTAATTTTTACAGATGAAAATTTTTCGGGGAAAACTGATTTTGAAAAGAAAAAGAAAAAACGACGAATGGAGTAATTGGGGAAAATCAGGTACTTTCCCAACACGCTGAGATAATATTAGGACGCCGCATATGTGTATTAGAAATAAGTAGACGCTACAAAAAAGGGGAATGCGTTGAACACTAACAAACCAAAAGAAAAGGTACTGTACAACTTTCCTCTCACTTCTTCTCGCAGTGTCTACTGATTTCTACTGTCCATGTATCCGATATCCAAATGTTTTCTCAGTTTTTCTCATGTTTCAGCGTGTAAAGCAAAAAGTAGTTTTTCAGAATTTATGGCAAATCAAAATGAAGAACCATCACAGGAATATGTGCGATGGAAAAAACGATTGAATAGGAATATAGTTGTAGTCATGACATCGTTAATTAACCAAAAAAGGTGAGTGTTTTCGACACCTGATTTTCATTTTCAATTAAGTTGATTTTTCAGAATTCGAGAACGTATAAATCGTTTGAAGTTAGAGAATGCAAAGAAGTTACAAGGACTAAAGGATGATTTCGATGTAATGGAGACATCAAATAAAGAACTGATTGAAACTGATGGTGAACCATTGGAATGTGATGTTCAAAATGATCAGGTGCAAGTTCTTAGACAACCAGAAAATTGTCGAGGAATTAATGATGGCAAAATTATTGAAGTGAATTTTTTTTACGTTTTTTTTCAAATAAAACAGATCTGCATTACTCATATTAGCTTTTTGCCCCGCATACTTTTTCGTCTCTTAAAATTAATATAAAATTCAAATTTTTCAGGAAATTGTCATTTCTGATTCTAATGGAACAATCAGAAGTGTATCTGAAGAATCTTCTTCAACAATTTCACAATCTCGTTTCGGAATCGATTGGTCGAAATGGTTTCCACCTCTAACATTCCACACATTTTTATCGAATTATTTGCCAGTTTCTGGTGCTGTATCACATACACTTTATACAATTCATCTTTTCAGTCCAAATATTATCTCGAGGTTAGTTTTTTGAGGGGAGTGCTTTTTTTCATTATTTCATTACAGTTTGTTTCCAACCGGTAATCTTGCTGTCAGTAATACGATTCTGTTCAATGCAAATGTGGGACTCGGTTTCTACGTGTATTTCAGAAGAAATTTGAATCATGTCAATCCATGGGAAAGAGTCGAATTCAGTGTTTTAACATCGACTATTTTCAACTTCATTAGTTTGCCAGCCGCTGTTTTGTTCAAATCCATCTTTCCGGCAAAGTGAGTTTTCTATCTTGAGTTTTGAAAATTAAAGTTGATTTTAGATCAGAAACATGGCTGCGAACATTGTATGCAACATCCTTCAGTGTATATCTTTTATCAAGAGCTTATCGTTATTTGGGGCTTTTGGATGATGAAAGTTCAAGATCTTTTGTCTCGCCAGTCAGCCTTTCTTGACCAATCGCTAATTGACACACCAATATTTCAAAGTTTCACAATTAACTAACTTTTTCTTCTCGATGATTCTGAAATTCCAAAAGTTCTACTAAATGTTGAATTTTTTATTAAATCAAAACTTGAAACATGAATAAATAAATACATAACAATGACCTGTATTAAATCAACAAATTACTTGATCTGAGATATCTGTGAGCTGAAGATGCGAGACTTCGAGAGAACCAGATTTGCCGGTTTCAGAGAGACGAGTTATTAGATAAACCTGAAAATATTGAAAATTTGGATGTCTTTTTAAGTACCCATAGGTCAAAGGCACAAAATTGTAGGACCCCTTTCCCCCCAGAAATTCAAAAGTTACCTTTGTATCACTGGCTAATAATTCAATATAATCATTTCCATTTCTTCCTTCAACTTTGAAACAACTCTCAAGTTCTTTAGTTCCCGAATCATTGCAAATAAATAGATTTGCATCTCCCTCCAATTTATAATCGAAATGTAATCGAGCAACTGTATTTAGTCGAAATTGTGGTGATTCCAAAATGAATACTCGCTTATTTCTTGTCAAAAATGCTGTCAATTTTTCGCCATTTATCCCGTGAACTGCTGAACTTGGAATCTTTGATGGTTCGTATAAACAAGCATGTCCTAAATGAAAATCGCATGAAAGTAATCGACAAACATTTGGATCAGGAATATCTGCTGTTGGTCGGAAAGTTTTTGAGGAGAATTGTTTGGCGGCAGTTGGAGGGCAGATTTGACCAGTTACAATTATATCATCAATCAAAACCATTCCCTGATCTGTTGATTCAGCTTGGAAAGCAACTCGGAATGGACGACGAATTTTTTGAAGATCAACAACAACATCGCCTGATTCAGCTGATTGACAATCAAGAAGTGATGGAGAGGATTCTTCAACTAAACAGATTTTAACTTCAGCTGAACCTGTTGTCCATAATCGGAATTGTACATGAACATTATCTAAAGCACATCGAATAACTTCGGACAATAAAATCGCAGTTCCTCCTGTTTCAAATCTAGCTACTCCAAATTCTCCTTGTGGTCCTTCTGATATTCCAGTCAATGAATATAATTTCTCCTCATTTAATGGTCCATGTCCAACACTCCATGTATTTTCAGCAATTTCAGTTGCATCATCTGCTTGATTTAACATTCCCCAAAGACAAGATGATGCACGTTTTGAGAAATCGCATGATAAATCTTGTGATTTTTCAACATTTCGATTTAATAACAAACTTAGCATTGGTGTTGACACGAAACTTTGTCCAATATCAAAAACCGAAAGAGCATCTGTGCAAAGAGTTGCTCGATATGCAATATCATCTAATAATACCATATTATCGAAATCTGCATTGAAATGTTTGATTCGAATTGTTATCATGAAATTTTTGGTGGCTTTTCGGAATGTTAAATTGACATTTGCTGGAGAAGATGCACGTGGAATTGGAAGACATTCGATATCTTTGAACATTAGATCAACAGCACAAGCTTCGAGTTCAATTTGACCGAATTCCCAGAATCTGAAAATATAATATTTTGGGGAAGAATATTCCTAATTCTGTCAGTTTTGAAAAAAATGTTTTCAAAGTTTTTTCGTGTATAAAAATTGGAAAAAAATTTCAATTTTTGAAAAACGAAAAATTTGAATTTTAAAAATGAATCCCGAAATTTTAAAAGAAAGATAACCTAAGCTGAGGTTGAAGTTAATCATTTCAAGAACTTGGATCTGTAATTTCAGAATTCAAAATCCAAATTTTACCATCTGAAAAATAGAGGAACTCTTTGAAGTAGGTCAGTTTTCAGATATCTGATTTTGAAGACACAATTTTGATTTCTTAAAAAATCATAAGGTGTCAACGAAAAATATTCCACAAACTTTTGGACAAAACCTTGTGGGTTCAAAAGGTGCCCAAACTCTTGAGAATTTAGGATTTTTTGGCGCACTTCCCCATTCAACTCAATCATTCCAGTTTCCAAAAATAATCCCTCAAAATCTCACCTAAAAGTCAATTCATTTTCCGTCAAACTCTGACAATTAATCGGATCCGATCTCAAAATATCCACATTATTTTTCGGAGTTCCTTGTTCAACATATAAAACCGCATAAGCTCCTTTTGGTCGAGTTGATGTTCCAGTTGCATTTAAAAGTAAATCAGATGAAAGTGCTGAACTTGTTCGACGCCATGTCTAAAATTTAGATGTTGTGGGTTAAAAAATACTAAAGCCTACATACAGTTTTTGCTTCTCCTCCAGATCTCCATCGACAATTCGAGTCAAAATTATCGCATGAAAGTTGGGATGAAGTTTCGATTGGTTTTCCGAAAGCACCAGTTTCCAGAGGTGTGGTTTTGAAATTGTCACCAACGTCGACTGAAAAATATTTTTGATGTGATTTTTTTTTTCGAACAAAAAAACTAACTTCCAACTTTGCACAAACTTGCTGAATATAAAATATTATCAATCATCACAAATGATCCATCAGTTGTTGAAATTCCATAAGCACGAATTCCAAGTCTGCAAAAAAATGTGAGAAAATTTATCACGTCATAGCTAAGCCATGGAATTCAGGGAGTCAAAAGAACCTCCCTCCCTACCTGAATGGTTTATCTCTTGGTGGAATTTCAGCATGGCATTCGGTGTTTAGTTGAATAGTTCCACAATTCAAATATGGTCGATCTTCTTCATCATAAACCATTTTATATCCGCCTTTTCCGTCATCTTCGAGGAGAACAACTTCAACACGAGCACTATTGTAGACCCAGTATCTGGAGACATTTTTTTTCGGATCATTTTTCAGGAGATTTTCAGAAAAGAGGGTTTTTTTTTAGATTTTTTTTGCTTTTGGGAATGAAATTTGACAATTTTCTTTTGAAAAATTTCCAGTACCGAATTAGAAGTTTCAAACCTCGTTTTCATCCCTCCCGAAAAACCCACGTAAAAGTCAAGTTCCCCGTCGAATTTTGGCAATTAATCGGCGAAGAATAAAAAATCGAATGTTGTTCCTCTCTCTTCTTATCTCCAGTAAATATCATTTTATCGCCTTGTTGAACTTTTGTTGGTCCGGGACCAACTCGAAGTGCCGGAAATTCGGTATAATCGATTTTTTCGAACAAATAGAAATCGCGCGAATCCATATTTTTGTCGTCTTCCATGTTTTTCCAGCGGCATTTTTCCGGGTTCGAAAAATCGCAATTCAAATCCGACGGATGACGAATTGCTTTGGATGACCAGCCTAAAATGGAAGATGGTTAGGTCCAATTTTTAAGCAGAAAATCCTATCTAGGTGCGGCTACTTGATAACAAGGCTGATCTTAACGCTGATCTTTGACAATTCAAAAAAAAAAGATAGAAAAATAAAAATCGGAATGTATCACATGGTGGAATTTACTACCCGAAAAAATTCGCGCATTTTCAAGATCTGACACAATCTTAGGCGACGAAACTCAACACAAAAGTGAGAGGTTTAGAGAAAAATATTTTTGATCTACCAGAAAATTTCATGTCCGATTTTTGAGGAGAAAATCATATCTAGGTGCGGCTACTTTATAACTAGGCTGCCTTTGCGCTGATCTTTGACAACTAGAATTTCAAGGCACGGCTCTTTGTGATTGTGGAATATTAGCTGAGAATGCTGAACACTTAGATTCTCCAGGTGCGGAAGCTTGATGTCTAGGCGCTGATCCTTGTCATTCGAACTTCTTAGGCGGAGCTACTTGACACATAAGTATTTTTTTGGTGTTTTTTCCGCGCGTCTAGTTTTTGCTATCAATGATTTCTGATATTTTCCCCCTTCCTTTCCTTGAAAAAATAATATTACGTAAGAAAATCCGAAACTTTGAATAGACAAGCAGATCATATCTTATCTCTCCTCAAAAATTGCCTCAAAACACGTTTTTTCTTCCCAATTTTGTCCTATTCGTAATGGTATTTTTATTTTCATATATTATTTTTTTTTGCTTCAGGTCTTCTGTTGGCAGCCATTCAATCCGGTCTCGGAAATGACCGACCGTTGCGCATTTTACAATTATTATTCAATTCTTTCCTTCTTCTTCTTATTACGCATTTTAAGTGGAATGGCGGGAAAAAATGACAAAAGAAAATGGAAATGGAAACTTTTTTGAGGAAAGAAAGGAGAAATGAGTGACTTACCAGATTTTGCAAGACCTTTCGGAACCCATTCGATTCCTAGATGTTCACGTAGACGATCACGTTCTGCTTCGTAACCTGGCATACATCCCCAAACTGCAAAAATTCGATTTTTTTTTTAGAAAAAATACAAAGTGGATCATTTTCAATTTTTGTTTTCGCAAATTTTGTTGAAACGTATTTCTCCAGGTATTCTAAACGGACCAAGATTTCGCGGTAAAACATGAAATGTCTGAAAATTCGCTGAAAATAAAGATTTTTTGTGAAGAGAATTTTTTCTGAAATTTTTTTTGTAGAAAACTTTCACAGAAAAATAAGTTAGGTTTTACCAGTTTTTTCAAAAAATCTAAATTTGAAGATTAAAAAAAAAATGTTTTTTTTTGAAAGTTTTGTTCAAGAAAAAATACGTTGATTTTTGTTCAAATTTGAAAACACTTTGAAGAAATTTGAAGATCATCAAAATTTAAATATTCTCCAAAACCTCCAACCTACAGTACCCCTCCACTCCCTACAGTACCTGCCGGAACTAGAAGTAAAAATAAAAAAATCATAGAAAGTATCTTTTTCTCGACGGGTTAGCTTCTCTTCAGTTATTTTCCCGTATCACAAAATGAAATAGAAATAGAACCGAATAGATGAATAATAATGAGAGGAGGAGGCAAAAAAAGTGGCAAGCAAGGAAGAGAAACAAGATATATACGGTTAGATTCTATTCTTATTAATTGGAAGAAAAAAAGAGGAGGAGGAGGGAAAAAAGATGAAGCTTAGCTTAGATTTGGTTGTAAAAAAACGAGGATGACATATAACATAACAATAATACATAAACTGTTCTGGATTAATTAATTAATTAATTAATTTGTTAAGTTGGATTCAAATGAGCGAAAGTTTTATTATGCCATTTTTATTATAGCGAGAAATGGAGGGAAAAAACAGAACGGGAAAAATCGAGTTTCTGGATATTTCGAGAATTTATTTGAGATCTTGGGAGATTTGGGATGTGAAGTTCTTGTTTTTGAGAAATCGAAAAAAAAAGAAACTGCTCGAAATTCAAAAGATCTACAGGTCCTGAATAGCTTATCTATAGTATCCTGGGTAGCTCACCTACAGTACCTAAATTCCTTGAAAAATTACTAAAAATAAAATTACCAAAACCACGTGTCCTAGTTTTCTTAACCTAGAAACGTGTCGATTAAAAATCATGTTTCTACAGTTTCACATTTTTCTATTTTATAAAAATGTTCATCGGAATATTTGAGTCATTCATAATTTCATTTTTCTTTATCACTTTTATTTCAAATCTATGCGTAAGTTATAATTTTCCAAGCTCTCCTCTTTTTCTCGAAATCCCAAGCTTTCCAGAGTAAAAAGAAATCAAAAGCTTCGAAATCCAAATCGACCTCAAAATCAGGTCCAACTCAATCAACAGAAACTCCACCAATTGGCGCCACACACAGTTGTGAAGATGTGCAATTCAATGTGAATATAAATAAGAAAAAAGATGAGAAGGATAATTTTGATGATGATGAAGAGAATCCATTGGTAGCTGTGCCTATAAAACACAACAAACATTGCACAAAAAATACGACGAGAAGAGATCCGAGTGCATTTGTGACTGTTGATGGAGCAAATGGAAAAGTATCACAATTTGGAAATAATAATAATAGAAGAAGTTTGCATAAACCGACGACGGAAGAAATGTCGAAAACTTATGGAGGAGGAATTTGTTCGGATTGTGGGGAAAAATCGATTTTGGTGGCTGGCGAAATCAAAATCAATCGATCTTCTTATGTGAGTTGGCAAAATAGGAAGATGGGGGTTTTTGAAAATGAAAATTAAATTTTCGGAATAAAATACCTGACGTGAACGTGGACTTTGTTCAATGACGTGGAAAAATTCGAATTTCATTTTCAAAATTTTCGATACTTGTTTTGATCATTTTCAAAGAAAGTCATGGCAGTTTCTAATCTAAATCTTAAAAATTTTAATTCTGCCACGTCATAACTAATTTTTAAAGAATTTCAAAATTGAACCATTTTTGGGGTTATACGGTATGCAAAAAAATTGTGTGCATTTTTGCGTCGTGGTTCTTCAGATATTCAAAAAATCGATTTTTCAGCAATTTGACAAGAAACAAAAACCACGAGAGCCAAAAAAGAAGACAGTAAAAACGAAATGAGAATTCAAAATCTGAAATAAACTCATTGTTTTATTTAACATAGATATAACTGCATCAAAGCTTGAGATTTCAAAAAAATAAAAGAAATACGAAATAAATTGAGACCAAAATCGAGAGGAAAAAGAAAAGCTAATTGTGAATTATTTAAATATTGGTGTGTCCATTGGCGATTGGTGAAGAAAGGCTGCAAATTTTCTTTTTTTTTTTCTTAAAGAATTTCGAGGAAACATTTAATGTTTTTATTATTGATTTTTCGGCGAAGTTGCGCTTGCAAAAATGGCGTGTAAAAGGCAAAAGGGAGGGGGTGCAATATAAGTATAATATATACAATCTAAAACCGGTAAATATTAGATGCGAATTTTCGAAATCAATAAATATTATCTATTCGAAAAATATAAATCTGATAGTTGTCCACATTGGCAAACTTCCAGTGACAAAACAAGTGAATCCGAATGGAATTAGAAGAAGTGGTCCGTGAATTTGTGCAAAATCCAAAACTCGATCCATCGTGTCTTTTTCGATAACTCGTTTCTTTGATGATTTGATTGGTGTCATTGTTGGTGTCAATGGTGAATATACAGCAAATTCGGCATCTTGTAAAGATGGTTCGGGAGTCACAAAACTGATTGGTTGGCTCATTTTTGTCGGTGTTGTTTGTGATGCGATTCTTGTTGGATTAAAATTATTGCTATTCATAGTGGTTCTTCGCAAAATTGAACTTGGTCGATGATTTTGATGAGAATTCAAGTTATTAAGAGCGTATGAATGTAGATATCGATAATTTTGTGTGGATTTTTCGTTTGGTGGAGAATCATCTTCGAATTCCGAAATTGTGGTAGCTGTTGGTGTGAGGAGCATTGGTTGGGGTGTTGATTCTCTTCGTGTAGATGCAGCCGAATAAATTGATGGTGGCGAGGTTGAGATTTCCAATGGTTTTTGGTGTTGCTGTTGTGGTGTGATTTTGCGTCGAAGTTGGCTACAAATAGAGCCGTAAGTTGTATTCTGAAGTTGGGCGGCGATGGCGAAAAATGTAGCCTAGATGTGTCAAGAAAGTTTTGAGAGAAAAATTGGAATTTAAATTTAAAAGGGGGAGAAATAAAGAATGACACACGAATTGAATTTACATATAAAAATCTCATGCGCGCTTCGCCGAAAAATATTTGATTTTTGGAATCACTTAAGGATTTGATGAAAATATTACAGTAGGAAAAATGGTCTGAAATTTCCAGATCCATAGTTTCCTCTGTATAATTTTCACCTACTTCTCAAGTAAATTTCCCAAAAAGCTCCAAAAAACATACTTTCTGACTGGCGAGACAGAAGATCTTGAACTTTTCGCATCCAAAAGCCCAATATAGCGATAAGCTCTTGACAAAAGATAGACACTGAGCGATGTTGCAAACAATGTTTTGAGCCATGTTTGTGTTCTAAAATCAACTTGGTTTTACAATTCCTTTTTTGAAGCTCAAGCACTCACTTTGCTGGGAAAATGGCTTTGATCAAAACAGCGGCAAGCAAACTTCCAAAGTTGAAAAGAGTCGATGTTAAAACACTGAATTCGACTCTTTCCCATGGATTGACACGGTGCAAATGTCTTCTGAAATACACGTAGAAACCGAGTCCCACATTTGCATTGAACAGAATCGTATTACTGACAGCAAGATCACCGGTTGGGAACAAACTGCAATAAAATTGAGGTTTCAAAGTGAAAATAATGCTTTTTATAAAGAAGATTTCAAGACTTCATACTGTTTAATAAAAAATTATGAAATCATGAATGGCCCAAAGTTTTGCCACGTCATAATTCAATTCCCCATTCCCAAGTTCCCAAAAAATCCCCTCATAAACTAACCCAGAGATGATGTTTGGACTGAAAAGATGAATTGTATAAAGTGTATGTGATACAGCACCAGAAGCTGGCAAATAATGCGATAAAAATGTGCGAGATGTTAGAGGTGGAAACCATTTCGCCCAATCGATTCCAAATCTCGATTGTGAACTTGTTGAAGACGATGCTCCTGCAAAAAACATCTATCATTCTCTTTCTTCTTTTTTTTCTTTTCTCAAGAATGTTTTTCTTGATTAATATCTTTGTATTTTGAACCTATCTCACAAAAGAGAATTCTCCTTCTTATGAAAACTTTATCACTTTTTTTCGCGAATTTTTCTCGCTTGTCATTTTCGATATTTTTTGTCATTTATCAAACAGTGTTCCACCTTTGGCTGTGGAAAAATAGAAAAGAAAAAAGAAACTGACCAGAGGACGATGGATAATCATTGATTACCATTTTGGTCGTTTAAACTTGTGTTGATAAATATAGAAAATTGAAGAAGGAGAAGGAGAAAACAGGCGGAGATAATTGAATTGTCGAATTAGGTCTGGAAAAACACACACATCATTAATTGTTTGGGGCGGAGGGGGATAGAATTTTAAATTTTAAGGAATGATTTTGTAGTCAAATTCTGATCAACTATACTTTTTTTTGTTGATATTTTGATGTGGCAAAAGCTAAACAGTCTCGCGCAAAAATAACATTTTTCAGATTTTCAAAACTTTCCACGTCATCATAACTAATGTTAAAATTTGAGCAGATCAGACTTTGAGGAAAATTTCTATACAAACAGTTTCAAAATGATCCCGAAATTAAATTTAAATGAAACTTGGAGAGAATACTAATTAAGCCATGCTGAAAACTATGCTAGAATCGAAAAAATAGGTTAAGTTCTCTATGAGCAATTTAGACACTTTATAGATCAATAAATTTACTTTTGACGCTGGAATCATTTTCAGCATGTATTTTCAAAACTAAATTTCATCGAAAGATTTCGGAAGACAACAAATTTCATGTGTAAGTTAAATTGATGGAAAAACACATAAAACTGATGAAAAATGATTTTGTTTTTCGATTTGCACTTTTCATGTTGTTTTTTCTGTCCTGCCTGGCAAAAAACAACTTTCTAACAAGAAAAAATATGTAAAGTTTTTTCTGCAAAAAAAAAAACTCTGACCGCCCGCCCGTTCGGTTCAAATACAAAACCAAACAATAGCGAATCGATAGGGGGAAGATAGCAAAAGGAAAAGAAAAATGAAATGACGAAGAAAAACCAAGTGAGAAAAAAACGAAGAGAAAAACACACCCGGAAACTGAATAGCAGGTGTAAGAATACTGTATCTTTTTTTCATATGAATGTACTTTTTTATAATGTGTTTGCAAAAAATAAAATAAAACAACTCACATTTCGGAACGGGTCGATTGAAGATGGAATGAGAAAGGGGTCGTTCGTTGGGGCGGGCGGAACTTGCTTGCCTGCAACAAAAAAAATTTGTTGAAAATGCGATTGAACAAAAGCAAATAGATAGATAAGAAAACGAATGAAGAGCCACGTAATATAGGTACGTAGGTAACAAAACCTAAGAACATTTGTGTTGTCGAATTAAAGTTGAGTCAACAAAACAAAATGTAACTTATGATATCGATGTAGAATGGGAAGTATGATCGAAAATGGAAATTTCAAGGAAAAAATGTGACCTTGTTGAAAACAACTTTCTTTGGAGGATTACAAGGTTTGTTCGGACATTTTTTGAACATCTTTTTTGGGGAGATGAAGAACTTTGGTTTTCTGAACACATTTTGAATGGGGGTTTGTGAAGAAATGATTAATTTCTCTAATTATAGTTAAAAAGCTCGAAAGTCGATTTTAATCAGCTCAAATATTTCATCAGAAAATTATCAGTAATAAATTTTCTGGAATTTTTTTTGAAATGAAATAAATTTTCACACGTCATTCACGTCCAAATATTTTATTGTTATTGTCATTCCGAAAAAAAGAACCTTGGAAGAGAACCGACATGGCCTAGGAAACCAATACTACAGTAGACTTCGCGAAATTTTGGAGTCTACTTGAAAAATAAAATGCGAAATTTACACGTTGGCTATTTGCCAACCAGTTTGATGTGCATGTGTCACGTCATTTTTAGTCTACTGTACGTGAGCGCCAATTCAAACGGGGGTTCTTTTATTTTCGGAATGACAATATTTTTCTTTTTTTTTTCAAAAAATCGCGAAAAATTCAGCTGATGTTTATTTGCTTGAAAGTGACGTGGATCCAATTTTGCTTTCACTTTGAAAGTTTCAAATTAATTTTTTAATTAAAAAAATCAAAACTTTCAGACGGCTCAAATAAAGGTTATTTGAAGAGAAACAAACATTTCAGCAAAAATATCTTCTCAAGAAATGAAGAAAGTTTCATGAGATAGAAAAGAAAAGCATGTGTTGTTCACGGACAGACAGATCTCAAAGAACAATCGATCTAGTGCAATTTTCAAAGCAATGTTTCGAGGTACCTTCAAAGTATCTCATAATGTTCTTCTTTCAGAAAAATTCCTATGCAATTGAAGCCAAATAGAAACCAGTTCAACACATCATAGAACAACAAAATGTGAAGAAAAACAATATTGATAACAAACACATGCTAGAAGATATAAAAAATATATTTCTTTTCAATTAAACTGTTACTTTTTATCAGCAGGATCAGTGTAAAACAAAAATCGCTGAAAATATTTGCGAACACCTGACGAGGAAATTTTCAAGTTTTTTTGTTCATTGTCACAGATGAAAAATGGGTCATATGTTCAAGGAAAAAGGAAACAACAAGCAAATATAACAAAAAATGTTCAAGAGGGCGAAAAATATGATGGATTTGTGGTTAGTTTGAAGGAAAAAATGGGCGAGGCGAGGAAAAAACTTTAATTAAAAATATATTCGTTTCAATTGAAAATATTTCATCATAAAGTTTTTTGGAGGGAAAAGTGATAAGAATTTTGATAAACACTTCACATCCTGTGCACAGAAAAAAGCTGAAAAGTGAAGGAAAAACAAATAACATGATACTTATTCCAACAGAAACAAATAGCCACGAAAAAAATTTTTCGATGGAGCAAACATGCTCAATTGAAAAAATATATGAGGGAAAATGGAAGGAGGAGGATGAAAAGGGCAGAAAAATCAACAAATTTTGAGAGAAAAATCACTTGTGGTGGTGATTTGATGTTTAATAGACGTTTTTTGTAATATGGGAAATTTTAGAATAAGGAGCTGCGCAAGCAAAAAAAATGTAATTTTTTCAAATTTTGGTTTGAAAAATGAGAAAGAAAGTTTTGAAATTAGAGAAATGTGTGAAAGTTTGCAAGCTCATTTTTCTTCCTAGCTAAAAATCTAAAGAATCAAAGCTCAAAAAATTATAGATATTTCAATCCATTTTCAAGGAATAAAAAAATACAAATCAATCCAAGTTTCTAAAAAAAATCAATAATTTATTCAAAAAAGACTGCTACTTGGAAAAAACGGCAAGTGTTCATAAGATGAGATAAATCCAGTCGAACTTGAAGCAACAATTGAATCACCGCGACAATCGAAAGATGAGATTGGAAAAATGGATGAACGACGAATTGGTTCACCGCGAAGTTGATTTGCAAGATCGCCAGTTAGCCAAACATTCTCTTTTACTGTTCGAGTTTGAGATGTCCTGAAAATACACAAACAGAATTATTATTTGAAGTTTTGAAAACATACATTGGCACACTTGATGCATCCAATCTTAAAATTGATCCATCAGTCGATGAACATAATAAATTATCACTGCAAGTTGGATGAAACATAACTTGTGTAATCGACTTCTCTGTCACTAAATATGTACTCGAAACTGCCGCATTTTTTCCATTTCGAACATCAATCAAACCAACGATCCCATAATTTGTGCCAAAACAAACCTAAAACATCGTTTATCTTTTTCAAAAAAAAAAAAACATATCACATGTTTCCTACCAAATTAGATTGTGCTGGATGTGAACAGAGAGCGGTTATCGAATCCAACGCTTTTTCCGATGGCACAAGCATTGTAATGGGTTCCAAAACTTCTTGTAAATTATTTTGTCGAAGATCCCAGAGACTGATTTGTCCTGTTGAACTACCTGTGGCAACTAATTGTCCACCAAATGTTGTGCAAAGTGAACGAATTCCAGATTGGCCCTGTTGAAAAAAACATAACTCTTAATTTATTTTCCGAAGTGCAAAAAAGAAACTAACTGTGAAAACTGTTGTAGAAGTGCCAGTTTCAATATCAACAAGTTCTAATGAGCCATTTGTTGATGCACTCAACACTTTTCCATCTTCATAACTGACAACTTTTCTCGATTCACAACCATCGTGAACACTTGGAAATCGTTTGACTAATGCGAGATCATCCATTTCAGTGTTCAAAACAGCTAACGAACCATCAGTGAAACCAACGCACGCCGAATTTTTGCCGATTAAACTGAAAAATGAAACATTTTTTATTTTTCCAATCAAACTGAAAACTAAGTTTTCAAACTCACCAAACATCATTTGGATCAACATCGACTTCTTTGGTTGTTAGAATTTTGAACGGATCAATATTCTCTAAAGGATCTCTTTTCCACATCGAAATACACCTTCCTCTTCGTTTTCCCAACCACAGAATGTTTTCTCCAACGTATATCACTTTTGATACATCAACATCTGTATGTTGCATAAATTCTGGGATATTTTGAGATGAAGAAATTGTATTTGAAGTGGCGAATATTGAATTGGATTCCATTGGGGAGACTTTTATCGTCATCTGTAACGAGATTCACGCTTAGAAAGAACAATATAGATTTTTAGGAAAAACAAGGAAATTTATCATGGAAAAAAGATTGAACCGTGCAATATAGATTCCAGGTTCCTAAAACTACTCAAGTTCTCCTATTGTAATAGTTAGTACACACTAAAAATCCACAAAAACAGTTGAAAACAACAAAAATATTTTTCGCGAAATAAAAATTTTCAAAAAATGTTCGCCGCTAAACAACATACCAGCGGAGTGTCGTTGCACCAAATATCACATTTTTGAGATTACGGTCAAAGTTGATTAAAGAATTGAATTTTTTGGAAAACAAAAACATTTTAAGAATTCTTGGGTAAATTTTAACAGTGTTAAAAAAATAAAGATGAGTTCAAATAATTTTTAACACTGTTAAAAAAATAAAAATGGCATCTCTCGAGTACATTTATTACAAAAAAGTTCCATGGTGAAATTAGAAACAATTCCTGATTTTTCAAAAAAAAAAAAAGATGTCCTAAAGAAGAAGACCGTCCCGCCTGAGGACTAACAACCTAGATTCTAGATTACTTAAATAAGTTTGAGTATAAATTTCATTTCATAATACATACAATAAGTTTCACAGTAACTTGAACCTGAGAATTATTTTGGGAAAATTCCAGAATCTTCAACTTCAACCCCTCTCTGTCCTTATCCCTTATTACTTTCCAAAATGTTCACTTGGAAAACATTTTTTTTCTGGTTGATCACCGGATTATCAAGCACCGTATACCCCAACTATACGAAGTACATTTGCCCGAAAAAAAAGGATTACAGTATCCACTAGTACTAAATACAATATATTAGTTTTCTGAACTAATTTTTTTTCCCGTTTTTCTGAACTTTACGATTTTCCAAAAAAAAAAGAACAGTAGTCTTATATAGATTTTTTGACAGATATAAAATGAAACGAAAAGCATTTGAGATAAATCGAAATCGTGTTTCCCAACGGGGGTATAGCTCAGGGGTAGAGCGCTCGCTTTGCATGCGAGAAGTCTGGGGTTCGATTCCCCATACCTCCAGATATTTTTTTTTCTGGAAAGAAAGCAGACACTCACAAGTTCATAATTCTGAGAATAAGTTTGATTACAAACACATGTCAATATTTCAGATTTTCCAAAACTCCAATATTTTCTTCATCTTCTTCTCACACTAAAATGTTCACATACATTTTGATTGTTGTTATTATAAATAATAAATATTTTTGCTGTGTTGCTGTTTCCCTCCCTCCTTCTCTCTCTCCAATTTCGCTGAGATTAGAAAAAAAGCAATTCCAGAAAAGAAAGAAGGGGGGTTGGTTTTGGTTGGTTTGCTACAAAATGTATATGTGAGAAGGAAAGGCGAGAGAGAGGAAAAAACTGGGGAGAAGAGGGGCGGAGCCAACAAGAAGGAGCTCTCGCGCACCGCACCAATCCAATTTCGTTTTCGTTTCTCCCATTTTTTGTTCGCGGTGTGATTTCTTACCTTTTTCTCATTCTTCTACATCTTTTCCGGTATCCCTCTTCGTTTCTTTTTTCTCCATCCATCCATCCATAACAACCACCTGCTCCACCGAATCATTTTCCAATCGAATCATTTTTTTTATGATTATAAATGTCTATTTTTTACACACATATATGTATGTTCATATATTCTTTTTTTGGCCATAGATATATTCTTCCATAGAAATCCTCCCCCAATTCAGTTTCTCAATTACCTTCCGGTCTTTCTACCTGACTTCACACTTTTGCACCCAAAAACATTTTTTGACTTTTTATTACTATTAAAAACCTCAGTTTACGTGAAATTAGTTGTTCGAAAAAACTCGCAGACAAAATAGTTAAATTCAAAAAGTTTGAAGAACACGCACTAGCAACTACGGTATTTTAAAGGGACACATGTATGTTCCTTTGAATTAGTATATCAAGAGCTTACAGTATTTTAAAGGGACATACATACGTTATATGTTCCTTTAAAATACCGTAGTATATTAAGAGCCTACAGTATATTTTTCGAGCGGAGCGAGTGTATGCTCCTTTGAGATAATGTAGTTTCTAGGGAGCCTACAGTACTTTAAAACACAAACACCGTGACGCACAATTACACACAACACACATTATCCAAATACTACCGTAGTCCCATGTGTCTTTGGTCAAAACTAGTTTTCACCAAAGACACACGTTCTGACTCATTACACCGTGTACAAGAATACTGCACTTTCAGAAAATAAAAGTGGGCGTGGTCTTGTTGTGCAACCCTGACACATATTTTTTTACATAAGGAATACTGTACCAGAGTTGCAAAAATGTCCCCCCAAGTTGGCTAATTCAAATATTTGATTCTCCCAATTTTCCCAATTACGGTAGCTCGAAAAGTACGTAATTTCTAGAGATAATTTTTACACACTGTGATTTTTTTGAATGTTCTCTGACTTGAAAAAAAGGATTACCGTATACCTCCCACTATACGATTCAAGTACATTTTCCAACAATTTTTTTAGGCGGATTACCTACCGTATCCACCTAATTTTGTACTTATATATACAAACTACAAATATATTAGTTTTCTTTTTCATTTTCTTCTTTTTTTCATTAGACTTTACGATTTTCCAAAAAAAAAGTGCGACAAATTTTACACCTGCACCACGTTATCATTTCCTGTTAGCACCATTTCAAAATGAAAAAAAAAACTTGTGTGAAATTTTTATGAGCAAGAGGCGAGTAGGGATTAATTGTAAGTATTACTAACTAGAAAATCGGAAAAAAAATAGACGATTGCTAATTTTTGGTGTTGGAATTTTTCGATATCGTTTTTTGTTGCACTTTTCAAGAACACTGAACTTCTTTGTCTGAGATTCTGGGAATTTTTGTTGAAAACATTTTTTGAAGATTGAAATATAGTATTCAGATTCGAAAAAAATGTGTCGCGAAAACTACGCTTGGGAAAAAATTGAATTAATCTCTGAAAACCCAATTTTAGACGCGAAAAACTTTATTGATTTTTTGAAGGATAGTTTTTTTGAAAATCGAAATAAAAAATTAAATTTTTCTTCTTCTAAAATGTAATCACAGTATCACATAGTTGTAATAATTTTTTCAAGTTTTCATCTGGAAAAAGAAGTTCAGGGAGTTTCTAGCTTACAAAAATTTGAAAAAAACGATGATTCGAAATTATTTTTAACAAATACTGTGGAAAACTCTGGAATTTATTTACAAAATGAAAGTCCACAGTTACTGTATTTTTTTTCTTTTCAGTTGTTCTCTATGATCTAGATTTCCTAAAATTTACATTTTTTCAGTAAATGGGTGGTGCTGGATCAAGAAATAAAACAGAACCACGTGGAGAAGGTGTCAAATTGGCATTTGATCCCGATGAAAAATGGTCAAACTTATATCGTGAAAGAGAGAAAAATCATTTATATAAATGGGTTGGTGTTCGAAAAGGTAAATTATTTTATTTTTCGAAACTTTTCTTCCCGCAACAATGAATTTCAGGTGGAGAACTCATAAATATATATGAAAGAGACGGTGAAGATGGAGTTTTGAAGTTTGCCGAAGAAAAACTCAGCTCAATGTTATACAATGATGGAAGAGAACCAAAATTGATAACATATTCAGATTTTGTGAAATGGAAAAAAGGAGTTGTAAGTTTTTAGCTTGAAATATTTTTCGGTGGAATTCAGAAAATATTTTTTAGAATCTTCAACTTGGCTTGAATGAAGAAGGAATTGATATGCAGGAAACAAAATTCAAAGAACATTTTGCACTTTGGAAATTGAACAAAAGAGGAGTTGAGGGTGAAAACTTGATACATTTGTTACTTAATCGGTAAATTTCAAAATAAAATTGTATCTTAAATTTTAAAGATAATAAAAAAATATTTTTAGGGAGCAACAAGTGTGCTATGAGATTGCAAGAATTTTGTTGAAGAGATTTCCCGGGTTGGCAAATGATATTTATTTGGGAGATGAACAATTTGGTAGGTTTTTGAGAAAAAAATTTCAGAATTCAAAAAAAAAACAAAAAAAAGTATAATTTTTTTAGGTCAAAGTGGTCTCCATCTCGCAATTGTCCACGACGACTACGAAACTGTATCTCTTCTCCTCAACAATGATGCAGATGTGAATGCTCGAGCATGTGGAAACTTTTTTCTCCCCGAAGATTTCAAACTCTCCAATAAAATTACTGATTATCAAGGTGAATACCATTTTTTTTAAAGAATTTTCAAATCCACATTTTTCAATTTCAGGTTATGCATATTATGGTGAATATCCACTTGCGTTTGCCGCTTGTTTTGGCAACAAAGATATTTATGATTTGCTGATTCAATTCGGCGCAAATCCAAATCTTCAAGACTCTTTTGGAAACACCATTCTCCACATGTGTGTTATTAATTACAGTAGTGTAAGTCACCCTATGAGAAATTCCCAAAAACGAATTAATTTTCCAGTCAATGTATTCATACGCAGTCCGTCATTGGGCAAAACCAGCAGATCCACATGTTGTAAATCATGCCGGATTTACTCCGTTGACTTTGGCAACAAAATTGGGTCGAAAACATATTTTTGAGGAAATGTTGGAGATTATGAAAGTGGAGTTTTGGCGGTTTTCTGATATGACGTGTTCAGCATATCCGTTGAATACACTTGATACAATTCAACCAGATGGATCAACAAGTAAGATTTTAGAAAAAATTGGGTTTGACCTTCTCCAAATTCCAACCTTCTTCAGATTATGATTCTGCATTGATGACTGTAATTAATGGATCAACACCAGAACATTTGGATATGATTGGAAGTGAAGTGATTCAACGTTTATTGGCTGATAAATGGAAAGCTTTTGCTCAACGAAAATTGATTGAACGTTTGGTTTTATTGATTTTTCAATTGGTCACACTTTCGATTGTTGTTTATATTCGACCAACTGAATTGCCAAGACTTTATATGGATGATCCACAATGGGATGATTGGGTTAGTTTGGTTAAAGGCGGTCAGACAGCTATTCCGGTTGACGGAGACCACCCACGAAGCCTCTGACTTTAACCGGGCTAAATTTGAACCAAACAAAAGATAGAGATGAAATATTGTGAAAATATGAAACTTCAAATCTTCCTGTGCAAAAGTGCGTCGCGGTGTTTGCACACACACAAATCCGCTGGACGTGGGGGCAATTTGAAATTTTGAAAACACAAGATTTTCTCAGCTCGTATTAACTTTCATGATTTCGGAATTTTTTCACTGGTTCGTTTCATAATAAACTATTTTTGACACTAAGCTTTGAGGAAAACCGGAATAATTGTCTAACTGCCTTTAAGGGATTTGGGGGAAGAGTGGAACTTGAGAATTTGAAGCTTGTGAAAAATTCTGGAACAATCCATAGCTAATTTGACTGAAATTGGAAAGTTCAAATTTCAGGGATAGTTTGAATAAATTAAGAAACCAATTGATTTTTTGCCACGTCATAACTTATTTCCAGATTTGAGAGTAGTAGAATTTCAGTGCTTTGAATATCTTCTATATGCTAAAATACAGTAACCTTGTTCCAGATTCGTACTGTTTGTGAAATTCTTACAATTCTCAATTGCCTTTTCTTTGTCGGATATCAACAAGTTGGAGAAATTCGGACACAGGGAATACGTGGATATTTGAGAAATCTGGTACTTTTCCCCTCCACAAAAATCTCCTCACCTCAATCTCAAATTTCAGCGCACTGCTCCCGCAAAAGCCGTTTTCTGTGTTGCCAATCTGTTCCTTCTACTTTGTATACCATTTCGATTTTTGAGAAAACATGAAGTCGAAGAAGCTCTGTTCGTTTTTGCTCTTCCCGGTTCCTGGATATTTTTGTTGTTTTTCGCGCGAAGTGCAAAATTGACTGGTCCTTTTGTGCAAATGATTTATAGTATGATTGCTGGTGATATGATTCGATTTGCGATTATTTCGGCGATTTTTTTGGTTTCTTTTTCGCAAGGTTGGTATGGATTAAGGAGTTGAAGTGAGAGAATAAGAGACTGGGCTTCTGTCTTATAGCCCAGAAGAAAAATATTGAAAAAAAACACCTGTGACCACTCACTGAGCTCAAAAATTGAAATACAGAGCAATAATTCAGGCTTTGCACGCTGACAGATGTTTCTGGAACTTTTTGTTGATCTCGGGATCTTGATCAGAACTGTTTATCAAAGTTTTTTGAAAAACATTTCCCGCAAACACACTTTTTCAGTTAAGCTTTCAATATTCTGAGGAGAAATATAGAGCTATCTATAGACACAGCTGAAATAGTGCTACAGTACTCTACTTCATCATTAATCGGAGGCAATTTTTAGCCAGAACGCTCAAAATTTCAGTTAGATCTTACTAGATATCCAGAAACCCAACCAAAATTTTGATTTTCAATTTCGAATTTTTCAGTATTTTATTTTGTTGGCAAAGACATGGATGCCAAACAAAAATTGGAAGATACAAATGAGCATGCTTGTAAAATATCCGGATACACAATCTACACTTACAACACATTCCCTGAAACATTTATCACGTTATTCCGAGCATCAATGGGTGGTTATGATGTGAGTTTTTTTTTGTTTTTCAGTTTTTGACTTCACTACAAATCTGTAACTGAATTCGAGTTATTTTTAGTACGAAGAATTTTCGTGTGCAAATTATGAGGCTTTGACAAAAACACTTTTCGTATTATACATGTTTGTAATGCCAATTATGATGATTAACATCTTAATTGCTATGATGGGAAATACTTATACAACAGTTATTGCACAAGCTGAAAAAGCATGGAGACAACAATACGCACAAATTGTAATGGTTTTGGAAAGATCAGTTGGAAAAGAGAGACTTGCAGCAAGTCAATTGGAATATAGTATTAGATTGGATCAAGAAGGTTCATCTGGAATGGAAGTTCGTGGTTTGATGGTTATTAAACAAACCAAGAAAACTCGAGCGAGACAAAGGAAACAAGCGATTTATAATTGGAAAAATATTGGGCGGAAGGTTATTCATACAATTGATAAAGTCGGAACTGAACAAGCTGTTTTGCTTTTACATGGACATGATCGATTGGATCGAGTTTATGAGGATCATGCGCAGGAAAAAATTCCGAGTAGATCACGGTAAGATAATACGAATAAGCAGAATATATATTTATTGATGTGACATCCTTGATTTCATTCAAGATACTTTTCGGCGAAAAAGCGAATAAAATGTGATTTGAAATTAAACTTGTAGGGAAGATTTTGGAAAAAAAGAATTTTTGAGGATTTTTTGTTTAAAAATATTTTTTTATTAAAAAGGTAGAAATTATAATTAAAAAATCCTTTAAAAAGTTTTTGGGGTACCAAAAAAATTTTTTAATTTTAAATAATCCAGAAACCAATCTGCTTTTGTATAAAAGACCCCCCGACCTGAAAAATTCAAATTCAAACCATGCGCGCACACAGGGCGATCCGTAAGCGGAGTCTCGTTGTTTTATTTTATTTTTCAAAAAATGCAAATTTAGTGCAAAGTTTTGAAAAAAATGTTACCAGATAAGAGAAATAAATAAAAATTGTTTCAAATTTGAAATTTTGCAGGACTCCAACTCGAATCGGTACAACAATGCATTCTTCAACCAAACGGGTCAAAACAACGGTTACAAACGAGGTTTGAAATAAATAAATAACTAGTTATCCTAACTATTCTCACATCAAATATTTTTCTTATGTTTTTTTTCTCTGACCCTTTTCCCTCTCCAAACCTCTAGCCGTTCCTTTTTTCTCTAGCACGCTTACTTTTCCACACACAAACCCCTCTGCTGCTGTGTTGTGTCAATGAAAAATTGACTGCAGACAGCCAGTGGCCGGATGGTCTAGAGGTATGATTCTCGCTTCGGGTGCGAGAGGTCCCGGGTTCGATTCCCGGTTCGGCCCAAATATTTTTCATTTTTTTTTTTTTTGAATTTTTGTAGGTCAAAACTGATGAGACTGTCAACAATATGCTTTTGTCAGCACCGCCAAGTCTTCAAGGCGAAGGGAGCACTATAGATTGGCAACCAAGTATTACACCAGTGGAAGAGAGAGGTGAATCGAAATCAGCGACAATTGTGACAAGATCGGATGTGAATTCTCCACCACGGGAATCGGTGAATATCGCCGAGTTTGTAAGTCACACTTTAATGTTTTCTGAAATTCAATCTTCAAAAAAAAAAACAATATTTTTTAGCATCGAACAGTTCGTGTTCGCGGAGTCGATGCGATTCCATCAATCGAAGTTCCAAATATGCCAAGTATGTCAACTTCAACTCCACCACATCGTGCACTTTCTCCTCGTTTCCGACATGATATGTTCAGAAGAAAAGATAGTCCACAAACCGATAAACAAGAATAAGACACAAATTGGATAAGCATCAAGATCTTCATCTATTTTCTATTCTTATTCCGGATACTTTTTGCTTTTCTTCCCCCCAATATTTCATTTATTCCTTTTTATTTTCCTTCTTCTTTCCATATTTCGATTTTTTAATGATTTTTTTCTCATAAAATTCCCTTTTATTTATATATAAAGCCGTTTGGTCCGAAAAAAATAAAACTTTTTATCTAAATTTTTTATGATACTTTCTAGCAATATTTTTGTTTATTCAGCCGTGTATGAGTAACAAGACATCTTCAACTTTTTTGTGTTTGGAATTTTGAAAAAATGTTGAAGCTTTCTTTTATTTTGCGGCTAACACAGCGTGTAACTTTTTGTTTCGAGTGCGCGCGGTTGCAACGCGGCTTCCGGTGCTGATAAGTGATCTACCCGTTTTTATTCTCATTCTGATCGAGATGTTAAAATACGTTTTGTTGTGATTACACATTATTTGTTGTATGTTTGCCATTTGTCGTATTCATAATTTTTTTTTTCGGAAAATGTATTTGTGAAATTTTGATCAAACGATGCCTAAATCTCTTGTTTCGCAAGTTATTCCGGTGTAAAACTTCTAGGTGATAAGACTAGACAATAGTTATTGCGATTCCTGGCCGCGTTGCAACCGCGCGTGCTCAAAGATCTTTTTTGATCTACCGCAAAATTTACTTCAAAAAAAAAACAGAAGCCTAAAAATGGGGATTGAAAGCGTGACCTCGTCGTTTCTGTTGGAAAAATGTCATTTCTGAATCCAGCGCTTCAAAAAACAGGTATTTTTTGTCTATTTACAAAAAGTGTAAAATCAGATAAGTACACAAATAAAATGCAAAAAAACCACCGATGAGTTCAAAAAATACAAATCCCCTCTTTTATTTTCTCGATTCATTTTTTTGCCAAGTAGTCATGGTGATTTCATTGTTTGAAAGTGAATATAAATAAAAATTTGTTCAATAAAACATTTTTTTATCTGCGGTTTTTCCCATGATAAATTTTGTGTTGCTTTTCAAAATGACATTATAAACTCAGACAGAACTATGAAATGGTGTTGTTCTCTTTTTTTCCTTATCGATTTTTGTATTCACAATGAGTTGATATTATTTATTTTGTAGGTGCTTGCGGCTGCCCAAAAAAACCATGACGAGGACAAATTTGGAACCGATTGCTATTTCGGAAAAAAGCTGTTTTTCGAGAAGGTGCTTCAAAAAATAATGTGAGTTGGGAAGAAGATCATAGGAAAATTCATGGGAACATTTATGGGGGTTTTTTGAGGAGATTCTAGGGTCTCGGAACGAGAATAGATTTTCATTAAGTTCCGATTTTTTTTAAGGAATACTGTAGGTTCTTTTTTCGGATAAAAAATTGATCTTTGAAAAAAAAATCCAAGTCAAAATTTTTATCCGAAATTCTACAAGAAATTGTTTATGGTAAAACCTTTTTTCAAAAACTTTCTTAAATTTCCTGACACAAAATTTTGTCCAAGAATTCTCTCACTCAAAAGTTCAAAAATAATCTTTTTCCTCTCCTCTATTCGAAATTTTCACCTGATAACGTCTTTTTTTTTGAAACCACAAAATTGTTTCTTTTTTTCGTACAAAAACAATGTATGTGAGTCCTTTTTTCGAAAAAATAAATAAATAATAATCCACGCGCAATGCGATTTTTTCTGTTTTGTTTCCAAAAATTTTCATTTTTCGAAAAAAAATGCTTGTCTCATTCCGAACTTTTTTCGTATTCTTATTCCAACTAAATTTTGATGAGAAAATTGTTTTTCTGAATGAATACAAGGTTTCCTTTTCAAAAATAGATACACTTTTTCTATCAGAAAACTTGTTATTTCAGATAATTCGGGTAATATGTTCGGTTCAAATGATCTCAATGGTTCTTGTTACTTTGCATGCAACTGGTATGCCGTTTCTAGTTCGAGTCGCAAATAAATCACACTTTCTTTCAACGGTTTCTGTGTTTTTTATGGAAGTTTTGAAATTGGTTTTTTGTTTGGTAATTACTTGGTATAATGTTGGAAGTTTCAAAAGGTTAGTTGATATTTTGATTTTCTAGATACTAGATAAATCGGATACGGTTATTGTTTTCTGTTACTCGGATTTTCCTAAAAACGTTCTGAGCTGTAGAATTCCCGGTCTTTGCAATTTTTCGGGAAAGTTCTTGTTTCTGAAGAAAAATCATCAATTTCTCAAATAGATTATTAAATCTATGATTCAGATTCTTAAAAAGATACAAAAGTTATTCAAGTTACAAAGCTTCAAAATAAACTATTATCTAAAAAAATTTTGAGAAAATTCAAAAAGTGACTAAAGGCTAAATTTGCGTTATCCAAAGTTTGTAGTCCTGATACTGAGATTCAAAATTATCTCTAAGAGTCAAATTATAAATTCGCCAATATTTCAGCCTATGCAAAACAGTTCATCATTCAATTTGGTCAAATCGAAAAGAAACATTAAAAGTAGCAGTTCCAGCAGTTGTCTACGCAATCCAGAATAATTTATATTATATCGCTCTCGAAAATGTTGATCCAACAACATATTCAGTAACCCTTCAACTTCGAATTCTAACAACAGCAATTCTATCAGTTTGCCTCCTCAACAAAAACCTGTCAATTTATCAATGGGGTGCACAATTAATGGCATTAATTGGTGTTGTTTTAGTACAACTTGATAAAAAGAGTTCACCAAATCAATCAAATGAATCACAACATTATATGATGGGAGTGATTGCAGTTGTTGGAATGTGTTGGACAAGTGCATTTGCTGGAGTGTATTTTGAGAAAATGTTGAAAAATTCGACGGCTGATTTATGGATTCAGAATATTAGATTATCTTTGTTGACCCTATTTTTTGCGGCGATTACTGTTTTGGTAACAGATTCTGAAAGAATTTATACTGATGGGCTATTTCAAGGATGGAATTGGATTGTTTGGTTGGTAACATTTTTGAATAGTGTTGGTGGTTTATGTGTTTCATTAGTTATGAAATATGCTGACAATGTTATGAAGACATATTGTCAAAGTATTGCAATTGGTGAGTTCAAAATCTACAGTACTCAAGGGTACTCTCAAAATTGAAAATTGTTCCAACAAGATAAAAGTTTTGAAACTTTTTTAGATTTCAAAATGTGTGTCAAAATCAAATATCAAAATTAGATTTCAAGAAACTTTTATAAAATTAGCTACGAATCTGATTTTTGAGACTACTGTCTACTTACCTACAGTACTCCAGAAAATTGTCATTTTCAAATTATTCAATTCAAAATTTCAAAAGTTTTCAAAAATGTCTGCAAAAAATAATTTTGAAAAATCAATCCTCAAAATAAAAAATTATCTGAAACTCTAAATTTCAAATTTGAATTTTTTAAATTGAAAATGAAAACAAACTTAGAAAATTCAAAATTTTCTGAAAATTACAGCCGTTTTCATAGTTCCCAAAAAATATTCCTCCCATTCCATGTTTTCAGGTCTAACATCTCTAGTTTCAATAATTCTTGGCGAACGAGATTTGACACTTTTCCTTTGTTATGGTGTTTTGATGGTCACAAGTTCAGTTGTAATATATTCTTGTTATCCAGCTCAACCAAAAGATCATCAGCCAACTGATACAAAATCAGTCGATAAAATAGCTCTATTGGAATCCGGGTCAGACGATGAACAATAAATTTATCAATTAATTAAAATGTTGTAATTATATGCCTAAATGGTACGGGTTTTGGAATAAATATATTTATTTGTATCATTTCATATCACAATGAAAATTATAACCAGTGTGGAATTAGACGAATACCAGGTAATTGATTTCGAAGTTGTTCAGTTTTGTCAACAAGTTTTGTTTCGGCAAACACAAGTCTTTCCAAAGCTGGACAATGTTGAAGGAATGGAACAATATCATCAATATTTGATACTTCAGTATTTGCAATCGATAAAAATTTCAAATTCGACAACGAACTCGATTGTTTGAAGATTTTAATCGGATTCTCATCAACTGTCAAAGATGTCAAATTTGGCAAAACAATTCGATGAATTTCAGTCAATTGATTTCCAGCCAAATCAATATCTTCAACAATTCCAGCAACATATTCCAACCCTTCCAAACTTGTCAAATTCAAATATCTTGCTGCCAATTTTTTCTCATCTTCCAACAAAAATTTGCGAATCGCAATATTGATTTGTTGTCGACTAGCAACACTTTTGTATAATTGTGATCTGTTTGGATCAAGAGTTGATGCAAGTTTTTCAAGATTTGCAATTATTTCAGAATTCGCTTCAGTTGGAGTGTATTCGATTTGAATAAGAGTTCGCATATAAATCGGCCACTGGAAAATAGACAAAACATAATTCTAGAATCTATACATACATAATTAAGAGAAATTAATAATAAATAAAAAATTGCAAAAAAATATCCAAAAGTAAAAATTGAACTCTGAACTTTAAAAATCATAAGTTCCATGCTTTGAGAATTTCTATATCCGAGTCCAGAATTCACCTTTGAACTCTAATAAATACAATTTTGGTTTTTTTTTCAAAATAGTACTCTGACTCACAAAGAGATGACCAAGATCTGATGAAAGTATTTTGAAATATATTAGCCGTAATAAAAATCACCCCAAATTCCAAACTCGAAATACACCCCTTCCTAACTTTGAATCTTTAAAAATTACCTTATTATTCGGTTCCAATTCAGCCAATTGTTTACAATCATCAAGCAAAGTCGAAATAGATTTTGGCAATTCAACTGGCACCAAATCATAAATCTTTCTCAAAATCTCCAAATTTATATAACTTTTCTCCCGAATATCAATAAATTCCTGCGATTTTTCATCAATTATCCGAATTGAGCTATCAGATAAAAATTGCCAAACTCGACTAGAAGAAGGATTCGGCGAAGTAGATGAAAACTGAAATTAGGTTTCTTGTGATATGAATGAGCTTAAAGAAAAACTTACCGCTCTCCAGCTATTCGTATCGTCTGTTTCAACAAATGTCAAAACTTTATCCAAAGTCAGTGCTCGAGTGAAAACCAAAGTTGTTCGATTTCCATGATAATTTGCGGTTATCAATGAGATTGCGGTGCTCGATTCAGGACGCACTGAAAATAGGGAAATTTTGAAGTTTTTGAGAATTAAACTAGAATTTTTCAAAAATTCTTGGAGCTCCAAAAATACTTCCTAATTATCCTTTGAAAATTGGACCAAAATTCCAGAACTTACAAAATTCTTTTCCTGATCCAACTTCAAGAAGCCATCGAGTATAAGACCAAGCACTTTGATCATCCGCATCCATGTAAAACGCATTTTTGACTTTCTGAAATTTTTTTTATTTCAAAAAAAAAAACTTCAATCCAAAAACCCTACATCTAACTCTTCTGCAATTGTTTCGTCCGCCAATTTCAGCTGTCCATTTTTCTCAAAATGATATTTCTTCAATGAAATCGATCGATAATGCCATGCGCTATAATTCGAGAAATTGTCCTCGATTAATTTATTCGAAAATTCGATTTCTTGCTCTTCGGTTCGTTTTGCCAATCTGGCGACAATTCGACGATGATCCCAACAATGGAAGTTTCTGGAAAAAAAACTATTTTTTGAAGAGCTGGAATTTTTTTTTCAAATTTTGATTAGAAAAATAAATTAACAGAGGATAAAATTAATGAGAAACTTCCAGATTTTTTGTGAAACTTTGACAAAACATTTTTGAAAAGACAATCTTCTAGATATTTCTGAGATTTTAATTCAGATTTACCTGCAATCCAATTTCAACGCCTTTTCACACAACACCAATTCCTTCTCAAAATCCGGTGTTTTCTGTCGCTCCAAAACCCAAGCTCTTTGAAACCAAGCCGAATATGATTTCGGATTTCCTTTTATACATTCATAGGACAAAAACAATTCGCCATTCAAAAGATTATCCAAAACTCTTTGAGAATTTGCCTTTTCCTCTTCAGCGATCTCCGAATTTTCTTGGATTTTCGAATTTTGTTCGATGCGTTTCTCAATCGCGGTTCTACGAATATTCCAAAATGTATAAATATCAGCATTTCTTTCCAAAACTTGTTGAGTCAAAGACAAGATTTCATCATCATATTCATCTGAAAATATTCTAACTTTGAATTTAATTTTTTTAATTAGGAGAAATTAATTTCAAAAATTGACACAAATTTTTCTCGAAATAAAGTTTTGAAAAATGCCCGGAAGGGGCCTATTTTACGGCTTGGGTATATTCTGCAAATCAACCAAAAAATTCAACTCACCATTCTTCCTCTTTTCAACAATTCGATCCCTAACATGCAAATATTGTCTCGATTTCTTATCCTGTTCCTTTTTCTTCGCCGCTTTTTCCTCCTCACTTGTCGGAACTTTCTTCACAAAATGCATAACTTTTCTGAAAATAAAAAAAACTAATAAAATTTTCGAAAAAACGAGAAAATTTCGTAATGACCAAAAAATGGGTGAGTAAACAAACATTTCGAAACGATCGTTTTGTAAACAAAAATATTTTGGAATGAAAATCGACAGCAATAAAAAAAAACGAAATCAAGGTAAATAGCCCAAAAAACTTTATTATGTCTTTCTTTTTTCAAGAAAAAATGCAACAAGATTTAAAAAATAAATAAAAAATTATTATGCAAGAAAGGGTAAGGAATGTTATTGTAAAAGAACTGGGTTTCAAAACTGAAAAATTGTAAAAAAAAAAGCTCGTTACTCATAGGGTTAGACTAGGTACATAATAATTGGTATAAATTTTTTGAAATGTAATTTTTCACCAAAATCCAGTGGACCTGCCACCTGGTGGATTTCTGGGTCCACGATTTGCTCCACCTCCGAAATCAATACTCGATTCCATGGTATGTTTGCGATTCCGATCACGATCGAATTCTCCACTGATTTTCTTGACCGGCGGGCTTGCTCCATTCTGCTTCACACCTCCAGCTTCTCTTTCCACTTTTTGTACATTCGCGCCGAACTGAAAAATATATTTTTTTTGAATTTCCAAAAAAAAAACAAAAAGTTTCGATCACGGCAGGATTCGAACCTACAATCTTCTGCTCCGTAGGCAGACGCGTTATCCATTGCGCCACGCGACCAACTGGCAACACACCAGTCGATGGCATTGAAATAAGCGCCAGCGAAAAAAAAAGAGAGCGCGGGTCAAAAGAGAGCGAGAAAAAAAAGAGAAGAATGGGAAAAGAAGAGAACTTTTTTGAGTGCAACAAAAATAAACACTTACATTATCTCTTCTTCCAATCACACTGAAAAGATAAGGACTGTTTGGTGCTAGAGCCAAGAATCCTGAATTCGGTGCTCCGTTTACAGCAGAACCATTTTTCCAGACAATATTTCCGTTGACAATTGTAGCAATGACCTGGAAAAATTGGACTTTGAATTGGAAAAGGGAATTTTTTCAAAAAAATATTAAAGACCTGATAAATTCCTAGTTTTCAAATTTTCGATTTTCTAAGTTTCTCTAAATATTTTCGAGATATTAATTTTTGCAGATATATTTTCAGAACTCTATACTTCTACAGATCACCTTCTGGCCCCAAAAATATCCATCCTGAACTTACCGCTGAATGAACAGTGACACCATCATATAAGCTAACATCAACTGAAGATTGTGCATCATTTGAAGAAAGCACACGTTTTGCTCCACCATCCCAAATAACAATATCCGCATCAGCTCCAATTGCAATCTTTCCTTTTCTTGGATATAAATTAAACATCTTCGCTGCATTACTTGATGTTACCGCAACAAATCGCATCGGATCAATTCTACCATTTCTCACTGCTTTTTCCCAAACAACAGCCAACCTTTCTTCAGCTCCAGTTGTTCCTTTTGGCATTGTTGTGAAATCTTTGGCAGCAAGTCTGGCAGTCGATGAAATCGCATGATGTCCTGATGTACAAACAGCAAGTGGAGCACTTGAAAGAGCCGAAATAAGTCGATCACTTGCACCTTGTCCTCTTAAAGGAACATCTGTTAGATGCGCGGCAGCTTGTTTCAAATCACGATTCAAATATCCATTTGAATTCGCGACAACTGCAGCTGATGATATTTCAGCATGTGTTACACCTCCATTTGCTCTCGATTTCTCAATTGCTTGAATCGAATCAGCTGATGAAACAGAAATAATCGAAAGTGGACAATTTGCAAATTGTCCAAGGTTACAAATTGTATTCACACGACAATTCTCATATGATTCCGGCCTGGATTGTGGATATCCTTCAGGTCCAGTTACACCAAGAGCCAACATTTTCTTCTCAAGAAATGAGACTGAAGTTGTTGGGAAGAATCGAACATGTGCTCCAAGTTTGCTAGAATGTTCCATGATTTCAAAAATATGCCCATCATCATCAACATCCACTACAAAACTATTCACACCTTCTGATACCAATTTTTCCATATCTGATTTAATTGAATCATTCCAACTATTCAAAACGACCTGGAAAACATTTCAAATTTTTCGATGATTAAAAATAGATTTTAAGTAAAAACCAACCGAAATCGAAACATTGCACGTGGCCTTCTCCAAACTTTGTTTGACTCGTTTGAACGCGGCACTGGGTGATTCTCCATTTTTCGGTGTTACTAATTCAACAATCGTCGCAGTTCCTCCGGCCAAAGCACTTTTGCAACCAACAGCTAAATCATCAGCCGAATCGGGAGCAGTTATTCGTGTGTGCACATCAATTCCAGCTGGTAAAACCATTTTTCCGGTCGCATCGATGATTTCCGCATTTTCCGGAGCCTCGATGTTTGGAGCGACGTTGCTGGAAAAAATTAGAAGTTGGAGAGGATTTTCTTAGAGATATTTTAGATGTTTTCCTAATTGGAATTACAGTTCTTAAGCAACCGCGCCGAGAGAACCACTTTTTATGTGCCAAGCGATGGATCCTAGAAAATGCAAATGTCAAGGAGCAGCGCCTAGAGAGCCTTGTTCCGAAGTAACCGCGCCTAACGAGAACAATTTCAAGATCCTGCGCCGAGAGTAACTCTCTGACAAGAGGCCGCGTCTTGATAGCTTCTGTGCCAAGTAGCCGCGCCTATAGGACATAGTTCCGAAGAACACGTGCCTTAAGAACCTAGGTGTCAATTAGCCGCGCCTAGGGAATTCAAATATCAAGGCTGAGCCTATAGAGCCTAATTCTCAAGTTGCCACGTGTTTAATTGTAATCTGTAGATTTTTTTCAAATTGTGATTTTCCAAAATGTTCAGCTCCGTGAATTGAAGTTGTCAATTTTTTTTCTTGGAATATTTTTTGCACACCCCAAGATCCAAACTCAGAAGCCAGATGTTTTTTTTTCAGGGTGACACACTTATTCCTCACACTAAATGAGGTTGGACAGGTGAGGTGGAAGGATTAGTCAAGGTCCTTCCTTTTTTGGCTTATTCCCTCGTTTTTATGTACTAAATAAAAGGTTTGCTGAACAGACAGACAGAAACAGATAAATAGAGAAAAGGATTGCGAAAGAAATTACGAAATTGTGGCGAGAAAGAGGATTTCGACACAAAAAAAAAAGAAAATAATTAGAGGAAATTAAAAAGTTCGCTATGAACTTTAGGGGAAAAAGAGGAAAATTGGATTTTTCTGAATTTGAAAAATAATTTTTTTCAACAAAAATTATCAATTCATGCAAAAACTTGACAATTATCCTCAAATTTGAACCAAAATTCAAAAAAAAAAGAGCTCTCAAATCTACATTTCCTATTCAAAAAAAAATTCCACATCTTTTCCCATTTCCCCTAACTCACCTAATAATTCCATCAACAATCAAAACATCCGATACAAAAATCGCATCATCATTGATAATTTGAGCATTTCGAATTAGAATCACAACCATTCCACCTTCTCCACTTTTACTTCCACTTTTCTCTTTTTCTTCTCCCAATTCGTTTGTTCGATTCTTCTCTGCGTCACTATCCTCTGCGTCTTTTTCATCTCTCTGATTGTCTGCGTTCTCGTTTTTCGGAGCCCCTCCTCCTCCCCCTCCAAAACCACCAAATGATGAGCCATTTTTGGATGAGCCAACGGGAGAGTCACAAATGTCATCTTCTCCCTCTTTTTGAGCTGTCGGGGAATCGATTTGTTGGAAATGGGAAGCCGAAGAAGAAGAAGAAGATTCTAATTGCTGCAATAAAATGTTGTTTGATGTTTGGAGAAGAAGGAAAAAGGAAATGTGTTTGAATTTCATTGAGTGGAAATCGGATACTTTGGGGGAATGTTTGGAGAAAATTAATTGGAATATTCAAGAGTATAAAAATTTGGTAGTTTTGGGGTGAATTGAGAAAGGCTAGTTCAATTGTTGGGTATTTTTGAAAATTCAAAAATCGAGGTTCAGAAACCATGAAAGGAGAATCAATTTTGTCAAATAGTCGCTAAACTTTAAAATAATTCTGAAAACTTTAATTAATTTCAGGCCCGATTAAATATTGGCCTAAATTTCGACTATTAATTCTAGACAAGAAGGAAACTTTTAGGATATCTTTTCAAAAATTGATGAGAAAAAATGTATGAATATTTGATAGACATTTTTTCTCGCCTTGCAAAAAAAAGGGGTTTCTAGACTCCGAAAAAAAAGTTTACAAAAATTAAAAATTTCCATACCTCTTCTTCCTCCTCTTCTTCTTCATCTGCTCCAATATCAGGTCCGGGTAAACTTTCAAAGTTTTCGAGTTTTTTGCGATCATCTTGCAAAACATCGTGTTTCGCTTCAACCCAATCATCCTCTTCATCATGTTTCGAAGAAAGTCCCGCGTAATCACGACGTTGTTGTTGCAGCAATTTTTCCGCGGGACAATTTGGATCCGGTGGAAGTTCTAAAATAAATAAATATTTGATTCGAAATAAAATAATAAATAAGTATTTACTCACCAATATCAGTCATATCCATTTTTTCAAATCCTTCATACCATTCTGGTCCGGGTTTCGATAGATCAAGCCCTCGCGCATTTTTCAAAGCCCGATTGTAGGCTGCATCATGATCTTCAATTGGTTTAAAGGAGGAACCTGCTCCAAATGCAGATTCACCAGGTGCTGATCCAAAAAGTTCCATCATTCCAGCTGACATATCTAATCCTTTATTTTTATGTCTCGATACTGGAGGAATCGTTTCTTTGACTGGAACGGGAAGTGGAGAGGATTTTTCTGATCGGGCTGATGTAGGCTGAGAGGACGTCTTTGATTTTGCTCGACTATTTGGTCGAGAAGCAGATGCGATTGATAGATTCTGTTCGCTGTTTCGACTTTTCATCGATGAATTATCATCAAAGATTTGCTGAATCTCTTTTTCATCAGTTGTTGGGACAGCACTAGCCGCTGATGTACTTCGACTAACATGCGGAGAATCAGCCATAAATGTTATCTGCACAACTCCTTGCCGTGTTCTGGAAAATAGGGATTTTATAGAATTATAAGAAAATAGTTCTGCAAAACTTACGTGTAACCATTTTTGTGGATCGGTGCCAAAAACGGGAACATTATGAGATCGTCCGCCTACTCGAGAAGCCCTCCTCTAACGCAAAACCCGTGAATAAATAATGAAGAAGCTGAAAAATTAGAATATCACACGTCATTTCAGATTTTGAATATTTTGAAATGAAGAGAGAAACAGAAAATTTGCCATTCAATCGAGGTCACGTTACACGTCTTTTTGAGACCTGACACGATCTTGGGGGTGGGACTAAAATCGACGAAATTCAACGCAAAAACGAGAGATTTAGAGAAAAATGATTTTTGATCTACCCAAAAATTAATGAAAAATTTGAGGTCTAGCGATTTGAGGTAGTAAATTACACCCTGTGTACCCTCGTCATTTCAAAAATTAAATTTTTCACTTTCGAAATGATTTTTTCGGAAAAAAAAACTTCATTTTCTCTATAAGCTTAGGCTTAGTGAACGCCCAAAAAAAATGTTTTTTTTTTCGACAAAATTCGATGTTTCAGATGAAAAACAAGTATTTCTGACATTGTGTGAAAATTTAGAGTTTTTCCTAACAACTAGATCCAAGGATTGATCGCCTCAAAAAATGACAACTGAAATTGAAAAAAAATTTAATTTTTGAAATGACGAGGGTAAATCAGAAAACGTCGAGGGTTAAACACACGAGGGTTGTACAAAATGACGAGGGTTAAACATTCGAGGGTTAGTTGCCGAGGGTTGTACATATGACCACACGTCTTTGCTTCTTTGAAAAATTTCATTTCAAAATCATTTTTTGAAATTTTATTTAGAAATGTCATTTTTGCAAAAATAAAAAGAGGTGGGTCCAAAATCTATAGGAAATCAAGTTGTGGGTGATATTTTTCAAGTCATAAAATTATAATATTCCGCAGGAAAAACCAGAAACTTCAAGAGAAAAGAAAAAAAAACAAAAAAAATTCGATTTTTTCGGGAAGAGGCAAAAGAAGTGTAAACAGCGGAGTATCGTTTTTTTTTTCATTTTTTTCCAAAACGTTTTTCATTTTGCTGTAAACCAGCCAATTTCGAAACAGAAAAAAAACAATCGATTTATTTATTTCTAAATAAAAAGGTCATCACTCCAACAATAGCCACATATATTTCTTCTTTCTCCTCTTCCCGCTAAACTGGCACAATCCCCCGTTCTTTTCATTCAACTCAGCTCGTTTGCCTCTCTGCCTCTCTCCTCTTTTTCAATGAACGCTTGTGAGCTAGAGACGCAGACCATGTTTCTCTCCGCGCTCTCTAACCCTGTCCGTTTCTAGAATCGGAAGCGGGGAGATCACCCGAGCTTTTTTCCGCTTCCTTTTGAAGATGTGATTCTTTATCAATCTGGAAGAGGGACTAGTTTTCTGTCATTTTTGAGACGAACATTTCTATGTTTTTGTTGCGTAATTTTCGATGACTCATCTTTTAAAATTGAAGTTTTTTCAGGCAATAAAATATATTATGTCGGCACAGGAGGTGCAAAAATGTTTACAAAAAGCCGGCAATAAATATATTGATTCTGCGAAGAAGGATATCATTGGTGCACTTCAAGAATTCAAGGTATGCTTTTATTTTCATGTGAGAAAGTTTCACTGAGAGGAAAGATCACTCTAATTTTGGTTTACTAAAGTCCGCTTCTCTTCTAAAAAAAAATTAAAAATTCAAAGCAAAAAACACGTAAAATCAAGGTTGCTCTATCGCACACATAATTTATTTAAAATATTATTTTAGGACCTCCAACCCATCAATCAGGACCATCTTTTCACCGATGGCAAAAGACGCACCGCATTTTGTCTACGAGGAACAATACCAGTTTATTACAAAGGTAGTTGCTATAATATACCTGTCTCAATATTTTTATGGCAAACCCATCCATATTATGCACCTATATGTTTTGTCAATCCAACAGCAACAATGGTCATCAAAGTGAGTTTAAATTCTGGATTTTCCGACCGAAAAAAATCTTACCTTTTAGGAGTCCGAACATGTAAATAAAGAGGGTCGTATATACTTGCCATATTTGAACGAGTGGAGATTCCCAGGACACGATCTGAATGGTTTATTAAATATAAGTTTTTTTGATTGATTGGGGAAGAAAAGAGGGAAAAGCATTGTCCAAAAGACTATTATTTTATGAGTCATGGCGTCTTTTCTCATTCATTTAGATGATGTGTCCCTCAAACATAAACTTTTCCCCCTCTAACACAAAAATATTTTTTTCACGTGATGTCAATGATCTTCCAAGAGAAGTGTCCAGTATTTGCTCGATCTTCATCAACAACTTCCACCCAACAACCAACGCCAACAACAACATCGAGTAATTCGCAACCAACACCTTATCCAGCAACACCATCAATGCCGACGCCATATCCGGCAACATCTACAGCTGGAATCACGCCATATCCTCAAACTAATGTTCCATATCCAATTGGTGCAGGCGCTGGTTATAAGTGAGTTTTTTTTCCAAAATCTTTAACATACAATTCTAATTTTTCAGCCCATATATGAATGTGCCAAATACAACACCATCAGCAGTTCCATATCCATCTGCCGGAATGACTCCATATCCATCAATTCCAGCTCGACCACCAGCACCAACAAATCGAAGCACATCGATGGCTGGAATTGGACAAGACACGATAAGAGATTCATTGTTATCAGCACTCAATGAGAAGCTTAGAGTTAGAGTGTCTGATTTTATAGGTTGGTGGAAAGAAAGAGAATTGTAAGAAAAATATGACTATATATATATTTATAGGAACAGGGAGCGCGGAATTAGCATCAATTCAATCAACGGAAAGAGAATTACGAGATGGACAATTGAAATTGAAAAGAATGGTTGAGGAATTGGAATCGCAAAGGAATAGCTTGCAAACTGCTGTTGAATTGTATTCGGTGAGTTTTTTCAAAAAAAAACATTTTGATAAATATGAAAATATTATTGGTAGAAAAAAAAAATCAATATTTTCTTCCAGTCCAAAAAAGCGGAACTCTCGAAAGCTCTCCAAGATGCTGGTGGAACTGAAGCTCCACCAATCGATGAAGCAATCAATGCCTCAACTCCACTTCATCGACAAATTGTCACAAATTATGCAAAAGATTTGACATGTGATGATGTTATTTATTCACTCGGTTCGTTTTTGGAACATTTTTTGGGGGAAAATCCGAATATTTTTTTGATTAGAGATAGCTTGAAATTGAGAGAGCCTAGACAGAAAATCACCCAAAAAAGTTATTTTCTGTCTTGACTCTCTCAATTTTACGCTATCTCTAATTCAGTTTTTTTTTCAAAATATTTTTCCACACATTGAAACCCATTTTGCAGGCCAATCACTTAAAAAGGGTAATCTAACATTGTCGGATTATCTTCGACGAGTTCGCGATGTTTCGCGAGAGCAATTTATCTATAGAGCAACAATGCAAAAATGTCGACGGGTAGCCGGTCTGCCAATCTAACCATGATATGTTTTTTTTGCCTTCCCCACACAAATTATTTTATTCGATTCTTTCGCTTGTGATATACTTTACCTTTTTTGCACACATCGAATATTCTCTATTTTCCCCCATTTTTTGCCATTTCGCCCCGTGAATTGCTTTTTTTTTCGTCGTTGTGTATAATAGGTATAATCTTTGGGTATTTATCTCATTTTCTTCCAACCAATCATTTTCAGTCCTGATTCGTTTTCTTTTAAATATTTTTTATTTATATTCAAATTTGATTTCACTCACTTTTTATCCGTTCTGAAACGGTGAAATATCTCAAAGTTCCCTTGGGGAAAAAATAAGAAAATCATTTTTTTCAGCCAGTTTTTCAATATTTTCAACGACTAATTTTAACGAGTTCTAACGAGTAGCTGAGTTTTTTTTATATTGAAAGAGGTTAGTTTTTTTTTGGGGAATTTTCGAGAATACCTGAAATCGGATCATATGAACAAGATTTTTAATAGAGATTTGGACCATTTTCCAAAAAAATCGATAATTTGGTGCTTGAATGGGACAATTTTCAAAAATCGGTTCAATTCAGAATTTTTGTAAAAAAAAATCGAACCTGGTCTGATTTCAGATATCCTCAATTGGGTTAGATTAAAAAAATATAAAAGTAGGTATATTTTTTCCAAAAACAAAAACAATACTTCTTTTGTTTCGCTTTCGCAAAGTCCATTTAGAGAAATGTTTTTTGTTGTTTTGCAAAAAAAATATCACCCAAAACGCACGGCCTTTTAAAAAAATGTTTTTCAAAATTTTCCGAATTCAATGACGTTTCCTATTATTTTTTCGAGCTTTGAATTTGTCTCAAAGGTATTATCTTGTTTTCTCGATTTACCCAATAAAAGGCCGTGATCAAACAAAAGTTGATAAATAATTTGTGTTTCAGAATGCAAGCAATAAAGTGTGTAGTAGTTGGAGATGGAGCTGTCGGTAAAACGTGTCTTCTCATCTCATATACAACTAATGCTTTTCCTGGAGAATATATTCCTACGGTTGGTTGATCTTTTTTGAAATTTGAAAATGTTTGGGGTGAAAAATTATTCAAAATTTGATTTTTCTTTCATCAGTTTTCAAGCTTAGCTAAGTGCTGATTAAAAATCTTGAAATGCAGAAATTCGCTGATTCTTCAGGATTATTTTTGGAATTAATTCAAATGTAAAATTGACGTTTTGAATATTAAGAAGAAAATTTGAATTTTTGAAATTTTCTGTGTGAAAAACTCGAGATTTTCTAACTCCAATCTCACATTCAAACTTCCTCACAAAATTATATTTTTTCAGGTATTCGACAACTATTCGGCAAATGTAATGGTCGACGGCCGACCAATAAATCTGGGACTTTGGGATACAGCCGGACAAGAAGATTACGATCGACTCAGACCGTTGTCATATCCACAAACCGATGTTTTCCTAGTCTGTTTTTCGTTAGTCAATCCGGCTAGTTTTGAAAATGTTAGAGCGAAATGGTGAGAAAAATTGAAATGTTAAAAATAATAAAGATAAGATTTTGTAGGTTCCCAGAAGTATCGCATCACTGCCCAAACACACCGATTATTTTGGTTGGAACAAAAGCTGATCTCAGAGAGGATAGGGATACTGTTGAAAGGCGGGTTGAGATTTTTTGAAGGGAAAAATTGAATTTTGAAACTTTTATAATGTATATTTTTCAAAAAATTGTCGGAATTCAAAAAAATTTGAAAAACAATATTTTTGTGCACAAAATAGGCTTATTTTGAATTTTGAGATGATAACTTTAAACTGAAATTTTCAGATGTAATTTTTGAAAAATTTTAAAAAGTCCAATAAAATAGGAACTTTGTTTCAAAAAATTGAATTTCGAATTTTTTTCTACGAAAAATCAGACAGAAACTTGTAAAAAAACAAAAAATTCAAACGCCTATGTATTCAAAAAAATTATGTATTCAAAAAATTCAAACGCCTATGTATTCTAAAAATACTAGAAAATTTTACTAGGAATGAAAATTGACCAAAATTGCTTTTCCAAAACTTATTTTTCTTCAGACTTCGCGAACGCCGTTTGACACCAATCAGTCAAACTCAAGGATACGTAATGGCCAGAGAAATCAAAGCAGTCAAATATCTCGAATGCTCAGCTTTGACTCAACGTGGATTGAAACAAGTTTTCGATGAAGCAATTCGCGCTGTTCTCACTCCACCACAAAGACCAAGAAAAAACAGATGCGATCTTTTGTAACTGATTATTTGAATTTTGATATATTCTACTACGCAAATATTTCAACAATATATATTTTTTAATTTTTATTAAGTATATTTGCTCAAAAAATCTGTTTTTGTTGTTTTTTTCCATTAAAACACACTGTGATGTATCTATTATATAACCGTTTTGCTCCTTTTTTTTCTTCTTCTTCTTCTTCTCATTCATTATCAATTATCCTCTTTTTTCTAAGCCTTCTCGTCATTTCGCTTCTCTTTTTCTTATTCACCATAATCAAACAAATCAACCCCCAAAATGTCGGTCACACCAATGCCTTTTTTCTTTTCGATTTGCAGCTATTTTTGCGAACTTTTTTGTTTAGGAAGAGTTTTATTTTATTTTATTTATCCTCTTATTTTCTTATTTTTTCATTGCAAAATAAACTGTTTGATATACTTTTTTGGATTTTTAAATGAAAGTTGGACTTGTGATTGACGATATTAAAATAATTTTATTTATCAATGAATTTTTTGAAATTTTAAAAATTTAGAATGTCTACAAAATCCGCGAAAATAAATGAATTGTTGAATCGAAAACGGAAAATTCAAGAGGAAAAAGTAGAGGTTGGTTTAAGAATTTTTGAAATATTTTTTTTAAAAGTTGAAATTCAGATTCCAAAATTGAAAGATTCTGGAAAAAATTTAGTTTCGAAGAAATATGTTTTGGATTTTCTGAATATTTTCCAGTTTTTTTTTAAATTTTATTTTCAGAAAGCCAGATTTTCAAAATAAAATTGCAATTGCCGAAAAAATTGATAAATGTTTTCAGCCCCAAAAAAATTATGAAATTTTACCGAAATTTTTTTTTTCAAAATTCAAAACTTCAAATCATCCCAAAAATTCAGGAACCCTCGCCTTCAACTTCAAATCCCACACCAGACCCAAAACCTTTGGAAGAAAAGGACGAAAAAACTGAAAAAGCCAAAAAAGCCCTGTTATTCGAAGCAAAACGAGCAAAAGAAAGATCGGATTCAATGGGACCACAAGGATGGATTCGACCAAAATGTTTGGAAACAAATAAGAGATTTCTACAAAATACGTTGAAATCAACATTGACTAGGAAAGAACGAGAAAGGCTGAATGGGAAATGAAAATAAAATGTGAGAAATCAAAGCTATTTATATCAATTAAAAATAAACATTTACTGATTTTGAAATTGAAAATACTTACAAAAGTGCTTACTTACTTATGTACAAGATTCACATATAAATTTATCAACTTATTTTTACTATTACCATTTTAGAAGCGTTCATTGTAGGTGATAATTTCTTTGCTTGGATATTCGGTGGTATATTTGATGGTAACAGTTTGTTTTGCACCGGCTGCCAATTTCACAGTGTATTCAAGAATATTATCCTTGGTGAGAATTGCTCCTTCAGTTGGAACTGTTGATTGTTCAGCTTCGACAGCATTTGGAGTGAGAAGATTGACAATAATTCGAGAATCAGTGCTTCTTGGAAGTTGATCAACAACAGTTACCAAAACATCTTCGGATTTCAAGTTTGTCAAAACAGCGGTTTTTTCAGTTGATTGTTGAATTGTTTTTGTAACATCTCCAGTTTCTTGCTTGAATTCTTTAACTGGCGAATATTCGACAGTTAAAGATGGATCAACACCCAATGGAAGAGCCAATTTTTGATTGACAACAACATCGTCGATTTCGGTTTTTGTGACAAATGTTCCATCGAGGAAGATTGAAGCGGTTCCAGCGACCAATGGATATTCAGAAGTGTTGAGGGTATTTGCGACCAAAAATGTGGTTTTATTTTTGGATGGAACTGTTGTGTAACTGAGTTTGGCGGTGAAATCAATGACACCAACTGTCACTTTATATTCATCAGTTCTGTTATCAATTGTGGCTGGACGTTCGATAAGGAATTCCGATGAGACATTGCTCTTACGAACGGTGGCAGTTTTACGAGCCATGCTTCTTCCCAGCATTGGAGCAGAATAACTTTCGCAAGCCAAAACTTGGTTATATTGTCTGGAAAATTACAAATTTCATTTTAAAACAAATCCAGGTTTGCTTTACTTACCGAACTGGCTCATCAACATAAATCGAAGCCTCCAAAGTCCCCAATTTTGGCAAACTTTGTGCTCCTCTCGATGGTTTAGCAGTCGAAAGAATCAATGGAATACCATTCCAGATTTCTCCACTATATTGACGAATATTTCCATAATAAGTAATATTTAATTGTGGTTCATCTCCAGTTGTAACTCGAACATCATATGATGGAGTCCATGAAACATTGTGAACTTGGTAGATCACATCAAGATCAACTTGACTGTTTTCGGTTGATTCGATGACAACAGTTGCATATTGAGTGCTTCCACGATGATGATAACCAGTGTTGTCGTAGGCTTCGCGGGCATTGTTTAAAGCTTTTTCAGCGTTTCGCAATTCGATGTCTACTTGACGAACTTCTGCAAAATTTTTTTTAGAATTACTTATAAGTACATCAAAATAATTCTCAAACTTACGTTCTCTGAGATCTTGTCCTTGTTTTTGATAATAAGCATAAAGAGTTCCAAGACTTTCGACAGTTTGATTATTAAAAACGAATCCAGAATTGCTGCTTGTTTGTTTTCCAGCATCTTCGATTAATTTGTCCAACGCCCCGATTTGTTTTTCGATAAGATTTTTCTTATCGGCAACACGATCTCTTTCAGATTCTCGAGTTTCATAGGCGTTCTTGAGAAGTGTCACTTTTTCCGGGATGAACATATCATCTCCGTGTTGTTGTTTGACAGTCACATCATGAAGAATCGCATTTCCAGTTCCGGAAATTCTCAAAGTTTCTTCGACGAGTTCAAGTGGCAAATTGAGGATTTTCACCTCATTCAAACCAGCCGACAAGTCGATTTGAGTTTTTCGGGTAATTTGGGCGCAATTCGATGAGCTGTCATAAATGATTGCTTGAGCAATTGACAAATTGTCGAGTTGCAATTGATGAGTAGCAGAGAAAGACATTCTGAAATCAAAGAAGATAAGTATTTAAGTTGACAAGATCGAAAAACCAAAGTATTTCGAAACAAACAAACAACAAACAAAATGCTGTCAGGCAAAAGGGCGTTCATTTCGTCGCTCTTTTATAGGCGCACTTTTGAAATGAGAGACACAGACAATCAGAAGAAACGAAGAATGAGTAAGAAGACATAAAAAATAACTCTGTTGGTCGAGAGAAAAACTCTGAAATGTGTTCTATTTGAACGATTTTTTGAAGAAGGAAGTGGGAAAAAGAAGAGATGATCGATAGTCTCGGTCTACTTTCATCAGAAAATAGATAGATAGAAGGACATAAATTTGAAGAGAAACACATTCATAAAATAAAACATTTTGTGTATTTCTACAGCAAAAGAGTTTGTTTCACAATAGTTTCCTTGGTGACTAATGAAAATGCAAAAAAGTTGGGAGCGAGAAAAAACACGCATTTTTTTTCTGAAGAAAAAACGGCAACGCCAGTTTAAAGGGACATGAACCGTTTGTAATGAAAAAACTCAGATTGGCTGAACCATATAAAAAGTTACATACACCATTCGAATCTACGTAAAAAACTGCATCGAAATAAGGTTCGAGTGGTGGATTTAGTGTAACTTTTTTCTCGCGGTATTCGTTACGGGACCCAATTGGTTTTTCGAAAAAAAACCAATTTTCCTTTAAGAGAGAGCGTGCGAAAAAGAGAGACGCTATTGCGCAGAGACATTTTGTGTGCAAACACGCTGACGCACAAATGCACCACACACGTAGGGGTTCACACCGTAGTTTTTTCAGCAATTTCCTCGCTTGAAAATACGTGAAAAGAAAAAGAAAAAAAATAAAAATGAAAAAACATTTGTAAAAGTCGTGGCGTGACTCACACACAGAATATTTGTGTACCTTTAACTACCGTACTTTTTTAAATTTATTTTTCCAGGAATAATAATTCATTTCATTTTTGTTCATTGCATGCACAGCCCGGATATGCGTACCTAATTTTTTTTGTGTGTGCGACACCCTGCTCCCGCTGTCTGCGCTCTGCCCGCGGGGCGAAATAATTGTGTGTTTGAATTTCTCAATTCATTATTTTGTGAATTTACACGTTTTTATACTTCAATAATAATTCACACAAGGAACATTGTATATGATAAAGTAGAGGAAGATGAAAGGAAGACAGAGAAATGAAATTCAAACTTATTTTTGAAATTTTGAAGGCTGTAAAATTGAATACAAAAATAATGAATGTATGCATTGGTAAAGTTAGGCAAACTTCTGTAATTTTGCACAACTTTTTCTAGTTTTCAGTTATTTAAGACTTTCGAATACGGCGATTAATATGAACTAGGTCTCGTTTTGAAGTAAATGTTTTGTGAATCACTTTTTGGGTGTTGAAATTGATTGAATATCAACACCCAAAAAATGCTTCAAGACCACGAAAGTGATTCACAGAACGTTTACCTCGGAATAAGACCCATTTTACGTTAATCTACGTATAAAATAGTCATAAATAACAAAAAACTAGAAAAAGTTGTGCAACATTACTCAACTTTTTCTAAATTTCATGATTTCAAACAAAAATCCACACCCAAGCAATTTCAAGACCCCAAAAATGACTCACGAAACATTTACCTAGAAACAAGACCTAGTTTATGTTAATCTACGTATAAAATAGTGCTAAATATCAAAAATATAGAAAAAGTTGTGCAAAATTACAAAAGTTTGCCTAGCTTGACTAATTTTGTACTGAAAAATCGACATCCTAGCGATTTCAAGACCCAAAAAGTAACTCATAGAACATTTACATCAGAACGAGACCTAGTTCACATTAATCGCCGTATTCGAAAGTCTTAAATAACTGAAAACTAGAAAAAGTTGTGCAAAATTACAGAAGTTTGCCTAACTTGATCAATTTCGAACATTCAATGATTTCTTTTTCAATTTTACGACCCTAAAAATTTCAAAAATACATGTTAAATGTATTTCTCTGCCTTCCTTTCATCTTCCTCTACCTTCTCATATACAATTTTCCCTGGGAATTATTCGAAATTCCTGAACAAATTTCGAAAAAAAGAATGAAAAAAAAATTAAAGAAAAAAAAACACACAACGACACACCACAGATCCCGCTCCCCCCTTTGCATCTTATTTAGCGCGCTGCGAGACCATTTTCTCCTCTACCTGTCTGCCCGTCGCACACAAATTTTTTTTTGGGTACGCTTTTCCGGGCTGTTTCCGGCTTTTTTGCATGCAAAAAACAAGATTGTTAACAAATGTTTATTCAACACACAGATAATTCAGTAAAAAATTATCAATTTAAGCTGGAAGTGGCAATTTGAAAGTGGTGCAAGTGTTGCGAATCTTCCATTGCCCATCTTCTTTGACCCAAACAGTCAAGTTCCATCCATTTTTGTCACCTCCCGGGAGTTTGACAACCAAACTCGACCGATCGATAACAACATCCCCGATTTGAACAACTTCGTCGACAGTTGATTCGATGTCAGCTTTGACTAAAGCATCAACTTTTCCACTTTTAGCCAAAGCTAAAGCTTCTTCAGCTTTGTGAGGCTCATGGAATGGACCAATGAAGACGGAATCTTTAGCAGCAAAGCGTTTTGCGAATTCATCATGCTTTGCAGCATTTTTCAATGCCTTCATTTCATCGTGGAGTTTTTGAAATTCGGCTTTCGCTGAAATGAATATTATTTTGATTCTAGCAAAAGCTTTTCAGAGGCGAAGAAAACTTACACATTTTCAGAGGCTCTCAACTCAGCAACTGAATGAAACCCCGCCTTCGATCTCTGTTTATATACACAATGTTTCGTATAGTTAATTGATATCTCATCTGAAACCATGACAACTGCAGAGCTGAAATTTCAGGTGTTCGTTCGGCGAAAACGAAAAAATCAAAACTTTAGTTGGTTGAACATTGATTTGAGCATTTATTAGTCAGAGAGCGGAGGAATCATAAAATATTTGAGAACAAAAATGGGATTCTGGAATGAAAAAAGATCTATAAAAATCAGGATATTTGAGAATGTGGATTCTTACTAAATTTTACCAAAACGAATTTCGGGGGTTCGCCAAACTTTTTGAAACTTTTTTTTGGAACCACATTTTTAGAGCCAATTTCAAAAAAATTTCAAAGACCCCATCAATTTTTTTCTGAAATTGACATAACTTCCTCCAGCTGCGTTGAGGGTTACTGTAGCCCATATTAGTTCCGGGATTCCAAAGTTTTTTTTTAAATTTTTGTTCAGTTCTCAAAAGTACATGTTCTCATTTTTTTCTAGACAAATCAAATTACGCTACATGAAAATTCTCCCATGCACAAACCACGAGTTCAACACATAAACTACAACCAAAAATGAATTCCAGAGTTTGGTTTTTGCCAAAACTTTTTGAAACCTTTTTTTGGAATGTTTCAAAAACAACATTTCTCGAATTTATTCAGATCAGTTTTTGGAAAAAAACATCCAAAAACCACTTGATTTTAATTTAAAATTATTTTTATATTAGGAAATTTTAGTAGAATAATTTGAATTGTTTCGAGCTTGAAAGATCCAATGGGTTACTGTAGTCCACGCGTGTGTTTTTTCCAACATTTTTGTTCAGTTCTCAAAAGTACATGTTCTCATTTTTTTCTAGACACATAAAATTATGCTACATGAAAATTCCCATGCACATTGTGCATTGCACAAACCACGAGTTCAACACAAAAACTACAACCTAATACATAGATATTTCTTCAAAATCTTCATCTATTCATTTCAAAACTATTCACATTTGTTCAACATATTCCTGATAAACTTTCACAATTTTCTCCAAATGTTCATCATTAACTCCCCAATTCAAAACCATTCGAATGCGTTTTGTATCAAATGCCATCACCAAAACATCTCGTTCTTGGAAAAATGCGGTGAATTTCTGAACATTGTCGCAATGCACCAAAACCATGTTTGTTATATCCTTGTCTTGCGCAAATATTCTCTGAAAATCTCATATAAACTACAAAATGCACAATGTGCATTGAAGCCCCAAAATTGAGCTCGTGAGAAAACGAAAATGCCAAATTTTTTTTCAGAAAAAAAACTAATAATCTCACCGATCTTTTGTCGCTCGGTGTTACATCATTAATCATTTTGGCCAACTTCACAGCCCGTTGATTATCCCTAGTTATCGTAACTTCCGCATTATCCAAAGCTACATGAGCAGCAGCTGCTAAAACACCACTTTGCCGCCAGCCTCCACCAATAGCTTTTCGAATATGACGAGCTTTATCAATGAATTCCAAAGGTCCGACGATAATTGAGCCGATTGGAGCACCAAGTCCTTTTGAAAAACACATTTGAACAGTATCCGCGTATGATGAGATTTCAGCGACTGAGAGTTTTTGAAGCAATTGCAGCATTGTAGATTCGGGCTCCATCCATATGAACTTTCAAATTGTGTTTTTGAGCAAGTTTTTGTACGGAGCTGGAAAAAAAAGTTTTGTTGGATGTACTTGATTTGTCGAGGTCCCGATTTTGAAAATTGCCACATTTTTTTGAAAAAGAAATCGGACCTTAAAAAATTGGAACATTGGCGTGTGATTGGAATATGACTTTAAAAAGTTGGTCCGATTTAGAATTTTTCTAAAAAATCTGACTATGCTGGATTTTTTTGGTGATTTCCTCAAAAATTTCCCAGATTTTTCTATAAAATGTTACCTCATCCATTCAACTGGCAATGCTTTTCCACCCGTAAAATTATGAGTATTCTCAATACAAATCAAACGAGTTGCTGGCATATGACAATCCTGAAAAAATAAAGATTATTTTGGTATGGAAAATTTTGCGAAAATTTTCATTTTTTCCAACTTACGAATCCATACCAACACTTTTTTCATAAAAAATTTCATATTTCTAAATCTTTCATATTTCTAATACCCTGTAATAAAATATATATATTTTTTCTTACTGGAATGTGAACAATATCTGAATCTTCTTCTTGAATTTTATAATCTTTATCACTATAACCCGCCTTTACTCTAATCGCCTCCTCAATTTCAGCTAAATTCATTGTTCCATCATCGTTGCAGTTCAAAGTTGTTGCACTGATACCTGAATAATTTTTTAAAAATAAATTTGAAAATAATTTACAAAAAAAATTTCCAACCTCCAATTTGCGCATAATTTCCTTGTTCCCATCGATGAATATGATTATGTTTTCCAACAATAATTTCATCACCTCTTTGACAATGTGCCATTACAGCTAATAAATTTCCCATAGTTCCGGAAACTACAAAAAGGCCAGCTTCTTTTCCGAAAAGTTTTGCGCATCGATTTTCGAGATTGATTGTTGTTTGATCCTCTTTATAAACATCATCACCTACAATCGAATTGGCCATTGCTTTTCGCATTTCATCTGATGGTTGGGTTACCTGAAAAAATTGTAAATAACCTTATTTTATTTTTCTCCAAATATTATTTTTCAGTTAAAAATTCTACCAGTTTACTGGAGAAGAATACTGATATCGATTATCTATTCAAATCAGGGATTTTGGATTCCATCTTGCAAAAAATCATAATTTTCAGAAAACTACAGTAATCTTTATTTATTCTTCGCAACACACATTTTGATACTGTATTAAAGGAGCGTACGAAAGAAGCACACATCGTTGTAGGACTCGATAAGTACAGTAACCACTGTGCACCGCCTATGGCTTTCATTTTTTGTTTTTTTTTTCGCGTTTTTTCTCGTTTTGCCGCTTGAACCTTGTAGGAGAGAAGTTTGTCATTTACAAGTGTTCGTTAATTTTTCAAACTGCGTGGATTTCACTCATTTTTAAGCACGCTTTAGTAATTTTTTAGGTGGAAAACCTTTACATTCTTTTTTGATGTCTTCGAAATTATTTTCTCTTTCCAATATTTTTAGGTCTTACTTTATAAGTGGGGCGACTCGCTCGAGATTGTAGCGACTTGCCCTGTTTTGGCCCCGTTATTCAGCAACTCGCCCGGAACACGCTAAATTTGCGGCAAGTTGCCCGGAACTCGCCACTTTTGAGGCGCTCTTGGGGCAACTCGCTGCAAAACGAGTCTCGACAAAAAGTGTAGCGAGTCGCCCCGAGCTATGTCGTTTTTTGGCCGAGTATTTCTTACAAATTTTCATAGTTTCAGAACATTCTCTCTGATCATGGCTCCAGCTGAATCAACACCTCGGAATACTGGAACTTATGCTGATGATAGTGTTTTGAGTCAAAATGACATCATCACCGATGCGGTAAATCCTAGTTGTGTTTTCTACCAAAAGAAGCCCGATTTTGATTTCAGAAATGGTGTCAATCTTTCCCTCAATCATTGGCCGATGAGACGAGCTCTTCAAAGTTTATGATTCGAGCAATGTTTGTTGCATTCTCGTGCGTTATCAGATATCGTAAAATTCTCGGAGAGGAGTGCTTCAAATCGAATTACATCGCCGATAAAATGAAGATTCGATCATTGAGCTTCGAAAACAATGAATCATTGACAATTTCTCAACATTTGAGATCTGCTGGTGATGCGATAAAAGAGGGAGCACTTGAAGAATTGGCGATGGTTGTGACACAGAAAGAGGGAGACGTCGAAGCATTGGAAGTTTTTTCGTGGAAAATGCACTATGACGAGTATAATAATCCATCTGCAGTTTTATCGTGAGTTTTACATTGTATTAGACATTGAAAGAAAACCTCTTCAGACTTGATGCTTCAAATAATTCGCCGATTTCTCAACTCAGTAAAATTGGCTATGCGGGATCGAAATCTGTTCGCGATCAGTTGGTTCTTTTGGTTCGCAGTTTGCAAGTTGTTTGCCAAAAGATTCTCGCACCTCTTCCAGAAAATGTTTCTATCAATTTCCGTATGTCATACATGGATCGTAAGTAAACAATTAAAACTTCTAATTAACAATCTGAATTTATCAGATGTTCATTCTGACTATAAAGCCGATGGATTCAAAGAAACAACAACTTTCTACACGCTTCCTGAAGACTGTCAAATAGCTTCACTTGGTCAACTTCGTCCAGGTCATCATGGATGTGATCTTTCATGTTCAAGTGTTTATATGAACGATTCATATGAAGCTGAACTGGTTCTGAAGAAGTATGCTGAAAAATGTGCTGATTCTCTGGGATACGACGTGCCAAACACTTTGTATCAATCATTCGTGTCTGACGCCAATGCTACTCGAGTTTCAACTGAGAAAACACCTGAACAACCGATCGAAAGTCCAAAAACCCCAGAAGAGGATTTAGTTGTAAGATTATTCTATCAGATTATTTTTTATCAATGACGAATTTTTTTATAGGAAAAAGTTGAATCGGTCAAGTTGAAAGATTCGCCAGTTAAAAATGTTCGAGGAAGAAGAAAGAGAGGACAGGTAATTCTATAGAATCTGAAATTTGATTTTTAAAAAGCCAACTAATTTCAGGTTTCTGACAAGATTGCTGAAAAACCAATTCCAGTTGAGGAAAGAAGAACAACTAGATATGGACGTGTTCGCTCAGTCAGTGTTATTTCGCCGGAAAAAAGATCGAAAAGAAATCTGTAAAATATCAAAAAAACCTAATCGTGTAATATAATAGCATGTGAATGATCAAATTTCTAAAAGTTTCATAGTTTTAATTTCTGTATTTGTTTTTTTAGATGAAAACTATTATTTTAACCTGGATTACCCTAACTCACTGTATCCGATCGCAAATCAATACTTCTTTCATTTCTATTCGAAGTTTGTGTATAAGCTGATGGCTGAAATTCGAATAATAGATATTGTTGATATTTGGAATAACTCACCGGTTGTGTCGACATATTTCTAGTCAGCAATTGGAATCGACCTAAAATGATCAAAAATCGGTTTTTCTATGAGAATGGAACTAAAATGAAAAATGATGAGAATAAATATACGAACCTGCAAGAATTCGTATCATTTTTCAATTATTGGCTGTTTGATTGATAAGAATACACATAGTAATGTTTCAAGGAAACTAGAGATCAAATGAGTGCATATAAAAGAAAGTACTTACTTGTCAAATTTCGAATTCTCGTCATCCTCGCAAAAATCTGAAGTTGAACCATTTCAAAATCGAGTAGAAAAACAAAATAACCGCTTTTTTTGTCAAAAATCCCCCAAATATAATCTAGTTCACGTTTAAAATTTGACGTGTTTATTTTTTTGTATTAATTGTAAATCAAACTTCAACAAATAGAAAATGTACAAAATTCACAATCAGTAAGCATAAATTTACAGCAGAATAGGTGAGGGAAAACAAAGTTTACATTGATCCAAAATTATCATTTGAAGCGACTGCTTGTTGACAAATGCGCTCCAATTCATCGATACGGTTTTGGCTTGCGGCCAATTGGCGAGTACTTTCTACTTGATCCTGGAAATTTAGAAAGGTTTTTGGATGAATCTAATAATTTCGGATTTGATGAGCACACTGAAAGTAACTCGATGGACTAGGTTTTTAGCCGAGTCCAAATTGAAAAAAAAATTATTTTGGTACGAATTTCAAACTTTTTCATAAAAAAAAACCTAACTCATATTCTATCTTCGGATCAAAAATTATAGAAATAATTAATTTGTTGGAAAGTTGTGAAAGAAAACAGGATTTGCCTGGAAATCTGATTTGAAAACGATCAACTTCTGAATTCAGATATTCTGCACTTCAAAAGCTCTTCAAACGTTCACACAGCATTTTGTTAAATTCAAAAATCTAATTTTCTAACAAAAAAAGCTCACTTCACGCAAAACCTGTACAATTTGTTCGTGATTTGTCGATTCCTCTTTAATCAAATCCAACGTCTTTTGTGTGTTTTTCAATTCCTCGCGGATTTTCATCAACTGAAAATAGGGATTTTTGAAAAATGAATTCGGAATTCGGAAAAAAAAACTTACCTCTTTTTCCAATTGCAAAGCATAATCATTTTTATCAGCCAATTGTTTTGCAATAATTGAAACTGGAACATCGATGGCATTTCCTTTGAGTTGATTTTCATACATTTTACGTAACTCGGTTTGTTCGATACGTTTTGCGACTTCAAAATCGAGTTTTTCTCTGGAAATTAATTAATTATGATACAAGAGTGTGAGAAAAATTGGAATTTTTTCAAGCCAAAAAAAAAAAAACAGTTGGGAAATTTTTTCTCAAATCGGGTATGCTTAAAAATTCCAAATTTCAAAAAAAAAAGTACCTCAACATCTTGTTTTCTTCGGTCAATCGATCAACAATAGTTTTTTCATCTCGATAACTGTGTTTTTCCGCATTTTCTTTCCAAATTTGAGCGCATTGACTTGTCGCAGCCAATTGAGATTTCAATTCTTCAACAATAGCTTCAGATTCTCTCAATTTCAAACTATATTCTGATTGAATATCTGTCAAGTTTTTCAATTGTTCTTCCTTTTGTTCCTTCAACAATTTTTCGACTTCTTCTTTCTTCAAAACTTCAAATTCTTCCATTAGTTTCTCAATCTTCTCATTTTTCTCTTTCAATAATATTTCGATTTCTTCTTTTTTCAATGTTTCAAACTCTTCCATTTGTTTCTTAAATTCTTCTTTTTGTTCTTCCAACAATTTTTCAACTTCGAATTTTTCGGAATTTTTCAATTCCTCAATTTTCAAAGTTTGAATATCGAGTCGTTTTTTGAGTTCTCCAACATAAATAATCGAATTCTTCAAAGCTTGTTCAGCTTCTTCCAAGTTTAAATGAATCAAAGATTCTGGTTGAATAGAAGAACTCTCAGATCCAGGAATAATTGAAACATCGTGAAGTGTATTGTTGATCGAAGAGGCGACCGATCTTTTGTCGTTTTCTTCAATTTTTCTTTCTTCTGCAACAACAGAACCGGCAAGAATCGGAGTTTCGAAGCTGAAAATTTGGGATTTTTTACTAGAAAACTATACTCACAATCAAATTATTGAAAAAGTTGAATATTTTTCGTGTGAAACAAAAATTGGAAGCTTTTTTCATTGAATTAGAAATGAAATCTTCAGAAGTCTTAGTTCACCTTGGTTTTTGTGATGCAAGTGGTTCGGCCAAACTATGATTCTCAATTGGCGAAAAAACATAATTGGGTGGAAGCGAAATTTTATCGATTCGAATAGTTTGTTGCATTGTCCAAGCCTCATTTTCATTTGTTTCATCTTCAGCTCCTTCTATTATCTCAAACTCATCATTTACCAACGAATCCATCACTTCCGACATTTTTTATCTGGAAAAATGGAGTATTTATGAAACAAATAAACAACTTTATTTTCCAAGAACTCGAGAAGAAAACAAATATTTAAAAAGTGCTAAAAATATATGAAAAATCTCGAAAAAAAAAGTAATACAATTTTTTCGTTGGTCAGGTCACAAAAAAGAATTTGTGTAAAAAAAACAGAAAGAAAGAAAGTAGGAGAATCATGTGTTTCGCATGAAGAAAAATGAAAAAAAGAGAGAAAAGAGTGAGCAGAGAAACATTGTGAAATATTGAATTGAAGAGATGTTTACCCAAAGTACTTTCAAAAAAAACTTATTTACTTTCTGATATCTCAATTTTATTTGCATAAACTGTATGAGTTTTAGATAACGAAGACTTGTTTTTATTTTAAAATTTTTGTTAATTTCAAAATCAACCATCACGATAAATTGAAAGTGACTGAAAAATAGATGGGAAACATTGTAAAGGGTCAACAAAAAATTTAGCAATAGAAATTACTCAAAAAATCGATTTTTAGAGAAAGAAGAAGAAGAACACTAGTTTTCGAAGAGAGAATTGAAAAATGTAAAGAAAACTGATGACTCAACTGATTGTGAAATATTTGTTGTTCTAAAATCATCAGGACGGCATATTATAAATCAATGAATGATAAGAAGGCCCAGCCCGAAAAAAAAAGAAAAAAAAATTCGATTTTCGTCAAATGGTTATGGTGTTTGCAGAAATTGCACACATTTTCTAGAGCTACAGTACTTTTGCGCGGAGAAAAAAATAATCGCAAAAATAATACTAAATAGAAGTCTAAACCTAAAAATACCAGCCTGGAATACAAAGAGCTATACTCCTGAACAAAAACCAAACATAAACTCCATCAAAAAATTTCTTGAAATGAAAAACGTGCTTTATCTTGCCAACTAAAAAGGTCACGCCTCCGCTTGACGCGAGAATTTTTCCACGACACGCATTTTTGATTATAAATGTTATGAAATAATAACTGCAATAACCTGGAAACATGTGGTGAGTCTTGAAATTTTTAAACATTCATACTGATAAACAACTGCAGGCTTTCCTGAATTTGAATACAAATCGATAAAAAATATTTTAAAGTGAGAGTAACTGCTCTTTCTTATTGAAAAAAAAACAAAACATTTTTTCAAAAATCTTATCATTCAATATTTATTAATTTTTTATATACCCTGTTAACAAAATTTCTATCACAGTTTTTAATTTGAAAAATAAGTATCTTCTTTCTTATTCTTATTCGGATTTGTGTTTCTTGATCAGCGACTCATCAACTGGGAAAATCCACATCATAACAATACTGAAAATTGAGCCAAAAACACCAAACAAAGTGATTGATTGAAAACCGTAGGATTGAAGAAGAGATCCAGCAAAAAGTGGAGAAAATGTTCGAACTAATGAGTTGAGCGAAGTCGCTGTTCCGAGAACTACTCCCTAAAAACAGTATTGGGTTTTGTATTTTAATAATGTGAATAACCTGTTCTGATTCATCGACAAGTGAAGTTAATAAACTATCACTGCATGTTGCAACAACACTCATTCCGAGTGATAAAAATGGCATAATTACAATGAGCATCCAGAAGTTGAAGAATATTAGAGTGAACAATAAATAACCGATTGCCTGAACTTATTTTATTTTTTTTAGTTTTCAATTTCGAAACCATTGAGAAAAATACTTACAAATGAGATTGAGCCAATAATCAGAAGACTTTGCTCATCGAATTTTTTCCGAAGCCAAATCACACCAAATCCATTTGAAAACATTATGAAAACACCAATAAAAACTTGCATTATTTGATCTTCGGTGTTTGATGCTTGGAACTTTTCAATTATGTATAACTGAAAAGGTATTTCAGTCAAAGTTCTATCAAAGATAAGACAACTCACATTCAAAACAGCAATCACAAAGAGGAATGGGATAATTGGACCATTCTTTTTCATGAGAATATTCAATACTCCAGGTCTTCGCAAAGTTTTGATAATATTTGTCCAATTTATTTTTTGTTCATTCTTTTTCTCATCATCATTTATCTCATGTTCATATGAACTTCTATCGATAAATGTTTCGAGGACAAAACATGGAACTAAAGCAAGCAAAGCGGATACAATAAATGGAGCTGTTAATCCAAAAAGTTTTGTAGAAATAATTGAAAAGATTGGGACGAAAATAAATCCAACTCCAAAAGTCAAACCCATTCTACCAAATGCACTGGTTCTTTCTTTTCCTGGACTTGTTAAAGCGGAAAGAAGAGTTTGATGGGCTTGTTGACCATGCATAAATAAAGCAGGAATACGGGATAATAATAAAGAATAATAGTCGAATGAGAAAAATAATCCGATTCCTGATAAAAGTGTTGAAATATAGCAAATGAATAGAGCATAGCGAAGACCGAATTTTTGGATGATATACCCAAAAAGAGGTCCTCCGATCATTTGAAATACACCAAAAATTGTCTGAATGTATCCGAAATCCGCGTCAGAAAGACCTATCTGTTTTACGAGATGAGGAGTTGCGGAAAATTGTAGGAAAAATGTGACATTGTAGAGGATTGATAATAAATATGTGAATGCTATAGGCCGAGGAAGTTCATAACTACCTATTTTTAAAATATCCGTCGAAGCCGACATTCTGAAATAACAGAAAAATAAATACAAAAAATGCTGTTATCAGGAAAAATTCAAAGTGTACACTGTGCCGATAATAGTTGTGGTCTCTACCAACTGATCAGTTCTAAAGTTATGAAACGTAGTAACAACAAAAAAAATCAAGTCAAGTTACATTATCGATAAATCGAAAAAAAAGAAACAGTTTTTCCCATTTGAAAAGTTTATGCTTTTTTTTGACTTTCACAAAAACGTTAGGAAAAGAACATTTGGGGATACCCTCAGAGTATACCTATAAGTCTCAAAAGCTTGAAGAAAACATAAATTAGTTATTTCAAACACTTTGAAACAGCGAACGCAAAACACACCCGCTCAAACAATGAAAAAATTAGCAAAATGCTGTTCTCATTGGCGTACCAATTTTCGATAACTTAGAGGTCGTTATATGAAAAATTGAAAATACCATTAGAATCAGCGTCTCAAGATCTACATTAAACTATGTTACTCATATTTTTAGGGGTCCTGCGAAGAAAGTTACGATTTGCGTCGAGACCACGCGGTTAAATAAATACGTGTCCCTTTAATCAGCAACGTAAATCAATGAAAAAGTTGGCGTACCAATTTTTGTTAGGAAAACAGGCGTTAGAGAAAAAATGAAAAATACCACGAGATTCAGCGTGTCGAGATCTACATTAAACTATAAGATTCATAATTCCTAGGAGCCCAGGAAGGCCAGCTTTTCGAGACCCAATAAATTAATAAATGTATGTTCCTTTGAACGAACAAAACATTGTGAATTTTCGAGAGACGCAGAGACGCGGTGTTTGCACACTTTTCGATTGCGTACTACAGTAGAAAAACAGTCATTTCCCGTTTAAGCGGGGTGTGAAAAAAACTGAAAAAAATGAAAAATGTCCGTGAGAACTACACAGAAAACCGATGGCCTAGGATTCGCCAAGAAAACTAGTCCTCCAAATTTTTTTCATTTTTTCGAAGTCCCAAAATGCGATTTTCAGCTTTTTTGAAAGCTGTAGTATTATTCTGATGCTGTGGAATTAAAAATATATTATATCTACAGTTTGACTTCAAATAAATATTCATTTTTCAAATGGCAGAATGCTTGGAAATGTGCCCGAAGGAAGAAGTAATTTTTCGAACAAAAAATCAACTTGTTCACCTACTCGAAGCCACCGAATCTACATCCCATGGACTGCGGAAATATTATATTGGTGATCCGAAAAAGATGGTGAAAGAATATACGAGATCAGCTGCGGATACACATAAATATAATAAACCCGAATTATTACGCACATTCCCAACACTTGTCAGAACTGTCAATTATCTCCTTCAATTATTCGAAGAATTTAGAGGTGAGCTAGTATGGGAAAGTGCGAAAACTGTCGCCTAGTGGGTATCATATCCCAGTTCGATTCCACATACTTCGCACATTGTTTTCACGCTACCTCTGGTAATTTAAAAGAGGTTCAATGGGATTGGCGTCCAGAAAATGTGCAAAATAAAATAACACTTTACAAGGGCTATACAGATTCGAGTTTACATTTGATGTAGTAGTTTAACGGTGAGACAATTAAAATATTTTTCATTTTTTTCAGATACCAACTTCAGCATGATTTATTCATTTGTTTCTGATCGATTGAGATCTGTTAGACAGGATATGACAATGCAAAGAATTAAAGGAAAACAAGCTATCGAGTTATTGGAACTTATGCTACCATTTTATATTGAAACTGATGCGATTTGTAAGCAGGAAAAATGCGTGGCTTATGATGCGAAGCTGCAAGATTTACAATTAGAAGAATGTTTTGGAAGGTTTGAAAATCACTCAAATTTCTTGAAATTCTATTAAAAATATTTTCAGGTGGTTCGAGGAGATTGATCATTCAGAAAAGAGAAATGAAACTCTAATTTCGTCATTTTTCTTGCGACAAATCACTAAAAAATCCACACTTCTTCAAGATATTCGAATTTTCTTGCCAAATTCAAAAGTTGTTGAAGAAATCATTCTTGCTTATTATTCAAAAAACTTTATACGATTCTTCAGAATATTTCGAAATCTAGATGTAATTCTAAAATATTCTCTAGTCGATGCTGTTTTCGAAATGCGTCATATTGCTATGCAAATAATATCGATTGGTTTCAAAAGTCCAACAGCTAAACTAGATGTAAATTTATTATCAAATTGGTTAGGATTCTACGAAAAACCATGTGATGATTTTCTCAGTTTTTATACGGATTCTAAAAATTATATACAAATTGTAAATCTGAAATTGCCTGATCTCATAACTCCCGAGCATAGATTCATTGGTTCACGGTTTCAATAAATTATTTTTTTTACTTGAAACTTTGTTTTTTATTTGTTTTAAACGTTCTTATCACGATTTTAAATATCTCTAATTTTCAAGTTGTTGATTTCAGCAATAAATTATACATTTTTGCAGTAAACAAAGATGGATAGCGTTTTAATGGTATCGGATATGGTTTGGATCCAGCGAGGAGTCGCCAAAGAAATTCCAGACAAAATCAAATTGACACAAGATGAGTTGAAGGAACTTATTGAAGGTGGAGGAGGAGCAGGAGCAGAAAGTACAGATAATGAAAGTGATGGAGAAATAGAAGTAGAAGAAGAAGTAGAGATGAAACAAGTGAAACAGGAAAAAAAGGTGAAGCAAGAGAAAATTGAAGTAAAAGAGGTTGAAATGAGAGAAGAAGAAGAGGATGATAATGATTTTGAGAAGAAATATTTGAAAGGTTATGATCTTGATGAAGATGGTGAAGAAGCACATGGTGATAATGGGTGAGTTACTTTGAAACAAAAAAAAATTGTCGAAAAACAAGTTCACCAGGAATTCTAGAATCTCTTGGAAATTTTCTAATAATTTTCTCACATCGGAAAATATTTGTTTGAAATTTGCTGAAAAATCAATAAATCAAATTGTGAGATCTGAAAATTGTATTATTTCACTGTTAAAATAATCGATCAATAAAGTTCTCAAAAAAAATTCGATAAATTTTCAGAATGCGTGGAATTGCAATGTACACAAACAACAAAGATGATCCATATGTGACAAATAATGTCGATTCAGATGAAGAAGAGGAAAAAGACGAAATAATTGTGAGAAAAGACGATAATATGGTTGCTGTGGCAAAAATCGATAAAGGCGACTTCACATTGGAATGCTATGTTTATAATGAAGCGGATAGCGATTGGTATTGTCATCATGATTATATTCTTGATGCTCCGCCACTCTGTTTGGAACCAATTCAACATGATCCGGGAAATGAGGAGACTGGAAAAGGAAATTTGGTAGCTGTGGGAACTATGAATTCCGAAATTCATATTTGGGATTTGGATATTATGAATACTGTCACACCTTTTATTACACTTGGAGCACCAGCAAAGAAAACTAAATGTATGAGCAGAAAAATCCTTAAAGATCCCAAAAAATCTGTAATTTTTCCAGCAAAACGAAAGAAGCGAGATGGAAGTGGACAAGGACATTCAGATGCAGTCATTTCCTTAGCTTGGAATAGAATTACGTCACATGTTTTGGCTAGTGGAGGCGCTGACAAAACTGTAGTTCTATGGGATTTGGATGAAGCAAAACCGGCTCAAATAATCGGAGATCGTGGCGGCGAAGTTCAATCAATTCGTTGGCATCCAAACGAATCCACATTTTTATTATTGGGAACAATGAAAGGACATGTTCAAGTTGTTGATTGTCGAGATATACTTGGACAAGCTTCAGCTGCTTGGAAATTCGATGGACAAATTGAGAAAGTTTTGTGGAATCATTTCAATCCATTCACTGCTTTTGTTACTTCTGATGATGGAAGGTTGAGATATTTGGATATGAGAAAACCGGGACAATGTATTTGGGAAGGAATTGCGCACGATGGACCGATTGGGGGAATTACATTATCTGCGTTGACTAGAGGATTATTGGTTACTGTTGGAGAAGATGAGGTAAATCAAGAAATTCCATTGGGAAATTTAGAAAAATGTGTTGTTTACCGTGAAGTTTTTCGTGTTCTAGAGAAATAATCTTCTGAAAAACTAAGTTTTTTTATTTTCAAATTTGGAAAAACTGAACACTTCAAAATCAAAAGTTTCTGAAAAAAGTTGGAATTTGTCATAATTATTTTCTGAAACTTTGCAGGAAATATGATTAGGAAAGAATCAAAAACTGTTCAATTAATTTCCGGTTCATATAATTTTATATATTACCGAAAAACAGAAGTTTCCTCATAACTTTTTTGAATTTCTGAAAACTCAAAGCTCCCTTTTCCAGAATTTTTCAAATGGAAAAAAATCCCAGAAAATCTCCAAGTTTCTCAGGATTCGGATAACTCTAAAAATTTCCATTTCTCATTTTTCAGATGATGAATATCTGGAAAGTAAGCGACACTTCTTCCTCAATTGACAAAGTTCATTCGGAAAAATTAACAATCGGTGAATTACATTGCGCTCAATTCAATCCAGATGTTGGTGCTGTTTTATCAGTTGGTGGAACTGCAGCTGATCTCATTCGAGTCATCGATTTAACCAAATATGAATCTGTTGTCACTGCTTTCAGAAATTAATTGCCTAATTAATTATACTTTTTTTTCTCGTTTTCGTTTTTTTTTCTTGTTGAGTTTGACTGTATTTGTTGTTATCTTCTTCATGAATTTTTTCATATTTTTCTCTTTTTTTTTCGCTTTTTCACTAAATAATAATATTTTCCTAGAATTCCCCTTTTTTGTTAATCCACTAAAAATGGGCGGAGATTTCTTGGAACATATTATTTTTGTCTATTTTCTGTCGCCATAGTAACTATGCACTAATATTTGTTCACATGAATCAGATTCAGAAAAGTGAAAAATATATACCTAGCTATTTTTAGCACAGCAGTGAATTCTCAGAAATTCTCTTGTTTTTGTTGTTTTTTTCATCTGTTCTTTTTTTCTCTGAAAATTTCTTATTCTTGGAATTTTTGCGCGCGCATACTTGGAAATCATTTTTTTCTCTCTTTCTCTTTTTTTTTGACTGGATTTTTTTTAGTATTTGGAATTTTTTGCAGCGATGGTGGATAATTTGGATATTTTACCGAATTGGAAATTGATTGGTGAGTTCAGAAAATTTGAATATTTCGATTAGAAGAAACCGGAACTTCTGAATAATTTTCAGATAAAAGCATAACTTTACTTTCAAGAAATTAGGAAAAAAATCTTCTAATTTTTCAAGTTTTCAAAAAATAATTGAGATAATTTGATACTTCTAGAAATTGTTCCCCAAAATTTATCAAAATTCAACATGAAATTTTTGAATCCAAAATTGAATTACAGTAATTCTAGGGACTACTGTAGCTCATATTTTTAGAAACAATTTCTGAACAGTTTCAATTCGAGATTTTTTCCAAACTGCTGAAAATCTGAATAGGAAATTTCGGATTTTTTTTTGAAATTTTGAAAATCTGAAAAAACCCCTGCTGGAATTCTAAATTCCCAGAAATCTTGAAATGAATTAGCTTGATTTTCAGAAAATTCAGAATCAACAGTTTGGAAAAACATAGAAATCAAACAATTTTTTTAGTTGGTAAACCAAAAATAGATTCAATTAAAAGTTTTTTTTAAATTTCTACACGGAACTTCTTTTTTCCTGAAACATTTTCCCCATTTTACAGATGAAATCTCAATTCCTTTGCTTGAAACTGGTGTTGGAACGTTGCCAATTCTTCAAGCAGCTCTTCCCTCGGTTTTAGCAATCGATTTACAAGATGAAAAAATATCTGAAAGATATCGAAAAATTATTCGAATTTCACAGCTACAAATTCAACATTTATTGGTTGGTTTGTTCCCGAAACTTCTCAAAATAAATATATTTTTTTTTAGAAATCCCAACAAGAACTTCTGAAACATTTGGAAAAACTTGAAAATGAAATTGAGGAATCGAAAAAAGTTGCGAAAATCGATCAATTTGGAAAATTCAAGTGTGCAGATTGTGGCAAAATTTTTGTGAACAAAAAATTTTTTGACATCGCATTTTGAGAGAAGACATCCAAATCGAGATTAACTCTTTTGTTTTGCAAAAAAAAATTGATTAATTAATTAATTAATAAAAATATGTGTTATTTGGGTCATTTTCCTTTCTTTTTGAATATTTTTCTCTTTTTATTGTTTTCGATGCGATTTCGAATAAAATATATTTTGTCAATTTTATTTTTATTTTTCACTTTTTCCGTATTTTATTTTATTCTTTCCTATAACTTCTTTATTCCTACTGAAGCAAAAAATAAAGTTATTAGAAATCGACAAAGTTTTAAGCCTAAGGAGAATTCAATTATTTCAAAATCTGTATTTATTGGAGCTAATTTGGACAATTTGACAGTTTTTTCAGCCTACAGTAATCCAGATAAGATTACTGTAATTTTGGCGAGTCGTGGATATTTGAAGTGAGTTATTTTCTATAATTCTGAAGATAGAGCTACAGTAATCCAAACTGCAAGAATTGGATTCAAAAGATCTAATCTAAACTCAAAGAGCTGCAAAACCTGTAGGCTGAAAATTCCGTTCAAGTACAGTACCCGAACTGCAACAGTTTGAATTAAATAAAAGTACGGTAGCCAAACTGCAAATTCAGAAAATTTCTGGAACTACAGTAATCTGAACTACAAAAGTTAATGTCAGAAAACAACTAGATACAGTATTCAAACTACAAAATTTTCAGAAATAGAATTCTCATATTTATCCAAAAAAAAAAACTCCACGTCATCATTTTTCAGCCGAAGAGTTTACTGTCGACTTTTCAACAAAGAAAAAATCGAAATTTATCAAGAAACTTCTGTGGTTTTTCCTGAATTCACTGTAAATTGTAATCCTGATTTTCACGGTCAAGCTAAGTTTGTTGGAATTTCAATCAACTCCAAGGACCCGATTAAAAAACTCACCAAATTGATAGAATATTCTGGTAAATTTCCAAGTTCCCGCAGAAAAATCAAAACTAATGTATATTTTTTTAAAGATCCGAAACCAATTTTTGATTTCACAATATGTCTTGCTCCAATATTTGGCTCATCTCCAAAAATATTCCTTCTGGCAGAATTTCTCGAATTCTACAAAGTTCAAAAAGCCGATCATTTCATTGTTTATTTATTCGAATTTTCGGAAAACGTTGAGAATTTTCTAAAAACATATGAAAAAGAAAATGTGGAAATTGTTAAAATAAGTTCAAATTCTTCGAAATGTGTGAATCGACATCGATGTCGACATGAAATGCAATTACAAGATTGTATTTATCGATCGAGAAAAATTAGTCGATTTGTTGGAACTGTGGATTTGGATGAGAGGATTTGGGCGACGAAACAGGATCGAAATATTTTTGATTTTTTAGAGTAAGATATTTTATGGGAAGTTTAAATTTATTTAGAATTACGATTTATGACAACGTCCATGTTCTCAAAAAAAATTTTAGAAAAAAAACATTGTCAGAATTTCTCTCCTCAACCTAACCTAGAATTTTTCCTAGATCATCCCAAAGTGTCGCTGAATACCGATTTCAATGTCAATGGACTTTGAGATATTCCGAAATTCCTTACGATCCAAAAAATAATCAAAATCACAATTTGCATGAAATTCTACCGATTCTAAAATGGCACAATACAAGCCACGTTGCTCCACAAAATCACACTTCAAAAAGTATAGTTCGACCGGAATTTGTAGATTCTATGGGTGTACATGGAGTTCAAAAATATTCCCTCAAAATCGAAAATCCTTTGATGCTTGTTGATCCCGATGAATTTGTGGTCAGGTAGGATATTAATTCTGAAATTCAAAAAAAAATATATATTTCAGACATTATCGACTTGTTGATGGTTGGAATTATTTTCTGAACGAAACTGAGAGTTTTGGTAACTTCACAATTTTCTACCCGAATCCAACTTTCATCAAAACTTTAATTGAACGTGTAAAATATGCTTTGAACCGGTTTTTCGCTTATCAGAAGTGAGCTCGAAAATAAAAAAAAATATCCCTCTTTTTTGAAAGCGCCAAAAACAGAAATTCGAAAAAATATCGACGTGAAAAAAAGGGTGACCTAGATTTTTTGAGAATCAAATCAGTCCAGTTCGCACAAAAATCTCGGCATTTTTCGATTCATTGATTTTGCGAAAACTCTATACGAAATTAAAATGTCGACTTCTGAGCAAAAGGTGAGAATTACAGTAAGCGTTGCGGTGTTTGTAGATGATCTAGATGGTTTTGAAGATGTACAAATATATTTCAGGCCACAGATAAATGTGTTCAACTTAGAAAAAAGTCAGCAAAAGAATTGGAAGAAATGGCAACTGCTCGTTCGAAAGGTGGAACAATGTCGGCTGAATCTGTCGACGAACCGGTTGCATTGGTATCGTGTCCCAGTGAAACATCCATGCAAAAGCTGAACAACGATTTGAAGAAAGTTAAGATTGTCAAAGACTTTAACAGTGCTGAAACACACTTAGAGAATCCGGACAAAAAAGGAGAGAAATAGAGAGTAATTGAGTGATAAAGCAGTTGAACTAACATATTTACAAAAGTGAAATTGAATTAAAAAAGAACAGAATTGATAAATTAACGAACTCACCCGATCATCATAAACAGATATATTGAGAAATAATATGTAGTGTAGTTCAATCTCTCCATCTTGCAAACTTCTTCATTATCTGTTTCAACGGTTTTTCGCTTATAAGCTCAAAAATGCAAAAAATGTACAAAAATCCTGTTTGAATTGCCACGCAAAACTAATCTCAATGGGGCGCGCTTGCCGGCTTTACATGTCTGCGTCTCCAACGAACGCGCACTCTCTCGCCCAAACAGCTGTTATTTTTTGAATTGTGTTCTTTTTTTGTCATCACCTTGAGATAATCACCGAAAAGATGTTCAATGTTCGAATTTGCGTGAATGATACGACGTGGAAAAATGTTGAAGCAACTGCGAATTCAATGGTTCGTGAATTAGACACAAATGCCATGGTTATCTGGGATAAAAGTCAGAAAATTTATGACATTTTTGATCGGACAAAACCATTCGGACCACAATCACAAATAAAAGAATTAGGAATTACTCAAGCATGCTCGCTTTATGTGTATACACCAGATTATCCAGTGAGTTTATTTTTTTTTCGAAAAAAATTTATAGAAAAATTGAAATTTCAGTCACAAGATCCATCTTCGATAGTCCCCATTGATATTTTAAAAATCCGCAAATTTGTGTTGGGCGCCTCAAAAGTGTTCAACGAATCGAAGAAAAGCACACCAAATGCAGCAACTTCTTCTCAAGGTCTACTTACACAAAAACAACAACTCGAGAATATTCTGAAAAACCTGAAGCCATCAGATTTGGTCTCACAAAAATTGACAAACTCAGCAAGAGCTATTTATACAAATGTAAGGATAATCTTAATTTTCTTTTTAAAAATCATTCAAAAATAATTTTTTTAGCTACAAAACGGGCAAGGACACATTTACATGTTAGATGTTCCAGAATTAGTTGAAATGTTTGAGAAAAATCCAAAAATGAGTTTCGGTAAGAGAAAACTTTCTGAGAAAGCAATATGAAAAACATTTTTTCAGAGGAATTTTTCAAAAAGTTCGAAGAATTCCAAAAGGAAATGCTTCGCAAAGAAATGTTGATGTCTGATCCAAATTCTGAAGAAGGACAAAAATTGATTCAACAAAAAATCGATAGACAAAGAATTGATAATTTATACAGTCAATCTCTTGATTATCATCCAGAAGATCAAATTCCAGTCACAATGTTATATATTAATTTGACGATTAATAATGTGGCAGTTAAAGCCTTCATTGATTCAGGTACTTATATTTTTCACTTGATTCGAATTCAAACATTTTTCCTGTTTTTTTCTAGGTGCTCAAGTATCGATAATGTCTTTGGCTTGTGCTCAAAGATGTAATTTGACTGGATTAATTGATAAAAGATTTCAAGGAAAAGCCAAAGGTGTTGGAGGATTCGAAAAATTCGAAGGAAAAATTCATCTGTGTGATGTGAAAGTGGAAAATGCTCATTTCCTTTGTCCCTTTAATATTATGGCAAATCGCGAGATGGATTTATTGATTGGTTTGAACACACTTCGAAAACATAATTGCTCGATTAATTTGGCGAAAAATCGCTTGGAATTTCCCGATGGAACATCGACTCCATTTTTGCAATCGAATGAGATTGAAAAACATTTGACTGCTATTGATGCGCTTACAAATTATGAAGAAGATGGTAGGGTTTTTGGGGGAGAAATGAGAATTTTCCAGAAAATTCGAATTAAAATACCAACAAGTTTCTGTTAAAATTTTTTAAAAAAGTTTCTGACACAAGCCAGATTTTCCCCAGATCCCTTTTTATTCCGAGTAGTTTTGAAAAAAAACTTTGAGAAGTTTTTACGTCAACGGGTTTTGTAGCTACATTTTAGTTCGTAATTAATTAACTACAAATTTTTGTTATATTAAAAAAACAGTTCTGAACTTGAAAACATTTTGTTGAAAAACCAAAATTTTCCAAATGGTTTAGAAAATTCAAAGGAAAAAAATCAAGTCGAAATGTTTCCAAAACTCACTTCAATTTTCCAGAATAATCCTCATTTTTTCAAATAAGAAATGCTCAATTTTTTTTTATTATAACATTTTTTACCGAAAAATTTCAAAAGTCCACGTTTCTATTCATTTTGAAAAGTTTCAATTTTTCTAGACAAGAACATTGAACTTTTGAAAATTCAAAAAACATTTTTGAATGACCCTATTATTTTTTCCAACTAATTTTTCCATTCTCCATGTCTGCTCAGATGTAGTTTGACCAAAAATTAATTTCCGGCCAGCAGAATTTACAAGATAAAATCTTGAGATTATTTATGAGAATGTATTCCCCCAGTTTCTCCTGAAACCAAAAGTTTAAAAGCTTTGTTCGTTTTTGTTGTCAAGTTTGAACCTGAGTTAGAGCAACTGTCAATTCTTTCTGAAAATCTCTGGCCACCCATATTTTTTGAATGAACTTATCAATCATTCATGCATTTCTTAAGTGCTGAAACATGTCAAAAAGTCATTTTTCTTTTGATTTCTGGTCGCAGTTTCCATTGCCGCCTGTGATTTAAAAAATCTGGTTTTTGTGTAGGCTTAGGCTTCAGCTTTAAACAAAATGTTTTTTTAGTCATGGATACAGCTGATGCACCATCTTCTTCCAAATAATCAACAAATCGCCATTTGTGAATAAAAAACAAAAAAAAATGTATTTATTTATTTCCCTTTCTTTTGTCAACTGGTAAATGATATGAAAAATAAACACATTTTATGATTGAAATCAGATGAGAACTCTTACATTTTCAGCCCACCATGTACAAATTTCTGGAAAAATGCGCATATTTTCGAATGAGCTTGAATAATTTTGATTTTATTAACATATAATAAAAATCGAAGAACATCGAGATTTCAGAGGCCAAATGGTATGACGTGGCAAAAATTTTAATTGGTTTTCAGAAAATCCTCGAAAGTTCACATGGAGTTATGACGTGGCAACTTTCAGATATAAAAAATATCGAAGTTTCGAAAGGTTGCTCTTTAATTTTCAGACAATCCCTATATTTTATTTTACGAATTTTCAATGTTTTCAAATCAACAAAATCTGAGCCTGATCTTTAAAATTCAGTTGAAACTTCTATTCTAAAAAAAATATTATGACGTGGCAAAAATGAGCTGTTTCGAACAAAAACCAGACTTGAAACTTTGTGAATAAACAAAAGTTCAGAGGATTAAGAATTTCGATTTTTTTTTGGAAAGTTATGACGTGGCAAAATAGAGTTCTTGTTTTGTCTGAAATTTTCATCTGGAAACTATGATTCTTTAAAAATATGCTCTTCGATGTTTAGAAAACAATCCTATAATTTGACTATTGAAAATTATGAGTTTCAAAAAGTTACCCGTCAAACTACAAACAGAAAAAGATAAATATGTTTTGATTCGGAATTTTTTGAGTTCGTTGATTCATAAAACTTATTCGGATAAATAAACACTATAATTTTGAAAATGTTAAAGATTTTCAAAAATTATAAGGTTCAGAAATTTTCGAGGGCAAACTACAGCTTTGAAATTAAATAACATCATTTTATTTTATTTTATTTCCAGCTTCACAGGGGTTTTATTACTACCGAGAATTAATCACGTACAAAACATTTTATCTGACGACAAAAAACCTCCGCAAACAGCGCGCTACGTGGCCGACAAAAAAAACAATAGCGTGTGGCCGGCCTCGCGAGATGTCGGTTGCTGCAAACACACATATAGCCCGACTTTTTCTTTTTATCTGTGTGTCTTTTGAGCCAAAGGGTTTTCAATTTTCTTTTTGAAAATCTGAAAACCTAAGCTCCGCCCACATGTCTGTGCGGAAAAGATGGGCGGAGCCTATTTGCTCGATTACAATTTTGCATTGACTCGGTAGTAATAAAACCCCTGTGGCAGCTTCTTATTTTTTTATTCATTGCTCAGAAAAATCTTGGAGCTCACAATCAAACTAGAAAAAAAAAATCTAATTAACAACATCAGTTCAAATTTATTTGCCACGCACGAGAAGAGAAAAAAAACAGAAATGAATATATTCAAAATTGATGCATAAAATGCACACTAATTAAACACACACACATAATTAAAACTCAAATCATTCATTTTTTTTTCGAAAAATCCTTGTTGGTTTTATTCGTATTCTGGAGCAATGTAGCGATAGTCTTGCGAAAGTTTGCGAATTCGTGTCATTTTTGGCAAGAAAACACAACCCATTGGTGAGAAAAAGCAATTTCGAGTTGGCGAAAGTGAAACTTGTTGGGGACTTGGCCTGTAAGAATTTATTGATTACAGCTACTTATGACGTGGTGGATTTTTAGTACAACGCCTCATTTTGGACCCGCGCTCAGGCCACATTGAAAAACAACCTGTCAAAATACAATTTGTGTATAATCTATCAAAAAATAATAATTTTTGACGATTGTACGAATTTTGGGTCTCTTGGGACCACGCAAAATTTTTTTTAGGCTAATAAATCTTGATCAGAATCCGAATCAGAAAAGCCGAATTTGAGATAAATGACTTACATTGCGGCCGATTTTTGAACTCCGACAAAAAGCGCGAAAATGACACTAAGAACGATGGCTGACCAATTGATTTGCATTTTTTATGAAGAGTATTTGTTTTACCTGGAAAAATTTGTTTGATCAGTGGTCTAAAAACTTTCAGAATTCAAGAGGTCCTTTTGAAATGATATTATATTACATTAGGCAAAACAATTATTGTGAGCGGGAAAATTTTTGAAGTTTTTGAAATTTTTGAAAAGAATTTCAATTTCAAGTTATTTTGCGAGCTGAAAATGTTTATACATCAATTTTATGTCATTTCAGGAATTTGTTATTGTGGATTAATTTTGTGGTCCAAATTCTAGTCCGATTCCAGATATTCTCAAAATGTTTCGAAAACTTTTTTTCAAAAATTTGAAATTCAAGATTCTATGTATCACTGAATAAATTTCTCTGGCTGGTTTTTAAATTTGAATCGTCCACCCGAAAAACTACAGTAATCTATGCTCTCGGTTTCTTGTGAAAAATGTGAACTTTCAGGTTTTTCTTCTAGACTTGAAAATCTCCCCTGAAGAAAATCTGATGAAATTTCGGAACGCTTTTCTCTTCTTCTCTCAATTCAATTACTTCTGAATGAATCAGAAAAGAAGAAAAAACAAATTTCGAAATTTCGCTCCAAAAAATGTACGAAAAAAAGATCAAGGTCACAAAAAAGAGCACATCAGAAGGGGGAAAAATGACGATTTTTTGGGGTGGGGAGTAATTTGAGATCGGGCACAATTTGGTGAGTTGAAACACTTTTTGCAACAACCGATTTTTTTTGGTTCGGGGGGAATATTGAATTTCAACTGTTGTGGGTGGAGTGACTTTTGATAATCAAAATGTTAGAGTAAGGTACTTAAGGAACCTTAACCCAAATCTGAAACTCTACCAGATCTAAGGACCTTAACCCCCCTAGTCTCAAACCTTAAGAGATCTACCAAGGAATCCCCTAAACTACAGTATGATATTTCAAAAAAGTTTGAATTCGTCAGTCGCAATTTGCTCTTTTCAGAGCAACGGAAGTGACAAGACCGCTCGTGTCGATAAAACTGGGTGGTCTGAAAAACGAAGAGAAAAACGAACACTTTCGAAGCTCCGCCCATTTTCAGCACCGCCTTTTCCCTTTTCCGAGGAGAGCTCTTTTTTTCAGAAAAAGAGAAAGTGCGAGAGACATTTTTTTTATTTTTTAAAAAGAAAGAAAAAAAGTTCTGAACACGACGAAAAATGTAGATAATAATAATAGTAGGTAATTATTTGTCATTTTTCAGCTGTGAGGTTCGAAAAAAAAATGAAGAGGAAGAGGAAGAAAAGGAACACAAAAGGGTCTAGAGATAATCTGAAATTAGAGAAATCACGTCATCAAATGATATAATAAGATGACTAGCTCATATTAGTTTTTTCTGCTGTTTTTGGTCAAATTTGGAATGGAACTAGTCGGGTAGAAAATTAGTTTTGTTTGGGTTTTTTGATACAGAACTTTGATATGATTTTTTGATTTACCCAAGTTTTCGGGATCTTGAAGATTTACCTCGAATTTATTTTTGTAGATATTTCTGACTCACAAAATTTTCCCGTGCTTTTTGCTCATTGAAAATCCATCCACCTGCTGATAACTTTCAGATGTCATGCTGAAAATAAATGTCAATTAGTTTTATTTTTGAACCACCACCGGTTTGAACGTACGGTATGAAAATTGTGTGCATTTTTTCGTCTCAGATTTTGCAGATCTCGAATTTGTTAGGTGTTTATTTAACTTTGAGAAAAGTTCTGTCACGTAGTTTGAAATAGCAACATTTTTGCAACCCTGGCACACTTTTTTTCAGACCACAAGTTCAGCTGTTATTTGACACATTCAACATTTACTTCTCTATTCATAAACATAAACATTTAACCGATCAAATTTCATTTTCAGACCAGAAAATCATTTCTATTTTAAGCCATTTCAATATGCTCGATTTTTTTGTCTGAAACAAAAGCTCTTCACAAAATGAACCTCGAATTTTATGACATCTTCTGTTTACTTTACTTTTTCTTCTTTTTTTCCTAGACATATTATGTTGTCATTTTGTGTCGGATTATGACTAAAAAATACTTTATTTTCTGTGTTTTATAAATTAAATATAAATATCACAATAATTAATAAGGCACTGTTATAACTCGTCTTTTTCCTCAGCTTCATCTTCGTCTTCTTCAATTTGAGAATTAATTTCATCGAGTTTTTTTTGAGCTGCAAGAAAAATGAGTGAACAAACAAGTTTATTAAATTATACTCGTAAAATGTTGAGCAAGTTTTAACACACTATTCTAATGGCCTAAAATACGCTTAGCTTCATCGGGAATTGTGTTAGGGTTAATATAAAGATCGACTAGAATTAGGGCGATAGTTGCGAGTGCGCAAAGAACATAAAGAAGTGTTGAGCGATACCAGACAACAAATGTGATAATGAAGACGAGAGCTGACATTGCGACAAAACGGAGAAATTGAGCAGGGCGGATGAGCATATCAGCAGGTGAAGCTGTAGAATTATTGAGATGTGCCGGGAAATATGTGTGAGAGGGGGGGATAAGAGGGATGAAATTAAATTAGCAATTTAGAGATCGGGTTCGAAAATTCAGAGAAATTTGGTGTTCCAAAAAAATTTTTCATACTAAGTTTATGAATTTGGCCAAGGTCCAAAAATTGATTTTTCGATCTCATTCAGCATTCAACGTGGAAAAATGTGGGGTTAGTTCTGTAGTTAGTCTATCTCATTTTCTTTTTTCCCTGCTACACACTATTTACCTCACGCTGCTCATCCTAACCAAATCCCTTCAGATTTCACTCGTGAGTGCGTCACGGGTAAATTAATTATCTCATCAATTACGCGTGGCACTGATCTATAATTTTTCCACGCACACACAATTTTCTAATATTTTTTCTAGTAGTTTGCGTGTGTGACAAATCATTCTCAAACAAAACAATTTGTTGAAACAGGAAGTTGTTTTTGGAGAATTCACAATCAGCTAGCTCACCTTCAACATCTAATATACAATTTTGTTGTTCGTCTCGTTTATATCCTTCCAGACATTCGCAACGATATGAGCCTATTTCGTTCACACATTTTTCACTGCATTTTGTGCACGTTTCAGTGTTTTCGCATTCATTCACGTCTGAAAAATCGAGATTTGGAAGATCAGAGATTGATGATTATTTTTGGGGAAATCTAAAAAAATCAAATTCAAAAACTAGTTTTTCGAAAAAAAAATGACAAAACTTTATCATTTTTTCTGGGAAAAAAATCGTCTAGGTCTACATTTTCAGCTTCTGATTTGATGTGAAACTAAACTCTGATAAAAATCAGTAAAAGATTTAGGGGAAATAAGAAGTTTTCGAATTCCAGAATAGTGATTTTCAGACAAATATTTTCATACTGTTCCTAAGCTACTTGAGCAATTCCTAATTAATTTTATTTGAAATTGACAGGCTTCAGAAATTATTTTGATGATCCAAATTCAAATTTTTCCAAACTCCCAACTTGGCCCACAAAAATATCAATTTACTCACCAACACATTCTTGATTCTCATCCAAAATCCATCCATTTTTACATTTGCTACATGATTTAGGGGTTTCATCTTTGCATCCGCCTTGACAGCTTTCGTGACATTCTAAAACATACTATTATTTTTTTTTGCAATTCAAAATCAATCGGCTCACTTTTGCAATTTATCGATGTTTCCCTCTTCTTTTCCTCATAATAATCAGTTTCACAATGGCGACAAAGATTTCCTGAGTAGCCATCTTCACATTTGCATTTTCCGTTGCCTTCTCGACTTCCATCGCCGTGACAAGCTCCATTTCCGAAGCAAGCATCTGCACCTTCAGCGAGGCCAGGACATTTTTCACAAGTTTTTCCGAAATGTCCGTGAGGGCAACATACTGCAAAAATAATTGTTGAAGATGCCAAGAAACAATTTTGTGGTAAAATGAAAATTGAAAAACAATTCGGAGATAAAAATTCAGAAAGTAAATTTGCTTTTCTTTGGACCACCAAAAATTTACCCAGAAAAATAAACTTTAAAAAAAACTGCCGATGCAAAATTCAAACAGAAACTGAGATTTTCCAATTTTTTTTAAAAATTATCCCAAAAAAAACTCACAATTCAGCTGCTCAACACAAAACCAAATCGATGCATTCTTACTCTGATGATTATAATAAAACTCTTCAACTTGTTCCTCATAATTTTCTACCAAAGATGCACATTTGAACTCCAAATCGCTTATTCCATGAAATTTATCTATATTAGAAATCGTCGATTTTTTACAAACTCCTTCCAACACTTCAATAAGTCGTGTTTCACTAGTTTTATATTTTCCTAGATTTTTCTCCTCCCAAGCAGTATCTCCGCCAGCAAAATGATTACGAGCTGTGTTTTTGAGACCCTGGAAAATTTTTATTGAAAAATAATTTTAATTTTTAAACATTTACCTCTTCAAATGTTGCGATTAGAAAATTACAAGTTCTACATTTCTCATTTTTGATATTTTTCTGATTCGAAAAAGCGATGAGATTCACGACCAGTAAAGAAATGTATAATTGCATGTTTAACCCTGAAAATATGAATAAATTAAACAACTGCAAAATCATTAATAAAAAATTAAAACTCACCGTTGTTTTAATTTTGAAGAACGCCTAATGCAACGTAGCAATTGAAGAGACCGGACAGAGAAAATGGGAGAAAATTCGGCCACGGACACGTTGGCAAAGAGAGTGTTTAGACAAATATTGACCAAGGAGGAGGATTATGGAGTTGGCCGAAAAACTCGCCGAAAAAACGAAAAAAAAAAAAAGAAAATACGTTTTAAAGGATCATACACACTTTTTGATTGATGGTCTTGAGAGGAATTATAAAACCGCGTGAACATTTTTTCAAAATTTTTTTTTTGCGAAAAAAAACAAACATTTTTTGATCATGGCGGGAAAGGTTCGTTTTCATCTATCTTTCGAGAAAATGTCGATAAAAGGGCGAAATTTGAGGAATTTTCTCACTGGTTCTGGTTTAAAGAGTCTAAGGTAAGTTTAAATCTCCTCCCTCAGCTAAAAAAGTCAATTAAAAAATGTTTCAGCATCACTGATGATTTCGTTCAAAACACTAATCTTCTCACTTATCGTAACCCTTTCATTGGCTCAATACAATTTCGAGAATCCACCAGCTGAAGATGTTGTTTCATCAGGTCAAAGTGGAACAATTCCAGACGATTTGTCAGTTCCACAAGATTGTCAAAACAAAGAAGATGGTCTCTACGAACTTGCCGGATGTTCAACACAATTTTTGACGTGTTCCGGTGGAATTGCACGAATTATGGATTGCCCAGCCAATTTGATCTATGATTCAAGAATTGTCGCCTGCGAATATTCATACAATGTTCCAGCGTGTAATGGAGGAAGCGGATATGAACCAGCACAAGAACCAACTGTTGATGAAACTACCACCACACAAGAATTTGAAACAACTGAAGAAGCTACCACTGAAGAAGCCACTACCGAAGAAGTGACAACTGAAGAAGCTACCACTGAAGAAGCCACCATCGTCCCAGAAGGTTCAGCAATTCTTCCAGCATCTGATGAGCCGCGTGCTGCCAATCATTGCGTCGAAGATGGTTTCTATTCATATGGTGCATGCAGTGACAGTTATACAGCTTGTTCAAATGGCTATTCGATTCCAATGCAATGCCCATCTGGACTCGCTTTCGATCAAGCCAGACAACTTTGCGATTATCCATTGGCTGTTGCTGAATGTTCCAGTGAGTTTGAAAAATGGGAAATAATTTTAAATAAATACGCGCTTTTCAAAAAGTTTCCACGTCATCAGTTCACCTCAAAAAATGTTAATTTGTCAAACTCTTTTAGAACTATGACGTGGCAAAGATTCTAAATCTCAAAGGTTTTCCTAATTTTGCCACGTCACCCTCTCTGAAAATGAGTTTTGACGTGGAATTTTGAATCTTTATCACGTCATGGCTAATGCTCAATTTGAGCTCAAAAACTCACTCAATTTCCAACTCAACCTCAAACTTTCCAGACGAATCATCTGGCTCTGGATCTGGAGCTGAAGCTGAAGGATCAGGTGAAGCTGAATATGGAAGTGGAGCCGGATACGAAGAGCCAACAGCTTGCGTCGGTGGAGCCACACAAATTGCCGCCTGCTCGTCGAGTTATCAAAACTGCGTGAATGGCGAATGGACAATTTTCACTTGCGAAAACGATTTGGTCTTCTCGCAACAACAAGGAGAATGTGTTTCGGCTGAAACTTGTTCACCACAAAATACTTCTTCACCATATTAAACATTTTTGTTGTAAATAATTTGTTTTTAGTAGTATTAGCGCACGCTATTGGTTTTTCATAAATTCGTTTTTATGAAATCAGAAGACAGTTGTTGAATACAGAAGAAGAAGAAGAAGAAATTTACCTTGTTTTTGAGAAAGAGGAAGAGGAAATTTAAAAAAAAGATAAAAATGAACCTTGGCTATTCTACAAGAGGATAATGTATGGAAAAAAAACAAAAATAAATAAAATATGCAGAAAAAATGTATCTAAGTAGATAGATAGAAAAAAGAAAAAGGAAAATCTAGATTTGTTTGGAATAATCGAGAAGAACATCAGATGGAGCACTGATTGATGTTGTGGTTTTGGATTTTGTGGGCGGAGCATCGACGATTGTTCCGTAGACGCGGATGAGATAGGCGCATGTCTGAAAATAAATAATTTTAGAACTTTTTTGTCAAAACCCAACGAGGCTTTTTAATTCTGGTGCATTTTTTGACGTAAAAAATTATTCCAAGCTGATTTTGAGCATAAATTTAACAGTGGACTCAATTTTTGCGCTGAAACTCAAAATTTTAATGATTTTCAACGCCAAAACACTTATTGCTCAATTTCTGCCAGAAATTTTGCCACGTGGATTTTCCCTGGGAAAATCGGAAAAAGGTTCAGTACAACTTTGCCACGTGGAAATCTGGAACAATTGTAAACATCGGTAAATTGTCACGCGGATTCTGGTTTTTGGGAGAAAATCAAGTATAATTTTGCCACGTGGCATATTGAACAAAACAATTTTCTGCTCACATCAATTTCCTAATTCGATTTTCTACAAAAAACGTCGTTTAAACGCCGATGGCGCTTTTCTAGGAAACTATATTTCAAAAAAATGATCGGAACATTCTTGATTTTTGCGATTGTTCAAGCGGCACTAGCGTTAGATTGCGGAAAGGTGAGATTCTAGTAAAAACCGAGGTCGAATTTTTCCGAGACAAATTTTGCAGACTGAGATCAACAATCCGCAGTCTATGCAATTCCACGTTTTCAGTCAAGAAATCTCAACTGGCGAGGTTTATTTGGATGGAAAAATCGGAGATATCAGCCGAAATGTGGAATTCTACGTCTATCGCGCACTTCCGCAATCAACAATTCAAATAGAATCTCTCACTTTTTTGACACGTTTCAACCCATCTGAAAAGAGCACCAAATTCTTTGTGTTTAATTCGGAAATGCGAATGGAGGAACAAGGAAAATTGAATGGAGTTCGGATTAATGCAAATTCGAATAACAATTTCAAGATTCAGTAAGTTTGACAGTAGTAGGCCCTCAAAAAATTCCCAAAATTTTCCGCAGATTTCTCCCACAAGAGTTCAAAGTTTTCACAAATGGCCAACTATTGCAAAGCGTCGCTCGTAAATTCGACAAACATGGAACAATTCAAGGACTCGCAATCGCCGGCAATTTCAAAACATTATCGATCGATTTGAATTGCAATAAGCTCACCAAAAATGGCGAATCTTCGTAATTTTCTATCGTGAGTAACATTTATGATAAACATACATAAAATGGGTCCCCTGAATCGGGGTGAGGGGCTTAACTTTTTTCAAAAATCTGAAGGGAAGGGTGCCTAACTTGGCCAATTTTCTGCTGATAATTTACCAAAATTCGCTCAAAAATGTGAGGCAGGTGTTTAACTTTGGAAAATTTTCAAGGAGGGACCCTAACTTTAAAAACTGATTCGGAGGACCTATTTTATGTATGATGATAAATGGATATGAGATCAAACTACATATGAAAAAATCTGGCGCAAAAATTCCCTCAAAGCTTATCTTCTGCACTACAAATTTTGGTCGAAAATCTTTAATTGACACGCCAGAAAAATCCACGTGAACAAAATGTGTTTTTCTATTTCTTAATTTCTAAATTATCTTGGATACTGTAGTTGAGTTTCTGGAATTTACTTTTTCAGATCTGCAGTAATCAAAACATGCAGCTAAAGATCTTACAGGGTGCACCATAAATACGTGAACAGCTATAATTCAATATTATTTTCAAATTTAGAAAAGTTTTTTGTATATCGTTTTTAAAATAATTAATTAGGTCCCTAACGAGTAAATTAAAACCAATATCTCTTAGTTTGGTCGATTCTACGAGTTGGGAAATCTTGTAGAACTTCGGGAAAAATTCCATCTCGGCACGCTGCCATTTGTCGGACATATTGTCCCAATACTTCAAAACTAGGTTCTGTATAGTCTAAATACATGATTGGAGGTTTACCTAGAACCTTTCCGATAACTAATTTGAAAGGAATTATGCAATGGGTTCGTTTCTGACAAAAATAACATCAATTTAAAAACGTTGCTCAAATCGAAAAAATTGTTTCTCAACCGCAATTTTGGGGGATTTTATCTTTTATTGTGTACTGTGATCGGCTGGAGCACTTGATGTTTGTTATCGAGGTTGATTTTCATTCTTAGGTACATATGTTAGTCCAGAAATACATTTATTTCAACTTTACTCCCGATTTTGACCCCAAAATCAATGGAGATCAATGATTTCTCCCAATGAAGCAGACTGTTCCAAAAATCTCCACCCAAACTTGGTGTGAGACATGGTGGACAATTTTATATTTTTCTTGGCTTCTTGGGACTCTCTGACAACCCCTCAAACATTCTACAATTTGAATAAAGCCTTCACAATAAAAATAATTCCATTCAAAAATAGCGAGACCACTTTTTCATTGTTTTGCGTGCCGTGATGAAATTTTTCTCGAAGTTCTACAAGATTTCCCAGGTCGCATAATCGACCAAACTAAGAGATATTGGTTTTAATTTCCTCGTTAGAGACCTAATTAAGTATTTTAAAAACGATATACAAAAAACTTTTCTAAATTTGAAAATAATATTGAATTATAGCTGTCCACGTATTTATGGCGCACCCTGTATAACCCCTTCCCTAAATTTTTAGAAACCCTCACCTTTGTCATATTTCCCTGATTCTCTTTGAATCTAAATTGCACATGATCCACAACCAATCCATTTTTCTCCACCTCCTCCGAAGAAATACTGCAAAATTGTTCTTGCGAATTTCGACCATCCGAGTTATCATAAGTGCAATTCGAGACAAGCGGAGTGATGTCAGTGCAACAAGGCGAGTGGCAAGCCTGCAAATTATATTATATTATAAATCGGAGAAGGACCTTTCAACCCAAATTTTTCTGAAAAAATTTACCACAACATCATAGGTTTTTGGTGCATTATTTGGAATAATTCCATTCCATTTGACGTGTTGATAAGAAACCGCTGTTGGATGAACGTTTTTGGCCAATTTAACTGTCAAATAAGCATGATCATCATAAGTACACCAAGCTTCTCCAGGTTGCAAAACTTCACGATCCTGCAAATATTATGTATAAGAATATTTTACGCTCAGAAAACTTACTTACCAAAAGCACATATCCATCTTTAAATGACATAAAATAGCTGAACATATCAAAGATCAAACCATCTTTTGCTGAAACTGTTCGAGATGAGCATTGTTGATCGATTTTGGCGCCAATCAAACTATTTGCCACATTTACACCAGGAAGAGAATTTGTGATAACTTTGGTTGAGATTGGTGAAGGAACTGGATGTTGTTCAATCATTTGAGATTTCTGGAAAAGAAACAAGGTTTTGAAAATTATAAATTGCAATTTATTTTATTTTAATTATTGTGCGGGAAAAATTATTTCATACAACTTTCATTTAAAAAATTTGGATGAAAAAATTTCTGAAGTTTCTTTCAAACCAAGATTCACCTCAATCAGATTTTTATGCTCTCCCAGTTCATTTTTCAATACATCAATTTGCTCTTTTATCTCATTCATCTTATCATCAAACTCTTTCGCATCATCATTTTTTCCATGCCCAATTTTCTGCAAATGATCCAATTTTTCAGTCAAAGTCGCGTGTTTTCCAGCCAATTCCGCGAATTTCTTATACATATCCAATTTCAAATTATCAACTTCGGTTTTTCCAGCCCATGTGCTCATATTATCACCGACGTCTGAAAATGAAAAAAAAATTAATTTGAAAAAATTAAGAAAACTGACATTTGCAAAATATCATGAAGAGAACAAGAATCATAAGAGCTTCCTTGAATGTTGGACAATTTTGATAAAATTGACGTTTGAAAGTTTTCCAACTGTATTGTAACGATGATTTGCTGCAAATTTCAATGATTTGTGGCTGGAAATAATCAAAAATTTGATTTTTTTTGTTAAAAATTACTGTACGCACCTTTAAAATTACAACCTCTTATTATTGATTTTTGGATCTATTATTACTGTAGAAACTTTTTTCAGACATCTTAAAATTAGAATTCAAATCCAGATCTACAAATAAAACAAAAACTCAGATTATTAAAAAATTTGATACATTTTTTTTGTAAAAATTTGAAATCCTCAGCCGCTTTCAATAAATCCACATACCAAGTGATCCAAAACATTTGTAATCGTTCAGAAATGCTGAAATGTTGTTTGTAGATAAATTGCGAATTGTTCATTTCATCTTGCTCATTCAATATTTTTCGATCAATATCTTCTTCATCGTCATCGTCAGCGATTTCCATGTTTCTTTCCACCGTTTTTATGTGATTTTTCGGAACACATCGAACTGATGGAGTTTGTTGAATTGCGATTTCAGTGAGACGAGAATCTGGGAATTATTCAAGTTTTTTCGTGTGATTTTTTTCAAAACATTTTTTTCGTGATGAAAAACGTGAATTTGATGGGGTGATTCAAAAATATTTAAAAAAAATTTTGACAAAAATTTCGATTCAGCAAATGTCAAAAACTATATTTTTTTCAAATAAAAATGAAAAATTTCTCGAAGCGAAAATGTTTCAATGAAAAAAAATGTCAAAAAATAGTTTAAAAAAAATAGTTTTTTGACATTTGCTGAATCGAATGTTTTTGAATTATTATTTTTTTTGACATGAATCACCCTATGAGTTTTCAAACCATTTCTGTGAAATCTCAATGTTTCCAAAAATCCGTCCTCCAAAAACTCACATGATCGAGTGACAATTGGTGTGTCTCTAGAAGAAGTAGGCGATTGACTATTTCGAAGCATTCTGAAATTTATCTGTAATATTTATTTTTGCCTGCAAAATAAAATCAAAGCATTTTCAGTCGACCTCCATCGACTTCAAAAAACAGAAAATATACAAAATTGGGCAATTTTATTGATAAATTATTCAAAAACAAAGGTTATTCATAATCTTCTTCATGTCTCACACTAACAGCACAAACATCTTCGAAATACACGGAAAGTGTCTGAAAAAAAGATTGAATTTTGGAAATCTAGATGGGGAAAACTGACCTCTGAAGTTTGTAATAACTTTGCCGTCACTTTTTCCTTCCGTTTATCCTTATCAATCATAATCGCCAATTTTCCACCATTTTTCCTGCCAACAATCATCAATTTTTCACCAATATTTCGTGGAATCACAGTCTCTAGCCACGATTGTTTTATATCTGAAACAATATTTTATGAAGATTATGAATTTACAAAGAAAACACTGTTTTTAAAGTTTTTTCTCACATTTGAAGCCCGCTCCAAAAATTAAACTAACTATAAAACGTGTTTCCTCGATCATCCTCAATTGTAACATCACGAATTCCAGCTACATCAACAACCCGAACTTTTTGATTATATAATTTCCCGTGTTTATATTCTTTGTCTATAAATCGAACTAACAAATCTGCTCGAACCCAAAGCTCCTCTTTTTTCGAAGACGAATATGTTTCTGATTTTTCAGCAGTGGATGTTGAAGGTTCTTTCAAATGTTTCACCTCTTTTTCCTCTCTTTGTTTCTCAATCTTCTCCTTTTCTTTGTCATATTCAGCTTTATCTATAAAAAAGAAATGTGCGCTACCTGATATAAAAAGTTACAAGAATGAAAAGACCGGGTAACGCCGGTATTCATTCTTGTTGATACGCAGCCGAACACTATTTCCGTATCCTACAGTAATATATCATGAATTTTCATAATTTTTGGCAAACAGTTTTAACACTGTCCAGATGTTTCAAATCATTCATAAGATTGGTCATTTCTTGCTAATATGCAAGCTTCCTATATTAATTTCAGACTGAAATCATGAATTTCCAAAAGAATAGATTTGTTATCTAAATTTTATGGAAAAAAATGATAAATCGTCGTTTCGGAGTCACTACGAATTCTCGATTTTCAAATTTAGCTCAAATTTATGGATAAAAATGATGAATCGTACGATAACTTTTTTAATTAACTCAAAAACTTCACGTCAAATTATTTAAGCTTAAATCTAGGGCACAAAAGTAGGTCAAGCGGACAGACAGATCACCTTTTAAAATATAAGAAAGACAAGAATTTATAGCCGCCTCCGGCGGCAAAATTCTTGTGTTACGCAGCCTGCGGCTGCGAACCGTTACAGGCAGCCTTCGGCTGCCTTGTCCACACCTAACACTAGCATCTTATCTCATATTTTTTATACAACAATCGAATTTTGTGAGTCATATGCAACAGGGCTGGTCGGAATCGGAATATCGGATTTCCGAAATTCCGAAAATCGACGTTTTTTCGGAAGTGCAGTTCGGTCGGAAGCACTTCCGAGAAAAACAAATCGGAATTGCTTGAATTTCGACTCTCGTTCCGACTTTTTCTACTTTCGACTTTTTTTAATCGAAATTACTCTTCGAAAAATGTCGTTTTCACTTTTTCCTGCGTATTAGAACTTCCGAAACACTTCCGAATTTCTTCGGAAATTCCGAAAAAAAAAATACGAAAGAAAAAGTCGGAATTCCGAAAAGTCACTTCCGACCAGCCCTGATATGCAAGCACAACCCTCGGCAGATGACTCTCGGCCAAATCTCTCAATCCTCACACCATTAATTAAAGTTAAAAATTAGATTTTGAATATCTCAATTTTACATGAAACACTAAACTACGTTGAAAAGCAAATTTTGAAATTTGATTTAAGTCACGAAAAAATCAAAACCCTATCATAGTTTGAAAAACCCTTTCCATATTTGCAACCCTTATTTTTTCTGATAATACAATTTTTGAACTTTTTTAAAAAGTGTTCCTGAACCCATCTTGTCCTATTCAGATCCATTTTTTGTTTGTGAAAGGAAAATGTTGAAACAAAATGTAAGTGGATTTTTCAAAAATTAAGGCGTATTGATATTTTCGTAGCTCAAACTTCACTTCAAAAGTTGCTTTTCCTTTCAAAGTAGAGTCATAATTTTGACATAATTTTTTTGTGAGCCTAATTTTCTAACAACCTCTTTCATTCCAAAACCCTTCTTTTTGAATTTTTTTCAGAAAAAAGGGAGGACTCTCAAGAATGTAGGAATTTTTATGAGAAATATGGGATAAATTGTCCTTTTCATGAAACTTCACATTTTTTTTCTAATCAGTTTGTCTCTTATTTTGAATTAGTTTGATCATCGAAATTCAATAAAAAAAGATTACAATTTTTGAAAAACTGCCAAAAACATTGAAATCTAGAGAAGCTTCTAATTTTCATGGATAAAAAGGACCCACAAAACACAACACAATTCAAGCTTATCTACCTTTTTAATAATCAATTTAGCTAAAATATTGTTCATCTGGAATATCTGGAAATCGCAGTTTTTGAGATCATCTACTTTTGAGATTGAGTTACTTACTTTTCCTTTTTTTTCAAAATTTTCTTCAAAACTATACAAAACTAAAATTATAACAAAACTCTCACATTCGAATTATGAATTCATATCGGAAATAACTATTATTATTTTTATTCGAAACAATTATTCAGTATTTGAAACTTAGACTACTGACACTTTGAAACTTTGACGCCTACAGTAACCCGACTCACACCCATGAATTGGTACATCAACTATTTTGGAATAAGGAAACATTAAGAAATGATTAAAATACTCCTCTCTGAATATTAAATGGTTCATCAGATAAGGGACGTGGCCTTGATTTTTTTCAGGATAAAAACGAGTTTATTCTTTTTGCTCCGCGGAAGGACACCTCGGGAAATAATATATAAGATAACTTACTCAAACATTTGGCATCTCTTTCATATTCTTTCACACTAATTCCTTGGACAGAATATAGGCTAACTTTGATGGATTTCGATCCAATAGCCAATCTCACAAATAAACTATTTGTATCATCATCTCTGGCTTCAACTTTTCCATATAAACCTTTACTTCTTCCATCGATGATTTTGATACATGTTCCTTTTTTGATCTCGACCACTTCTTCTTTCTTATTATCGCCATCGTTTTTTGTTCCAGTTGCTGAAGGGTTTTTGGGAGTTGCTCCAAGTCCTAATCCAGGTGGCCTTCGAGCTGGTAGCCTCAATGCAACTTTTTGTGGATTTTTACCTATTCCATCACCATCTTTCCAATTACATCCTCGAAGAATTGCAAGTCCGAAATTTTCTATAGGAATTGCTGAATAATCAGCATCCTCTGCAGTTTCCACTCCATTACTGATTGTGATTTTTTCAGCTCCATTTTTGTTCGAAGTGTCGTTTTCTTCTTCATTCGAAGTTCCAACTAACAAAGCGAGTTTTGCTTTTTCCTCATCTGTAAGTGTTCCTTCTTTCTCTTTTTCTAGCAATTTTTGAGTTCTCCAATCATGCTCAATAACCATTGGAATTACAGCAACTTCCTTTTGTTTATCTTCATCGCCGCTGAAATTAACTATTTTGAAAATGGCGCTTAGGTTTTCAAATTCTCAAATATCAAAACTTACACAATGGATCCTTCATCAAAATGTGTCATTTTCCTTCGTTTCGCCTGTCGTTCTTCCTCTTCTCTTTCCCGTTCTTCATCACTATCAGCTTCCACTGAAAAATTCAAAAATCACATTTTTTCCAAAATCTCACAAGGAAAACTCACCATCTACCACGACTTTCGATATTGTTGCAGAGTTCACTTTATTATCATCTTTTCTTTTCACTCCAAATGAGATTTTGACTGGTTCAACCATGATTAGAGAGTTCTAGAGGGAAATTAGGGAGTTTGGCGAAAAAATAAAAAATTTTCGAAATGAACAAACAACACTCCGGAATTGCGAGCGCATGTTGTTTAGTGCGAGCGATTTGAATTTTTTTTTTGCGCAAAATTTTTCGGCGAGTTTTTTCGGTTTTGAAATTTCGAAATCCTAAACTTCATTTGATTCTAATAGTTAATTGGTGTTACAAATGCCCACAGATGCAGTTTTAGCCAGAATCTTCAACTTTGTGCTCATTCAGAAAGAAATAACTTTTTTTTTCGAAAAATTTCGACACAAGATTTTTCGTATCCCAAATCACTTTATAAACTTTTTCTGTTCAACAAATTGTACAAACTACCACGAATTTAATTTCAGATAATGGGTGAGCCGAGTGCAAAACGGACCAAAACAACCGACGAGTCTCCAAACTTTGCGTCGGATGTTTCGGAAACGGTGAGAGAGAAGTTGATGGAACTCGATCAAGTTCAATATGATTTGGATGACTATGGCGAGAAAGCTGCTGAGGAAATTCTTCAGGTTGGCTTTTTAACATCTAAATACGCTGTTTTCAATAAAATGTGTTTTCAGATCGAGCAAAAATACAACAAACTTCGCCAACCGCATTATTTGAAGCGTAAAAATCTCATTCAACACATTCCAAACTTCTGGCAACACGCGTTTTTGAATCATCATTTATTGTCAACTGCAGTTCCAGAAGAAGACGAGGAATTGTTGGGAAAATTGAAAGAATTGGAAGTTGAAGAATTTGAAGATATCAAAAGCGGATACAAAATCAAGATGACTTTCGAGAAAAACAATTTCTTCGATAACGAAACCATTGTCAAAACTTTCCATTTGAACACTGAAAATCCAAATTCAGTAACAACTGAAATTGCATGGAAGCCAAACAAAAAACCAGAGATTGACAAGGATGCCAGCGATACACAAGTCACATTCCTTCAATGGCTTGTTACAAATTTGCCACCAGACAGTGATGAAATTGCTGAAGTTATCAAGGATGATTTATACATCAATCCACTTCAATATTATGTGATGCCTGATATGGAATCGATTCATGATGACGATTTGGACGACTTCGAAGATGAGCAAGAAGAGGAAGCTGCTAAAGAATAAATCGAATCGCAAATTCATAGAGATCAGATCGCCTGTTTTATATTTAATTCTAAAATTCTTACTTTGCAACTTTATTTATTTATTTTATGTCTCTTGTGAATTAAAGATCTCTTCTTCAAAATTAAATTTTTTGTTTTTCGTACTTAAATCAAGGTGGTATGAATTATCCATAAAATATCGAGACCAAGATCAACGTATTGCATTAAAAAATCGTTGATATTTTTTGCGATTTGACGAAATTTTCTGTTCAGAATTAATGTCAAAGTTATGTTGTCGAATTCGATTCGAAAAATCGCGAGAATCCCATCAATTCGTTATCTAAGTATCGATTTTTCTCACGAAAAACCAGCTCCTCATCAACTCGAACATGTTCAAACTCGACTTATCGAAACTGTTCCCCTAATGTTTCGTCATCGAATGGATTATACATTTTATCGAAAAGATGTGATTTGTGATGATCATATATTTATGGTACAAAAAAGAGGAATTGAACAATTGATGAGTCATTTTGGAATGATTGGTACACTTGGACAAGTATTCTTACCGCATGTTGAAATGGAAGTGATATCAGCTATTCCAATGATTGAAGAAGGAACTGTTAGATGTCGTTGGCGTGTGAAATATGTTTCGGCTTTTAGATTGATCACAAATCCTAGATTATTTCGATTTGATTATCGATTGAAGAATTTGAGCTGGTTTGATGGTTATTCAGTTTTGACTGTTGATGGAAATGGGCATGTTTATAAAATTACTGTGCAGAAGGTTAGATTTTGAAATTTGTTGTGAGAAATTCATTTATTTCTAACAAGATTTCGAAATAACATTTGGACAATTTTTTAATTTCAAAAGAGTGTTAAAAAAACTAGAAAGTTTATAGTCTACAAAATCTATTTTCGTTCTAAAAATTACTAGAAAATTTCAAAATATATCAATTTATCTCAGATATTTATTCCTCATTTCCTCACAATTTTCACATGCAATTATTTTAAAATTATGAAATGAACATAATTTTGGGAAACATTTGATTTTCACGTCACATTTTTAATTATTTAGATTTTCAATTTTTTTCATTTCGAAATATTTCTTGAAATTATATCACACATCAAACGCAATTTCCTTTCAAGTGTCACAAAAAAGTTTAAATTGTTCCCCAAAACTTCAATTCCATTTTGATTTTGAATAATTGCTAGGTGTTAATTGCTATTGAAATATATCATTAGTTTTCACTCACAATCAGTATTTTGAAACCAAAAAGTATATAGTTTGATCTGAAAGTTTGATTATAACAATTTTCACAGGCAATTAAAAAATGAAATGAGAAATCATTGATTTTTCACGGCGCATTTTTAATTCGATTTTCTAATGTTCCCATTTCGAAATATTTTTTCTCAAAATAATTTTCCTCTTCCTATTTTTATTTGATAACTTTCTAAATTCATTTTTCCAGATGATTCAAGACGATCAAAAAAGCTTGCTCCAATCACCAACAGACAAATTGAAACAAAAATTGGCGACTCTTTAGGACTTGATATTCGTAAATTAGTATTTAATTGTTTTATATATAATTTAAACTAACATAGATCTCGCTTTGTTTTTTTTTGTCAAAGAATTTTCGATTTAGTCAGTCATTTAATATGGAATGTATGGGTTTTACGACGAAAAAAATAGATTTTTTGTTGCTCTTTTTTTGTTGTTGTTGAGTTGGATTGAAATTTGTCACGAAAGTGCAATTTGAATATTTTTGATCTGGGATATTTTTCAGAAACGGCTGGAATATTGAAGAAAATTTATGAGGATTTGGCTATAAAATTTAAAGTTTAAAAAAAATTATTGCTAGAAATCAATTTGAGAAGAATTCTTGAAGTTGAAAAAATAATATTTTAATAATATTATTGACCAATTTTCGATTTAAAAATGTATTTTTATAAAAATTTTTGATACACACAATTTATTTTTTAAAGTTCTAAAAAATTTTCAATTTTAAAATTGTCGAAAAATAGTGTACTTTTTGAACCAAATTTATCGATTTTTAAGTTCTTCAAATCTTCTGGAAGTTTTAATCAATTTTCCAGACGATTCCAGAAAAAACTTTTTTACTTTACTTTCTTTTTTATCAAACAACAATGTTCGCTCTATTGCGAAATCGCGTTTCTGTCTAATTATACACTATTTTCTCCACCTCTCTCGCACATATGTTCGTGCATTTTATATTTGTATGTATATATATATAAATTCAAGATATCGGCCTTTTCTTCTTTTTCGTTTCAACATTGATCTTTTTTCAGCAACAGTCGAATTGTTGTTATCAGGTTCATGTAAACTTTAGTTATGGCTGATGATGGCGCAAATAATAGTGGTTGGTTTTTTTTGCTTTTTTTTTTTAAAGTCATGTGATTTTTATTGATAAGTTTTGAAATAAGTTGGGAATTTTTCTGAATTTTCAAAGAAACTTGGATTTTCCATAGTTTTTGAAGGATGAATATTATTTTAAAAATTTTGTTAGGAGAAAAATGAACTCGAAAACACTTTGAAAATTTGAAAAAAAAACTTTCAAATTTGCAGACGATTTGGTCAATGTTCGAATTCCAACCCAACTCAAAAAAAGTCAAAAACGAAAACAAATCCGAACTGAATTCGACGATGAAACTCTCGATCAATCAGTTCTGGATGCACAAAGAAGAGAACGTGAAAGATTGGAAAGATTAGACAAAATTCGACAACAAACCAGCGATGATCATATCACACAAATGGAGGCATTAATGATGCCAAGTTCATCAACAACATTACCACAACTTGATATTCAATTATCTGATTTTGATATAACTGCAAATGAGGAATTCAATTTGGAAGCTGAACAAAAATATTTTGGTGGTCATTTAATGTTCGAAGATCGAAAGGTTAATATTGAATATAGTCCCGATGTTCCATCAACATCAAGTGCTCCGGTTGAAGTTATAGATTTATCATCGGATTCGGATGATGATATTGCTGTTACTGGAGTTGTTCAATCTACAAGACTATTCACAGGTTAGTAAGATTCGGGATTCTTCGGGGAAAAGTTTTGTTCAACATCAGGAAGAAACTAAAAGTGTTTTCTAGTATGAGTTATGACGTGGCAAACTTTGAAAAATTTGAAAAACCGTGATGTTCTTGAGACCCAGACTATTTCGTTTTTTACAATGAAATTTACAAGGTTATTGTTTTTTAAAGACACGATTTTTCAAAGTTTTCCACGTCATAACTTATATTAGGAATTGAGTTCTGTAATTTTTGACATCTGAATCGTAACCAGGGGGTCAAAATTGTTAGAAAACTATATTTTACCAATAATCTCGAGTTAAAAAATCAAACATAAATAACAAAGGAATCTGAGAAAAAATAGACGTGGAATCGCTAGTGACTTGACACTTTTTTGTTGTTCTATTTTTGTGTACTGAATGATATGAGACAAATTTGGCTCCGCCCATTTTCGCTTTAATTTCCTTGCTATATAAATTCACATATAACAATAAGTTTTTTTAATATCTTAATCACCTTTAGTTCCGTTTTCGATAGTTTTACCCTCAAAAAAGTTTTTTTTTTTCTGACTAAACCTCTATGGTTTCAAAAATATAGGTTTTGTTAGAAAATATAATTATATACACTGGATATTTTTTTTTTGTGCCCCCGAAAATTGAAAATTCCATGTTGTCACGAGATTTTTCCCTTCAAAATTATATGTTTGTCTTTTTCATTTTCAAGAAATAAAAAATTCACACAAAAATTTATTTTGTGTTTCGGAAATATCTAATTCACCATTCTATTCATCCATATTTTTTAATTATCGTGAGAGCGGATTATTTAACTCTTTTTTCTTTTTTTTTTTGGTTGCTATGTAGTTCTTGGATTATTTTTTTATCGGTTCTGATTTTTAATACGACTTTGGAGGCGCAAAATATGTTTTTTTCACGCAAAAAGTGGACGAGAAAAAGTGAGTAAAAGGGCCCAAATCGTTCCTTTTTGGGAAATTTTGAACTCTAAAATATTCAGATAGATAAAAAATATTTTAAAAATTAGCTCAACTTATAGTAGAGGAATCTGAAAAACTAAAAATTTCCAACCTGCCTCAAATTGTAAACCATATTTTTTTGTTCAGGACGTAGGAATCGATGGGTGAACGCGGACAAAGATCGAGAAGAAGCGCTTCAAATGGAAAAAGAATACAGTCGAGAACAGGCTAGAATAAAAAAGATGCGAGATTTGGCCACCTTGGAAAGCACTGAAAAATATTGTGGAAGATTGTTGGTGAATTCGGGACATCCTGAAGAAGATTCGGATATTTTTGTGGCGCCACATTTGACACACACTTTGCAACCACATCAGTTGGGTGGTATTCGATTTATGTGAGTGGTTAAGAATTGAACAATTCATTTCTGAAACCTTAAAATTCAATTAAATAAATAATTTTCTTATTTTTTCTGAAAAAATTGCATTCTGAAATTCTGAAGTGGGTTTCCACATCTTTAAAAAAATTCTGAATCAGATTTCGAAAATTGCATTTTTTCTCCAAAAAAAAATAAAGTTTGATTTTAAAAATTTCAAGAAATAATCTTCTATCCATCAATTTCTAAATTTTTATCCAACCCCTTTTCATTTCCAGGTATGATAACACAATCGAATCAATGCATGATTATGATCCAACATCAGGATTAGGATGTATTTTAGCTCATTCAATGGGTTTAGGAAAAACCATTCAAGTCATCACATTCTCCGAAATCTTCCTTCGCGCCACAAAATCCCGCAAAATTCTAATTATTATGCCAATTAACACAATTCAAAATTGGTATTCGGAATATGACAGATGGATGCCAAAATACAATGAAAAAGGCGAAGTCATTCGAAATTTCGAGGTTTTTCTGCTTGGCGACGCTGTCAAATCATTTGATCAACGTGTCAATTTAATCGAGGAATGGCATAAAAAAGGCGGTGTTTTATTGATGGGATATGATATGTTTCGACTTTTGATAAGAGGAACACAACCAAAGAAAATGAAGAAAAAACGACCGAAATTGAATATGAATGGCGTGAATGGATATGAACAAATGTTTGAGCCGGATGAAATTGAAGTTGAAGTTCCGGAAAATGAATTTACGAGCGATGGAAGAATTAAAATTGAAGCCAATAATTGTGAGTTCGATTTTTGAAAAAAATTTTTGGAGGTTAACTTTCGGAATTTTGAAATTTTTGAAGAAAAAGCTGAAATCAATAAGTTTTCTGAAAATTTCAATTTTTCATCAGAAATCAAAAAATGCTCTGAAAATTCGATTCGATTTCAGATTTTTCACTGCTCAAAAGCAAATGAAAATGAAAGATAAGATACTTAGCTCAAAACCCCAAAAAAATTTAATTTGAACATTTCTCGACAGCAATGCAAAAAATCTAGAAATCACCTAAATTTTCAAGTTTTTCCTAATTACATTAATTACAGTAATCACTGAAGCTCTTCTCGATCCTGGACCGGAATTGGTTATTTGCGACGAAGGTCATAAAATCAAAAATCTCAACACGGATATCGCGATTTCGCTTGGAGCTATCGCCACAAAACGAAGAATTGTTCTAACTGGATACCCGTTGCAAAATAATCTTGTCGAATATTTTTGTATGATTGATTTTGTTCGCCCAAAATTTCTTGGCAACAAAAAAGCGTTTTCGGAAAGATTTGAGAAACCAATTAAAAATGGACAATGCACTGATTCGACTGAAGGTATTTTATAGGAATTTCATAGAATTAAAATTCCAAGTCAATTATTTTTCCAGCTGATATCAAATTTGCTCGCCAACGAACTCATGTTTTGGTGGAATTAGTCAAGGGTTTTGTTCAGCGACGAACTCATTTGTTGCTCAAATCCATTTTACCCGAAAGCAAAGAATTTGTGATTTTGTTGAGAAAAAGTGTTATTCAACGACTACTTTATCGTTGTTTTGTTTTGTTTGCGAAATCGGAGATGAAAAATGGACAATGTGCCACATTTAATCCATTGAAAGCGTTTGCGGTTTGTTCGAAGATTTGGAATCATCCCGATGTTTTGTGTAATACAATGGAACATATTGCTAGAAATGAACAGGTCAGATTTGTTTGAAGGGAACTTGGGGGCTTGGAAGAAAAATTGGATTTTTCAGATTTGGATTTTCTCTAGATCAGCTCAAAATCCATCATTTTCCATCCTCTAAAAAGCTCTGAATTTTTCAAATTTCTGCTCTAATATGAGCAATGCCATTCGAATAGAAGAAATCTGAGTGGTTTTAAGCCGAAGTTAGAGATTTCTAGAGATTTTTTATAATTAGACCAAAATTTTTTATGATGCTGTTTTTTTTGGTGTTTTAAACTTTCCTGGCTGTTAAACCCTTTTAAAATTTAAATAAAAAATTTGAACTCCATTATTTCCAGGCAGCCGATGAGCGAAAAACAGCAGAATTCCAACGGCAAATTCAAATGAACAACAATCCACTAATGAATCATTTTCCAAAATTACCAGTTTGGGGAAATGGTCAACAAACAATGGCTGAAAAAGAAGCAAATGTGATGGAATATCTACAACGACATGCTGACCCAAATTATCCGCCAATTCAAAGTCCTTTCTCATCACTTCCCTCAATTTCTTCAAATTCTCCAGCTTCTGCTCTTTATAATGAACCTTCGACTTCTTCAACAACAACAACACCTACAAAAAATCGAAAAAGACCACGAAAAAATAAGAAAAATGGTGATTTATTGGATGAAGATGAAGAATCAACTGGATCGATAAAATATGATTGGGCGAAGGAAACAATGTTGAATTATATCAAAGGAAATATTGAGAATAGTTATAAAATGTTGATTTCGCTTGAAATTATCGATGAATGCACCAAAATTGATGACAAGATTCTTCTTTTTAGTCAGAATTTGACTGCTCTTTCATCGATTGAAGAATATATGAGCAAAAGAAAAGTTTTGACAAGAGAGAATCCAACTGGCGTTGAAAGATGGGAGAAAAATCGAAATTATTTGCGACTCGATGGTTCGACTTCGGGTGTAGATCGAGAGAAATTGATTAATCGATTCAATTCCGAACCAAATTTGCGGGTATTTTTGATTTCGACGCGGGCTGGAAGCTTGGGAATCAACTTGGTTTCTGCGAATCGTTGTATTATTTTTGACGCGTGTTGGAATCCTTGTCATGATGCACAAGCTGTTTGTCGAATTTATAGATATGGACAGCAGAAAAAGACTTATATTTATCGAATGATTATGGATAATTCGATGGAAAAGGCGATTTTTAATCGACAAATTTCGAAACATGGATTACAGCGTGAGTTTTGGTTTTTGATTTGAGAGAAAAAAAAGAAATTTTTTTAGAACAAGTTGTGGATGATGCTCAAGTTAATGCAAATATTACGCAAAAAGAGCTTGAAACATTGTTGGTTTATGATGTGAGTTGAAGTTTTTTAAATATTTCGAAACCCAGGTCCTGAAAAATTTCAAAAATTAAAGTGATTTTCCAACTCACTAAAACCCTGAAATTATTTTATCCGAAAATTTCTGGAAAAAATCCAATCATCAAAAATTCCACCATAAATTTTTTCCAGGAAGCATTGGATGTTCGTCACGATGCTTGGGACACATCAGATTGGGATTTCGGCGACGAACTTCTCGACAAAATCTGCAAAAAATACAGTCATCTAATGGCCGAAAAACCATTCCTCCACGAATCCTTGATTTTGGAAAGTGATAAACAATTGAGTGAAGAGGAGAAAAAAGAGGCACAATTGTTGTTTGAGCGAGAAAAACGAGGCGAATTGTATCCAGAAGAATCGGATATGTTTATGAATCGAGGAGGTTCGTTGGGATTCTCGAATCAACATCCACAATATGGAAGTTTGATGTTGCCGCGAGGTTATGGAATTCAACCACCACAGCCACAACAATTTTTCGATGGTCCGCCACCAATGCGATCGACACCAATGGCACAGAGAATTGTTATGAATAATGAGACACATTATATTATGAATTTACATCAAATGTCTCAACAACAACATCAACATCAACAGCAGCAACAACAACAACAACAACCAACAGCAGCAGCTCATCAACCAATACAACTTTCGACTCCATTTCCGGGAGCAAGTAAATGTCGAAAACCGGTTGTGAATAATAGTGGATTTGTTCAGGAAATATTGACAGATCGAGGTTAGAATATTTGGGGACAGGGATATTTTTGAGATCAGAAAACTCATTTCAAAAATTTTAAAGCCATTTTCAAGATCAAGGTTAAATTTTCATATTTCTGCTCAATAAAACTTAAAGTCAACTTTGGAGCTCCAGAAATGTGCTCACAGTTGTTTCCGGATTTTGACATTACACTTTCAGGCGGCTGAATCTAGGGCAATCTCTGAATGGGGCCCCTGAATGGGGCCATTTTCTGAGAAAATGGGGCCACCTGAATGGGGCCACTTGTGTGGCAAATATCCTCAATGGGGCCAGCAAGAAAAAAGTAAGAATTTCTCACTTTTTCCTTAATGGGGCCACCTAAAAATACAAAACACACAATTTCTGCATATTTCCTCAATGGGGCCATGTATTTTTTGTTCATTTCCTGAATGGGGCCCATCTTTTCATTTTTATACATCTTGTGACGTCATAGTGATCGTGAATTGAAATTTCATGAAAGTTTTCAAAATTTTAATAACGTTATAATGATGTGGTTTTTATTCTCAGCATTGAAAAAATTTCGAATGTAACTTTTTTCTCAAATTTTCAGGCTCTGACGACGAAAATATTGAAATTTTCCTCGAATAATTTTTCTGGGTGAACTTTTAAATTTCTTGCCCAATTATTTTCTTCGATCAAATTGATGTTTTCTTCTAAAATAAGTTGTACTTTTCATTAAGTTCCGGTAATTACCGTATTCTTTGCTAGTTGACAACAAGTTTTTTGGATAACTTCCCAAAAAAAACTAATCTGGGTCTCCAAAAAACACACTTTTTTGCGCGATGTCCGTGTCTTGTTTATGGGCAAGGTGCCAAAATATCAAGGTGTGTCACCTTATATGACATGTTCTTCAATAGTTTTCAAATTTTTTATAGAATTTCTATGAGAATTATCTAACGAACTACTTCCAGATTTTGGTTCAATTTTCATAACATGCTTCCGGGAAAATTTTTCGAATTGTTTAATGCGTAGTATAAGATTCTCGTGACCCGAAAATTTGAGAAATCATTTGTTATTTTTTCTCCATATTGTGCAAAATTCTGAACTTTCTCTGTGATTTTTGATACTTTTCGAGTGTTTAAAAAAGCAAGACCTGAATTTCAGAAAGAAATATTTCATTTAATTTTACTGTTTCAAAAATTGTTGAAACTTGGGAATTTTCATGTAAGAGAGGCTCCGCCTTTTGCCTTGAGAACCCAAAATTTGCATACGTGGTAAACATATGAGTAAGTTATAACTCATATACGCTATTAAAAAATTTGAAAACTTTCATGAAATTTCAATTCACGATCACTATGACGTCACAAGATGTAAACAATTAAAAGATGGGCCCCATTCAGGAAATGAACAAAAAATACATGGCCCCATTGAGGAAATATGCAGAAATCATGTGTTTTATCTTTTTAGGTGGCCCCATTAAGGAAAAAGTGAGAAATTCTTACTTTTTTCTTGCTGGCCCCATTGAGGATATTTGCCACACAAGTGGCCCCATTCAGGTGGCCCCATTTTCTCAAAAAATGGCCCCATTCAGGGGCCCCATTCAGAGATTACCGAATCTAGGCCTACCAAATTCTGAGGCCTGAATTTAGGCTCACTGAACTTAGGATTGTTAGGCCTGGCCACTTCGCAGTAGATTTATATTTGCACTCGCGAGAAGGCTTTTCTAGGCTTAGGCTCAGATATTTCTCTCACCAGCAAACGCTTAGGTTTTAAGATTTGGCTTTTCTGGACTTAAGCTGAGGCTCAGATCTGCTTTTAGAGGCCTTAACTTCTTCTAGGGGCCTTAAAAGGGGTTTCTAGGTATTTTTTGGGATTCTAGGTATTTTTAGCAATGAGCAAAACTGAATTAGGATCTTTCAAAGTACTAAATTTGAAGTTTCAGATTTTTAAAATGTTTTTTTTTTCGAAATCCAGGCTTGGTCCTTTTTTCAGTTTTGAAAAGTTACAGTTTCAAAGTTGTTCTCAAGTTTCTAAACAGTATTTCAAATCTTGAAAGTTCCATCTGTCCATTCCAAAAAACCCATTTTTTCAGCCAATCTTCTCCCCGTTGTTGGTCGCCGTCATGAAATTCGTCCAGTTCCAAGTGGAACTATTGTTCAACTCGTCAAACCAAAATTAGGAACCTACATCAAAACAGTCAATAATGAGATTCTTGATGCATCCGGAACTATTTATGAAACTTGTTAGTTTTTTTTTAAACCTTTTTCAAATTTTTGAATCTATTTTTTGTAGATGCTGATAACTTGGTTGAACAAATCCGATTGCAACCCGAACATTTCCAAGCAGCTCCTCAACAGCCACGTGGCGAACCTGAAGTTATTGATCTAGATTGAACATGCATGTATTATATTAAATTTTTTCCTTTTTTTCTTTTAAACCGATCTCGTTTAGACCCATTTTACCCCACTCCTTGTGCACTTTTTCCAATTTTTTTTTGTTAAATAATTTGCAGTTGGGTCGATTTTTCTTTGGAACGCCACATTCCCCCCGTTTTTGTGTTTTTGAAAACTGTAATTTTATGAAACTGCTTTAATGAAACCTATTTTTTAAAGTTACTGCTGGTTTTTGAGAGAGAAAATGGTTGTTGAAAACATTTTTAATTTCTGAAATTTTTGTGTTTACAAAAAAATCTGAAAATTTAAATTCAAAAAAATCCTGAGTAACCTTAATTATTGCCATGTCAAATTCCACATATTTTGACACCGAACACGACTATGTTCCTTCAAATTTTAGCTACAGTAAACATAGTCACGTTTGGTGTCAAAATTACTGTAATCTCGAGACCTACAGTAACCCCGTAACCATTTTTGATCTACAGTAACCTCACTCAAAAATGAATAGTTCATGAAAACTTTACTCGGAATGTGAATTGTTTTGCTTGTTTTAAAAATTAATCAAATTGATTTCAAATTTTATTTTTACAAGTACGGATTTCTCCCTTTTCTCGTTGCTTTTTTCTCTCGTTTTCACTCATTTTCTTCTCCAATCACTTCTTTCTTTTCGTCTTCTTTTCCGGCTTCTTTTGCTTCTTTTTTAGCATAAACCTCCAATTGAAGTTTGATGTTAACTGATTTAACATCAAAATATGATGCTAATTTTTCAATTACATAATCATAGTCGACATCGTCGTTTATCATAGATTTGAGTGCTGACTCTCTGCCTTGGTGATCTCTTCTCCGCATTTAGTTTTTCAAATATTTCTTCTTCCTCAACTAAACCATATGAATTCGATAAAACTTGGAATTTTATCTGAATAAGGTTATTTTGAATATACAATTCTTAATGAAAACAACTAACATCTCGAGATTTTACTGAATCGACCAAGTTGAACTCTTTGAATGGTTGTTTCTGAAAAAGTAACTTTATTTTTTCAAATAAAAACGAAAATTCAAATCTGAAGTGATATTCCTCCAGGTTTCTTATTTTCGATTTTTGACAATTAACTTACTGTGTTGAAGATAGAAATTGTGATGAGTTGAATTGAATTGAGCCTCAATTTTGATCACTCGAGATTTCGCTCTGCAAGATTCAATGAAATACCTATGGCTAACTTTTTGAGTTTTTACGTAGGGGGAGCGGCTAACTTTGAGGTCCTGACCGGGAGAAACCGATGTATGGACCATACTGTAGCAAAAATTAGATTTTTCATTGTTGGTAAGCTAGAAAATTTCAAACAGTTTCGAATAAGTTCTTCTGATTTCATGGGAAATGTCGTGTTTCGCTTTGTGAATTAAAAAGGATAGAAAAATTTTGAAAATTTTAGAACATTTGCGGACCCGAAGACACTCTTATGTTAGATGGAGCGCTGCTACTAGTCAAAACGAGTAGGAATAAACTCACTTTGAAACCACTGGTAGAATCATAATTCAAAATCACACGCCCGGTTGTTATTCCGTGTACTCCGACAACGGTCTGATGTTATCCATACTTGATAATACAACCGATCCACAATTATAATCCATACTTGAACTCCGACTTGCAGTTGTTGATAGACCCCAGGTTAACTCGCAGTCAAATCTTCTGGAGTGTTTTTCACGTTTCGATTCAATATCCAACTGATTTGTTGGTTTTGTCTGAAAACACATTCATTATTAGAATATTAAATCTAAATAGTTCCAAAATTTCGAATTTATCACAATGTTTTTGTCACACTTAATCGTTCACTATTTCAGATAACTCATTCGTGAAATGGTAAGATTGAAAAATAAAAATCAAACATGTTGACAGATTGAATCATATAATCAAAAGAGACCGTTAAGCTACAAATCAGCTGCATCCTTTTTCTGTCGTTATTTCATAAAATAGTTCAACGACTCACGTTTGACAAGATGGCAGATAATTGGCCGAGTGTTTCGTTCAATCCATTTTGTGATAATACAACAGATTCACAATTATAATCCAAACTTGAGTTTTTCTCAGATAGTTTGTTTCTGAAACAGATACATACACAAGAAGGATCATTTAAAAAAATAGCTAAGAACTATTACTATTATTGAACAAACCTGAACTTGTGACACATATTGTATCGTGCGATTCCCATCTGACACCACAATATTGAGAGTTGTGTTATTTGTCGGGATGAAGAAAACGACTGCGGCATTTTGTTTCGGCAGAAACTCCTGTGAGCTAACCAACTTCTTTTTGGTGACTTCTGAAAAATTGTGATTATGTTAATATTTACCAAACATTCATATACGCTTGAAAACAAGGATAATTTTTCACTTACTGTCATATATTTTGACTGATAAATTCTTCAGGCCATTTGAGGGAGATTTTATTATAATCCAGACGGGTACTCCCACTTGCAGTTGTTGATAAGTGCCAGGACCGCTCACAGTCAAATCATCCGGAGTATTTTGCAATAAGATTTCGTGCAAATTTGCCATCTCTGTAAAACAATTTTCATAAAATTCTAGTATGAAATTTTCTGGGCACTGGATTCATACATTTTATATTTTGGAAAATATTTTTGGAAAAATTAAAACGTGACCTAGTTCTGCTCATTTCTTTGCCTAAAATTTGAAGTGACGAACATCGATCGTTATAATTTTGTCAGTTTTATTTTTTGTTTTTGAAAAACTGAATAAAGATGTTCTAGTGGGCAAAATGTTATTTTATCACCTAATCATTCAATATTATGATAACACTTTTCTAACTTAGCTTACCAATTTCCTATTTGACTAATTACTTTCCTAATTGACTTATAATTTTTCACTTACCAGACTGGATTCACAACTGGAACCAAATAGAAAATAGAATTCCGAAATGACCACATCGTGTCCACATCATACCAATTCTGATCAATTTTTTAGGTCACGCAATTTTTTTCAAAAATTTTTACGTAAACATTTTTTTTTTGAAATTTCACAAATTTTGATTTTTTAAAAATCCAACATCACACAATGATGATGTATTATTTTTTTAGGTCGAATTTCAGCACCAAATTTCACTGTAAAACTTGTTTTTTACTGGGATTTGTCCATTTTCAGAAGATTTAGTAACTGTTTGAGACGTTTTCAGCTCCAGAAATCTAAAAATTTTCAAAATAAAATCTCAGAAACCTTTTTCGAAAATTCAGGTTTTTTGTGGGACTTTGAAAACATTTTCACAAAATTGGATTATCTTGAAGATTTCACCAAGAAAAATCACTTTCCGGATTTTCTGGAAAATTGGAAAATTGAATTTTCCGTGAAAAACTGGAGAATTTCCGGCACAGGTCTGCACAAAAAGAAAATCTACAGTAGCTATGTTTGGGGTCAATATGACCGTATTCTCGATACCTACAGTAATCCCATTCCCTTTTTTGATCTACAGTAACCTCACTCAAAAATGAAGAGTTCAAGATTTTATGAAAATCAAATTTATTGTTTTCCAACTGCAAAAGAAGTACCATTAATCACAAGTTTCTCCACATTTTCACCAATCAATTTGCCTCCACTAAAACTGCCCGAAATATCCATTGACATTTGACCAAGATTCAAAACCGCATTGAATTTATTTCTTCGACAATTGTTGATCTTTGAACTTCTCAATTGTTCGGGAATTGTTGGAAATTCCAATTTTTGAGGTCTTTTTCGATTGTCAGGATTTTTTGTGAGCAACATTTTCATTTTTCCATCAGTCGAGTAGAATTTCTAGAGAGAAAAAATTATATATTTTTTTGTACTTGTCAGAAAATTTTAGACTTACCAATGGTAATTCAGATTCTTGGGAAGATGTTGATTCATTTGTTATTGGTGTGTAAAAAGTTTCGGATTTAGTCGGTGGCCGAACAACACAAAATCGACTTTCCGGAAATTCTCTGAAATCATTTTCTTTACACCTAATTTCAAAATAAGTCAACCTACATTTCCATTTTCCTAATTCTCATTATAAATTCGTCTTGTTTTCTCAAATCTCCGGGACATCTGATAATTGGTGGTGGAATATCAGGAAGTTGACAAAAAGTTGGTTTTCGAGTATTTTTCGCGTTTTTTTGACGAAGAAGAATTTGACGAACTTGGCAAAGATTTTGATTCACTTTTTCATTTTTATTATTATAGTTTTTGCTATATGTAGAATTTGCTAAATTGTCCATTTTCTGAAAATTTTAATTAATTACGAAGGAGGAATCTGGTTTTTTATCAGAATCATATCCGAGATTTTTTACTGCACTTTGAATTTGAGATCAAAAAAAATACAATTTCTGACATTTTACAGTAAGAAGTGTTAAGTACTTTAATTTTGTACAAAAAATTCCATTTTTACGTGGCAAAGTTCTTGAGAAATCGAAACTATTTCCAGTTTTTTCCTAGCAAAGCCACTCACCAAATTAAAAAACAAAAATATTCCAAAATAATTTTTTTGTTTCAAATCCCCTCTCTCACATTGAATAAATCATGGGTCACGCGTTTTTTTCTTTCCTTTTTTTTTTGAAAAAAACCTTTCCCCTTTCTCTCTCCGTTTTCTCCCGCCAAAATGCGTCATTCTATGATTTTCGCGCCAATGGCGCCAAAACTAAACAACCAACCGGTTTATACTTTTCAAAAGTTAATAATTACAACCGCATTTTCAAAAATGAAACAATTCGATGCTAATTCATTTGTGCCCTTGACAAAATACCGCTGGTTGGCAACTTTCCAATTTCCAAAATTCCCGCCTTTTTCTCTTTCTGTTTTTTCTTTCAAACTGGTTTTTCTGTTCAAAGTTTTTTCTCGTGTTGTGTTAGTTAGGATAAATTGATTTTCATTGAATTGACACGATAATTTCCATTTTTCTCCTTCTCCCCAATTTTTTTCCCGAATTTTTTCAATAGCCAAATATTGACACAAAAATAAATATTGAAACTATTTCATTTTTTCTCTCCTTTTTTGGTTAGACCGGATCTAATCGGACCTAATAATAAAAAAACGAATATTTATTTGTTTTTACTGCTTTTGCCTGTCTGAACTAATTTGTCTCCGGTTTTTTGAAGGGGAAAAAAGTTGCGAAGGTCACGGTTGTAAAAATGAACAGATGTGCGTTGTGGTGCGCATAATAGTATATTTTTTCCTCACTCAACATATTGAGAAGATCTAAAGTATTCTTCATCTTTTCATAGTTTTCCACTTTTTTTTACAAATGTTTTCGATTCAGTGAATTCTTTGAATTAGCATATCTCGTCTCTGCCTAGAATAAGAGAGAAAAAAGCTGATTAAAAATAATCCGAAATCTAGTTTTCTGGTTTTTTTGCCATTCTCGATTATTTTAAAGTTTTAACCATGTGTCAGCAAAATTTATGTGGAAAATTTATTTTTCAAAAGATTCAAAAAACATTTTCCAAAAAAAAACAATTTTTCACGTGAAACGTGACACATTTCTCTCTCTGCCACGCGTCACAATTGCATCATTTTCTCCCATTTTTTCTCTTCGAAACAGTCCGAATTTTTTTTTTAGAATTTTCGAAAATGCCAAATTGTCCAAGATGCACAAAACCGGTTTATTTTGGTGAGTTGAGAACTTTTTTTGAAGAAAATTGTGACTTGTGGGAACTCAAAGTTGTTTTTTTTCAGGAGAACGTGTAACATCAATCGGATTTGACTGGCATCGTCCATGTCTTCGATGTGAAAATGATGCTTGTAAAAAGACTTTGGCTGCTGGAAGTCATTCGGAGGTTTGGAATTTTTGGGGTTTACAAATTTTGAAAAAAACAATCTGTGCATTTTTGCGTCACGGTGTTTGCAATTTTTATTTCTAGTAAGACTGTATAGGGTTCAAAAAAATCTGGAGCTCCTCAGATATGAATAATGTCGTGGAGAATCTTGAGCCTAAATCAGAAAAATAATCAAAAGTAAAGGAAAAACATTAAAAAAAAATTTCCACAAACACCGTCACGCACAAATGCACACATTTTCCTACCATACTATATTATTCAAAACCCGATTTTTCAGAGAGAAGGAAAACCATATTGTAATCGATGCTATGGTGCACTTTTCGGCCCTCGAGGTTATGGTCATGGAGGAGTTGAGAGTCACACATTCCACGAGGGACAAACTGGACAGGTAAGCAAAAAATATTATATTTTTTGCCTGGATATGTTCAATAACCTTTACTCAATTCTAATCATATTTCAGGTTTAGACCATCAATTCATCGAAATCTAATAAAATTATTCAACCATATACCATAATGAATAGCCGTTCAAATGTTCCCAATCGACATATTGTTACCTATTATTGACTTTTATTCTTCTCTTTTTTTAGTTCAATGATTTTTATGAAGTCTAAATATTTTATTGGATCAATAAACATTTTTTTTCAAAAAAATGTGTTCTTATGGCGGAGCTGGAAGAAATGGAAGTGGCGGAACATCTCGACACATTTGACGAATTGAAGATGTCAATTGTTTCTTCCATTTTGTCCTGTTGAAAATTTCCGATTTTTTCAGAAAAAAAAGTACAATCCTCAAGTTACCTTCGATTCTGAAACCAGGTTTTGATTTGTGTTTCAGTGAGATTTAGAGATTGAGAAAGTTGGATTCGTTTGTTGACACTCAAATATTTGTCGTTTTGAAATTCGGATTCTAATCGATCGAGTTGTTTGACAGAATATGCTTGACGTGGTTTTCGTTCGCTTACTGATTTTCGAGATCGTTTGTAGTCGTGCTTTCGAGCTGGAAACAAAGAATTAAAAATTTTAAAGCAAAAATGAAAATAATTAAAGTACAGAAATTACAAATCTTTTAAAAACCCAAAAATTTTGGAAAGTTTTTTTTACATAATACGTAATGAAGAAAAAATTACAGAGAAAAGATACAGTAGCCCTAAATTTTCAAAAAAATTTTGCATAGTTAGAAAATGATACTGTATTGTTTTTTAAAGGTTCAGGTTACGGTATCTGTGTGAAATGATTCAGGAAACTTTTGGATTTTTGATTTTTCAAACTTAAATTTAAAAAAATGTGTGTTATTTCAAATTTCACATAAAATTTTTGAAATGAAAAATGAAGATTCAAAAATTTTGTTGGTAGAAATTTCAGAACACAATAAATTTTTTGTGAACCTCTCTGAACCTTAATTTTTTCCAAACTCACCAGAAACTCCCAACAACATTTGCAATTCTACAAGCGTCGGTGTCGTCAAATCATTTGCAATCGCAAACATTGCCAATTGGCTACTTGCCAGCGGACCCCATGGGGTTACTGTAGATGGAGTTGTCACATCTTCCTCAGTTTCTTCTTCTTCTTCCTCCTCTTCTTCTTCTTCAATTTTCTCTTGAACTTCTTCAATTTTTTCCGAAGTTTTCAATGTGTTTTCAAGAAGAAGTTGAGAAATATTAAAAGCCATAGTTTAAAATAAAACCGAAGAAGAATATCAAGACGTGGAGAAAAAAAATGAGATTTTATTTTTATTTATATTAGGTCCGCGTGGGAAAAAAGTAACAGGTGATATGTCTGCGTCTCGCCATCCTCCACACTATTTCCACTCATTATTATACCTGAAATATGAGCATTCGGATTTTTGTTAATGGAAGCGAATGAAATTAGATTCGCGCGAGAAAATTGGAATGTTTTGAGAGAGAGTTTTCAGGAATAAGAAAGGTATACGGTAATATTATTATTATTTTCTCATTACTCTTATTATTATTATTGTTTTTTAGTTTGTTATGGGGAATTTTGAGATATTGTTGATGGAAAAAAGTATGGGAAATTGACAATTTTGGGGAAGGAAGAAGACAACAAAAAAATTACAGATTTTAAAATCATAAATTAATTAAGAATTTCCTGAAATGCTGAAATTTTGAAAGCCCAATTTTTTTCAAAATGAAAATTATGTTTTCCAAATTGCCACATCATAGTTCACGTTTTCAAATTCTCCAAATGAAGAAAAAATTGGAAATTTATAAATTTTCAAAATGATTCCAGAAGTTCAGACCAAAGAACATCTGGTCAAAACTCACGGAGTCCATTTTTCTAGCCTCGGGCAAATTTCTTTGAAAAAAATTACTCAAACTTGGAGCATTGAGCGAAAAACCAAAACAGAAAAGTTGGACCTTTTCCAGAATTTTTTTTTGAAAATTCAGACTTTTATTTTGAAAAATTAAATTTATAAGAAAAAAAATGTCACATCAAAGTTCATATCAGAATTTCTGAACAGAAATCTAAAATTCAAAAATCAACAAGCTCTCATAATAATCCTGTTAACTTTTGAGACCCCAGACATTTTCCAATAAAAAAGCGCGTCATCAAAATTGTCATGCTGTGAAAGATCCATAAACTTTACATTATTATATTTTTATCTCATTTTTTGTCAAACACATTTTTCAGATATTTCTCTAAAATCACACAAAACCTTTTGTTTTTTTGTTTGATGATCACAAATTAAATACCAACAAAAAAGTTGAGTCACTAATTCAACTTTTTTTCTTTTTTCTAGCTCACTTGATCATCTACTAATGACTATAAATTGGAAATCTTTTTTTTTTAATTTTCGAGTGCGAGAAGAAGTATTTAGAGAATGTCATATTTTATTTTTGTTTTGGAATTCGAAAATTATTGTTATTTCAGTAATTACAGCTTTGAAAATGTTGTGAACTAGATTTTAGAAATGTTATCAAAAAGTCAAAAGACAATTGTTAAGGACATGTTTTGAATAAGATATTTCTTGGTTCAAGTTCTTTCATTTTCTCAGAAAAATGTTATTGTGAGATTTGCTAATTATTGGAGCGTATAAATGATAATTTTTAGCTAGAAAATATATTTCTTTGAAATTTGGCAAAAATTATTTGAATAGCTAATTTTGAATCTATCATTTATAAACTATAATCTAGTTAAAAAATGTTTCAATTCATTGAAGATTTTTTTGAAATCAAAAGTTTTTGCTTTGAAAATTTTTGGTTCAAAAAATGTTTCGCCAAAAATTGAAGTAGTTTTTAAAACTCTGAAAGTTTTTCTGAAAATTCATTTTCTTTTTTGAGTCAAACATATTCGTTATTTTTTCGTATATTTTTCTGAATACAAAAAATTGTACCTAAATCATGTGTTTTGGACAAAATTAGAGAGTTCATTAAGAACACTCAGTCATCGCTCAAAATAGTTTCCACCTCATAGATCTCCTGCTTTTCAAAGTTGAACTTTTTTTTTTGAATTCCCTAAATCACACCAATTTCTGAAATTCAAAGTTCAAATTCTCACCATGGAGATGATGTTCACAAAAAACCAAAATTCGATAAAATATTTCGATATCCGATACTTTTTCCTCTTTTTTGTTCTTCATCTTCCTGTTAAAATATTCCTTGACTGACGTAGATCCAAAAGCTAGTTAGTCTATTTTCCAACAAAAAAGTCTCCGCCTCTATCTTTCGAGCCCGCCCATTTTTCCAGAATTTTTCAGGCTCAAAAAAAGGAGAGGTTCCGCTTTCTTTTTTTCTATGGTCCGTTCTTTTTTGTCGACAGACAGCTGAATTATGATTGATGTAAACGACGAAATTATTATGGGCTATAATTCGACTTGGGAATATATATTTGGATATGAAAATGTTGAACGAGTCACGTACATCTACCTAATTCCACTGGTAAGCTTCCAAGATTTTTGAATTTAAAATTGAAATCTTCTAACTTCTAAGATCTGTTTAAAAAACAATTAATTTAACCGAAAATCGGGGGGCTGAATAAATAAAAGATGCAAAAATACCAAAGATTCTCCTTCTTTTTATTTACCTTTTTATGTTTTTTTTGGAAAAAAAAATATATGAGGAAGAAAAATTCAATCAAAAATAGCACTTGAGCAAACTGGAAAACAAGACGTTTTGCAAAAAAAAATTTGGAACATGAGCTATGACGTGGCAAATTAGGTATAGAATTTTACAAATTCATGGGAGATTCTAATTGGTTTCCGGTGGAATTCGGAAATTTGGAATTGAAAATTCACACCAAAAATCAGAATGTTTCTCGAAATTTTTCGAACCAATTGATTTTCAATATCTAGGGATCCAATGGAAGTTTTTCAGAGTTTCATTGATCAAAAAATATTTTTTTTTGAGACGCGTTTTCCAGACTAGAATTGTAGTTTTTCAAAGTTCACAAGACATCTGTCACATTTTTTTAACCGAGTTTTTTGTAAAAATATCTAAGAGTTTTGAAAATTCCCCTTCGATCTAAAACTTTGCTGTTTCAGTTCAAAATTCATATTTCTCTCCATCAATCCTCATTTTTAAGGATCATCCAAGACTAATCCAGATTCATAGATCTTCACTGAAAAATCATATAATCTTTGTTCATACGGTATTGACATCTTTCTCAAAAAAGACCCTCATTTTTTGATAATTACCCTTTAGCTAAAAAAAATGAAAAAAAATCTCCGAGCTTGCGAAATTGTGCCAATTTTGGGTGGCTAAAAAAAGATTTTTTTACAATTAGAAGTGAATGTCATTTTTAGGGTAACTCAAAAGGATTTTGAGGGGAGTTTTTGCTCAGAAAATTGTCATATTTTTCGAGAACATGAATTTTTTTGAGATCATAGAGAAGAAATTGAAGAAGCAGAATTTTAATTTATATATTCTCTCTCTCTATTTATTTATTTTGTCCAGTGTGTTTTCCTTTTTTTTCTGCTATCCTCCTCCCATTTATTTTCCTTTTCCGTTCATGGAAAAAATCATCTTGAATTATAAAAAGTTAGGAAGGGATCAAAACTCGAACATTTTACACGATATTTTTCACAACAAAAATAAGGGAGAAAAATAAATTAGTATTGGAGGCTTAGGCTTTTTGTTTTGTATTTTTTCTAATCTTTTGTGCAATTTTCTAACTGGCTTTTGACCCCCGTTGGGTTCAACGATGAACCAGAAAAATTGCAATAAATATTCTAATGAGGAATTATCTTCATCTTTTTCTTTCCCATAGGAGGAAAACTGAAAAAAATGAGAAATAAAGTGCAAGCAGAAAAACAACGAGTAAATGATGGGAAAAATATTCTTTTGAAGTGGGGTGGAGGAAAATATTTTTGTTACTAACATAAATGAAATATAGAAAAAAAAACAAGTAGAGGGATATAATTTGAAATCAACTTGGTAAGAAATTATGATTTGGCAGGATTTACTGGAAATGTGAAGTACAGTAACCCTAATCGTTTACGGCCTTTTTTTGTGATTTTACAATCATTATTTTCGTGCACAAAAAATATTTTTCTACATTTTTCCACTACTTCAAAATTCCATTCATCTCTGTCCTAATTTTCTTTTTGGCCACTAATAATTATTTCCCGAAAAAATCGTAAACTTTTTATTACACTCGATGACATCAAATATTCATCATCATGTAGTTTGGCCCATCCAAACTCATGATCAAAATTAGCCAAATAAGAAGCTCTTTAAAAACTTGTTTACACAAAAAAAACAAACCCGATACCTTTTCTTTTTGTCAATATGCACATATAAGAAAACACGGATTAGGTTCGTAGGAAAAAAAAAACAATTATTATCCTTGAATTCGAAGAACACCTCAAAAAGTATTTTTTTTTTCAGGTTTGTCTTCCTGGAAGTGTCGCCGCCGTTTTGTCGGCCATTGTTTTTGCTCGTCTTCGACAAAACTCATTAGAGGTTAGTTTAGAGCGAAAAATAACGAAGAAGCAAAAGAAAATGAAAATGAAAATGAAATTGACTAACTAACTTTGAACGATGGTTTTTTGAATGAGTTCAAAGAAAAACATTTGAGACAACATGTGATGAGCAAAAATATTGGGAAGAGAAATATTGGCAAAAGAGTTCGGAATTGAGTTGAAGATTTGGGAAATATCTTAGAATCTGCTACAAAACGAAAAAAAATTCCAGATTCTGCTATGTGGACTCTCATTATTCGATGTGGTTATCCTTCTCTCTTCTCTTTTCATGTTTCCAGCAATGCATGAATGTTCAAGAATTGATCAAGCAGTAATTCATCCTTACATTAATAAAATTCCAATTTCATATCCTCTTTCAGCTCCAACAATCAAGTATGGTTTGTCATTTCTTTTGGAGATCCACCGTCAGTTTGTTCCCAATAAGTCTAATTTCCCAAGCTGGCTCAATTTTCACATACGTGGCAGTTACTGTAGATCGATTTATTGCTGTAACATTTCCATTGAAGAAAAGAGTTTGGGCGACGAGAAACAAATCGACGACAGTTTTGATTTGCATTACGGTTGTGAGGTAATCCAGTCACGGGTAACCAGAAATTACGTAACTAAAAAATTTTCAGCACCCTCTTCAAACTTCCCTCATTCTTCGAAGTTGCTCTAAATGAAAACGGTCAATCTGTGACCACAACATTGAGAGAGAATAAATTCTACACGGAAATTTATTTGCTATATTTATACTTTTTCCTGATGCAACTAATTCCATGGACAATTATTATCTTCCTGAATGCTTATATAATTCATAAAGTGAGACTGGCTTATCGAGTACAAGAAGCCATGATTCACGGAAAACCAAAAACAAAACGAGAAGATGCCGAGAGAAAGTTGGTTTTAGATAGATATTTATTATTAAAATTGCGAGATTTTGTATGGGAAATTCTGAGGGACCACAGAAATTCCTTGAGTTCAATCCAAATAAAATTGTTTCCACTTTCCGTTCAAAAACTTTGTTTTATATGAGCTTTTTTGCAAACAGCTGAACCACTGTTTTTTTAAGTGTGAACTATTAGCAAATTTTCAAACTTCCAAAAACCATCAACAAATTTTCAGAGTAACCGTTATGGCAATCGTGATGACGTGTATTTTCATAATCTGCAACATTCCACCGGGTATCAATAATTTAGTTGAGGAATATGGAGATCGCGCGTATTTTCGACAACGAATACCACTTTCTAATCTACTTGTCTGTTTTAACAGGTAACCTAGAAAACCCTGGAAATCTTCAAAAACAAAAACATAAATTTTCAGCGCATCAAATGTGATGATCTATTGTGTATTCAACACTCGATTCAGAAGAGCCGCGTTACAAATTCTCGGATTCTCAACAAAAAATCCGACTCGAGCTGGAAGTGTTATAACTAAAATCACCAAAGAGGATGGTGTTGGAATGGTAAGACAGCACATATTGTTAAAGTGAAAATTTGAAAAAAATTTCAGCTACGATCAAGAATTTCAACCTATGAAACATTGAATGGCGTCGAGCCAACTGCTTGTTAATTTTTGTATTTTTGCACATTTTTTTGAAATTACTGGTATTTTTGAGATTTGCAATCTATGTAATAAAATCATGTTTTTTTGCGAAATTTTCTGTCAGAAAATTCAAATTGCTGATTTGAAATAGTTGAATTAAGTATGCTGATAATTTACCGATATTAAGTTTTTAATCACATTTATGAGTCAACTTTGATCAGCGAGAAATTTGATTACTCACAAAGGAAAATAGAGCGGAGAAATATCACCGGAGATAGGAGAACCTTGGAGAATTGATTACTGTATGATCTACACTATTTCACTCAAGTTCAAACTGATCAAATTGACAAAAATGACATCTAAAATTGTGAGGAAACATTCACAAATCATAACAACTATGCTTGATTATTCATCGAAGCGTGGTATTATATAATATAATTTTTCAAAATGTAACATCAGTTTGAAAATAAAACAACAAATTCGGTCGCAATTATATTCTAAAAATATGACGTAATTAAATTTCTGCGTAGTTTTTTACCCAAAAATTGCATTAATTTCTTACTTAAAATCAAATTTTCAAGTGTATTATGTATTAGAAATTCAAAAAATCAATGTTTCTTCTCTTCTTACAAAAAAATTGCCACGTCATAACTAGGCTACATTTTTTTTTCATTTTCTGTTTTCTTGTTCAAATTAGTGACTAATTAATTAGTGAATACATTTTTTTTCAGATCATTATTTTTGTTTTGATATTCTGCAAAACAGTTTTCTCAAAACATAAGAGAGAAAATGTGCTACGATTCGACGTCAATTTTAAATTCTCCAAAACCAGTTAAAATCATTTTCTGGATAATCACAATTCTCTCAATTTTAATCCATATTTTTGGCGCATTTTGTATTCTTCGAAAAACTCCAAAATCAGTCAAATCTGTTCGTTATTGGCTTTTCAATTTTCATTTATGGAGCTTATTTCTAGACGTTACTCTCGGATTTGTAATAACTCCATTTTTATTTCTACCAACTTTGACTTTTCGAGCTTATGGATTTCTGGAAGGATATGAACAATTTGTACCATATTTTGCAGTTTTGACATTTGCAGGTAAAATGAATCAGGGTTAAAAAATTTAAAATTGTGTTACAGGAACAGGCTTCAGTCTTGTCCTACTTCTTGAAAATCGCCACCATTCTTTAACAATGTGGGAAGTTACAACAACTCGGAAAATTTGTCGCGCAATTTTTTATACTTTCAATATTGTGTTTCTTTTCCTATTTCCTCTGATAACTACGTTGTATGTTCCAAATCAAAAAATTGGAAGAGAAGAGGCGATTAAAGTAGGTTATTCAGAAAAAAACTCAGAATTCAAGGTGTAATCCTAATTCTAAAATTTTTTAAATTTCCTACTTCTAGGTTCTTCCATGTTTGTCTGAAGTTCCAGACATTTTTATAATTGTCACTGATTTGAATGCAATTTTTATAATTCTCACCGTTCTAATGATCGGTCTATTTCTAGTTATATTTCAATGCATATTTTTCGCCTGGTCAATTTTCAAAGCCTCTGATTTCTCCGAAAACATTTCCAAATTAACAATCGCGCTTCAACGCAAATTCCTAATCTCAATTCTAATTCAAAAATCAATTCCATCAAGCTCTCTAGTTCCCCCAGTTTTCTATGCAGTCTTCTGCGTTTACAACAATATTCATTGGCAAAAACTCACAAATATTTTGATTTTTGTGGTAACTTCACATGGAATTATTGGAAGTGTAGCAATGTTATGTATTCATAAAAGCTACACGAATACAGTTATCGATTTGATATTATGTAGGCGGATTAAACAAACATTATTGGAGTCGGAGCAATCAAAAATTACACGAGTTCTAAATAATAACAATAATAATATAATTGCGAGAAGAAGTATGCCAAGTATTAGATCATAAACCCAAAATAATACTTTTTCTAAAAATTCATTTTTTTTTAAATGAAATTCTTCCCAAATTAAAAATTATATCAACGTGACACAAATACGTCATAAATTCCACGTATTTTTGATCTTGATAAGAGTAGTATAAAAGGAATCCCTCAGCTCATTCAAATCCAACCCATAGTTCAACAATGGCTCAATCCGTTCCACCAGGAGATATCCAAACTCAACCAAACGCCAAGATCGTCTTCAATGCTCCATACGACGACAAACACACCTATCACATCAAGGTTATCAACTCTTCTGCTCGTCGTATTGGATACGGTATCAAGACAACCAACATGAAGAGACTTGGAGTCGATCCACCATGTGGAGTTTTGGATCCAAAGGAGGCTGTCCTTTTGGCTGTTTCATGTGACGCTTTTGCTTATGGACAAGAAGACACCAACAATGATCGTATCACTGTTGAATGGACCAACACTCCAGATGGTGCTGCCAAACAATTCCGTCGTGAATGGTTCCAAGGAGATGGTATGGTTCGTAGAAAGAACTTGCCAATTGAGTACAATCCATAAACATCTTAATAAATTTTCACATCCAAATTTGTTCTTTTTTCTGATGAAAAAATGGGGGGAGGAAAAGCTTTTCTCTAAAATTCCGTGTCCAAAATGGGCCTCTTCACCTTTTTTTTGCAAAGGTCGGTTCTCTTCTACGGAGGTTTTGGAGATTCTCAGGCCTTTTTGAGCTCCGTTTGTTTCTTCCAAAATTCTAGAATGATCTCGGTTCAAAAGTTTTGTTTTTGAAAATGAACTTTTTAATTAAAATTTATGTTCAAAAAACCAAAATTCAAGGAATCAAAATTTTCAGTCTCACAAAGTCTCACAAAGCTGGTTTTGTCACAACATCAAATAATGTTTAATGGGTTTTGGGTTCAGTAGTCGCATCGTGGTGTATTATCAATATTTTAATTCAATTATAAACCAGTAAAAAACAACTTACAACGACACCCCGCCATGCCCGTTGTTTAGCATAAATATCATTTTCTGTTTTTTTGTTTTGTCTTTATTTTTCAACGAATTTTTCATAGCTTTACACCTTAAAAAGTTTCCATATTTGTAAATAACTTTACCATTACAATTTCTACTAACTAGTTGTACTATAACTTCTCACATTTTTTAAAAAATTCCAATCTTATCTATTTATGTGATTTCTCAATGTTTGTGTATATTTCTCAGTTGTATATTTCCAGGTATTTAACACCCTGATGATGATGTGAATACATCGAAACGTTGGAACAATAAAACAATTATCCAAATTTACCGTCGTTTTCGTTTTTTACTGGTTTATAATTGAATTAAAATATTGATAATCAAATAATGTTTCTCGATAATTTTTGATGATTAGCATAACTGGAATAGGATCGAGAACTGGGAATAAATCAAATGTCCCAAATCAAAATCAATGAGAATTGAAATGAAAACAAATGGACATGGAAAATGCATTAAAATAACTGGAATAATAGTTTGAGTTCTGAATGCCAAAACAATTAGAATAATGAAGGAAGTGATTGAAATCGTTAAAATAACAATTATTGATATAATATCTTTGTACAATACTGTTTATTGATTATTAAGTGTTTTCTCATAACATCGTGGTCCAATATAAGCGATTTCATCCAAATTCATGTCAAGAGAAACTAATAGAATATCTCTTATAGCTTGATCTGTTTCGATTGATGGACCCATTAGAAAATAGACATTGAGACCCCAACAAATTCCGAAAACAATTGGGATTGAACAATAAAGAACCAAAGAACAATCGTAGGAATTCAACATTCTTTTAGACCTATTCGTGAAAGAAAAAACATTGGTTTGTGATCGTCTTGGAACCCATTACACAAAATCGATAAATAAATTGAATCACAAAAAACGCCATAAAACTTCCGAGAAAACCACACCAAATAGATATAAAAATAACATCTCGAAAGTAGTTTATCTTTCGTTGAAACAATAAGAAGAGCAGTTGAACTATGTGAATATATTGTAGGAGATAGGAAAACATCAAGAAATGAGAAAATCATTTCGTAAGTTGCAATGTACATCATCAAATATCGATGTGAACCAAGTTTTTTTGGCGATTTTTTGATGATCAAAATTATCAGAATTGAATTGAAAATAAAGATAAGAATGCTGAGCCGATTTGCAAAATTGAGACAAATTTTGACCATCTCATTTTTATAACAAGAGAGAATACTAATATTTTAGTTTTGGTTATACCAAAATCACGATGCGCTTGTACTTTTTTTTAATTTCCGTATATAAAAACCGGCCAATTTTTATTTGTAGGAAAAACAGTAAGTGCACCCAGGATTTTTTGGTAGGAACCTATTTTATTTAGGATTAGATCGTTTTGGTTACCGTAACTTAAAAACTTGTGGAATTGAATCCATTTTTAACCACCCTCATTCTCCCAATTTTAAAATACTCCTCTCAATCAACAAACTCACGAAAAAACCCTCAAAAAAATCACAAAAATCGGTTTATTGCATGACAGATTGACCGGCTCCTTCCAATAATAATTTAAACGCTTCATTGATTTGCACAGTCTTTTGTTGGAGTTTCGGATCGTTCAACTTTTTCTTGATATAATACACCAGGCAGAGATAAAGCGACGTGTATTGTTTGAAGGATTCAACAGCGCCGGGACGTTGTTCTCGAACTTTTTTCACAATTTCGACAAGTTTCGGCTCGTGTTTATTGTTGAGTGTGCTGATTGCAGAGCATAATGAGATGAAGAAACCAGCACGACCTGCACCGTGTTTTGATATTATCATACATTTGTCTTCGCCAGGCTGGAAAAATTGAGAAAATTTGAAATTTTTTCAGCAAAATTTTTTTTTCAAAAACTCACCGCACTTGGAATAAAACTAGTGACTTCGATAACCGATTTAATAGTTTTTCCAAACTTTGCCGGAACATTTTGCGATTGCCAATCAATTTGCAAAACAATTGTCATTTGATTCGAATTCGAACATCCTTGCGGCAAAACTTCAACATTATATCGATAACATTCATTATCAACTTTTTCAACCTTCCGATTATTCACCCACATACTTCCAAAATGTTCATATGCTCCAACTTCTCGCGGGAAAAAATCCGCAATTTCATCGGCGCCAATCAAAACATACATCAACATAACATTGGCTTCGAATATGATTTTCCAAAATTCTTCAAAATTTTCCTTTTTCGGAATTTGTCCAATTATGATCGGTTTTGAAATATTCGAAAGATTTATCGATGAAGCATTTACATATTCTTCCGAATTTTGAGGATGTTTCACGATGTTATGATCAAAACAAGCATATTGTTCCGATTGATTTTTTGCCTGATTTTTTCGCCATTTTTTGCATTTGTTGAGATCGGGTTGGATGTTTTTGAGTTCGATGAATTCGCTTCGAGCAACCATTGTGTCTGCAAAAAAATATTGATACAAACAAGAAAATTCTGAATTTTTCTCCATTCGAAAATTATGAAAAACCCGAAAATTAGATTTTCCATGAAAAAAAAGGCAGAAATTCGGAAGAAATATCAGAAAAAAAGTTTCGAATTTTTGAAAACTTGTGAACATTTTTGAAAATTTTTTTTAGCAAACATCATTTTGAAAAAATTCAACTATGAATTGAAGACCAGCGACCCTCAATTATCTTCAAAAAGAGCCCAACAATTTTCAAATTAAAACATTTTCCATCCTCTTTTCCCCTTCAAAAAACCAACCAATACGATCCAAAAAAGTTCTTGCAACATCTCTTCCAGCCCATTTCTCACTATTCGATTTTTCTCTCGAAGTTGCAAGTGGTGTAGATGTTTGTGGTGTAGATGGTTGTGGTGTTGAAACATGTAATTGATCGATATGAGTTCGTGTCGATAATTGTTGCATTTCCGATGTTTCGCCGTGTTTTCTGACTCTTGTCGACATCATAACTCGATCCGTACTTTTCTTGCTCATTTTCTTCTTTCCACGATCAGATTCTTGAATTGTAGATGATTCTTGATCTTGTGCAATTGTATGTCCTCCAAGTCTTTCACTTCTCAATGTTTTGGTTCTTCGAGTATCGCTTTTTGTTCTTTTCGTCTTGCTACCATGTTTCGGTTTTCGAATTGTTTCACTTTGGGTATTTCTGAAAACAATCTTGGATTTTGAGACTTTTTTCCAGCTCCCAACAATTTTCGAACATACCCTAGTAGTGAATTCATATTTAGTATCAATCTGCTTTTTCTTTAAAACTTATGTTGAAAAATGAGAAAGATTGGTTGGAGCCACCATTTTATACACGTTTTGGAGATCTTTATCTTTCGAAAAAAAAATAAAGGGGTCACGTGGAAAAAATTATTCCGAGAAAATTCATTTAAAAATTTGGTTTTCTGGGCTCGGGAGCCAAAAAATCACTTTTTTTTTGAAATTCTCCCATGCTTCTAGGAAGTTCAAATCAATTTTATGACCCTATTTCGATTTTTCCCAAAAACAACAAATGTCAATTTGTATATATTTTTCCCAGTTTTTATTGTCAAAAATGTAATTCTTTCAAACAAAACAAGAAAAGATGATAAACATTCTTATTCTTTTTTATTTTCTAAACAAAACATAAACATTTACTTCCTAACTATTTAGTAATTGTTCTTTTTCTTCTTATTCTTCTAATATGTCAGTCACATGTTAGATACATCCTCTACTTTTTTCTAATTATATAAATTCCTCATCTTTTTTTTGTTCATTTTTTGTTAAAATATGCTGTCTGCGTCTATTCTCTCTCGTTTTATTTGCATTTTAAAACCAAACGAAACTCGTGTTGTCTAGATTAATAATGATGAATGTACCCGAACCAGATGATAGTTATTATTTTGAAATTTTGAAAAATGATCAGCGAGATGAAGTTTTGCAATTTTTATTCGATAATTTTGTGAAGGATGAACCTTTGAATAGGGTGAGTTTATTTGACAATACTTGAACTAAAATTATCAATAATCTCTTTTTCAGGCTGCGAATATAACAAATGAAGAGATTAGAATATGTCTGAATTTGGGATTAGATCGAGCACTAAAAAATGAAATATCTATATTAGCTCGTAGCAAAATTGATAACAAAATAGTTGGTTGTATGATAAATTCAGTTTGGAATCGAAATGATATTGAGAAAAAGAGCAAAGATGTGAAAGAAGAAGATTTCGAATTCAAAACTTCTCGCAAACAAGTTGAAACTATTGGAGAAATATTGAATGATCTACACGAATCATTTTGGAGTACACAAGGAGAAGATATTCAAACAGTTATTCATTTGTAAGAATAACAAATAGAAGATTAGATCTAAGAAATCTCAATTTTTCAGCGAAATTTCTTCTGTGAATATCCATCATCGATTCAAAGGAATTGCATCAAAATTCATGAATTTTACAGAAAACGAAGAGCTTTTAAAGGTATTTTTGAAGACTTGTTGATTTTCTCAATTGATTATTTTTTTAGAGTGTTTCTGCATCTGGAATTGTTGCTGAAGTGACGTCATTTGGAAATCAAAGATTGTTAGAGAAACGAAATTATACGGTAAATTATAGGAGGAAAATCAGATTTTTCGTCAAGGACTACAGATTCACCAAATTTCCGAAGACATAAAAACGTGAACTTCTTACGTGGCATATCTACTAATTTTAATTCAATTTTCCGTTTCAGACCCTATTATCGACTCCTCTATCCTCAAAACTAGACGAAAATGGTGAACAAGTTTTGTCGTGTGACGATGGAACAACAGAAGTTCGACTAATGTTCAAAAAAATCTTATAATAATAATAATTCAAGTTTAATAAAGTTTCTTATCTCAAAAGATGTTATCTAATTTAATTATATTTGCAGAATTAAACATGACAACAGTTTTGAACTTTAAACCATCATCGAACCATTCTTTGTATTTTTGAATTTCTTTGAAGGGGGTTTTGTGAATTAACCTTATTTCATTTTAATTATTCGTATTAGAAAAAATTAATTAACTGATTATAATGTTAATTATCAATTTTAGTCAATGAAAATTTAAAGTTCAATAACGTTTTCTTTTTTATCAGAGAAAAATCAGGAAAAAAACCTTCACGAAATATCATCATTTAACTGTTGATTACATGAATATATAAAGTAGTTTGTGTGAAATTGTGCTTATCATCAATTGATTTTTTTGACCAATATGATGCTGCTCTTTCTGATTTTGCCAATTATATTCGCGGATAATCGAGTTGAACAAGTTCATCTAAGTCTAAGTGGAAATATGAATGCAATGGTTGTCACATGGCTGACACAAAGTCCCCGTAAGTTTTTTTTCTGGAAATTCTAAACACGTTTGATATTCAGTTCCAAATGTGACACCTTTTGTATCTTATGGATTGTCGGCTGACAATTTAAAATGGACTGGAAAAGCTACCACAACAAAATGGGCTGATGAAGGACATATTGGAGTGCATAGATATACTCATAGGGCAACTATGAGAAATATGGAAGCTGGCACAAAATATTGTGAGTCTATCTATTATTTATCTTCTATTTTCGATATTTAAAAAAAGAAAACTAAAATTGCAGATTATTCTGTTGGAAGTTCACAAGCAAAATCGAAAGTATTTTACTTTACCCAACCCGATCCTTCAAAACCACTTCGAGTTGCAATTTTTGGAGATTTATCAGTGTACAAAGGATATTCGATAAAACCACTAATTGATGCGACACATTCAAATTATCTTGATTTTGTTATTCATATTGGAGATCTTGCTTATGATATGCAAGATGATAATGGAAATGTTGGAGATGATTATATGAATGCGATTGAAGATATGACAGCTTATATTCCTTATATGGTTTTTCCTGGAAACCATGAAGTTAGCCATAATTTTAATCACATGGTTAACCGATTCACAATGCCCAAAAATGGGGTTTATGATAATAATCTATTCTGGAGTTTGGATTACGGGAATGCTCATTTTGTAGCAATCAATAGTGAATATTATGCAGAAGGGATGAGTAAGGAAGCGAAAGCGCAATATGAATGGTTGGAAAATGATTTGAAAAACAATAAAGCAAAATGGACATTTGTATTATTACATCGCCCAATGTATTGTTCAACACAATCAAGTAAAGGTTGTGATGATTTTCAAGATACACTAACTCGCAAAGGAAATGCATTATTCCCTGGAATCGAACAATTATTAATTGATAATAAGGTTGATATGGTTTTCTATGGACATAAACATACTTATGAAAGAATGTGGCCAATGGCTCATGGTGTACCATTCAAGACAGCTGACCCGAGTTATATCAAAAATCCAGCTGGACCTGTTCATATGTTAACCGGTGCAGCTGGTTGTCATACACATTTGGGACCATCGGATTCGATTCCACAATCATTTTCAATTACAAGATTAGGAAATTATGGATATACAAAGTTGAAAGTGTTCAACTCTACGCATATTTCGACGCATTTTATTGATACTTCAGTGAAAGTTGGAGATTTTCTAGACAAGTTTTATATCCAGAAAAATTAATTAATTGCATAGTTTCACATTTTTGTATAATTATTGTTTTGAATATTATGGGTATTAGAAGCTTTTCGAAATAAAATTATCATGAATTGTATACTCAAAAACAATAAAATAAACTAACCTTCAAAGAAGAATACGCGCAGGTCCATTTTTCAACAATTTTGGCTCCTGGTGATGTTTCATTCAATTCCTGAAAGACACATTTCAAAAATGATGGTTGAACGAAAAATAAAAATAAGAAAAAACAACGCGTGACCCCTAAAAATGGTGCCGTAAAATCTTTTACATTCAACATTTCACATAAAATTCGAGCTCGAAATACACCTAGGAATGTTTCTCTATTTTTCGAAGTACAACAGTTTATAGCGAAAGTCAGTAAGTTAAGTAATCGCGATGATAATCCCTAGCGTCACGAAAAACAAAGTTCAAAAAATATTTTGCGCGCAAAACATATTATGTGTGGCCTAGGAAACCAACAAGCGAGTTTTGGTTTGTTCGGCCAATTAATTCATTTTCTTGAAGTTTTCGCAATTCGAAGCAACACAACACTAATTTCAGACATGCCGAAATTGGAGATTTGGGTACAAATTGAGGAGGAGAAGAAGAAGAATAATGTGATGGGAAAATGTAGTTATTCATGATTTTGAATATGAAATTGAAGGATATTGTTGATGTTGGATTGGATAGCTGTATGTATAATTTGTAAGTTAATTTTATTCAAATTTTTTTCAAAAATTCTTGGGCTTAAAATTATCGAGTTTCAAAGAATTCTACTTTGAAACAAATTAATATCAGAAATTGGAAAAGTTGAATTTTTTTCTTTTTCTTTTTCAAAAAAAACCTGTTCAAAACCCTAATTCAACTTCTTCTTCATCATATCATTTATCACAATATTGCACAAATAGATGATATGATGTCAGTTGTAAATATATTCAAATTGTTTTATCAAAGACAAAAAATTGTTAGAAAAAACTCGTGGAATGCATGCATACAATTCCAAAAATATCCAAAATTTGGGTGGAATTATTTTGTGATAAGAATCATGACCTGTGATATGATACTGTATCTATTTTGATGTTGTTTGATCTGAACGGAGAAAAGTACAATCTATTTTAAGATTTGAAGGGCTGTGCAAAATTTTTTTTTCATTTGTTTCCAGTTTTTTTTTTTGGTTTATTTTTTGTGATATTTTTAAAAACTTGGAACAAGAACGAATAAAAACTGAGTAGAGTTCGTCGGATTTACATTATTTTTCATTGAAAACCGGACTCATTTGATTGTTTACATCTATTGCTCCCATCACCACACAAACCATTTTTTATCATCAAAGTTCACTTCAATCATTATGTTCAAGTGCAAACTATACTGCTAGTTAGTTTTGGAAAAATGCACGCAAAGAACTCTCAATTCCTTCATTACCCTGTCTAATTAGCGAATTTCCATGAAAAATTCGAAAATGTCCTAGTTTGTCGCATACCGTAGGCGGGTTGGTTCGAAGATAAGAGCACAAAAATTGATAGTATATAATTGGAACATAGGCCTGGTTTTCAGGCAGGCAGTTGACTAGAAAAACAAAATGCTCCTTTTGTTTATTTTTCAACTCTTCTTCGATTTTGTTATGACTGCGGCAATCGCAACTTCTGGTGATAATCGAGTTGAACAAGTTCATCTAAGTTTGAGTGGAAATATGAATGAAATGATTGTCACATGGCTAACACAAAGTCCCCGTAAGTTTGTTCGAGAAATTTTCCAAACTAACCCAGCTCGTTTTCAAGTTCCAAATGTGACTCCTTTCGTATCTTATGGATTATCCGCTGATAATTTGAAATGGACAAGCAAAGCTACCACAACAAAATGGGCTGATGAAGGTGAAAAGTCAGTTCACAGATATACACACAGAGCAACTATGAAAAATATGAGTCCGGGACAAAGATATTGTTAGTTTTTTCTTCCGTTATGTTGGGCTTTATTTACAAATATGTTTCTATAGATTATTCCGTGGGAAGTTCGCAAGCAAAATCAAACATTTTCTGGTTCACACAACCTGATCCATCTCAACCACTTCGAATGGCGATTTTTGGAGATTTATCATTGAATAAAGGATTCTCAATTGATCCACTCATAAATGCAACTCATTCTGGAGATCTTGACATAATTATTCATATTGGAGATCTTGCTTATGATTTACAAGATGATAATGGAAATGTTGGAGATGATTATATGAATGCGATTGAGCCAATGGCTGCTTATATTCCATATATGGTTTTCCCCGGAAATCATGAAGTTAGCCATAATTTTAATCATATGGTTAATCGATTCACAATGCCCAAAAACGGAGTTTATGACAATAACCTTTTCTGGAGTTTGGACTTCGGAATGATTCATTTTGTATCTTTGAACACTGAATATTATGCGGAAGGGATGAGTAAAGAAACAAAAGCGCAATATGAATGGTTTGTTGATGATTTGAAAGAAAATAAAGCGAAGTGGCTTATTGTACTTCTTCATCGCCCATTGTATTGTTCTACGAAATCAGCGAAAGGATGTCATGATCCACAAGATATTATAACTCGCGAAGGTAACGCTGATTTCCCTGGTTTGGAACAAGTTTTCATTGACAACAAAGTTGATGTGGTTTTCTATGGACATAAACATACTTATGAAAGAATGTGGCCAATGAAACATGGTATTCCAATAAAATCGGAAGATTCAAGTTATATCAAAAATCCTGAAGCACCAGTTTATATTCTAACCGGAGCTGCTGGTTGCCATTCACATTCTGGTCCAGATGATTCGATCGCTCAACCATTTTCAATTGCTCGATTGGGAAATTATGGCTATACAAAGTTCCATTTGCATAATTCTACTCATATCAGCACACATTTTATTGACACTTCTGATAATATTGGCAAACCATTAGACCGATTCTATATCGAGAAACAGTGATTGGTTGGAAAATGATACTGTAGATAATTATTTATTATATTGCAAAATAGAAAATATTATGGGTAAACACAAATAAATATAACTTTTCAAAAAAAAAATAACTATTTTAAACCCTCAAAAGATTTGATGAATCTCCCTCAAATTTGATTTGTGAAATCGTACTGTTCCTTGATGTCAATCTTTTATCTTTCTCTTTTTCTCCATTCAACCAAAATGTGAGACAAGATCCTTTTCCTTTGACATCAACCATTCCTCGTTCTTCCAATTCGAAATTTGGAAATCGATCCATAAGTGTGTTTGCTGTCAATTCACTTATTTGAATTTTTCCCGGGACTGAAGTGCTTGCCATACGACATGCCATATTCACAGTGTCCCCGAAAAGACAAAATCGTGGAGCGGTACTTCCTAGTACTCCAGCAGCAACTGCTCCTGATGTTATACCTTGTTTAACTAGAAGTGGATGATCAGGACGATGACGAACTTTGAAAGTTTTCATAAAATTTTGAAACTTTAATGCGATCTTGGATATTTCTCGAAGATGTCGAATATCTTTCATTTCTGGAATTCCACTACAAATCAAATAAGCATCTCCAACATTTTCAACTTTGAACGCTTTGTTTTTCTGAACTATGAAGTCGAAAGATGAATAAAGTTCTTGAAGAGTTTCAAGGATCTGTAAAAGTTTTGAAAAACTTGCAAGTCCTTCTCGAAAGTTCAAACTCACATGAACAGGAATAAATGCTTCACAAAACTTTGTGAACTGACAAATATCTACAACCAGTAGTGTTACTGAACTATGTTGTTCTGGATGTACAGTACGACCATCTCGAATTGAATCAGCAATCGATTTTGGTAATAATTGATACAACAAATTTTCAGTCTTTGACATATCTTGCTCAAGTTCTCTTGTTCTTTCAGCAACAATTTGTTCTAGGTTTGCTGAATATTCATCGATCATCTCAATCATTTGATCAATTAACGTTCCTTTCGCGCTATAAATTTCCGAAATTTTTAAAAAGTTACAAATCTAGATAGTCTTACTCTTGACCGAATTCTCGATTCACTGCATCACTAATTTTCAACAAAGCTGGTCTGGCTTGCGGTTTATATAACCAACATTGCTGCATAATTGATAATAATCTCATTGTGAATGATGATTCTTCTGGAACTCTTGGATGTTGAGCAGTACTATTTGGATTTATGATAATTTCTGCGATCTCTCGAATAGTTTGGGGTCTCTCAGCAAATGGGCGCATATAAAATAATACTTGATAAATCAACATTGCCAATTGATAAATATCTCCCTCAACAGTTCCAATTGGTTCCTCATTTTTCTCCAGAAGATTCTGCAGATGTTCAGGAGCTTGTTGCAGATACTCTGAAAAAAAACATGCAGAATAAAACTAAGTGATTTACTGGAATTCCTCACTATAGTGAATTGCTTCGGAATCAAAAGGCATCATCGGAACGAGTTCCTTATGATGAATCTTCTCACTCAAGATACTTCTAGTTCCAAAATCTGTGATTTTGACAACCCAATAAGAATCAACAACACAGTTTGATAAGTATAATGCGCCGTGAACTTTGATCGAACTGTTGTGTATAAAATGCACTCCCTGAAAATTCAGTTGTATGAAGAAATTTCCGAAATATTCTAAATTTACATGTAAAATATGTTTGATGAAAGTTGACTGAAAATTCCGTCCGAATTTTTGTTCCTTGATGAAAATCAAATCTTCCAAAGAATGTCTTGTTGTGAATTGCCACATCAAAAGCATCTCACTGCCCTGATTGAAACAAATACCGCAAAATGGGTTGATATTTGTGTGATTCATATATTTCAATTGATTGAGAAGTTCCATTTCTTGTCTTGTAAAATTGATGGCCCGTCTTTGAATGTAGCGTTTCACCGATACCTGAAAATGATTAAATGAGATATGGAAATTTCGTTATGATAACTTTTTGTTTGTTGACAAACGCGTGTTCGACAATATTGGCCATGAATATTGAAGCGTAGGATTGTCTAGCAATTGATGATGACATTGAAACACGCCGTGTTGAAGTCTAGAAAAATCATCACAAAAATAAAGTTGTTTAACCCTTTTAAATTCTTACACTATCATTTCCATCATTGAAAGATAATGCTTCAAACGGAACTCTCCAAGGCATTTGTTGAATCAAATGTTCTTTTCTTTGAAGATAGAATGCTATTCCCAATGGTATCAACAAAACACTGAAAACAATTCCGGCAATAATAAAAACATGTGAATCACTGCACAATTTGCTATCGTATCCACAAACATCATAATACGGTGGGAGTTCATCTAACATTACAGCATCATCATATTTTATAACTTCATAACAATTCGCATAGATTTGACAGAATGTTCGATCTCGTGGTCTGATTGTTGCGACATGTCGAACTTGTCGATCTCTCCACATAAACATATCATAATACGGTAGACGAACACCGTCGTAGCCAATATAAAGTGGACCAGAATATCCGTGAATTTCGGTATCTGTTACATGTTGCCATAGTCTTGGAAGTTCTTCAACTATTGTTGTGATATTTTCGGAAACCGTGTAATTCGATATAAGTTGCATTCCGTCACAAAGAATCAGAGCTTTGTATAATGCATGAGATGGCTGAAAACTTTTGGATTTTTTCGCAAACTTACTCTCCGAATCTAAACCTTTATTTTATGCTTTTTTGGCGAAAGCTTCCATTCTTGTCTGATCATCATGAATATTATAAAGTATCGAAACATGTTTATGAAGTTTTCTCAATCTTGCAACTGTAATTGGATTAGTTTCTTCATAAGCCAAGTTATCCAAAGTATCATAGATTGATTGTGGTGTAGTTCTGAAAAACGTTGTCCGATTATTTTCTGGAATTTTCTCAATCCAAACTCACTTGTTGAAATCAATATGAACAATCGGATATTCTAGCGGTCTTTCTGCTTTTTCCTTCAATGTTTTGATGAAAGTTCCCAAATGTTTGATTGTCAAAAATGAGAAGATAACTCGTGTGCTATGAAGAATCGTATAAGTGTTCGTATGCCCATCAGTTTGCAAAAACACATTAATCTTTAGCTCATCAACATGTTCACTCAAAATATCATAAATTGCGTGCACGTTATATTTTGTCTCTTCCGAATGGATAAATCCAATCTTTAAAAAATAACATTTGAAGTGATTAATCGAGAAAATATTTGGGAAATCTTTTTTTCCTCTATCAAAGAGCATTATTCCCGCACCTCTTTCCAACCCATCGATTTACAAACAGCTAAAATAACTTCAGCAGTTCCTGTCAAACTATGCGGTTTCAAGGCAATCGTCGTTTCCTCTTTCTCTTTCGTACTCAAAAGTGCACTTGATAAATAAATTTTGTGCCATCGAAGTGCGAGACGAGAAATCGTTTGAGTTTCTGAAAATGATCTATACAAAAGTATCTATGGTTAAAAATAACCTTCATCACAAGCTGCTCCAATGAACAAATCAACGGTTTTTTGATAGTTCAAATTTGCAGCATTTTCCAAGCCGTTGAAATTGTGACAAGAGGGAAGTGATGTCAAACTGAAAAAAATCTAGAATGACAAATTTTTCTCGGAAATGAGAGTTCAGTTATATTCATGTTTAAAACTTTATTTCACATTTCAAATTTTTTTGTTGAAAGTGAAACCGGAAGTTTTATTTAACTCACGTATTTTCAGTGGAATTCCCCATGCAAATCTTCAAAACCATAGTCTCATTAGAGTTTTCAAATTCCAAATGACCAATGTGAAATGAATTAACAAAAACTATAGAAATAACTAGAAAAAGTATCATTTTGGTTGTTTTTTTGCTTCTACGAATATAATTTCGACACCTTCTTCTTCTTTTTTTCCTCCATATTTTTTCTCTGAATTATTAATAACAGTTTCGTGACCACATCAAATGTTTAAAAACGTGTATTATTTCAATTTTTATTTTTCTTCTAGAAAAATCAGTAAATACATACATAAGTAACATTTTGAAAAGAACAGAGAAAAAAACAATATTTATTCAACTTGTGTCAAACAGCTACTCTGTCGCTGGACGTCATCGCGATATCGATGTCTGAAATAATGAGATATTCTTGGTGGAATATTGAAATTGTTAGTGATCAAATTTTAAGGTAAATAACTCAGAACTGAAAATTTAAAGGCGGCAAAGCAGATGTTGCGGTTGGCCAACCAAGACCACCCACGAAGCTTCTGCTTTTAACTGGTATGACTTGAACTAAACGAAAGAAAGAAACGAAGGATTGAAAGTATCTGAAAGTTCAAACCTTACTGTACGCAGAAGTGCGTCGCAGTGTTTGCAAATTTGAAAATCACAAGATTTTTCAGCTCCTACTAACTTTCGCAATTTATTTACTGGTTCATTTCGTATTTCACATTTCAGAATCTAAAAGCTTTTACAGTTTTTCAAAACAAATACTTTCAAATTCCACCAAAAACCGATACCTTTTAAGCCTGTAAGCTTGGCTTTTAATCGACTGTGCACTTGATACACCACTGAACTTCTTTGTCGCTGAACAACAATTGCACTGGAAAAATGAGAAAAATGAGAAAAGCATATTCAAAAGCAAATGTAACAAACAACAAACAGAAGAGAAACTGTGTGATAGGTGCGCGGGTGCTAAAAACACTTCAAACCGGGTGTGTCTGGAAGCAATAGTGAAATGAAATCAACTATTAATTATTAAATCGTTGTATGAAATCAGAAAACACACGTGGTAAGTTGAAAATAACACCAAATCGACACAAACCTCTTCCTTTTCAAACCCACCCGTCCACGAATTAAAATCATTAGTCGTCGACGGAAATACACGGAAGACATGCAGAAGAGCACGAAATTGGCCACCTGAAAATGACTATTTGTGAAAATTATCAAATTTCTGATTAATTTACTTTGCCAGTGATAAGCCACGAAGAAGCGAATGGGATACCGTAGAGTGTCATAAATTGAGTGTTGTAGTTGAATATTTCGAAAGCAAACGGGATTAGGGATGGAACCTGGAAAGTTCGTAAGTTGTTTTTAAAAACTTAATAATGATTTAAAAGAATTGAGCATGGATTTTCAGAAGAAATTTGTTCTATTACAAACTTTCTATCAACGAAACTTCACAAGACTTCTCTTATTCGCTGCCTTTTTTCAATCTGTTCATTTGTTGTATGTTCCTCAATCCACATTTCTTAAAACTAACATGAGTAATGATGTAGCATCCAATTATGCATAGAACTGTGAATGTAACTTTCAGATCCCTCTTCTGTCTCGCATCCAAATCGCTATATTTTCGACTGAAAAATGATTATTATCAACATCATCATCATAATTTGATCAACAAAAAAGTAATTTTTAGAATCAAAATTTGAAAAAAGTTGTTACTATGGTTACCTCATTTGCTCATCACCATTTTCGCTCGAGCGGAAACTCAAAAACTCTGATTTCCGTAGTAGATATATTATATTTAGATTGAGAATAAGAATACCAACTGTTGGAATGATAACACCAATTATCATTTGGAAGATTTTGCAAATTGTGACAGTTTTTTTGATGAGTGGTGAATAATTGACAAGTCGATCGATATTAATAGGAGAACCGTATAATTTAGTGCCATTTTGAATGTAACCGAAACCGTATTGATACTCGAAAATGTGGAAGAATGTCAAAAACGCCGAACATATCACAATTACTAATATTATTATGAATACACGTGATGTTCTCCAATGATAACGGAAATGAATTGGTGAACGAATTCCCATATATCTGTAAAAATAACAAACTGACTTCTTCTTTGGTTGTTTTTCAGATACATTGTTATGAGAAGTAAATACTATATACATCTAAAAATGGTGACTGACGAAATTAATTTCCTTTTTTTGATTTTTCAAACTTTCATTAGATGGAAAAAAAGTGAAAAATTTAATCAAGGTCACGATTTCAATATATATGGGAAATAAATTAAAGCTTTTCAGCTTTGTTTGTTTTGCTGCAAAATAATAAAAAAGTGGCAGGAAATCAAAAAGCTCACCGTTCAACAGATACCGCTAAGCAGAGCCAAGAAGTGATGCAGGATAGGAAGTTGGCGAAAAATATGATCCAGATGTGACTTGCGTAGTAGATACTTCGAAACCAGTCAGCGTTGTAGAAAATCGACCAGCAGCCAAGGCAGATTGGAAGCATTACGAAGAGGAGGATTATGTCGCAAATTGCCATTGCGGAGAGCAGAATGTTGGCCTAGGAAAGATTTGTCAGTTCAGTTTCCAAGTTTTTCCAGTACGTTTCCCTGTCTAATCTCTCATCTCTGGGTTTCCACGTGAGAAAAGCTCCATATTTTCGCAACATGTATTTATTCATTCACAATCACATTAACGCTACTTCCGCTGATCTTTAGACCGACTATTTTAAGAAAATTGAAAATTGAACTTGCGCGTCACATTTTCATTTTTCATTAATCATAATAATGCATATATGAAAAAAGTGTGACTCGGCTTATTATATAATTAAAATTGAATTTATTTACTCTATAAACTATGGGTAGGAGGAAAGTCGTGGGATACTCGAAAATCTGTAATTGCAGCCTATGAAGCTTCAAAAATCAACACACAATTTTTTTACTTGAAGCTAACAAAGTGACAATTATTGGGCTAAATATTTTGAAACGTAAACACTCCCTGAATATTTCAAAATACCTACCTCACTTCTCATATTTCTGCTCAACAACACCAAAAGATTCAAAAAGTTGCCGACAACACCGAAAACAAATTGAAAGGGGAATATATATTTGCTTGTCAGAACATATATTCCAACTGGCATCATTACCATCATATGAGCATCAGATCCATTATTTCTAAATTTCTGAAGAAAAAACAGAAGAATTGAGAATATTAGTGTAACTTACCATATGTTCAATATATTTCGCAACATCGGCGTTGAGAAAATCTACATTTTGCATCCTGAAAAAAGGAAAATGAAAGATTTCACCTCGGAGCCAAATGAAGATGGAAGTTTTTTTAATTTAACAAAAAGGGCGCCTCCTAAATTATTCGCAGAAATGTCTCACCATGGATGATGTGGCACCAATGAGTAGTTGAATTTGTCATTTACGAAATAGTCACACAGATCCAATCTTTCACACATTTTTTTTGCTGAAAAATTACAGAAAAAAATGACGAGAAAAAACAGAAGAAGAAGAAGAAGAACGAGGGAAAAACATAAGCAAGTTAGTGAGGTGAAAAGAAATAGAAGAAGGGTTTGTTTTGGTAATTAGACACAAATCCTTGGGGGCACAAAAAAGAGCCAACACGAATTTTTGGATTGTGTTGAAGGGCAAAGTGCAGATATGAACCAGGCTTGATCCGAATGGTCTTTGGCGGAAGGTTTGGAATTCGGGAACAAAACCGATGGAAATCAAGAAGAATGTCGTAGATTACTCAGGAGAACGACCGTGAGATCTGCGTGAAACGCGGAGCCTCTGCGATTCGCTCAATCTTCGCGGGAGAATCACGCGTTTCGCACAAACCTCGCGCGATCTGGGGTTCGGTCGACTGGACGTCGCGAAATTTGCGCGAATTGCGGGGAACTCCGCGTTTCGCGCAAATCTCGCGTTCGTTCTCCTAAGTTGTTTCAACTGGAGGAATTGGCCAGATTCAATTCTGAAGCTATCTGATAACTTTCAAAACTATAGCCCGATTTCAGATATCCTAAAAGTCAGCTCTTATTCAAAATTGGATGGTTTTTTGGAAATTAAAAGTCAGAATTCAGTAAGTTCTTATGATTTTTCTTGGAAACTTCACTGAAGTCGAATTTCGTGAAACCTATAGATTGCGGAACCAACGATTCAATTTCAATAAGCCCCGAAGTTCACAAACTTTAATTCCAATAGGCTCAAATCTAGGGATCTGAAAGAACCGCGTAAATCAAAAATCCCTTATATAAAATGTCAACAACATATTTTTCATCAAAAACCTCAACAACAATCAAAAAATGGACGCTAATGAAAAAGCAACAAAATAAAACAGCAATGGACCCGATGGGCGGAGTCTTTTCTGACCAAAAAATGCGAAAAGTTGAGATGCTGAAAACTTGCTGAAATTTCTTTTTTATTTAGATGTTCTCATTTTTCGAGGCTGAAAATAAAACCGACTGAGAAACGTATGACATCGAATTCCCAAGAGATAATTTCGTTAATTGTTTTCGAAATTTTTATTATGATTGCTATAACAACGATGCACTTTCGGATAGAAAAATAGCGACAAAAATTTGGATTTTCTGAAAACACATTTATAATTTTTGGGGAGTTGAGATTCTGACCAAAAGCTCAGTTATAAAGGCACCTTTTTTGGAAAAAAAATCATGGTTGGGAAAGACGAGTAAAGAAATTCTGTGGGATGGGTTACTTTCGGACAGGCGTGTGGATTATGACCTAAGGTTGGTGTTTGGTGGAAATTCAGGAACACGACCAGGTTTGCCTGACTGAATTTTTTAAAGCTAACATTAATATTGGACAGGGTTTTGGCCATTTTTTGGTCATCTCAAGAATAATCCGCCTGTCACACACACTGAACACTCACGTAGAATTCAAACACGATTTTCAAGATCCTACTGTAAAAGTTTCATCGAGGTCGAAAGTTGTTTGGAAGATCAACAAAATTTGATGAATAATAATCATCAAAATCAATTTTGCTGTTTTATTTTGCAGTTTCAAATATCATCACTCACTGAAAAGACGAGCTTCCTTGTCATGTCTTTTTTCAACATAAAAATTTGCCACGTCATAACTAACCGGAGGTCCAAAAAAGCTGTCAAAAAGTGCAACAAAGTTCAAGTAGACAAGCTAGCAGAAAAAAGTGAGACTCGTTTACTAGAACACGGAAATCAGCAGAGTGAGTAACTAAACGAGAGAGGTAGATGCGCTAAGTCAAAAAGAAGAAGAAGAAAGCAAAAGAAGAGATGAGATGAGCCTAATTAGGTGAAAAGGCGAAAAATGTTGATAAATGAGCCAATAATTTGGCCAATTTTTGCAATATCAAGTTTCTCTCTCCTTAAATGAAAGTTTTGCGTGATTCATGAAAATGTTGCAGGAAAAAGAAAAAAGGAGAGAGAGTCGAGAAAAAAGTACGGTAGATCCAACAAAGGTAATCAACAAAAAATAATGATGTTCTTAGAATCGTCATTTTTTCCGAGGTTCAAACTTGCTGACTTTTTTGAACCCAAACAATCGCTGACGTATTTTTTCGAGCGAGAAAAAATGGCCAAATAAATGAAAAATTTAGTCATTTGACAGAAGAATTTTTCTCATTAAATAGCAGAATGTTAGTCACACACATAGAAAAATAAAAAAAAAGTTTGATGTTTAGCCGAGTCTAGCCTAAATCTAAATATAACATTTGTATACCTATAATTTGTTCTTTACATTTTTTCAAATCTTTTTTTTTCCGAGCAGAAAAAACTTGAGTTGAAAAAGTTCAGCAAAGTTTGGGGAGGAACTAAATTTTTTCGAAAAAAAAAATGGACCTTGTGTCCAGCTAATTTCGAATTAAACAATAGAAAAAAGCGTTGTCAAATTTCTTGCAAAACAAAAAAAACAAAGTTGCATTGAAAATTGATACTTTTACTTATTTTCAAGAAATCTTGGATTCTTGGAAATTTTCAACCCGAAAAAAAACAAAAAAAACAAACTTGAATCGCAAATTATTGTGAGAACAAATCAGAAATCTGGTCAAAAATTAGAGAAATATCCGGAGAGAATTGGAAAATTATATCCTTCCTGTCAATTTTCAAAAATAATGTGCTTAAATATCTGATTTTTTGAAAACCTGATGGAAAAATTTTTGATTTTTCAAAATATATTGAAAGAAAACATGATGACGTGGATTTTAAAATTCAATTTCAAAGTTTAATTTTTCAAAATTCCCTTACAATTAAAAGCTCCTCTGGAATAGTAAAATGAATTTTTCGAATAGCTTGAAACTTCAATAACAAGTTGCCATAAACTTTTTCCAACGATCATAAAATTTATGGAACATTTTAAACCTCCTAATTTTTCATTCAGGTTCAATCTTGTCTTCGAGATTCACCTCGTCATTTCTTGAGCACACATCACAATCTTCAAACGCGATGAATTCGATTCGACGGTAAATGATTGATTGGCAACAAATTTGATATGATATTGTTTTACCAACGTGTTTTCGATTTCCTGTCAGTCTATACCCTTTTCTAAATACACACCTATACTATTTTTATTCTTTAAAAATATTTCTGTAGGTATTCCGATAATTGTTCAGATTCAGTAAAACAAAAATTGTTCATGAACTAAACTGGTTAGGTTAGGTACAATTGATTGTTTGAACCGAACTGATTCACTTTTGCCATCTAGATAGAAGAGAAACGGAAATATTATTATTATAAATCATATTTTTTGCTACTCTTATCAATTCTTTCCCTTTACGACTTTTATTAAAATAACACCCATTTTTGGGCAAATCTAAACATTTTCAATCATAAACCAACCTTGAAATATTAATCGAATTTTAAAGAATAACCTTGAAATGTTCGTGTTTAATCTCTGGAACTAACCCCCGATTTTCAAATTGTCAGCATTTTTTCGAAAATATTTTTCAGAAATGTCTTCTTCTTCTTCTTCCTCTTCTGAAGATGAAGATGAGATACTTATCGAAAAAAACTTGGAATCTCCGGTGAAACCAAAATCTGAAAAATGTATGGAGGATTTACTGGAACTTCGTTGGTATTGTTTGAGAGTTTTATGGATGGCTGAAGTTGCTGCATTTACGGCGTTGGCTTCGGTTACTTTTATGGTTTTTGCAGGTTGGTTGGGAATCAAGTGAAAGGGTTTTAGGAACTCATAATTTTCCTATTTTTTTTTTGAATTTTTTAGATTCAGTTATGTCTATAGATCAACAAAAATTTGATGTTTTTCATTTATAAAAAAAGTTTTAGCACTTGAAAGCAAAACTTCTGAATGAAATTTTTCTCAGGTTCTCCAAAAAACATCGCTAAGCCTGACAAAATTAATTAGTAAAATTTAAAATGACCCAGTCTTCGATTCTCCAAATTTTTTAAATTCCAATCTATTTTTTTCTTTAGGAGCCAATCCAAGTATCGTTGGATGTGACAATTACAAAGTGAACAATTGTCTAGATCTCAAATCTTTGCAAAACAGAACTGGATGTGTGCCAAAAATCAATTATCAATTCAAATCCACCCAAGTTGAATTCAATTATCTTTGTGAAGAAGCGAAAAAAGTGAAAAACACAATAACAGTTCAAACATTTGGAGTTTTAATCGGAGCCGCTGTTTTTGGCCAAATTTCTGATAATATTGGAAGACGAAAAGCTTTACTCATCTCAACTTTCGGAAATGCAGTGTTCAACGTGATTGCTGGATTTTCTCCAGATTTGTTGATTTTTATGATTCTTCGAACAGTTTGTGGGATCTTTGCGGGTGGAATGACTGTGTAAGTTTATTTTCAAAATTTAGTTGGATCTCTTCTTTAGGAGCATCTTTTGAAAACTTTTTAAAAAAAGTTGATTCAAGTGTTCAAATCGTGTTCATGGTGGAAAATATTCCAAGAAAACATCGTATGTGGATTCAAAATTCAATAACCTGGTCGCCAAATCTTATAATTTATCCATTCGTTGCTTATCTTGCTCAAGATTGGCGAAATTTATCCATTATTGTTGGATTCACATCATTTGTCACATTTTTGGCAGTACTGTAGGTTTCCAAAGAAGTTCAGAGTTCCTACAAAAAAAATAACATTTTAGAATACTTCATGAATCGCCTCGTTGGTTGGTACAAAAAGGAAAAATTGAAGAAGCTCGAAGAGTTTTGGTGAAAATTCGAAAAACCGATAAGATTTATAATGATGAGTTTGAGGATGAAGTTGATGCGATTTTAGAATTGGAAAATGAAAAAATGGCCAAGACAACAAAAAAGATCGAAAAAGTATACTTTTATTCATTTGTTCTGCACTTGGAAAATGTTGGCACAAACTTTGACTTTTGTCACGGGAATGTGAGTTTGGAAATTTTTCTTAAACATTGAAGACTACCTAGAACACAGGGTTTTTGAATCGGGAAATTTTTTCAATTCTCAAACTTTTGAAACTACCCAGGTTTGCTTTGAGTTTTGGTTAGATTTCTCAAATCTGAACTCAGAATCAGTTTTAGATAGATTCGGAAGTTTTTTCAAGAAATCCCTATTATTTCTGATAATTGCCACGCCATAAATAAAACTCTATATAAAAAATTTCATCGCCGCCAGAAATATGAAATGAATAGTTTCCAAAAAAATCACTTCGAGCAAAAATCAAAAATCTAAATGTTTTCTCAAATTCAGAGTGTGCACAACAACAATCGTCTATGCTCTAATGTATAATATGGAAAAACTATCGGGTTCATTATTTTGGAATAGTGCTTGGATTGGTGCATCTCGATGGGTTGTCAATATTGTCGTCTCAATTTTAGACTACAAATTCACATGGTTCGGTAGAAAAATTGTGAATCAACTCTCAATGTTTTTCACAATTCTTGCACTCGGAGTAATGACCTCATATAGTTATTATGGAGAGAAGGGCACAATTTTGACGGTTGGCACATTTATTGCCGCATCGATGTGTTCACAGGTTTGAAGATATATTTTTTAAAAAGTTGTATAAAAAATTATTTTTCAGCTTTTTATTGTCAAATATCTAATGGTCAACGAGCTTTATCCCACCGCAGTTCGAAATTTAGCAGTATCCGCAGTTTCGACAATGTCTAGAATTGGAAGTATGTTCTCACCTCAACTATTCTATTTGGCTGATTATGCTGATTGGATTCCATATGCTGTTCTTTTTGGTCTCCAGATCTATGATCTTGTTGTTTTCTCGATTTTCATTCCTGAAACCAAAGGAGTTCATCTCGAAAATCATTTACCCCCAAAAAATCAACGGATATTTCGAGGAAAGAGTCGACAACAAAGTAGTAGTCATCAATAATTCTATTTTTATTGCATCAAGATAAACATTTCCTGTGGAAAAATCAACAGAAGAAAAAAAGAGAACAGTATTTATCACAACTAATCGACTAACAATCACAAAATTAAAATTAAAACAGAACCCTTTCTAAAAGTTGATAAGAAGAGATCAAGTAATTAGTAAGTACAGTAGAAAATTTATAGACACATCGAGTCTTCTCGAATTCTTCGTTTAAAACGTTCAGCTTCTTCAGTCGTCAAAGTAATCTCATTCAATAAAATTTGAGGAACAACCATTTCATTATCTTCATCTTCCCCAATCGCATTTATAAAGTGAACACTTTCAGCTTGTTGTTCTGCAATATTTCCGATTGATGGAGCTTGAATATTTACAGCCACAAGTGATTGTTTTGCTGATATTGGTTGCATTTCAGATTGTTTGTTTTCTTCTTCAATTCCCCATTCTTGTAAATCGCCTGATCCGAAAATTAGAAAAACTGTTCCACAAATTGCATTGGCGGCGGCGAGAACGAAGAAAAGAGTTTGCCATTCGGGAAGTGTTCCCTGAAATTCAAAAAAAATAGAAGGAAATTTTTGTGGCCCAAAAAATTCTGGAAAAAATTGTAATATTCTAAAACTTTTCTGAAGACTTGGAAAAATGCATCAACCAGTTTTTAAAATTTAAAATGCTTTAACATTGGCAATAAACTCTATTCCTTTTTTTTTTCACTGATAAAAACGAGGTAATCAGAAATCCCTTGAAATTTCATTGAAAAAAGTTATAAGTGGCAAGTTTATCAGATTGTCCCCGAATAAATTTGACCCCCTCCTGTTTTTTTTCAAATTTCTCATACCTCTTTCTTGATTAACCCCACAATAGCAGGAGTTGATAATCGTCCTAACATTGCACAAAAAACAGAAATCGATGACATTGTTGCTGTATATCTCGGCGCCAATGATAGCAAACTTGTATAAAATCCGCTGACAAATGTTCCCATGCAACCATACCTGAAGAATTTGATACTATGATACTCTTCTTATCAGTTTCTGGTATATCAGGGATTAAAATTTTTCGTAATTTTCACTCACATGAAACAGAAAAGTGCGAAACCAACTGTTGGATTGGTGCAATCAACGAGAAGCGCGATTAATATGAGACATACTGTCCCGCCATAATTTGCAATTGCTTGTGATAATTTGACGGCAAATGTTGGGCTGATTTTATTTTTCTCCTTCAAATTATCGATTGATATTCCCCAAACTAATTTGACTGCAAAGTTAACCACGTTTGGAATTGATGTATAAGTTCCGTTCTGAAAAATTACGAAGTTGCAAAAAATATTCAGCAAATACTTGTGAAAACTAACCGCAATAACTCCCAAATGCAAAACATCTTTGAAATAGGATGGTAGATAAATTTGGAACAATGTCACAATTGAATTGATTGTGAATTGGCATAACAATTGAGCCCAAAATGGAGCAGATGTCAGAATTTTGGCATATGGAACATATTGAGATTTCTAAAAAAAAAAAAACATGGTTATGTTTGGTTGCTATGGAGATATGAAGCCATAGTTTTTTTTCGCAAAAAGTGAGGATAATAAAATATGGCAGAAAATGAAAATCGAAAACGAATTATGAAAAAGATTTTGATATTAGGACCAACTAAAGTGAGTTTGTTTTGAATTTTTTTGAATTGGGAGTAATTCAAAAGTTTTAGGCGGGAAAAACAACATTGGCAACATTTCTTGGGGAATATATGGGAGATGAAATTCGAGATGAAGAAAACCGAATAAATCGAAAAATGGAATTAGAATTCACAGATATTTATCGACCAACAAAAGGTGTTCGAATTGTTGAATTTGAAAGTCACGAATTCCTCTCAAAAGATGATAAAGAGGCACATGAAAATGAACATGGAAGAATTATGGATGTTGAAATTCAATTATGGGATGTCAGTGGGGATAGAAAATATGAAGATTGTTGGCCGGCAATCAAAGAAAATGTGAATGGTGTTATATTAGTTGCAAATCCAGAAGAACATTCGGGGAAGGATTTATTGATTTGGTATCAAGAATTTGTTGAAAAAGAGAGATTAGATCAAAAAATGGTTATGGTTTTGTTGAATGAACAAGGACCAAAGAAAACTAATCATGAATTAGTTTCTGCTTTTGAGTAAAATTTTTAAAAAATATTAGGTATGATTTTTTTGACAAGCAACAGGAAAGTTTCAGAATTCAACCGCAACTTCACGGAGTTTCCCATGTTGCTTGTCATTTTGGATCAGAGGGATTGAGCTTAAAACAAGAAGTTAATAATTTCTTGGTTAAAATAATGATGGGAGGTCAATCACAATCCGAAACAGTGGAAAATGTAAATATTATGGAGGATATTGAAGAAGATGAAGATGATTTCTAAAAACAAACTAACCTGAGTTCGATTACTTCTTCTCACAACATTTGCATCTAAATATTCTCGTTCAGTTTTTGTCATTATTTTGCATTTTGATGGTTGATTATTAGCCGTCAAAAACCAAACAAATGACCAAATTGTTGAAATTATACCAGCGAAATAAAATATTGAAACCCATCCGAAATTTGAACTACACAAAGAAGCAGCAACTGGGTTGCCGAAAGCGCCGGCCATTTGATTTCCTGTTGTGAAAAGGGAAATTGCTGTACTTCTTTCAGCACTGGGAAACCAATTGGCGATAATTGCATTGTTTGCGGGAAGAATGAAACCCTGAATTAATTTTTTTTTTTGTAATTTTTCTGGAAAATTGGGAGCACTTTTTTTAATAGCAAAATTCTCAAGGGACTTTTTCACTAAATTCCGAAAAAAAAATCCTGGACAATTATTTTCAAAGTATATTTGGTCAGAAAATTTTTTTGGGAACATTTTTTCTAAGCTCCCCGGGAAAAATCACTTGGGAGTTTTGCTATAGGTACTCTGCTTTTTGAGATTTTTACCAGCTTACCTCTCCTAAACCCATTACAAATCTTGACATAAAAACAGGAATCGGTCCAAAATGAATAGCCAAATATGGTGTTAACACTGTCATAATTATGTAAATACCAACAGCACCTTGTAAAACATATCTAGCAGAATATCGATTGATAAAAAACATCGATGGCAAAACTGTTATAAGTGATCCCCAAAATGTTCCGGAGAAAATCAAGTTTTGCTCATTGGTATCCCAAACAAGTTCACCCTGGAAATCAATTTGAATAAAATCTTGAACGGAAAGAACTCACTCCATAATCGACAACCACTTTTGAATGACTGTTCTTTGGTGCGCAAACATGATCACTCACTGATTTCACCTGGAAAATGGTGGGTGTGGAAAAAACACTAGATTTTTTTTGGTTCATTTTTTTTGCAAAGGTGCGGAATATTACCTCATCAATTATAGAAGCGTTATCAATTGAATAGGGCAGAGTTTGTTCAAGTGCAAGAGCTGTCGAATTAACCATACACGTCATAGTTATTGCGAGATGCATACGCATGAATGTGGTGCAACAAAATCCTATCTGAAAATCCAATAAACAATATTTCGTCATCATCATTCTCAGAAATTTTTTTGTACCGAGACAGAATTTTTTGAGCACATTGTTCGAGTACTGTCTATATTTTGTGCAGATGATGACGTCATGGCATGCACAAAATATAGACAGTACTCGAACAATGTGCTCAAAAAATTCTGTCTTGGTACAAAAAAATTTCTGAGTTAGGGTGTCAATTTTCATGCTCACATGAAATAAATAAATAATTTTTTCTAACTAACCATACATAATAAGGCAGTGTGTAGACGTCTAGAAAATGGATGAAAGAATGCTGAAAATTTCGAAAATTATTTATATCTATATTTTTTAACAAACTTTTTTTGTTACTCACGAAATTTTTTGACCGGCACCCGTTTTATCGAATTCGATTTCTTCATTTCGCTGGTCATCTCTTCACAACAACAACAAAACAACAACAATTTTTGAAGAAAGTGCGCATAAAATTCCTGGAAATGGAATACGTCGAAAGGCGGAGCACTAAAAAGAAAATAATATAGAGTAAAGCGGATTTTTGTTTGCACAATTGACGAGGAAAATGCTGATAAAAAGGTCTTATCGAGATAAGTGGAACATTATTTTTTCTCTTCTAGTGGTGAATGATTTGATGATCATTGGTGTCAACAAGAAATGACACTTTTCTGAGTCAACTTCCAACCGGAAATCAATGAAGCGAAAGAGACAAAACAGCAAAATTCAATCAAAATTAAAAGGCACACGAAAAAAAACAATCCAAATCGAGTAGTCGATGAAAAAAAGGCGGGAAAATACGAAAATGAGAGTGTCAGGCAGTTAGAGAAAACGAAGAAGAACGAGAAGAAGCTGATGAGGATGGAGCACACAAAATGAGCAAAAAACATATGAGATGGGGAGAGTGCAGAGAAAGGTTTGACGCTACTAAATATCAAATATGAACAAAATAACAACAAAAAATAACGAACATCTGTCTAGCGGTGTAAACAGGAAATCGGCCACTCATCTCCAATTTTCTTCGAATGAGCAAAACGGATAGAAGAATAAATACTGTAGCCGAGAAAAACAATATTTAGAAAAAAAAAAGTACTGTAGTTCAAGGAGGGGATACACAAAATGTGTATTGGGTCTCGACAATAATATCGTTGGAGTACACGTAAACATTTATTTTTTATTTTTTTGTTTTTTGTTGCTGGCAAATCTTCATTTCTGGGTTTTCGGGGTTTTGCAACAAGTCGGTTCTACTTGGATTTGAAAAAAGAAGATTGTTTTCAGCGATTTGGATACTTAAATCGAATCAGTTTTGAATGTCTCAAGACCTAAAACCGTTGAAGGTTTGAAAACTTTATTTTCAAAAAGAAAAATGATTTTTTTATAGATTTTGATAGCCACAAATGGTCTTGCAGCTGTCAAATTCATTTCATCAATAAAACAATGGAACACAGAGTACAATATCAAATTTATTTGCTTGACAACAATCGACGAAGTGAATTCTGGTGCTGAGTATTTGAGACATGCTGATGATATTTATTTTCTACCTGCTGGTGAAAATAAAAATAATTTTGCGAATATCGATGAAATTCAAAAAGCTAATGAGCATTTTGAACCAAATGCAATTTTTGTTGGCTGGGGACATGCATCCGAAAATCCAGATTTATCTGCAAAACTTGGTTGTCGGATGATTGGACCATCTGAAAAATCAATGAGAGCATCTGGAGATAAATTGCAGAGCACAATAATTGCACAGTCTTTGGGAATTCCGACAACAAAGTGGTCTTTCAGTCATTTGAAGCTTAAAGCTTTATCTCTTGATGAAGTTTTTGAAATCGATTGGGAAAAAGATCCGGGGCGAGTATTATCAGAACAAAGTATTGATCGGCCATTAATGGTAAGGTGTTTTCTTTCTTTTCATAAAAATCTTTTTTTGTCAGATCAAAGCTACAAATGGTGGAGGAGGAAAAGGAATTCGAAAAGTCACCGATTCAATGGATTTGAAAAAATGTATAAAAGAAGTGAATTTAGAAGTTCCTGGCCCTTATATTCTTATGAAATGTATTGAAAAAGCTAGACATATTGAATTTCAAATTCTTGGAGATAAATATGGAAATGTTGTATCTTTGGGTTCTAGAGATTGCACAATTCAAAGAAGATGTCAAAAGGTTTTTGAAGAAGCTCCTGCAACTATTGTTCCTAATGAAATTTTGAAATCGATGGAAAATGATGCGATCAAATTCGCAACATTTTTGAAATATCATTGTGCTGGAACAGTTGAATATTTATTTGTTCCCTCAACGAATCAATATTTCTTTTTGGAATTAAATCCACGACTTCAGGTCGAACATCCATGTTCTGAAATGATTTGCAATGTGAATATTCCCGCTGCCAAACTTATGATAACTTTGGGTTTTCGATTATCCGAAATTCCTGACATTCAAAGATTTGCGCGGAATAACGGCAAAACTTCCGGACACGTGATTGCTGCTCGAATAACTTGTGAAGATCCAGATCGCAAATTTTTGCCGTCAACTGGAATTCTGAGACATTTGTCAGCTCCATCAAGCAATACTTTTTGGTCATATTTTTCGATATCTTCCGGTTCTTCAGTTCATCAATTTTCTGATTCTCAATTTGGACATATTTTTGCGAAAGGAGAAACCAGGTTGGTTTGTATTATTTTTGTCGTTTTTGATAAAAATGATCACGTAGAAGTTCACGTTGAAAATTATTTTTTTTCAATTTTCAAAAATAATTTCATTTTTTTTCGAAAAACATCCCTGATTTTTCAGAGAGAAAGCTGCTTGCAACCTAACATCTGCTCTAAAACTGCTCAAAATCTCGGCAACTTTCCCAACACAAGTCAACTATCTTCAAGATCTTCTAAAATCTGATGTATTTTTGGAAAATAAGCATACAACTGAATATTTGGATAAAAGAATATCGAATAATGTGAAAACCAATGATGAATGCGTTGAACAAATTGTGACAATTGGAGCAGCTGCCATTGGAAATTTGAAAATTATGGAGAATTTGGCTGGAAATAATAATGAGAAGAAGAAATATTGGACTGCTGTTGAATTGGTGCTGAATGATATTAGATTTAACACATTTGTAGTTTCAAATCAGAATCATGAAATTGTTGTTTTTCTTGGCCCCAAGCAAGCTACAAAAGTTTCATTATTTAAATTCGGAGAATCTTCATCAATTGCACATTATAATCAAATATCAGTTGAATATCAAATCGAAGAAACTGATTCTAAATATGAGGCAAGTAGTATCTTGTTTTTTCTCGTTTAATTGTAGAAATATCTTAGCTTCACATCGCTGGTAGATTATATAGCTTCGATAAAACGGCATATGATCCATTGACCCTGAAATCACAGTTTACTGGAAAATTTCTACATTATTTGACGGAAAATTATCAATTTGTTCGAGTTGGTCAACCAATTGCACAAATTGAATCGATGAAAATGATTGTTGATGTTTTGAATGATACTTTGGATGGGTTTTGTGAACATGTTTTGCATGATGGCGATTTGGTTCATCCGGGAACTGTTATAAGTCGGTTAAAGGTTTGTTCGGATTTGAAAAATTCATCTAGGTCAAAAATTCTTGGGTTCATTCAAAAATCGAAAATATTCCAGCCTATCGATGATTTGCATCAAGTTTCTCCCATTCACAATTTCGAAAAAGAATTTGAAAACTGGAGTTCAGATTTCAATATCGATGAGATTGTTTCTATCATTAAACTTACGAAGAAATGTTTTTGGGATTCAGATTTCATCATATCTCAATTCATAGAACACGGATTATCAAATATCGAAGATTTGCTAGATTATTTCATTCAAAAAGAAAATTTGCCTTCTGATGAAATTTGCGATTTATTAGTGTCGATTTTGAAGAGAATTGAATTGGAAAATCGAATTCGTTATTGTTCGAAAATTGGTGCAAATTTATATTCGTCGAAAATTTTGCTGGATTTCGCGACTTCACAAGTTATTGATTTTTATAAAGAGGATTATCGATCCAAGTTTTTCGAATTTTTAAATGGATCCAAATATTCTAGTTTGAAAGTAAACCTGAAAATTAGTTCAAATTCACAAGATGAAATCGAGAAAATCATTTGTTATACAATATTTATTATGAGGAATAATGTTTTTGTGAATAATCGATTGATTTTGATTTTGCGCGGGAACTTTTGTGAATGGCAAAATTATTCGGGTATTTTATCGGATCTCGATTTTCGATTGGTTGAAGTTCATCTAAATCGAAAAATCAAAACCTATGAACTCAAGGAAAATGTTTATGAATTGGTGGAAAGTTTGGATAAATTTGAATCTGAGAAGAATCGAACTCCGACAGCTAGAGATTTTCGCAGAAAATTGGCTAGGTAAATTTGTTTGCTGAAATTTTGAATTAAAAATCAAACTAATCTGATTTTTCAGGAAGAACAACACCACTTATATTTATGATTTTCCAATGTTATTCGGTGAATGCGCAATGAAATATTGGAAAAAGTTATCAAAAATCTCTTATGATATTCAGAAGGCGCTTTCGGAAAATAATTGGAGATATTTCATAAAATACGAAGAATTGATAATCGAAAATAAACAATTGGCGAAAATCGAAGATTTGGATGTTTTGAAAAATAGAGAGAATAATGGGTTGAATAATTGTTCAGTTGTTGCTTGGATTATCGAATTATTATTGCCTGATAGAAAAGTGAAATTTGTTGTGATTGGAAATGATATAACATTTCAAGCTGGTTCATTAGCAATTCCAGAACATTGTTTATTTGAAGCGGCTAGTAAATTTGCACGAGAAAACAAGATTGCAAGATTGAATATTTCATGTAATTCTGGAGCTAGAATTGGTTTAGCAATGGATATTCTTGAAAAATTGAAAATTGATGAAAATGATGGATTTATTTATATTGACAAATGTTATGAAAATGAATTACGAGATCAGATAAAATACGAAATTGATGGAGAAAAATTGAAGATTGTTGCGGTTATTGGAAAAAGTGGCGAATATTTTGGAGTTGAGAATTTGATGGGAAGTGGAAGTATTGGTGGAGAAACATCGAAAGCTTATCGAGAAATTCCGACGTATTGTTATGTAACTGGAAGATCTGTTGGAATTGGAGCATATACGGCTAGATTGGCCAGGCGAATCATTCAACATGAGAAATCGAGTTTGATTTTGACTGGATTTTCGGCGTTGAATACGTTGCTTGGTAAAAAGGTAGGGGTTTTTTCGAACTTCTGAATTTTCTGGAATGAACTTTATGCATTGTGTTTTAAATTTTCTAATGAAAATTTTGAAAATTCTATTGATTTCAGGTTTATTCATCAAATTCTCGACTGGGCGGAGTTGAAGTTATGGAAAATAATGGAATTGCTCACAAAATTGTCAAATCTGATTCGGAAGGTGTTGAACAACTTGTCAAATGGCTATGCTATTTACCCAAATCTCCAGAGCCAAATTTTCCATTTTATAATTTCGATGGAATTGAAAAATGTGAAGATGTTATGGTAACGGAGGCTTCGATGAAATTGGATATTAGGAACTTTTTTTGAATCAAGTGAAAATTGTCGTAAGTTTTGTTTTTTTCCAAAAAATAAATAGCGAAATTTTCACATACCTGAAAAGTGAATTTTAGAAGGATTATTCGATGTCAATTCATTTGAAGAGATTCGAAAAAATTGGGCAAAATCGATTGTAACTGGACGAGCTAAATTATGTGGTCAACCGGTTGGTGTAATTGGTTCTCAATGGTGTAATACAACTGAATGTTCTTTGGGTGATGAAGCTGAAAATGATAATAATAAGGATCGAATTGTGACAAAAGCTGGACAAGTTTGGTATCCAAATTCGGCATTCAAAACATCTCAAGCGATTAGTGATTTTAATCGGGAAAAACTTCCACTTATTATGGTTTTGAGTTTGAGAGGATTTTCGGGTGGTAGAAAAGGTTAGATTTTTAGAAACATAATTTTTATTGTTTGAGATTTGAAAAAAGCTTTTTTTCGGAAATTATTTGGAAAAAAAAATTAGAAAAAATCTTTACAGACATGTGTGAAATGATTTTAACATTTGGCTCGCATATTATCGATGAGTTATCACAATATCGTCAACCTGTCATTTTATATATTCCTTGTGGCGGAGAACTTCGTGGTGGTGCTTGGGCTGTTGTTGATTCAAATGTTAATCCGAATTTCATTCATATCGTTGCTGATAAATCATCACGTGGTGGAATCCTTGAACCAGATGCAATTGTTTCGATAAAACTTCGTAATCGAGAACTATTAAAAATCCTGGATAGAAGTGGAATGGAGGAAAATGATCGAAATTTGAAAATAGCGAAAAAGGCGGCGATTGATTTTGCGAATAAACATGATAGTTGGCATAGAATGTTGAAAATTGGAGCAGTTGAACATGTTGTTGATATGAAAAATTCGAGAAAAACTATTTGTAAAATATTGAGAAATGAGATGGTTCGATTGGAATTGGCTGAACAATTGGTGGCTGCTCCGAATTATCCGGAAATCGATATTCATAAAGCAATGGAATGGGTGAACTTGAAATTGGCGATTTTGAAGGATTCGAATTTGGATGAGCAGTTCAAAATGTTGGAATTGTATTGGATTGAGCAATTTGAGAAGGATTTGGTGGAAGAAATTCGGGATTCGAAAAAACGGTCAGTTTTTTTTAAACATGGGGACCTGAAAAAATGTATGAGCAGCAATGGTAGATAGAAAAAACACGTGGAATTTTCACATCGCCGTTCTGAAGCAAATCAATTTCAGATTTGCGGAAAGACTGGAATCAGTCAAATCAATTTCGATCATTTAAAACTCGTAATTTTCGGGAAATAATTTAGTGAAAAATAATCTAATTCGTTGTTGTATTAAAATGTAAAACATTTATTGCGAACAAAAACTTGTATTTATTTAATAAAACATTGTTGTGATTGGAGTTGCACACACTTGATCATACAAACTGTTGCAAACACAAACATCTGACCAACTATTCGGTGTGGCAGAAGTGTTGCAATTGACGAATGAACAATCTGGGCCAGTGAATCCGGTTGGGCAATTGCATGAACCGATGTCGCTATTTGGACTTCCGTTGTTTTTACAAACTGAAAACATTTTGTCAGATATGAAGAAAAAGGTTTCAACTGCATTGCACTCTCGAAATTTTTGAAGTGTTCAGACATTTGAAAAATGTGATCCGATTCTTCGAGGTCCAATCCAAAAGCCCTTTTTTTAAATTTGTTTTTTATTTTCACTTACCAATGTCGTTCGAAGTAATGATTGGGAAATATCTCGCTAAACTCAAAGAACTTCCAGTTTTCTGGAATGTAACTTGAGCGAAATCGGAGCCAAGTGCATATTTACTATCAGCAAAAACACTGTAAGATGTGTATCCGAATGTACAGCCAGTTCGTTTTGCAACTCTGAAAATCATATATTTTTAAATCTGAAATTTTCGATGGTTCTTGCCTTGCTGAACCGCCATTATTTGCATTTGCAATAACACTATAATCACTTGGCACATAAATTGATAAAATGGTTAAACCGGATGCTTCTGTCGAAAGAGAATCGGAAATATCTTGAGCTGTTGATGAAACGATTTGAATCTTTGGTGATACATCGGTTGTTACATATACAATTGCACTGTATGGTTTGGCTTGACTGGTAAATGTTATTTGATTTTTTCCCTGGCCGGTTATCTTGCACAATAGCGTTGTGTCATCAGAATTTTTGCAAGATTTGTCATTTAGCTGATTGTTGTCTGGAATTTGTATATTTGTAATTCTCTACTTCTTGGTATCTCACTTTGTTTAACAGTTCCTCCTTTATTCCATGTGATGAGATATGCTACACTGTCTGAATTTTCGAGGGTGAAGTCGAAACTTGTGGTTGCACCTGAGTTTTGTGCGACATATGCGATGGATGTTGGAGAAGCCAAAATATCAGGCATGAACTGAATAACATTAGAAATTGTTGATTAACATTTTTTTAGAACTACCTGGGGACCTAAGTCAAGCTTTCCAGTATCCGGATTAAGATAGGATTGAATGAGAAAACCACCAGTTGCAATTGCTGCTTGGGAAATCGATGGATCCAAGGAAGTTATAGGAGTTGTTTCATCGACACTTACAACGAATAACTGAAATCACCTAGTTTTTCCCAGAAAACATCAAAGTATTCACCTGTTGTTGATATGTTTGTGCCAACGACAATAATGCTGAAGTTGATACGTTTATAGAAGTGGGGATTTCGGTGTAATAAACAATTGCTCCTCGAACATTTTTGCCGAGTCCAGAAACAACACTCGAATAAACATTTGATAAATCAACAATGTTTGTTGATGTCACATTGCATTTGAGCAATAGATTTGGTGATTTGAAGACTGTTGAGAAATCATTGTAACTTCCGCCAGAGTAGAGGTTTTGTACTGAAATATAGAGTGATTATGATAGATTGTGGTGGATTATATTTAAAGAAAACCTACATTGTCCGTCAGAACATTGAGCGAAAAGTTGGAATCTCCAAATAGTTGCAATATTTGACCCAAGTCCGAAATAAGTTTGCGCATTTTTTGCGGCAAATTTGAAATATGGAATAGTACCATCAGTTCCAATCACAACTGTATATGTTCGATAGATGTTTTCAATTGATAATCCATCGTTGTTTGGTATTTTACAATTTGCAATCTCACAAGATGCTCCAGTGAATCCACTTGCAGAATCGCAATTACATTCATAACGAGCAGAATAATCGCTTGATGTGGAACTAAAATCATAGAAAAGTGTTCCATGGCGAGAACAATCGGTTATTTTTCCGGTTGGTCCTCGTTTGAATGGTGAAACTCCGGAACATTGATAATTTCCGTATGCATCTTTTCCTTGACAGTTTGTGCTGATTGAAGTTGACGAACTTGAGCAGAAGAAAGATCTGCTGATTGAATAGCCATCAGCTACGATCTGAAATGTTCAGCTTTTATGGGGGTGGAGAGGATCTTTGATTACTAACTCGAACATCGAATTTGTTTTCTGTGCCAGATATACATTTAGTATTTGGAACATCGCAGAAATATGGAACAAAAGAAAATGTGCTATTGGAAGGATCTGAAATCTGAATATTTGTATCTGTTGATTCTATGAGAACTTACCTAGGTTAGCTGTTTGAATAGTATCAAACTTTGTGCCTGTGCTACCTGAACAATCAGTGATTGTTATACTTGCGGTTGACAAACAGTTTTCAGTTGAATCAATTTTCAAACGAAGAGCTGCACCATCTCGATTGTTTGGTGAAACTGTGCTGCTGCCAGTCAAATCAGCATAGGACACAGTTTGGTCGTATGATCTGAAATTATTTATTCTCTGTGATTTTATCTTTGATGACGGGTTACTTTTTAATCCAAATTCGAAGAAGAGCATCATATGGAGCATTGTTCAATAAGAATATTTCATTGACACCGGAAGAAACATCAAAACTTGCAGTATAGAAATTGGAATTTGTCTGAAAAATGGTTGCCTGAGGAATCATGATTTTCTTAAACTTACATAATTTTGATTTGATGCCAGATTTGAAGATAACATGTTTCCATTACTATCTTTGAAGCCGAATAGAAGTAATGATGGATTGTTTGTAATTTGATCTGAAAAATGTATTCTCTTTCTCGAAGAATATTTAATAAATTCTAGAAAGAAACTAACTATCTGGAACGGCAAATGAAAGCGTTACAGTGAGCGTAGTATTGATTGGCACATTTACAAAGCCTAATGAACCACTGGCACTACCGGCAGCAATATTTCTGGTGTATAAAAGATCTTGAGAATAACCGAAATTTGCGAATAGGTTGACAATCTGAATAAGAAAAAAAGAAAAATTAATGTTAGTTTCTTTTTTTTGGAGAACTGAAAAAGAATTACCGTTGAATAATCGTTGAATTCGACAGCAGTTGTGCCATTTGCAATGACGTAGTGTCCATTTGTGAGCGATGCAATTTTGTTCAACTCACTTCCAGTTCTACCCAATTGACTTTGATCACTCAAGTCACTTATACTCAAGATGGAGAATATCTGAAATATTTATTGATTTGTGCTCGGGATTTTGAAAAAGTTAATCGGCGGACAACTTTTTCATCATACCTTTATATTTTTGTTGACCATATCAGCGTAATCATCTGTTGTGAAAATATCAGACGATTTCGGAAGTCTTGAAAGTAGAAGAATTATGATTGTATTCTCATTGTTCTGTTGATCAAGATAGTTTTTCACAATTGAAATAACATTCGAAGCATCTGGACCGCCATTCGCCAATGTTGAATCAACGCGATATTTGTTGAGATCGACAGAGAAATCACTGTAATGTTTTGTTTTTTGTTCAATTTTCTGAATACCAGCAGGGAAAACCAACGTTTTGTTTGTTTCTTTCCGAATCATGGAATCTGTACATTCTAATCGAGCAGATGTCAATGACTGTCCATTTGCTGAGGTTGAGGGTACTTGTGATAGAATATAACTCCTACTGACGTCATAAATAACACTACTGAGTTCTGTAGAATAGGCGAAAAACAATGATGGAAGTGTTGTTTGAGTTGGTGAACATGGAGCTGTAGTGAGGAATTGTTTTGTGGGAATAGGGATTTTTGTTCTACAACCTTACTTCCAGTTTGTACTTGGTACAACCGTGTCATTTAGATATGTTTTTTCTCACCTATTGTAGTTGGTGGCACTGTTGATGTAGAGGATTGCTCAACTGTAGTTGGAAGAAGTGTACTAGACGGTACTGATGTGGATACAACTGTTGTTGATAAAACAGTTGTTGGAACTGATGTTGTGGTAATAATTGTTGTTGGCGCCACCGAGGTCGTTGTTGTTGCAATAGGTTCTGTTTTTAAAAATAGATATTTTTAGTACAAACCAAACCTCTTTTCTTACTTGCTAAACAGTTGATTGGAATTGTTCGGATAATTGAAGATGTCGAATTCACAGTAATATTCAATCGAAGGTATTGTGAAACTGTTGATGAGCATTGAACTGTTGCAGTTGAAACCCATTCGAAAGCCGAAATTCGTTTTGTATTCACACCTAATGGGACGAAATCAGAGTTTTGTGCAAAGTTGATGGCATTTACTTGAGTCTGTAAATATATCAAGCATGTTGTGGAAAAACTTGGGATGTGTTTACATCAACACCGGAAATCGATTCAATGTGAACTGCTGCGTAGAATGGAACATTTTCGATGATTGCATATCGAGATGCATCAATTGATGAATCTTCGATAAAGTTTGCATATAATTTGACAGCCGATGCACTGGTTTTTGGTAAAACGGTGAATACAACAGCAGAACAAGCATATTTTGCTGTTATATTGATTGATGAACATTGTGGATTCAAAACTTGAAACACTGATAATTGTGAATCATATGAAGTGGCATAATTTAAAAATGTTCCGCATGCTCGAAGTGAGGCGGCATCAGTTTTCACATTCTCTGAAAACTCCTATTTTTATGGAAGCATATAATGATGCAACTCACGTCCTCGCAAAATAAAATACAGCGGTTGATCATTATTCAAATCATTATTGAAGTTGATTGTCACTGCTCTTTTACAAGTTCCGATGTCTTGGATTTGCAAAACTTGTGGGCTTGAATGTAATTGCAGAAAAGTAGAGACAAGCTAGAAAAAACAGTGATCAGATAAATTCAGAATAGAATAAAATTACATTTTTAGTGTTCACGTCGTTCTCATCAGATTGTATTTGAACGAAAAAACCACCAGTGCTTTCAGCGAACGCTTTGAAGTTAGCAATCTGTGAAAATATTTGTTGAGTCCTGTAATCGAAAAAATCATGAATTGACAATACCTGATCATCGGTTAGGCTGCTGTAGACAGGATCGGTTATCCAGATAACATTCAAACGAATTCCGAATGACAGTGTCATTTGTTGGGCTAGATCTTGAAGATTGTCTGATGGTATATGTTGAGTGATGATTGTGATCGCGGTGTTGTTCAAAGATGATTCTGAATTTTTTTTACTTTGGTCCACAAAGGATAGTTTGGAATTTTCTGTAAGTCATTCCTCTTTAACTTTCTAGTCTCTAGTCTCTTGAAATTCGGAACTTCTGAATTCCAATCTAACAAACATCTGTAATACCTTTGATAAGATCTATGATGCTTTGATACAATTCCACTGGATATGACCAATAAAGACCGGAATCTTGAGGATCGGACAATTCGAAAGCTCCTTTAACGATGTTGTACTTCGGATTGTATTGAACTGAAAATTGAATATTTTCAAACGACATTTCTTTTCAAATTTACTCTGTGTAAAATCCGGCTCGTTCAACTCGTTCAAAACTGGAGCTCCAGATGTTTCTATCAAGTTGATGCTATCGAAATCATTGTTGTTCGCAAAATCCTCAACCGCATTTTTTATGTTTGTGTAGGTCTTGGTTCCCCAGAAAAACGAGAATAAATTGATATTGATAATATTGAGACTTGATGATGAGGAGAAAGTTCCAGATGGAGCAAGAGATGATTTTACTAAGAATTAGAGATTAAAATTGGGGAAATATTTAGGAATGTTACCAGTTTCACAATGTATTCCACGATATCCTGGCGGACAAATACAACTCGAGTTGGAGTTAGCAGGATCATTATATCCGCCATTTATACATTGAATTGTTGAACAGTCGGGTCCAGTGAAAAATGATTGACAAGTGCAAGAATCAAGGCTTCCACCATTTGAGCAAGTCTGAGATGTTGTGCCTGAAAATGCTCACTAGAAATGTTGTCTGGAAAAATGGGGGTGGGGGTTTCTGGGTTTGCAATTTCCACGCTTGTTTGAAATTAATTTCTGGGTCAAAGTTCACGATCTCACTCTCCTTTCCAAACTGTATTCAATTTTTATTTTAGTTTAAAAAAAATCCACTCTTCTTTCTAAATTTTTCGTTTTTTATTGTTTTCTCACCTGCTATAAGACTTGAAATGAGGATAAATGTTGTTAGGAGCAACATGCCCTGAAATAAGCAACAATATAAAGTTATACAACAGAAAAAGAGCAAAATTGCAAAGTTATGCACTGATAAAATGGTTTTATTGAATGGGTTTTTGAACTGATAGGAATGAAGAAATTTTTGGGCGGTGGAAATGTAATCATCACAATTTTTATTGGAAAAAAAATAATTTAGAATTTTTAATTAACAAGATGCAAAAAATTATCGAAATAAAAGAAAATGACTAGATGTCGGGTAGATTGTCGAGACCGAATGTTTGATTTTGTATCACATTGAAGATCTCGGCTGTAATCAATTAAAACTAGAAATTAACAAGAAAAAAATAGCAAATCAAACCTCGATGATTGTTTGCATCACTGTAATGATCCCAAAGGTAGACATCTCGAAATCTGTCGCACAAAACAAGATCCGTTGCCTGGAAAGAATGGATTGTTTAGAAATTCTACAGAAAATAACCTTTTTCAGCTCACTTCAGTGTGTAATTTTAAATTACTAATTTACTATCCCAAATAGCTAGACCTCGAATTTTTCAAAAATTTTTTTATAAATCTCAATTTCGTTATGTCTGGGTTTTGATGTTGTATTTAATATTCTATAAATGTGTTCACTTTTCGATTTTAATTTATTTGTCGACAAGTGCACAACAATTTATTTGAATAATCGGATTTTCAAGTTTATGATCAAACTAGACTTTTTTGTCTGTTCATAAAGTATGGAAATTTTTTCGACATTTTTGTCCATAAATCAGTTTTTGTTTCAATATTATTGTTTTCCATTTTCATTTGACTGTAATTGATTTAAGAGGATTATGTTTGGTTTGTTTTACAAACTGGTTTCAATTCTCTGAACTTACTTCAAAATCAGCAGAATATTCTTGAAGATATGGATGTTCGAAAACTCGGTCGATTGATAATCGATTTTCCGGCTCGATTACAAGCATTCTGCTCAGAAGATCACGTGCAGAATCGCCTGTAAATACTATTTTTGAGTAGATTCTGAACTTTTAATTCAAACTCACATAATTCCGGACTTTCTCGGAAATTTTGAAGAAACATGCTATTTGGAAATATATATTCGATGTTTCGCTTTGGATATTTAGGCATTCCTTCAAGAAAATGTCGAACATTATCATTCATTCTTTCGAAAAAATTTTGAGATGGTGAACCCAACAATTGTGTGAAACGATGATATTGATCGACATGATCGGTACCACGGAATAATGTTTGACCGGTTAGAAGTTCAGCAAAAATGCAGCCGATTGACCAAACATCGACAGTTCGATTTTCGAATCCACCAATATGACAAACAACTTCGGGTGCACGATAATATCGCATTATAATATAAGTTGTATTTTGCATGAATGGATCTGTTATATTCGATTGTCCGAAATCGCATAACTTAACATCCGTTGTTTGAGTTATCAATATATTCGTTGGTTTCAAATCCTGAATGAATTTATGATTTTCATGAAAAATTATAATATAAAATCTTTTCAAATTCAGGGTTGTTCGGGATCAGCCAATGTAACAAGTATTTTCTCGCAAGATTCAAAATTTAAAAATCATTTACTCAAATCACTTACACGATGTGAAATACCAAGTGCATTTAAATGATGAATTCCTCTACAAATATCATGAATAATTTTCTGAACATGATCATGAGTCAATTCCTCATAAGGTAATTGAGTCATAGTTCCATCGAGATATTCTCGAACAATATAAAATTCTCGCATTTCCTCAGCGGTTTGATATGGTGTGAAAGCTTCGTGAAATTTGACGATCTAAAAGGATTTCTATTTAAAAATTGAAAAAAAAAGTTTGTCTCACATTCGGATGCGAAATATGAAGCATACAAAAAAGTTCTCGATATGCTCTTCGAAATGGTTGCCTTTCTGTTATATCTTCTGGCAAATGGATTTTCTTGATCGCAACTGTCATTTGTTTTTGTCTGTCGTATGCAAGAGCCACACATCCTTGTGTTCCTCTTCCCAAAAATCGGGTTATTTGATATTTTTGGGGAATTGTGAACCAATCATTCAAAAATACATCGACTCGATAGTAATTTGGAGGAATTGGGTAACTGAAATATTTTATTAATTGATGATACATGTTTTTTTTTCCTTCTGATCTCAAAATCCTTTGGATCAAAATGTCACTGCCAAAACTAAATAAATAAATAAATAAAGAACCTACCTCGCACCATCCATAGTAATTTTCTTGATAAGAATCAAACCAAATAATCGATTCTTATCAAAAGTGGCTCGGCTATTTATTCACAAAAAAATGTTGATAATTTGTTCCGTTCTTACGTATGATGTTCCTTGGGGATTGTTATCTTTTTGAATGCAAATATTATTTTCGGACTTTGCCCAAAATTGAATGAATATTGCATAAGTATACCAAAAGTAAAACATTTTATCACTTTTCTACGAAAAAAAAACTTTTTTTAACGTACGTGGCCCAAAAGCTTATGGAATATTTTCAACGTATAGCTACGTGGTACCTAGTTGATGGAAAAAATTTTCTGAGCGTTTTGGAAAAAAATTCTTTAGATGTTTTACTAAATAGTTTTGGGGACCTTTAACATTGTGACAAAATTTTTCAAAATTGTCAAGTTCGGTCAAAAGCTGGAAAATTTGGATTCATGAAATTTTTATGGTTTGAAAAAACCTAGACTACTTCTATCTATTGGTTTGGTATTGAAATGTAAACTTATAATACATATTTTGAAGCGTACAAAATCCAGGATTATTTCAGAGAGTTTCCTAGGCTTTTTCTTGATTGCAACGCTTGTGATTTTTGTCCTCGCCCACTATCAAAACACACTGTGATATCCACTCCGATCTCGCTCGCTTATGGTTTCAAGGTCACATTTTACGTATGTATTATTAAAAATATGTTATAAGAGTAAGTAACAATGTGTCCCGCCCATTTCTGTCCCTCTTTTTTTGCTGTCTCTTCGTCTTCTTCTCAACACAAACGCGACGTCGCCCATTCACAATCAAATCAAACAAATTCTAGTTTTGTTTTCGTTGAGGAGTTAGTGTAACAATTAGCGGTCGAGAATATCATTGCCGCTTAATCATATTACGCCTCCTTTTTTTGAACTTTTTGTTCGTGTTTCATTTTTTGCCGCTTCGTCTAGAATTGGTTTTGGTTTTCCGCAAGTGAAATGTCGCAGCTTCATCTAGGTGTAAATGACAAACCAGATATAAAGGAAATGATATGTTTTGGGTTCCAGGTTTGTTGCATTTTTCCAGAACTTGTTTTGTTCTCGATTTGGTTGTTTCTTTAAAAATTGTCACGTATTTTTGGAGGGAGATGAAAAATCAAGGTTATTTTGAACATTGGGCCACGTGTGATTATTTTTAAATTCTCCGAATTTCATTTTTGAATTTACCCCCGGGCTTGGTTTTAGAAATTTTCGGTGACCGAATTATTAGAAAATTTTAATATTTTGTTTTTGAGACGCGGAAATGAGCTCCGACGTTTGCTCAAAAAATAATTCGGACTTCATTTTCACCCGTTTTCAAAACTTGTTATGGAAGTCCATTGTCAGAACATTTTTAAAATAAAATTGTATCTGGGTTTCAAAAGTGAACCTTTTCCAAAATTTGATATTTAATATCAAAATTTTTGACATTTTTTCATATCATTCACCATTATTAATTTTATTCATGATTTTAATTGAAAAAAAATTTCAAAAGTTTTCCTTATTATTTTCGGAAAAAATGTTGAATCAGTTTTTTTGAATATTTTCTTTTCAAAAAACATTTCTGAAAATTGAGGAAAAAAACAGAAAAACATTTGAACTTGATGAGAACTTCAGTTCTAAAAAATCGGAAAATTTCATATTTCCAGTTTCCAGTTTCCCGATAAAAAGTTTAGTTAACCTGAAAAATTCCAAAAAAACAACACACACAAATATTTGTTTGAAGCAAGCAATGTTATCAATATCTGGCCTCCTTGTTTATCCCTTCATAATCTCAAATATAGTCTGTGCTGGTGCCGCCGCTGTCCAACTTCGTGTCCAATTAATCTCTGCCACTTTTGTCTCATGTGGTCTCGCAACAATTCTTCAAACCACATTCGGTTTGAGACTATCTGTATTACATGGTCCAGCAATGGCATTTCTTCCGCCACTTTTAGCGTATCAGAAGAACAATGATTGTCCGTATGGAGAATATGATGAAGTTCCAGAAGAGAATTGGATTCAGAGGATGAGAGATGTTCGATTTTTTCCGATTATTTTTAAAGATTATGTATATAATTCTGAATTTTATAGATCCAGGGAAGTCTAATGGCTGCTTGTTTTGTGTTCATCGCAGTTGGTGGAACTGGAATCGCTGGATATTTAGCCGAACTCATTGGTCCCATCACAATTGTTCCACTTATGCTTCTCCTTTGTGAAAGTATAGTTCCAACAATTGAGGAAAAGCTATCCTTGCATTGGATATCTTTGTTGTAAGTATGTTAAAAATCATATATCATTTTGAAATGATCAATCGAATTTAGAATGTTGGTTACTGTAGTTTTGATGGCGGTGTATTTGGAGAATACAAAAGTTTCGATGTTTTATTATTCGACGAAAAAGATGGAGATTGTTTCAACAAAAGTTCGACTATTTGGACAATTTCCGGTAATTTTTTAGATTTGAAAAAAGGCTTTGAGAAAAAATCGGGTCACAAATCCCCTAGAAAAAAACTTACAGTACCTCCTGAGCACAATTTTCGCCTGGTTGATATGTTTCATAATGACAGTAACCAACCTGGAACCCGAAAATGGTCAAGCAAGAACTGATAAAAATGTGACAATGACTGTTTTGAGACAATCTTCGTGGATACATATTCCATTACCATGTAAGAATGATTTGATTTCTGTTCAAAATTTAAAAAAAAAGTTTCAGTCGCTTACGGAACGCCGAAATTCGTTGGTGGCATATTTTTCGGTTTTGTTGCTTCGTGTCTCGCATCGATAATTGAGAATATAGGATCATATGATTTATTGGCACGAACATCTCATCAACAACCACCGCCCAAAGATGCTATCAATCGAGCGATTGCTTTTGAAGGTTAGTTGGATAAAAATAAATAAAAAATTTGGAAAAAGTTCCGGGATTTTGAAATGAAAAATAGATAATATTGTTAAAAGTTGAGGAAAGTAGGTCAGAAAGTTGTTAAGATTCTCACAAGGGAACCTTTTTTACTCAATTTTTTTTGTTGTTTTGGGTTATTATTTTGCAATTTCAACATTTTCCGCAAAATTATCAAATATCTTTGGTGAAACAAAATCAAGATTTTTCGATTTTTCATTTCTTGACAAAATTTTAGTTCCTTGTTTTTCGAATACTGTAAATTATGAATAATCGATCACATGCTAATTTTTATTTGCAAAAAGTCTCGACGATTTCATCACAAAATATTGAAAGTTTTTCATGGGACCAAATGACAAAAACAAATTTTTTTTTCATTTTTCAGAGCCCAGAACTCTTGGGTAACTAAAATTTTTTGGGTGTTCTTATGACCCCAAATGCTGTCTATGGACAAAATTTCATTAAGATTTGAATGGTGTTGAGTAAAAAAAAGTCTAGGTTTTTTGGAAAATTAGAATTCTCTAGGATTTTGTTATTCCAACCATCATAAATTAGAAAAAAATTTAATTTGGAAACAATAGCTTTGGAAAACCCTGAAGATAGTCATGTTCCTTTAAATCTAGTAGAAATACTGTAGGTTTTTTTCAATTTTTGAAAAAATTTCAGGAATCTTGTTTGTAGAAAATTAAGACAGTGAAAGATTTTACGAAAGTCTCCAAATCACCCCAAAACCTTTGCAACCTACTTCAAAACGAAATCGTTTTTTTCCAGGAATCGGAAGTCTAATTGCTGCAATGACAGGAGTTAGTTCTGGAGTCACAACATATGCCGAAAACATTGCTCTAATTCACATAACTCGAGTCGCAAGTCGATCAACAATGCAATTCGCTGGAGTTGTTCTCATTTTTCTTGGATTATTCTCGAAGTTTGCCGCATTTTTGGCATCGATTCCAGATGCTTTGATTGGCGGATTATTGACGATGGGAATATCGATGATTGGTGGAGTTGCTTTGAGTAATTTGCAGGTTTGGAAATGTTTTATCTAAAAAAAAATCTAGTTTTGCGAAGTTCGGAATTTTCACTCACCAAATTCCGTAATTTCTTGCAGATGATAAATCTAAAACTCTGCCGAAATTTATCAATAATGGGTCTCGCATTTCTTCTCGGCCAAATAACTCCCCTTCATTTCTCAAAATCTCCAATTCAATCAAGTTGGCCCGAACTCAACAATATTCTAAATATGTTATTGAATATCAAAATGTTAGTGGGTGGTGTAATCGCAACATTGTTAGATAATACAGTACCCGGTGCAACGAGGGAAGATCGAGGTTTTCGAAAAATTTCAACTGCAACTGAAAATGGCTTTAAAAATGATGCTTATGAATTTCCAGAAAAACTGAAAAGGTTGGTTTTTTCTTCTTTCTATCAGAAGATTTAAAAAATAAAAATCAACTTTCAGAATAATGCGAAAATTTCCAATTCTTCAATATATTCCACTTCTTCCATCTTCGGAAATGAAAAAATCGGAAAATCAGCAAGTTTGATGGGTGTTCAAAATGCATAATTTTATGAGAATGGCGATGAGCTTTACATGATTGTACATAAAAAGAATTAATTTTTATTATTTTTATTTTCTTCGTTTTTTGATTTTTCCTCGGATAACAAATTCAGATATTCCGCCTTCAATTCTTCGTATCGTTCCCTGAAAAAAAATATTTGATTAGAAAAAATGGGGAGTAATTTTTATAGGATTTGAAAAATGATATTTTTCGGGTGTTTCAGATTTTTGAATTATGAAAAAAATGGTTCAAATTTTGAGGAAAGAAATTTAAATTTTATTTTTCTGAAAAGCCAGTTTTTTCCCAGAAAATCTTGCAATTCCAAAAACTCACATAGAAAAACATTGAACCCGTTCAAAATACTGTTGAACACTTCGACCCGGTATATAATTTGGCAATTTTCTCGAACCATACTTCAATTTTCGTCTCTTCTTCCTCTTTTTCTTATTATTATTTCCCACCAAACCGTTCTTCTTTTTTGGTGTTTCCACACCATTTTTCTTTTTCTTATCCTTGTCCTCAGGCAATTTTCTGGCAGCTGATTTGTTTTTCGAAGTTGAAGGCGAAGGTGTTAGATCTGGTAGTGGAGGATTCAATTTGGCAGGTTTTCTGGGTGTCACTGGGAGTGGGGCGGCAGATGATGTGGATGGTGTTGGATCGGGAAGATATTTGTCGCGATGATTGTTTTGATGATTACGTTTCCAAGTGTTGCGACGCAGCGAACCTGTAAAAATTTTTGAAAATTTTTTCGTATCAAAATTGAGCTCCTAAATGGAAAATTCATCAAATGTTTTCAAAATTCCTGTTGAAAAACTCGAAATTTCAGTAAAAGTTAAATAACAAATAAATTTTAACGAAAATGGGCGGAGCCTAATATACATGCATACATGCATGGGTAGACAACAGATATATACACGAAAGATGCGTTTCTCTGCGCTCTGCCTATACCTGTATATTAGGATTTCGTTAAAATTTATTTGTTCTGTAAAAGCGTGTGAAATTTCCCATTTTCTCACCATGTTTCTTCTTTCTACACGCAATATTCAAATTTCTCAAAGCTTGCAACTTTGATCGCAATCTCGCTAATCGGAAAATCTGTGGAAGAGTTCGACGGCGTCTTCGTAATCTCAAGCTGCAAAAAACAATGGTAAAATAAATTTCTCTCAAAAAATATTCCTCACAATCGTATTTCTCTCAATAATTTGATAGCGTATAAATCATAAAATCCTTGTTTCCTAACTCCATTTTCATCAATCAATTCAGAAGGATCATTTAATCGAAATTTCTGAAATTCAAAAAAATTTTAATCAAAATACGTAAAAAAAATAAATAAAAAATCACCTCAATCATTGATTTTGCTGATTCTTCATCAACAAATCGTATAAAACCGAAACTTTTCTCACGTGATCCAACATTGATTGGTTTTTTCGCGCCTTTTACAATTCTTGGACCTTTTCGACTAATTGTAATATCCGCAACATTTCCATAACAAGATGCTAATCTTTGAAGTTTTTCTTTTTTACAGCCATCTGGCAAATTATCGATATAAACTGTACATTTCTTTGGATTGTAAATCGGCCGATATTTCAGAAATAATCCATGTCCTGGTTCATCTTCTTCTATCGCAAACATTGTTGTTATATTAGTTATTGATTTCCAAGCATCTTGAGTTATGAAATGAATCTAAACAAGGAAAAATACTTTTTCTTTTGAATTTAATTCCAACTTCAAAAAACCTACATCTTTGACAATTGTCGAAATCTGAAGAGTTCGAATAAGTTCAACTAGCGAAGCTCTTGGCGTACCACTTGGATCAAGAGTTTTGAAAAGATGATAAATTGGTGGAAGAGTTGGCGAATCGGTCAAAGCTTTTTCGAAAATTTGGCAAATTTTCTGACGTTTTCCAGTCGTCTTTCTCCTAGACCTTTTGGTTTTCTTCTTCGGCTTCTTCAACTCGCGTTTTCCGATTTTTTGCGGCGCTTTTTTGGGTTTTTCTGTAGATTGTCGATTTTTCTTGGCAGCCACACCTTCTGATGATGTTCGATTTCGACGTTTTCTGGATGTTCCTTCATTTGAATGATTATTCATACCTGAAATTTTCAAATTTCAGTGTTATATTGAAACTGGGGATAGAAAAGGGGTAGGCTTATTCAATATTCATAGAAAAAAACAAAGGAGATCAATGAAAAATCATCATTTTCCAAGAAAAGCTATGGAAAAGGTATAAACATCGCGAAAAAATGAAAATTTCGAAAATCTGTCTCGCAAAAGTGTCAATAATGGAAACGCGCTCTGTTGCACTCTGCATTTTCATGTTGTTTTTGGTGTTTACACGTCGCGATTTACGGAGATAAAAATTTCATTTCTTTTCTTTCGCTCTTTTCGTTGCGAATGTTTCGATTTTAGCATTGTTTGAGAGTTTTTTGTATGAAAAATAATACTGAAAATGTGTTTGGTTCAATAGTTTTGTTGTTATGAACATATTTTCTCATTAGAAGTTATTTTTCTAGTGTTGTTTTTATTAACCGATAAACTTTTACTTTTTTTTTACTGGTGGAAAGAAAAAAATATAAATTTTGATTTAAACCTTTGTTTTCCTTCCTTCCCTTTTAAATTTATGTTAATATTCAAAATGATATGTGAAACAAAGCGCATGATACGTGGCCTTTTGATTTAATCTCAAATATAATTTCTCATAAAATTTATTTCGAAATTTTCAGTATTTCTTCTTCCGTGTAATGTCTTTTCGTGGGGGACACATGAGACAGGACGATACAAATTATTTGGAGCGACACAATGATGATTTGGTAAATGGACTCTCGTCAAAAGTCGCCGCGTTGAAAAGAGTGACAATTGCAATTGGAGATGATGTTCGTGAACAAAATCGTCTTTTATCTGACATGGATAATGAATTCGACTCATCAAAAGGTTTATTGCAATCAACAATGCGAAGATTAGGAATTGTTAGTCGAGCTGGAGGTTTGTGATTTTTCTTTGGAAGGGGGACTTTTTTGAGAGCCGATTGGAAAATTGTTTAAAAATTTTTGAGTGAATTTGAATTCAAACTTGTTTAAGTTGTATGAAAATTCATGTTTTTGTCTTCAAAAAATCGCTAAATTGAAAAAAAATGAAGACAACGTTTCGTATTTTTCATTCGGTTTCAAAAAGAGTTCCCCAGTTAATGTTTTAGATTATCAACCTAAAAATCAATGATATTTTCAGGCAAAAATATGTTGTGTTATCTGATTCTCTTCGCTTTATTCGTATTCTTCGTCGTTTACTGTATTTCCCGCTGAAATTTTGTAAATACTACACACTAATTTATTGATTGATGAATCTGTGATTTCCTGTCATTGTTCGTACTTATCATACAACATTTATTGGTTAAACTACAAAAAAATGGTGGTGTGCAAAATGAATAAGGTGAATTGTGTTTTATTATCATTGATGAATATTTACTTAGCCCAATCAGCTTTGACTTTCTCCTTTTCTTCTTCATCGAGAGCGAATTCGTTTTTGTCGACAACTTTGAGCTGCGATCGGAAATCGACTTTGGGTGCCTCCTTTTTCTTGAGTTTGTCGAACTTTCCTTCTGTTTTTGAGACCTTTTTCAATGTTGGTTTGACGCTGGAAAAAGTCTTTTGGATAACAGGTATTTAGAAATAGGGTAACTTACAATTTACCGCGCAAATCGTTAACAGCAATGGTCAACTCGTTAATTTCGAAATCCTTTTGTCTGACTTCATAACTAACATCATAATTCTCCGATTCCAAATCAATCAATCGTTCACGAATTTCATCATAAACCGCTTCCAAATCGTCTTCAGCATCCAAATCAGGCAATGGAATAATTCTTTCTTGCAAAATGCGTTGTCTTTCTTGTTCTTTCAACATTTGTTGTTGTTTCAAATCTTCGGCCGCTTTCATCATCAAAAGCTTACGAAGTTTCTTCTTTCTTTCAGGTGTCAAGAAACCTTTCTTGGCTTTCTTCATACGTGATGCTTCTTCAAGACGCTTACGGACTTCTTCCTTCTTGCGTTCACGTTCCGCAACTTTGCGCGCCTAAATTTTATTGTTTTTTTCCAAATTCATATTTTTCGCTTCCTTTTTTGATATATTACTATTTTTCAAATCATGAAATCATTATCGATTTTTCTCCCCAATGCCAAGAGAGTTTCAAGAGTGTTGCGCGGGCACAATTTTGAGAGCTTTAGCTCACTAAACAAATAGAAAATCTATGTGATTTTTAATGTGAAAATTGTTGGAAACCTGTTAATCTACATAATTCATACCTCATCATCATCGACGTCGCTTTGCATACCGCCATATCTGAGATTTTCTTCTGGATCCCACGACATGATCTGAAACAAAAATATGTGAAGGGATTAGAGATTTTTTGAAAGAGAGAGATTGTGAGAAAAATCTAATGAATTGTAGATTATGTTGAATTTTCTGAGGTTTCAGTAAAAAGAAGTTGAGAATTCAATTCTTCTGCGAGATCTGAATCGTTTCTAAAAAAAATAAATAATTGCTTCTAAAGCATCCTATTTATGGGGAAATTGGGAAAATACAGGAATTTTTGAAAAAATGAAAATAATTCTTCGATCGTGAAATGTTTTATTACAGTACTATTTTGAGAATCTGAAACTTCTAGATTTTCAAAAACAAAAAATTCTTCAAACACGCAACTACAATCAAAACTACAATGAAAACGGCAAAATGTTTTGTTTTTTCTAGAATTTCTAAGTAATCTGAAAGTTAGGGTAACTTTTGACAAAGGATATTGGCAAATGTGCTTGCGCGAGACAAAAACGAAATAATAATCACGAGTGGAAGTAGGTAGGCGGTGGACAACGAGTGCTTATTCTTCTTCATTTTTGCGAGATATCTCAAAGGCGTTTTCCAATATTGACACAATGAAAAGAGTTGAGAAAGTCGCGAGCTAAACGAAAGAAAGAAGAGAACAAATATTCATCTGACAATATGAAATCTTAAAAGTAAAATAGAATCCGGACTTATTTGAGGGTTATTATTTCGAGAAATGCAATGGGATACGTGAAAACTCAGACGATAAGAATAAGTAAAGATGGAATTTCTTCTTTTAAAAATTTGATAAAAATTGACATTGAAGTTTTTTTTCAGTATTTTTCTGATTTCATAAAAGTTTTGAATTCCTTGGACTTTTCCGAAATCGAAAACTTTGAACAGTTTTCCTGCGACGATTGTTATCCATGGACAAGCTTTTTTCCTTCATATTCACAATCTTGTATTGAAAAATTGTTATTTTTTCTTTTAAAAAATTTTTTTTCAATCTACAGTAGTTTTTTTCAAGGCGCATATTAACTTTTTGTGTGTCTCACAACGAAGCGCGTGGTCTCGCAGCGAAACAAACAACCCGCATTTACACATTTTCAAAAAAATATTATTATTTTTCCCAATTTTTCAATTTTCTCGCCTATTTTCCATTGTTTCCTGCTGAAAACACTATTTCCTTCAGCTTGGAAATAGTTTTTTAACGTGGTTTGGCAGTGGAGCGCATTTGCTTCACCCTCTCGGCAGGTGTTAGTTGTGTTTTCTCTTTTTTGTGTTTGTTTCTTTTTCTCTTTTTTCTCGCTAGTTTCACTTGTTGTTTTATTGTTTTTCAATCGAAAAAAGTCGTGCCTGTTGTTTTGCGTACTTTCAACAAGCTGCTTTTTTCAGTCAAACTTTTCTAAAGAGCATATTGATTTTCATGTTTTGCAGAATGAAAAACTCACAACTCTACGAGCTTCAACCCGATCCATACGATGTTACACAACGAAAATTCGTGCGATTTTGTCTTTTTAACGATGTGAAAAATGCGGTGAGTTTATTCACTATTAGAAAAAAAATTGGCGAACAATTTATGGAAAAAAAATTTCAGGCCGAACTTTGTCAACTTTTACGAGAGCAGAAAATCGACGCCGCTTTAATACGATCAGAATTGGTGAGTGAATATTATTTTTTGAATATTTGATGGAGCGAATCAAATATATTTTGACAGGTTTTGGAACCATTTGTGCTTTTGGCCGCGGCGAATCGCGCTGTACATCAATCAGCTCACAATCGAATGAGTTGTCGAAGTTTGTCAGCTGAACTCATTTATTCATTGTCACCCAGTAGAAATGTAAGTTCTCGTCTATCTAATGATTTTTTTTCGAAAACAAAATTTTTTCCAGATTTCCGACTCTCTCGTAACCTTCGGCATCTCAGAAAACAGCACATCAATAATCGCTGCAACATTCGATGACAAAAGTGGCTCACTGATGAAAAAACTAGCGAAAAAAATCAAGGCGAAATCGGTGCCCTTCGAAAATCTCGGAAAATCGTCCAATGTCTCATTGATCAAAAAAGTGTATCAAGTGGGAAATCCAAGTTTTGCGCCAGAATCCTTGCCAGATCACATCATCTCAAGAATTGTCTCAAAAGATTTCGTCTCATAACCTCTTTTACTATTTCTTTTTTTTCTCGTTATGCCCCCTACCTGCCTCTTTAAAATACCCTTCCAAAGATAATAAAATACATATAGTTTCAAAAATTTTAATAATAATAAACCGTTGAGCTTGGGAATTTCCTGTCATTTTTCTCGCAGTTTAAAGTCTGCCTATTTATCAAAATATTTCCACAGATGTTTCAAATTTTATTGAAAAAAAATATAAACAAAAAAAAACAAATCGATTAAATTCAATTGAGAATGAGTCATGTAAGTACATAAATACACACAAAATGACCCGTGTTGATGATTAGTAGAAGGTTGATTAGTTATAATCTGAAATTATAACACAATGAGAGAATTATCAGAATACCGGCAACGCTAAAATTCAGACCGTTGCTTGAATTGCACAAATTTCCGATGCAACAGCAAACTCTGTCAGTGTGACTTCCACGGCATCCAGTTTCCTGTAAGATTCTGAATATTATTTCTGAAAATTAGAATTTCATCCATAAATTTAGCTTTAAAAATTTCAAAATGAATTTGGAGCTTAGAAAATTACTGTGACTTTCAAAAACATTCATGATATTGTCGAAAATCTCATCGGTACCACGCGCTCCACCGAAATAAACACGCAACGCAGACCGCGTCGCGTCACAACACACACAAATAGGGGAACGATTCAAATTCCCTCCATTATTTGTGTGTGTTGTGGCGCGGCGCGGCGCGGTTTGCGTTGCGTGTTTATTCCGGTGGAGCGCGTGATACCGATGAGATTTTCGATAATATTTAAAATCATTATTTTCTTTCGTGGCCGAATTTCCAGAAAACGAGAAATTCAAATTTCTAGGCCAGATTCAAAAAACTTCGGTCCTAAAAACCCCTTCAAGTTGACTCACAAAACATTTTCCAGTCTCTCCGCAACTTTTCGTAATCGTATAACTATCATCTCCATTCTTATGACGTTTTACATAGTTGTTATAGCAAAAATCAGCATTGTTACATTGAACTAAACAAAAAAAACATACATTTTTGAAATCAAGTTAGCCAAAATTGCTCACCAGAAGTGTATGGTGCTCCAATTTGTGAGTCTAATCGTCGTCCATTCGAAACTGTTTCTTGACCAGACCAACATACAATTTGACTTTGAACAACAACAACAAAAATCGTCGAAAAAACGAGAGCGATTTTGATGAAACACAACATTTTAGTTACTAGTTTCTCCTCCAAACTTTTCTCGAATTCACTTACTTTTATATGTATGTATTTATGTGAAAGTGGGGGGTAACATTGTAAATAGAGAAGAGTTGAAGTTGAAGAATCACAAAGTCAAATATTTAGAGAATGTTTATTTATAGAAGAAGAAGAAGAAGCAGGTTGGAAGAGCAGCCAAATGGTGGTGTTTCGAAGGTGTTTGCGACAATTTTCAACTAGACATTATTTGGTGGGAAATGAGAAGGCGGATTTGTTTTTGGAAGGTGTTTCGAAACGATTGGATGAATGTCAGAATGGATTAGCAAATGGTGAGGGTTTGGGAAATTTTTGGTGTGAAAAACATCTTGGGAATTTCATGAAAACAATGAAATTCAGAAAAAAAAAATGAAATTAAAAGAAATTTTTTAAACGCTGACCACTTTCCAAAAGCATAGAAGTTCCTTTTTGAAAAAAAATACAGTTTTTTTGTGAAATGTTCACGCTATTTTTGGCCGTCCAAATCGAGAGAATGGCGCAGAGAAAAAGACGCTCGTTTCTCGACACGAACAAAAATATTTTGGTAATACTACTGTATCTATTGCTTCGCGTGTGTCTTTTTCACGCGTTTCTCGAAACGAACAAACAAAAATACCACAAAACTACTGTACTTAAAGGGAGTTTTCGCGTCTGTGTCATCTCTCTCGATTCGGACGCTCTTCTTCTTTTTTAAAATAGCGCGCATGTTCCAAAATTCCATCTTACAGTAAATTCACGTGATTTGATTTTTCTAGTAATTTTTGAAATGCGATAAATTTCACTTTATATGTATTCTCATTTCCACGTGGAATTTTTCACGTTTGAATTAAAATTTCAGAATAATTTTTCATTTCAAAAATAATTTCAAAAAAAAAAAGTCAGTCTTGAAAAAATTTATATTTTCAAGAATCAATGTTTACTTTTTTCAAAAATCAATGAAACAACAAAATGTTTACTCAAAAAAAAACCAGTCACCAATTTTCTCTGTCTTAAAGGGGGTCACTGAAATAATCGGAAAAAGTGGTGTGTAGTTTTGCGTCGCCTTGTGTGTTTGTGCACAGCACACATTTTAATTGACGCGCACGTATTTTTATTTTTCAAAAAAAGTTGTTCGCAGTGTGTTTGTTTGGAAAATGATGGAATGAAAAGCAAAAACGTAGAATTCAGTAATATTTCATAGAAATGAGCGACTATCCTATCAAAATTCAGCTCAAAACAACTAGTTTAAAATATATCACCGCCCAATTTCACAAATTTACTGATTCCTGCCGATTTCTAAGGAGATTTCATTCAAAATTGATGTTTTTATATAATTCCGTTCTAAATTCACGGAAATACACTAATTTAATCCTGTTTCTTCTGGTATTTGTGGGAATTTACTGCAAAAAAGAGAAAAAACAGTTTGAATCTAATTTTTTCCGCCGTTATCAATAGAGCGCACAAGCTCGCGTGCCAGAAATGTTCACAGATTTTTTTCTTTTTTTTTTCTTTCTCACACACAAAATTTCTATATTTTTTTTCTCAAGCGGAGTGAGAATGATAGACGGAATAGCTTTAAGATGGATAAAACATGCGTTTATCTCAGAGTCCCCCTTTAAAATCATCCCAAAATATTTGCAGCTCAACCAGATCGAATAAGTTATTGGGAATCGATTGTAAAACAATCGAAAACAGTCAACGAAACCATCAATGAAATCCGTCAACTCACAACACTTCTATCAGATTCGTCTGAAAATCAAGAGCTGAAATTGATGGCAAAAGAAGATGTGGCGAATTTAGAAGAAGTGCTTGAGGAAAATCTAGAAGAATTGTCGCGGAGAATAGTTCCGTTGAATAATTTGGATGTTTTATCGAAATGTCAAATTGAATTGAGTTGTGGAATTGGAGGACAAGAAGCTATGTTATTTACTGGTGAATTATTAGATATGTATAGTAAATTGGCAGTTTCGAATAATTGGTCATGGGAACCACTTCAGGTTAATTTTTAAAACATTTTAAGTTTCAAAATTTTTGAAATAACAATCTTTGTTGTTTTTCCATTTTCAATGATTTTCAGATCGATAAAGTACCACTTGGAGGTGTTCGAACAGCATTAATCGCCGTCGCCGGTGAAGATGTTTATTCAAAACTTCGATTCGAGGCTGGTGTCCATCGAGTTCAGCGAATTCCAGTCAACGATTCTCGAATGCACACAAGCACTGCAAGTGTTTCAGTTCTACCGGAACCCGAAGAAGTTTCTGTGGTTGTTCCGAGTGGATCGGTGAAAATTGAGGCGATGAGAGCATCTGGACCTGGAGGACAAAATGTGAATAAAAGATCGACGGCTGTGAGAATGACGCATAAAGAGACCGGAATTGCGGTGCATTGTATGGATGAACGATTTCAGCATTTGAATATTCAGGTATGTCGGATTTTTGAGGTTAAAATTCAATGGGAAATGGAGATCTTATCTGGGGAAAAAATATGACGTGGAAGTTATGAAAAAAAAATCAAAAATTATCAAAAGCGTATAGCTCGGAAGGTGCTTATTATATTCAGAAGTTCCTGATACAAAAATCTCTACCATTTTCCGTATAAATTCTCAGATAGCCTACAAACGCCTCGCCGCAATTCTAATGCAAAAACAAGTCGACGCAATGCACGAGAAAATCGTCTCAAATCGCAAACTTCAAGTCGGCTCAAAAGCACGCGCCGAAAAAATCCGAACCTACAATTTCCAACACGATCGAGTAACCGATCATCGGATACAAATGGCTGTGACTGGCGTGGACGAATTTTTGGAGGCGGGTGAAACTTTAGAGATGATGATCAAAAAATTGAACGAGGTTTATATGAAAGATCGACTTGAACATATTATTGAAACTTGTAGTATTGATTGATTAGAAGTTTATTTTTTATGAATTCAATAAGAGTAGAGTGGATTAGAAATAGTTAATTGGGTTAATTATAAGTTATTAATTGTTGTTAATTATAAAACTATTCCAGTTGGGTTTTTTCTCGTTGTTTTTTGAAGATTCTGTTGAGACTGTCGAAGAGAGTTTGACTAACTTCCTTGTTCTGGAACTGTATTAGGATTTACAATTAGAAGTTGTCAAGTTTCATATTTGAAGAAGAGAGTTCAGAGTTTTTCATAAAAAACTTAAGAATTTGGAGCTTTTCCCCTCGAACTCTACTTACTTTGATCAATGATACAATATGATGATAAGTCCGATTTTTCGGAGAAATCGATGAAAATTGTGAGCGATAAAAACTCAGTGCCTCATGCGGTGTTCGCAAATGCGAAGCGAGTTTGCGAAAATCGAATCCAGCTGAATGCTCTTCAAATGTATCACTTTTATTGAAAAGAAGCAAAAATCCAGTGTCATTGAAGAGTGGATTCTTGATAATGTCTTGATAGATTCCCACTGTTTTGTCTTTCAAATGTCCCTGAAATTGGAAAAAATAGGGGGGGGGGGTTGGGATTAGTCTGAAAAATTACAGTGTAAAATGCTTGATCGCATAATTCGCTGAGATCAACGACGAAACAAACAACCGATGTGTTGTTGAAGTATTCTTGCCAATATCGACGGAATATGTGATGACCGGGAAGTTCGGTTACTCTAAAAGAAAAAAAGAATTTTGAATCTACATAGTATGAAAATTGAAGTTTGGCTTGAACAGAACAAATAATTTTTCAGAAAGTTCGGTTGAAATCACTTTTTGAACCTTTCATTATCTGAAATTAAGTCAGCTGAAATATGTAATTATTTTTCAGATCACAACCTAATTATCTTAGAACCTATAATTAGATAGGCAAATTATAGTTTAAATAATTTGAAGCACAACTAGATTTTGATCCCTATTTCCTCACTCAAATCTCGAAAGCCCAATTCGAATCATCTCTGTATTCACACCCATCGTAATACTATACGACATGAAAATATCGGTATCTGTTGGAACAAAATTCGGATTCAAAATGCGATCTGTGTGTTGCATGAAGCTGAAAAATCTCAACATTTCGATGTTGTTTTCCTGTCCAAATAACTCACTAATTATAATTAATTGGTAATTGCAAAACACGTCGTTTCTTCTGGCATTCTTCAAAAAGTCCAGCTTTTGCAATATTCCTCAAACTTGTCACAACTTTTTCGCTCAAATCTTCACGGTGACGAAATTCATTGATTATGTCGAAATCAGCCTATTTATTTATTGTTAGAAATATTTTTAAATAGATACTCCGAGGAAACTTACCGAAACTGGTGTATAGATCAAATTGAGATCATCGCAAACCGCTCGAAGTCCACGGAAAACCTAGAAAAACAATTTTTGGTTAGTCATATTTCATTAGATAATTGTTTAGTCATGCGAAGCAATTAAATTGTTATGCTGATTTGAGCTTTAGATGATTACTGTAGTGATGAAAAAGAGCAAAGATAAAAAAGTGGGTTTGAACTTTTGAATTGTGACAAAATTTTCGAAAAGTTCCGTGACCAAAATAGAAACTTTCTGATTTGAAACACTGAATTTGAAAAAATTGAAAATTATTTTTGTCACGTGGAAATGTTCAGAACTATATTTCCTAACCAGAAAAAAGTTCAGAGTTTCCAGAAGTCAGTATTTTTGGAAACTGTAGATTATTTTAAAATCATTCCAGTTTTTTTTTAAATTCGGGTTTCTCGAAAAATAACTAGATTTTTGGTTAAAAATTTTCCAATTATTGTATAAATTCACAAAAGCTCGAAGTCTAACAGCTCTCGTATCCCAAAAATTTCAGTTTCAAAGTATTTCTGAAAATTTGGTCTCTTCTGATTTTCGCTTGATACATTTCTTGATTTTTGTAAAAACTCCCTATTTCCTATAAGTCAAATAATCTAATAAGTATAACATTTTGTCCCTAATTTTCCAGAAAACAATCACATAACCTATATTTTCTATGTAGCCACTCATTCATAAACAAAAAGTACAATGCAATATCAATAGAATCTCCCCCTCCAGCTTTTTGTTTATCACATCTTATAAAAACTCTCATTTTTTTGCCTCATTCAACCCATCAATTAAAATGACTATCACCATAGTAACACGAAAAAATAACTTGAACAAAATAGAGATAACAAAAGATTTTTCGACAAATTAGATGTTATTGTTATTTTGGAACTCACAACAAGCAAATTGTATTGAACTGTATGTGCATAATATGAGTTTTTGAGAGCTATTGATCGACTTTGCTTTCTGAAAATATTGAAAACTTTTAAATTTAGATAGGGTATCTTGAGATCTTACACGAATTGTCGAACCAGGGTTGATTTCCCACATCCCATGCATCCTGAAATGGAACTTTGATGTTTGCAGGTGGTTTATTAGATGTTTATCAAAAAATTAAGAAAACTAAATATGATTTCACTTTACTTACCTAGCACCAAAATTTTGGGTTGTTCCCCATTTGCCTGAAAAAGCGATAAAGTGTTTCTGACCGAAGAAGTTGCTCCCATCTGAAAGATTTTTGAAAGTAAATCAAAATATAAAGAAAATAAAGTTCAAAAAAGGGTAATTTCGGTAACTATGGAAACTTTGGCTTATTAAAAAAATGAATGAGAAAATTTGAAATATGCGATGTGATGCGAAAACACAAGAAATTCAGAAGGAAATGAAAATGGGCGGGGCGCGCTTGTGAGGTGGTGAAAAAGAAAAACAAAGTTTTTTTCTAAAAAATGGCTGATTATGAGTGAGTTATTGAAAAAAAACCTATGAATTAATCCATCAAGAAAAATTCAATAAAACCGGATTGAGTTTTTTTTGTACTTCTCTTTTATTGGGATTAGTTGATGTCTAATAAGAATGTTCAACAAAGATTAGAATTTTTTATTCATTTGGATAATAAATATTATACGAAATTAAGGTCTATTCATAAGAAAAATTGGGATATCTGGAAAGTTCCAGAGAACGATTAAAAATGAATGGGTTGGAGAAGAAAAGAAAGAAAACTATGTGTTTGGAAATTAAATTATTGTTGGCGTATACTTTTGATTTATTTTTATCAACACAAATAACTGGAAAAGGTGAATAGCTTTCATGGGAAAAGTTGATTTTTTGAACTTTTTCTTGAAGTTTTTTCAGATATTTTTTTCTCTGGCGGTAAATATTAGTTTGAATTCTTCTTCAAGAAAATAAATTTTCACCGTTTCATATTTTTTGAAAAATACAAATTTAAAAAGGAAGCTGTTATTACTGTATTTTTCAAGCCCTTAATTTTGTGAGAAAAAGTTTAACCTAACTTTCTAAAAAAAAGTTCAAGTAAAAAATATCCCACAATAAAACCTTTATATTTCAATTTTCAATTCTAAAAGAACGAATCGATGAACTTTCTGATGTCCCCTTTTGGTTTGACAGATACAAATCTATATCCTCCACTAACTCCTGCATATGGTTTTAAGATGGTCTCCCATTTGACTTCTTTAAAATTGGTTATAGCAATCAATTGGTCCGTATTGTCAAATCTAGCTGAACTGATATACTGGAAGAATCTTCGGGGTCCAACAATGCTCAAAAAGTTAAGGAATTGATCTGTAATGTATATGTATAATAATAAACGGCAAATGTTCGAATTATTACAACTTACTAGTAGTTTTGATTCCGTCTTCCGTTGTTTTAAACTGGAAATTTGAATCAAAGAATACTTTTCCATTTCCTGGTTTCTCAAATGAATGTGAGAAGTGTTCCAACACTTCTACGAATTTTTTCATGGCTATACTTCTTCGGTTGAAGAATTGAGCATTGGTGAAAACGAAGAAGAAAGCAAGAACAATAAGGAATCTCATTTTTTCTCTGATTTTTTGGAATTGTAAGCGCATTTTTTATACAGAATTTTTAATTGATTCGATAATCTTTTTTTGCGAAAAATTTCCTTGTTGTTGGAAAACATATTTCTGTATTCAGATAGAGAAAGTATAGTTTGAGAAAACATTATCGGAATCTTATTTCAAACTTGAAACCGAACATCCAAAAAAATTTCTAAAACATTTTGGTCTCAATGAACCCCAAAAACATGGCAAAAATGTGGAAATTTAATTAATCAACTCTTGATTTATTAAATTTTTTCTAAAAAATAACAAAAATAACAAATAATGTCTAGTTCACGCAAAAATTAAAATCCAAAAATAAAAATAGCAAAAAAAAACACACCTCATTCATTTCTAATCAAAAATGAATTACGTATCAGTTTTCGTATTTTTTGTAACTCTAATATTTGTATTCGTTTTCGGACAGGAATTAGAGGAAGAAAAAGATGTTGATGAATTATTGAGAAAGTTTAATGATGATCATGTTAGTAATATGAAAGAGTGAGTTAGTCTAAGTCATCATAAGATTTCTGAAATCTGGAATTGAATTCAATTTTTCAAGCGAATATTCTCGAATTGTGTTGGAGGGCAAACAAGATGAATTGATTGTAAAAATTGGATTTTTAGCCATGTATTTTCGAATCTTCAGAAAATTGGTGCCAGTTTCATATGACGATATTGGGTAACCATTTTTCTACTTGTACTAATTTCTTTTGAGACATTTTGTAGAATAGAATATGTCTATCAGGAGAACAGTGAAAATTTTGATGTGGGGGTCGCTGAAAATTGCACCGAATCTTTGGAAACGTGTGTTGATAAGATATTTTCGGAGATAAATCAAACACAATCTTGGATTTCGACGGATAATATGATTTTGGAGTGAGTGATTTTCTCATGAAATTTTTTTCTTGGGGACAGTTCTAATCTTTTAAAATCAGGGGTCTTGGTTCAAGTGTAAATTCGGAAAACATTTCATTAAAGTTTTTTTACCCCAAAATTTAAAAACCTTTGAGTTCCTAAATAAATTCTGAAAATAATCATTGCTCAGATTATAAAATCAAACATTTCAAATATTCTGTTTTCTCCCCAAATACCGATTTTTCCAGCCAGACCCGTCTGAAAAATGCGATCAATAATCAGCGATTGAAAATGGAAGTTTCAGTTTCACAGGTACTAGCCAACCACTTTTCCCCCACAAATCCCCCTATTTTTCAGATGCTTTGCTATCTTACCAACTCAAAAATTGCCGCTTTTTCTCATCTTCCATACTGTAATTATAAGTTAAACATGGGCTTGACGTTTTTCGGAAAATCATTCCTCGAACAAAATTTTATTGATGAATTTGCTGGTGGACCATTCGAATGTGCAATTGAAAGTTTTTGCCCAGATCCTTGCTGTAAAAATCTACCGGATGCTGTTAGAATATCGAAAAAGATGCAGAAAAAATGCGCTAGAAATAATTGTAAAAATCCGGAAACTTGTTTGATGAAAGCTGAGGAAAATAGTTATTTATACAATCTTCGCTTGAATAAATTTAATATAACTTGTGGATGTACAGTACCTGGACAGGTTTATCGATCAGATATTGGGGAATGTGTTAATCATAATCAATGTGCTATTAAAAATGTTTGTCGAGAACCTTTCAAAGAATGTATGAATGTTGCTAGTGGTTATAAATGTGTATGTCAACTTGGATATAAAATGGTTGGTTTTTTCTGGGGACTACTTTTGAATTTCAAAATTCATTTTCATATTTTTCGAAAATGCTATTTTTTTAGGTCGAAAACAAGTGTGTTGCCATAAGTTTGCAAGGAGGTTTAACCGAATTTCACGGATTTTCATATAGCGAACCATTGACAGGGGAAGCTTCGGAAAGCAAAGGATTATTTAAGTTTATAGCGATAAGTCTGATTTTTTGGTTTATTTGAATGAAAACTGAAAAGGTTATGTGTCAAATTTTCGAAAAATTTTCATACAGAGCTACAGTAACCTTAAGAGTAAGAGCACATCGTGGATTTTTTTGCTATGAAAAAGTGTTTCAAAATGTTCGTGCTGACATGAAATTTTGTTTTTAGATGATCAACAACTATTTGAATTGATACTTTTTTTCCAAAAAAAAAAATCAAAGATTGACCTTTATCAAAAACAAAACAAGTCTACCTAGTACATTTTGAGTGTGACCAATTTCTCTGAAAATGTTTACAATCAATCACGAGTATTTATTTATCTTATCAAATTTGGAATTCAAGGTATCTATTTAAGTTTCTCTTGAAACCCCCAATCTTCACAAAAAACAATGAAATTCACCCTGGTTTTTCTAGTTGTTCTATCATTTTTCATGCTAGCTTCAACTGCTCCTCAAATTTCCAAGCAAAAAACCAATCAAAGTGGTCATAAGTTGGTGCAAGCAATTGGCGGAGATCAAAAAGGTTGGGCTATTTTGCAAGGATAATTTTTTTTGATAAGTTTTTTATGTGAATAAATAAATGTTTATACACATCCGGTCAATTTTATTTCGAATAAATATTTATTCAATAATTGTCAAGTGGATTTCTAATTTATAAATCTCTAAATTTGAAGAAAATATTGAATTTTTCCTCTTCCCCGCTCATATTTCTCATAATAAATTTTCGCGGTTTCAAACAAAACAAAAAAGTATTGGTGATTCCGTGGAGACTCATTTATTATCCTCGCATATGTTGACACCAAAAAAAGTCGTGGCGGCGGTGGGCAAAAATGAAATACATATACTAACAAAAAAAAGTGGCAACAAGAAAAAAAACCCGCCAATTCTCAGTGGTGATGAATTTCGCAATTTTACATTTTTTGTACTATTTGGAGGAGGGCCCAGGAGATTTAAAAAAAAAAAGAAAGCAATTTCTGGAATGGTGTCATTGGTATTGATTCAAAATCGGAATGTTTCGAATTTTTGTGCTAGAAATTATTTTCAGATATTTTAGATTTGGTTGTTCAAATTTGTAAAGCTTCATCATGAAATGTTCTTATTTTATAAATTTTTTTAATTTCACCATTTCTGAAACATTTTCTTCGTAAATTGGAAACTTTCATTCTGTGCCCCCTGGAGCAAAATTTGAATTCTGTTGCGAAAAATCGGAAAAATTCGAAAAAATTCCTGGTATTTCAGTAAATCAAATGTATTCCCAACTCTCCCTACTTCCAGAAAATCTTGCAGAAAAACTAATATTTTTTGACAACGAACCGAAACCTCTTGGGATATCACAATTCATTGAGAAAAGGCAGAAAGCAAAAAGATGAAAAGCAAAAAGAAAAAAGAAAAAGTTGCGTAATATTCAAAAGGAAGATGAATTTATGAGATTATTAATGTTCGAGTGTCCCGTTTTGTTTAGTTTAGTTTAGTTTCAAAAGTTTTCCGATATTTTTCGCTTTTTGTTATTAGTATTTCAAAATCAAAATCCAGAAAAAACTATGAAAGCTTTTTTTTTTGAAAAAAAAGTTGCAAAATCTTGTTTGTTGTCAAATCAAATTCGTTCCAACCCATCAATTTTGTATTTATGACTTTGATTTTTATTTCAACTTCAAATTCAAATTCGATTTGCAACCGGATACTCTTTGGAGCATCATTTGAATTGTGAAAACTCGTGCATTATTCGACCGGAATATTTATTTTATTCTTCTTCTTTTTTCTTCTTTTCTTTTTCTCCTATTATTATTATTTTTCAACTATTTATTGTAATAATGAGAAGAACGAGGCGAATCACGAGCAAAAATTATTTATTCAATGTTTATTCAGTCTTGCGTTTGAATTTCCAATTTTCAATTTTCAATTCAGTTTTTGTCTTGTAATAGTTCTCGAAATCTTTTCACGCCTCATCAAATTTCGCATTTCGAGTGTTTTCCCACCATTTTTGCAACTTTTAAATATCATATTACCAATGGAAATAAATTAGGCTAAAGTACGATTTGAATTTTTTTTTAATTTTATCGTGAAAACATGAGCTAAAGTATTGTCCTTGCTCAAGTTTTCAAAAATGTTTCAATCAAAAATTCAGAAATCAATTAATGAAATGTTTTCCATTTGCTAAAAAAATCTCCCGAGCCACTTCATTGCTCATTTTTTGCTGTGCTCTTCTCCTTTCCTTTCAACAAAAAAAAGAAACAAGAAGAACCCTTGAATCAGTTCACTTCAAAGAACATTATAAGTACATTATTAAAGGGTGTGCACAAAAAAACCCGCTTCCACTTTTTCCAAATTATAGGTGTCATTAGCCAGCCAGGCACAAAAAAAAACAAAATTGTGGGAATTTTTTGTATAGTAGAAGGCCAGAAGGAAGTTGATTGTGTTTTCTTGGAATTTGGGGAAAACAAGAAAGATAGAAAGTTTGAATAAATTGCGAAAACTTAATTTATTGTTCCACATGTTTCCAATTACCCAACCCTACAAATCTTTTATTTTCTTTTTCTCCTATTTTTATTTGTTTATTTTTGGGTCCGTTCTTATCGCTTCTGACCTCTCCAATTTCGCGCACACGCATATGATCAAAAGAAAAAAGGAAAAAACCGCGCGCAAATGAGACCGCCGGCTGACTTTTGTCATAACTTAATCCGATTAGGAGATGAATTTAAATAAGGAAGCGAAGAAAGGATAAAGGTTACCTCTGGGACAAACCCTAAGTTAATTACTTTTGACATCACTGGGAACTTGGAGTTGTTACATTTGAGCTGAGCTGTCATTTTGATTTTGTTGGCCCTCAAATTATTTTGTCACTCATTATTATTATTATAAAATAGTGTCTTACTTACAGCTGTTCGATTTTTGACATGAAAAAAAATGCAAAAAATGGTGGTGCTAGGATGTGTCGACAGTGACTTTTTATCTGTTGATTTTAGATACATCTGGACTTTTTTTGGGAATAAAAAGTATTTGGCGTTTTTTTTAATTTACAGTGATTTATGAAAAATAATGTGATTTCTCAAAAAACTCACTTTTTGGCTGAAAAATGATGAAATGTCGCATTCCTCCGTCAAAAACATAACCCAAATAGTCCGGAGAAGCATTTCCAACATCAATTTACTGAAAAATATATGAATTTCTTGTTGAAAGGTGAAAAACAAGCGAAAACTCCTGAAAAAACAAAAAAATAAACTTTTTGTGTGCATTCTGACGTGACGGTGTTTGCACACTACGCTCTGAGTCCTTTGAGAAGAAAATTCAAACGGTTTTTTTTTCATTTTTTTTATTTTGGCGAAAACTTCACCATTTTTTCAAATTGTTTTTATTCGTTGCGAACATTTCTCAATTGATTTTGATTATTTCGTTTTCTGGTGTTCCAGTAGAAGGACCCTTATTCAAAATATATACATCAAAATTTTGTACCCTAGAAAATCCCTATTCAATTTTCCTATTTTTATTAATTAATGCATAAATTTAATGATTTTCGTATGATGTCATTTTCACGCACGTGTTCGATTTTATTTTCCTTTTTCTGGGAATTGAAGTGTCACACAGTGTCACGAATTCGTGGATCGAAAATTAGTTTTGCTAACTAAGCCAGGAACTTTTAAAAAAGTTTATTGTAGTTCAGAACTTTTCCCAGTACTTTATCAAACTTCTGAAAATTTTTTAGAATTTATATTTACCTGTATGTTTTGAGTTAACTTTTTCCTGGGGTCCGATTGAAAATTTTCCAAATTTCAGTATACAGTAACCTAATAAAATCTTCAATTCTATTTATTATTATTGTTTTTCTCATCACTTCCATATCTCAAAAATCTCGAAAATTCAGAAATCTGTTCTTATTTTCTCATTTTCCCGTTTTCTCGTTTCACATCAACAAATAAAATATAATAAATAATAATGAGTGGACCCCTGTCCCAACCCCAAAATCTTCATTCAATTTCCGCGATAAAATCTCCGTTTTTTCCAACCCAACCAATTTCTTTTCTCCATTCTTTTTTCGCATGTGATCGGCTGGAGAAAAGACGCGCATGCATGCGCCATTCCCCTTTCACAACTGTTTTATTCATTTTTTGCAGTTTGTGGGAAACTTGTAAAAATTCTCCCCCCACGAAAACAAAAAGAATTAACTAGTCTTACTCATTTCCACCAAAACAAAACAAAACATGTATTTTTACACAATCCCATTTCAAAATTTTCTATTTTCCCTCCACCTTTGCTCATAAAAAACTTTATTTTTCCATAGCATTGCATTGCGATTTCATTTTTTTTATTATTAAATTTTCTCGCCACACTTCTCCGTTGAATGTGTTGGTGGTCGCCGGCCGGACCGCCGTCTTCAAATTTTTATGATTTTCTTTTAAACCAACAACACACTTTTTATTGTTTTTATGATATTTTCAAAGATACTTTTTTTTCTTCGATTTTTCTCTTCTCAAGAAAAAAAGTGTTATGTAATTAATTATTGAAATAGTGAGGATTTGATGTAAAAATTAGATGGATTGATTTGTGATTGAAAACTAATAGATAGAATATATTGAGAAATCGCGATGTTTCTTTTAACTTTTGCAAAGCCCACATTTTGAATATTTGTCTGAAAAACAAAATTCACAATAGAGCGCACTTTATTTTCTCTCTAACAAAATCCAAAACTTTCCTATACAAAATATGCATCCAACTTACTTACCACCTCTCTGACCCCTCTCCTCTCAAACAAACCATATTTATATATTCATCTCTGTGTCTCTCAATCTCCTATTATATTTCCCCCAAATTTATCATTTGTTTATACACTATCATCTCCATCTTATAAGGCCACTAATAATATAGTCAGCCGCGATTTTTTGTTACTTTTGGCCCAAAAAAAATATTATTTTGTTATTTTCCAAATTGTTGTGGAAGCCTTGCGATAATTCGATTATTCATCGATTTTTTTGCGGAGAAAAAAAGAAAAACTGTACTATTTTTTCATGCAAAAAATCAAGGAAATCAAGAAATATAAGATATTTTTATGATCTATCTATTCTTTTTCATTACCCCGCCAAATATAGAGATTCTAATCTCACCACACACATAAAAATAATAATAATTTACTGTGTTCTTCCATCTCCTCGTTTCTATTTTATAATCTATCAATTATATGTCTAAAAACGGACCACAAAAATATTTATGTTCTTTTCTTCACACCTGTCAAACACTCTTTTCCCCCCTTTTTTCTTGGTCTTCTCTGTTTTCGGTGAAGCTCCGCCCCCCATTTTCCGTGTGTCCCGCCTTTCATTTCGCCACATTTTTTGGGTGCTTTTGTTGCTGGTTTGATTTTTGCTGACAAATATTCCGGAATAGAAATTTCTTGTCTTTTGTCTAGTTCATATGAGTCATTTGTTCCTTTTATGCAGCATTTCCTTTTCACAGTAGTTTTTTTTTGAAATGATGTTTTCTCCCTTTTCCGCCTCGAACTAAAATATGATTCGATTTGATTTGATTTGCATAACTAATTTTATTATGGCGATCGCGATCGCCTCGAATTAAAACTTTTATGTTTACACAAATCATATCATTATAGACTTTTATATTTATATGTTTCTGTTCAATTTGGTTTGTATAATAGCTTACCGCAAGATTTGTATTTATCTTCCTTTCCACTTACAAGTTGTTTTGTTTTCGAATCGAAATATATAATATTTATTATAGTATTCGCATGAGTGATCGAGTTCGACGAAGGCGATTAATGGAAGTCGCTGCGACGACGCAACAACAAAAAATGCGAAATGCCGGTGGACTTTCGCCCGCATCCCGTATTCGAATCGCAGCCGATGTTCATCGACATTCAACATCTGATGATGATTCAGGTTGTGTTTTGGAGGAATACGCATGGGTGCCGAGTGGTGTAAAGCCGGATATGGTGGGTTTTCAGGATTTTTTGTTGCGAAAAAAATGGAAATATATTTTTTTTTTGGTTGCAAACACCGCGACGCACAAATGCACAAACCGCGTACCGTAGTAAAACTTTAGAAATTTTTTCACGTGTGAAAAATTTGCAACGCGTTTCTATTGTCATTTCTTCATTTCTCACTGATATTCACCCCAGAACCGATTGAAATTTCCAGGTTCACGCATATTTCGCGCGTCTCCCGGAAAACAAAATTCCCTACGTGGGAAGTGTTGGCGAAAAATGGCGCCAACGTCAACTCCGCGCTCAACTTCCACCACAAGACTCCGATGTTCGATACTGTGAAAATTTGTCGACCGAAGAAGCCGACGAGCTGCGAATGTTCGAGCGAGGCCGAAAAACCGAGTGTTTGGGAAGAGGAATTGTTGAGCACGTGCCTTTTGATGGAAAATGTTATAAATGTAAAAAGGTTAGTGTTTTAGGGAGGGGAAAACACAAAAAAGTTGTCAAGTATCTGTAGAACATCTGTCTATCCTTGAGATTCAACACTAAACATTATGATAGGCTGTAAACAATAATTATCTAGTAATTAAACTAAATTACCTTTTTTGTATGTTTCAAAATACTTTAGCATTAGAAGTTCTATCAGATGTGAAAACTCTCAATTTATCAACAAATCTCTCATACAAAGACTTGTATCTGGCAGTTTGCCCTGCTTAACCTAAGCCCACCTAAATTTCACCCTGTCAATCAAGACTGTACACCTTACGCAACTATTTATGCACCCTCTCCTAATCCGATATCTTTCCACCAACAAAAAAAAACAAACATCTCAAGACAGCTGCCGGCAGATGGACAAGAAAACCGATAGTTTTGTTGTGTGTGTGTGTGTATATAATCTGGAAACCTTCTTGATATGGGGGAGGGGCTCTTGAGATCTTATTCGTGTTTACCAGAAGGTATGAGGTCAAAATTTGTTGTACTGAAATGAAAAATGAGCGAATTCCAATCATGTACATATAATCCCATTATAAATAAATCAAATCTCTCCATTTCTTGCCGCCAAAACCAAAAAGCCACTGACACATAAATCTCGTTTTTTGGCGGTGGCAACAATAGCCACACCATCATCCAAAAAAAGGTCATGTTAATTAGCAACCACTCGAGGACAAACAAAAAAATGATGGGCATAAATGCGCGAGAAATTTGAGATGTTTTCGGAATGGGTTAGAAGAAGAAAGAACTTTTATGAGAGGCTATTCTTTATTCGAGGGGAGGGTAAACAGTTTTACCGCCAAATTTGGAGGGTAGATGAAAATGTGCTCCATCGAACACAGTTTTTGTGTAGGAGGTTTTCAAAAATATTTTTTTCAATTTTTTTATCACATCATTTTAAAAATTCTCTACCATTTCATCATAAAAACCAAAAAAAAATAATTTATTTTCAAAAGCCGGAAAATCACATAATTCTTCATGTGCACCCCTCGTTTCCACTTTCCAATTTTGCAATTTTCTCTAATATTTATGACCCCATAAATATATATCTGCGACTTATTTTTTTCGCGCACTCGCCCTGCTTTTCACCAACAACCCATCTGCTCTTAATTTCCGTGACTCATCAATTACTCATGTTTGCACACAGCCACACCACCAAAAACCCATGAATATAATAGATTTATCTAGATCGCTTATAATTCTTTGAAAGAGAAAACGAACACTTGTTGAGAAATTAACCCGATGGCTAACATCGATCTCGTGGTGTAGTGGTTATCACATCTGTCTAACACACAGAAGGCCGGCGGTTCGAGCCCGCCCGAGATCAGATGTTTTTTTTTGTTTTTTTTCTTTCGATTTTTTGTCAGAAAAAAAGAACTAAGAAAAAACATCTGCCTTTTGTTCAAACTGTATACAGTCAAGTGTTCACTCTCTTATAGTTATGCAAATATTCTATCGCAACATTTTGGAGAACCCATTCACATAACATAAATCGTTCAATTTGAAAGTGACAAATTTAGTGGTCTAACTAATTTGCATAATTAGAGATGTTATCGGAATAAATGAAAAAAAATGGAAGGCTTTTTCATCTACATATGTGGTGCTTTTTTCTTTTCTGGGAAAGGGATTGAATAAAACCCACAGAAATTTGCAAAACCGTTGTTTTACGACACGTTTCAAGGTTGAAATTAATGGGAACTTTTAGTGTTTACGAATAATTACTGTTTTCAAATGAAACACCACATAAATGAGTTTTCTTTTTTCAGTGTAACGAGACCTTGGAAGAGGGTGAAATGTGTGTGACAGCAACTCGAACTGGAAAATCATATCATCCGGCGTGTTTTCGATGTCAGGATTGTGATGCGTTGCTGGTGGATTTGATTTATTTTTCGCATGGAGCGCAGATTTTTTGCGGACGACATCATGCGGAACAAATGAAACCGAGATGTGCGAAATGTGATGAGGTAAGAGATTTTCTAAAATTACAGAACGTTTTTTTCAAATTCCGAAAACTTTTTGAAAATAAAAAGAAACTTTTTAAAATTTTAACGCCTAAAAATCCACGTGACAAAACTCAAATTATTTCTCAAAATTCATTTTGAACCCAAAATTCCAAAATTTCTCATCGAATCTTACAAGGAATGGTTTTCAATGTTCCCCCAAGGAAAAAATCGAGAGTATGTGGAATGTTGAGGGTTCCCGTGGGTAAGAAAAACCCTAACGGGAATAAGGAGAAAAATGCCTTATTCTCGAGAAAAAATGTATTTTAGGTCGATTTTTACACCACTTTTTGATTTTTAGAGCATCTGTAACTCGATTTTGAATCTATTTCATGAACTTTTGAGTCGTGGAAGTTGTTCAGAATGGTCGATTACGTGTTTGTGAAACTTTTTATCAAAAAATTAGACATTTTTTGAAATTTGGTTTTTTTAGTCGGGGTTTTCTGATCAAATGGTCACCAAAAAACACAAAAAATAATTTTTTCCATTTTCAAATGAACGGAACTTGAAAAATTTATGACGGTCAACAGACGTAATTTGGTCCGTAGAATCCAAAAATCATAGTCTCGATTCACACAAACTTCTCCTTCACAACGAAAACGTTGATTTTCTATGAATTTTTCAAACTGGATTTTTGATTTAGTGGACTTTTGGGACCAAAATTATTTTATTCCTAATTTTAGTCGAAGTAATACTAAAGTACGCCGTTTGCGCTGCAAATGGATTTTTAGACTTACATTTTTCATCAATTTTGAAAAAAGTTTCGATTTTTCTAAAAAATTTCATCGCAAAAATCAATAACACCAAAATTTTCTAAAACAAGGCATTTTTCTCCTTATTCCCGTTAGGGTTTTTCTTACCCATGGGAACCCTCAACATTCCACATACTCTCGATTTTTTCCTTGGGGGAACATTGAAAACCTTTCCTTGTTAGAAAACAATTTTGCCATCCAGTAATTCCACAGATTTCCTCGAATCTCCCTCAAAAACTTGTTCAAAAACCATTAACCCAGAAAGAAAAGGTTTCAAATTTCCATTCCATCTCCTCCGTTTTCCTTCTTCTCCTCTCAACATTTTTTGATGAATTTATGATAGTTGTCATTTTGCCTTTGTTTTTCTTTTCTTTTCTTTTCACACATGTCTCCCTCTCTTTTTCGGTCATAAAAAGGCGGTATGACCAGATGCTTGACTGAAGCAGCACAAAAAAATAACACGAAAACTTTGAATAGGATCTCTGTGAATAGGAGGGGTTTTGAACAAAAGAGTTTTGCACTTTTTTTTAAAAAAATATTGTCAATTCGAAAATACAGTAGACTTGGCGGCTGCTTTGATCTTTTGTATTGGTTTTCTAAGCCATATCGGTTCTCTTCAAAGGGTCACTAAAAGTTTGAACTTGAATTGATTGAAAAATATTAACTTCATATAGTTCAGCTCACCTTTCTTTAAAAAAATTTTTTTTCAGCTTATATTTGGTGAGGAATGCACTGAAGCTGAAGGTCGAACTTGGCATTTGCATCATTTTCAATGTGCACAATGTAATGATGTTTTGGGAGGTCAAAAATATATGCAAAAGTCGAATAAACCGGTGTGCCTCAAATGTTATAATTCATCAAATACAACTCTAAATTGTGCCACGTGTCAATCAGCATTTCCAATCGAAACTCCACATATGTCACAAGGCGAATTACATTGGCATGCAACATCGGATTGTTTCTGCTGTTGTGTTTGTTCGAAAAATTTGCTTGGAGTGAAATATTCGATGGTTGGCGCAAGTCTCTATTGTGGATATAAAACTTGTGGTGGCGAAGATGAGGAACTTTTTGAAGAGGATCGATTGGGTTCGCCGAATCGGAGAAGAATGATTGAAAAGACGACGAAAGTTATGCGAATTCAGTCGGCGGCTGCTTCGCCAAGAGTTACAAGAAAACCGAAACCACCACAAAGAGCACCTCCGCCACCACCGCCGCCAGCTGAAAATATTTATGAGACGGTTTTGCCGTGCTCTTCTACAAGCAGCCCGGAATTTATGGATAAGGAATTTGCGGCACCGAATTCGCCGACAAATTATTATAGCAAAACACCGAATAAAATGTTGAGATATCCGGGAGTTTATGATGATTTGACATCGAGTTCCGAATCGGATGATGATGAAGATTTGTATATTTCGAATTTGATGGCGGCCGCATCGGTTAGCAGGGTTTGTAGAATTTTTGAAATGTTTCAAAGTTGCCTAAATTTAATTTGAAATTACCTTTAATTTCCATAGAAAGTTCTACAAAACATTTTTCTAAAACCTGTTTTTCAGACTGACAAAAAATCGAAACCAAAATCCAAAAAAAATCAACAAGAAATGATTCAAGCCGGTGGAATTCGAATGGCAAAAAAGAAGAAGAGTTCGAGATGTATTGTTTCCTAAATTCTTTTCATTTTCATGTCAAATAGTTTTTTTCGTTTTTATTTTTCTGTGATTTTTTCCTATTTTTTTCCAAAAATATTTTTCAACGGTGCATTCATTTTCTGTATCAGATTTATGTATGTAATATGATATAATAATTCTTTTATATTTTTGTAATAAACCGTATTTTGAATTGGGAAGAACTCAGAGATTCGCTGGCCAGCTCGCCACTAGTTCAGGACCAGGTGGCCGGAAAGTTCAAAACGAGCTGAATTTGATTCGGCCACCAGGTCGCCTTGAGTTTTCCGGCCACGTGACCTGTGTGTTTGAAACCCTGGAAAGCTAGCAAGACGGTGGTTTGTACTCAAAATAGTGCATTTTTTACTGTTTTTTTCACTTCCTAAGGTTTCTAGTACTCCGAAAAAACAGAAAATGAGCCAATTTCTTCTAGATATCTCGGATTCACAAGTTTTTTGGACTTTTTTCTCTTAAGCGAGACGATCTGGATGCGAGGTCGGGTCGAGCTGGACAACCTGGGCGAGGTGGTCTGCATGAACTGAACCACCTCGCGACCAGGTCGTCTCGCAAAAAATACGGGCGATGTGGTTGTCCGTGTCAATTTCAGATGGGCAGTCGGTCCCACCTAGTGACCAGCTGGCCAGCGAATCTCTGAGAAGAATGAAACCGATATATAAATCAAACAGTTGTGACCGAAACAACCCCGCGAATTCCATCCGGTCGAGTTCGAGCCGATAAAACTTCGCGAGTTGTTGCAAATTCGTCTTGGAGAATGTTGTCTTTTTGTTGAGCCATTTTTTGTTGCGACATTTGGAGGATTACCTGCAAAAATTTTCGGATTTTTGAGAATTAATTGAAAGATTTATGAAATGTTCAAAAATTTAATTTTTTTCGGAAACATTTTGGCATAGCTTTTTAATCAAAAATAGTGAGAAAAAATACCGATCTAAACATTTTCCAAAACCCATGAAGAAATATATAAATTTTTTGAAACCTATAATTTCCTGGCTAATTTTTTTTTTCTCAAATTGTTTTGTTCAGATTAAAGTTTGGCGTAAAAATCAATTTTTAGAAAAAGGATTTAGCTCACCTGCTCCGATGGATGTCCCTTTTCACTCATTTTCTGCTGTAATTTCAGCATTTTCTTCATCTTTTCTCTCTCCAAAATTCGTTTTCTCTCATCTTTTGTATGAAATCTGCCCAATTTCAATTCACTCATCGCATCATCATCCGTTGAAATCGGTGCTCTTTCTCGATATAATTGGGCTTCGCGTTTCTTCAGAATCTGACTTCGAATCGGTCGTTTCACAATGTATCGTGAACCATCGCAACGAAGTTTGACCTGGAAGAGAGAGGTTTACAATGTTTTTAGTTGGAAGGTGAAAAAATAGCAAGCTAATTTTGGTTCACTGTGCCAATCACAGGGTGTAATTTACTACCTCAAATCGCTAGACCTCAAAATTTTCATTAATTTTTTGGTAGATCAAAAATCATTTTTCTCTAAATCTATCATTTTTGCGTTGAATTTCGTCGATTTTAGTCCCGCCCCTAAGATCGTGTCAGGTCTCAAAAAATGCGCGAATTTTTTCGGGTAGTAAATTACACTCTGTGCAATTTATATTGTTTTTTTCCGAAACCCAAAAAAAAAACAAAAAAAAGTTTTCCACGTCATAACTTTTTTTCCGATTGAGATTAAAATCCTCTGGCGATCTTAAAAATTGTCTAACCTTCCATTTATAATGCACAGTTGTATCCTGCAAATCCGTCTTGGCTGCCATTTTTTCCTCATCAACAACTTCTTCCAACTCATCACCACCTAAAACTGCAGTCGAAGTTGGAGCTCGTTTGCTTTTCGATCGGAAATATCTGCAAAATTAAGTTGAAAAGTTTGCCAAGAAAAAATTGAATTATTCAAAAGAATTCAAGAAACTAACTGTGTAATTGGTCCCATAAACGATGCTCTTTTATGATTATTTTCAGCCTTCAAAACCACTGAATATGATGGAATTCGAAATCGTTTAGCACATTCTTCCGCATTCAAATTCCCTCCATTTTTCTGTTCTCCCCCATTTTTCAATACACTTTTTGACATTTTATTCGAAATCGCTAATTTATGAATTGTTGATCCTTTCAATGCTCCAAAAACCGAACTTGGAGGCCTAAATACAATTGTGCTAGTTGAAGATTGTGGCTGTGCAGTTCTATGAATTGGTCTTGGCGCGACTTCATGTGGAAGAATTACTGTAGGCGGAGCACGTGGAATTTGTATCGGTGGTTTTCGAGAAGCCGCTGGACTTGCGATTTTCAATGTTCGATGCAAAGCTCGAGGTGATGGTTGAGTTGGGAGAAATGCAGCATCTGGAGTTACCGAAACACTTCGACAACTCTCTCCTCCTGTGTTATACGCGGATGATGTGTCAGCAGCACCGCAGCCAGAACAACTCTATAATGAAGGTAATTGTCTAGGTTTTATTTTTATCTGATCGAACATCTTTTTTTTTTCGGCAACTGTTGAAGTTTTTATTATAGTAATAAAAATTAGAAGATTGTGTTCATCTTCGTTTTTGAGAGAAAAATTGAAACGACGGAAAAATAATCCCAAAAATCTAAATTTTTCTAGGAACACTACACTTTTCAAGCTGAAAATGACTGACTCAGAAGAAAGTTGAAAATCTATGTCAAAAAATCTAGAGCCCATAAAATAACCTGTGTAAGTGTGTGCTCGACAATCAGATGTTTATTCAAAAGTCGATCACATTCCACCCGAAGCGAAGCCATTTCTCGATGTAGAAGATTTAGTTTTTCATCGATGTCTGGGGATGTCATTCTGCAAAAAAGTTTGGCTGTAAAAAAATTAACATGTGAAGGTACAGAAGTAAAAAATAACAATTTCAATTGAGAATTCTGAATACATTTTTTTCGGAACAAAATCAGAACTTCTAGCCCTAAAACATTGATTTTTTTAAATTGTGAGTTAGCGTAAGTCAGAGGCTATTTCAGAAAAAAATCTCATCGATACGGTTTCTCATTTGAGGTATATGTAGATCAAAATGAGAAAGTGTTAATCCAAAAAAATTTCCCAATTGTTGAAAAAAAAGTGAACATGAAAAAAGTGGAGCGATTATAATATGTTATGTTATATAATATGTGAGATACTTAAAAGATGATATTTTTGAGTGTCAAGAAATTGTTAAAACTATTTCTCTCTTCATCTCTTCTTCTCTCTGATTTTTCCTATTTTTCCAACTCATCACATCGTAAATCTCACTTCGGCTTCTCACTTTATTTTCCAATTAATAACAAAGATACATTTCACCCCAACACAAAATTTTGAAACATTTGTTGTTCACAAAATTTAAGAAAGCAAAAATATGGGGAGAATCAGAGGAAAAATGAGAGGAAAATTGCATTTTGTTATTTGAGCTGGCAGAGTTGGGGCAAAAATTCGAAACATGTGTATTTTTTGGAAGAAGAAAAAAAAAGCGAGAAAAAAACAACAAAACCTTTACATGTGAAATGATAGTAAGACTCATCAATCACGAAAAAGAAACGTCTTTTTTTGTTCGTTTTTTTGGAATTCGGAATTTGGAATTTGAAATCTGATGGGAAGAAAGTTCAGATTAAATTGAGCCCTGGAGAGTTTTGGATTTTTTGAGGAAAAATCTGAGATGAATTGAAAATTTAGTTTTTACCTGGAAGTTGTTTTCTGAATTAATTTTCAGAGAAAATCTAAAAGTGTAAGAAATTTCATCTGGAAAAAAATCATCTTGGTTAAAAAATTCAGAGAATTTGAAAACTTTATTTAATTTTCAAAAAAAAAGGTTTTGATTTTTTACTGAAAAAACCTAATTTTCAAGAAATTTCAGACAATCTTCAAAAAAATCTGCCGAAAATTTTTCTGCAAATTTTCAAACAATCTTGCCACGTCATAAGCCAAAAATTCAAATCAGAACACCTTCAAAAAATAAGATAAACCAAAATTTCTTCAAAAAAAAACTAGATACATTGAAGAATGTTTGGTGTACAAACACAAATGTTCCAATTGATTGGATTGGAGCATAGAAGCAAAAAAACAACAAGAGATGAAAGAAAAAGAAAATGAGAATGAAGATGGAAAAAAATAGAAAATGAAATATTTGAGGTTGTTAACAAGGATTCGATTGTTTTTCTTAGCTTTTGATGAATTGCAATTAATTTTGGAACAAAGATTTTGAGTGTCTGGAGAGGTGTTTTGAAGAAACAAAATCTTTTTAAAAAATATAAGAATGCATTCACACCCTTTTAGTCTGATAATAAAAAAAACAGCAACGACGAAAAACACAAATTTTTGAAAGAGTGCGCGACATGCAACTTTTATCAATAGGGCGCACTTCCATTTTTACTTTTATTTTTTTGTTTTTGTTTTTCGAAAATTTTTCATTCACGTATTTTTTGTTGTTTTTCTATGAATTTGAATGAAACTTGTTGTGGAATTCATATTTATTAATTTTTCTAGTACAAGTACGTATCTTTATTTGATTTTCGATAGTTTTATATTCAAACTGGTGCTCAAACAGTAGTTTTATAAAAAATCTACATTCTTGAATTTTCCTTCAGTTTTTTTTTGAGTTCTTATTTAGATTTCACTCATTTCTATTTTACAGGAAAAACGTCAGCGGAATGATGGAAATATCGAAACAAATATTGAAGCGAATTTGAGTTGAACGATTTTCAAAAACGAGGAAAACTGGAGGAAAAGTGAGTTTTTCAATATTGTTTTTAAAAATGTTTAAAAGCAAAACTTGCTACTTTTTTCCCGAGACGTGATTAGACGCAAGCGTTTTATTAAAATTCGAATGAGTCGTGGAACCATGGTTTTCATGCATTTTCAACTTTTAAAAACCTTGAATCAATCCGAATTCAAATATTCCAATTTCTCAAATTCAACATCGTTTACCCAATTTTTCACTTCCGTCACACTGTATTCCACATTTTCATAAATTCGAAAAAAATTGTTCTTACATTAAATTTGAGCCACTTCGATTCGACTAATAATTGCCTAATATTTTTCCTTTCCTCTTTTTTCTCGCCCTTACTTTTTTATTTCTTCTAACACATCTATGATACATGTGGTTTCTATTTCTATTGAAATTTTTGTTGAAGAAAAAGAAAATTGTGCAGATGTTGTACACGTGTTCAATGTCTACTTACTAAATACGTGGTAACCTCACACCTGTTATAGACTCCTCCTTTTTGGACAAAAATGTGTTGCATTCATTTTCATTCTTCACAAAATCTTGTCCATCTTCTTCTATATTCTAAAAAATATATATTCTCGAGAAAAAAAAAGTTTCGAATTTTTGATTGTCCTTAAATGATGTTATAACATTCTACCTTGACATCATTAATGCCAATCAAAATCTCGCAGCTTTTTCATAAATAAAATAAATCTTCATATTTTTCCGAATAAAATCAAATCAAATCCTATTTCAATTCAATGATTTGGTATTAATCATTGCCATTAATTGATGACAAATAGTCTCATTCAAAACATTTCCAGTCAATTGTTCCAATTGATTTTTGACATTGACTCTTCCATATTTTTTCACATCTTCTTCAGTTCGATTTTTCGAGCCACCTTCCAATGTTTCTTTGGTGAAGATTTCCAACAATTTGTTGATTTTTGTGAAGGTTTCATCGGTCTCTTTTTCGAGTTTCGAGTATTTTCGAAGATTCTGAAAAATTAGGAATTAGGACAAAATAGGCCTAAAAAAATTTGCACTTTTTCTAAATATAAAAAAACGTCTCTGAAAATTAGCTTAATTTTCAGAAATTTTTTTTGAATAGGCTAAATTTCGAAATCAAATTTTATTGCAAGAAAATTCTTCCGAGAATTGGAACTTTTTAGAGTTTTTGATTTCAGATAGTTTAATGCTTCAAAATAACTTGAAAATGGACAGAAGAATTTTCTATCGCCCTATAAAAATCTTACCAATTGATCATACCAGCTTTTTTTATTCAAACACATAATCATCCGTTGTTCTTGTGGTGTCAAATGATAAGTGATATTCAATGAATAATATTTTGTCTGAAGCCCATGCAAAACAGAAATCAAAGATGGTTGCACAAGATTTCCAAGATGCGAAGTTGTTTGACGTGGTTCAGCAGTTGGAGCAAGAGCACGAAGTGATAAATTCAATGGATTAATTGATCGAAATGCATCAAGCATAACTTTTCCTTTAACACTTTGAATTGGATCAACAACAACTGCAACAGCTCTTGGATGAAGTGCTTCAAATGATTGTTGAGTATTGACATCAACAGATGACAACCAGCAACCAAATCCTGGATGTGAATGATACCATCCAACAACATTTTCTGTTCTTCCCACAAGTTTCAGCAAATCCATATGTTTTGTTTGATAAACTGGATCAACACTTTCAACAGTTACACTTGTTCCACTTTGTGGCATCGCAAAAACATCGGTCACATTTATAGTATAATCATCGATAAATGTTCCAAGCATCAAACCCATTACTTCGAGAGGGACACCAGATCTTGCATGTCTCATCATTTTGATAAGAGCGAGTGCAGAAATATTCACGCTGGAATGAAAAACAAATTGGAGCAATTTTTGAGAATAACTGAAAACCTACGTTTCACTGGTATCTGGATGATTGAGTTGATCAGTTGGTGGACGAGGTTGAGCACCCTAAACAGAGATATTTAGATAGCAACACCCTCGTATAATAGAGATAGCAACACCCTCGTATAATAGGCACTTTCTTGAAAAAAGCCCAAATGTTCTCAAATTTTAGATTTAGCTTAGTTTTACTGTTTTCTAGTTCGGAGAAAAAATTCAAAACGTTTCAATAAGTATTAGCCGAAATATGGAAACCCATTAAAAAATTGAAAAAACTCAAATTCAAACAACGCGGGCTAGCGTCAACGCGGAGTCTCGTTGTTTTCTTTTTATTTTTTTGCAATTTTTTTTCCATTTTTTCGGAAAATGACAATTTGCATGGAAACAACTGTTTTCTGGGTATGAAAAAAATAAAGTGAAGAAATATAAACACGAAGATTCAATATTTCAGACGAAAAATAATTTTTTCAAAGGAAATTGTGTTTTTTCAGTTTTTGACCGGAATATGCATTATAAAACTGAAATATCGTTGTCAAAAATGAAAGTAGAGATAGTTAATGATGTTCAGAAATCATTGTTATAATTTATTTCGTTGTTTTCAGTGAAACAATTCACTTTTTGTTGAAAAAATGTTGAAAGGGGTACTGTAGCACACAATTGTCGTCACAGTGTTTGCACAATTTCATGAAATTGCGGATCTGCACAATCTGCAGGCGATTTTCAAAAAAAAATAATTTTTTTTCTCAAAAGTGGTCAAACTTGATCGTTTTTGAGTATTTCTTTTACATATTGCTTGTGAGTATAGCTGGATAGGTTAATTTTATATATTTTGGTGTTTGAAAGCATTTCGCAATGGCCTTATTATACGAGGGTGTTGCTTTAAGGCCCTGATTTTTTATGAATTGTTTTTTGAAGAATCTTGAGAACTGAAAGAGTTATGACGTGGTAAGGTTGAATTTAACACTAGTCTTCTTTTGCCACGTCATAGCTCAATACAACTTACCATAAGTAGTTGTCGAAGAAGTCTTTCCATGTTGATTACTGTACTTTAGCTGATAAACAATTCAAAGCCGAGACAAAATTGAGAAATGAATGAAAATTGTTTTTTTTTGTGGAAAATAAAAATTATTGACGCGTGGATCTCGAGGTCACGTTTTCACGTGAATTTTATTTTTTATTTTTTAATTTTTTTCGTGTGTTTTTGAAAGTGTGAATCATCATATTTCAACATCACCGGATTATTTTTGGATAACTAGATTACTAAAAAAAAACTGTGTATAAAACACATTTGGAAACATTCGAAACACATTCATGTTTTTATTGTCTATATTTTTTATTGAATACAATTATGTCGGCGACAACAGATGAATTCCGAGGGCCGCCTGGGCCTCCAAGGCCGCCTGGGCCTCCAAGGCCGCCTGGGCCTCCAGGACCCCCAGGACCTCCCCCACCTCCACCGTTTCTTCAAAACGTCAGCGAAGATGCTAGAATTGCATTCTTCGAAGTTGTAGATGATTCGAATTTGACGAGACTTGAAATCGAAAATAAAACTGCAATCTGGGCTGACAACTTCAATATCGTTGAGGAATATCAGGAATTTTTGAAAAATCGAACAATTATGGAACAAGAGATGGATAAGAATTTGACGAGTATAATCTCTAATTTATCAAGTGTCAAAAGATGAGATATTCAACAATAAAAATCAAACAAGACATCAAATCAAAGAAGCCATCGATAAATTGCGGGAAACTTATAATGCAGAAGTGGATACAATTCTGCATTTGAGACATCGTGGAGCTCCGCCACCTCCTCCTCCGCCACACGGAATTCCACGTCCTCCACCAAATGAGCAAGGAATTATTGGTGGATTTGGTGAACCGCAATTCACCGATGACTCATCTTTTTTACCATGATCAAGTAAATTTGTTACTATTGTTGATGTTCTTTGTGTGCGATGGGCTGAATAAATATTATAAACGAGGTCAGATGATACACAGACTTGTACATGGATAAATATCAAGATCAAAGTTTTTGAATTTGATTTTTGATACATCAAATTTTGAATTGTTTTGGTGTTGGAATCGGAAATTTTTGATAGGAGTGTCTGAAAAGTGGAATCGGAATCTTTTGCGAAAAAAAAACACAGATTTCAAATTCGACCTGATTTAGAATTATGCCTTTCCTGAATGTTCGAAGTTTGAAACACAAAATAAAAAATTTAAGAATCAAAGTTTGTGAGTTAATATAACAAGAAATGATTTCTTTTTCAGATTTAATGGATACGAATACAGTTTGTGAATCCTAAACCCATCCTGAAAAAAAGTAAAAATATTTTTGGTCTATATTTTGCTCCAGACACACCCTCATAATATCATCATTTTTGAAAAATTTTATGATTCCAAAAAAATGATTCGGTATCTGTCAAAAATCAGATCATAACAACAAGTGATAACATCAGCATCATACATGTATCAGATGAATCATTTCCGAATTTGAATATTTAATTCATACAACACTTTTCCATCCATGTTTTTTGTGGGGAAACACAACAAAATGCTGTGTCCCGCCCAATTTTAAGTTCAACGTCAAACAAACAAAGATGATCGAGAACATTAAAAAATATGAAGGGTATAAATATCAAACTGTTTGAACAGTTTTCACAAGTCAATTAAAAATGTTCCGAGTTGCTCTTTGCACTGTTTTGGTTTTGGGAGTTTTGGCTGGACCACAAGGTGGACGTGGCGGACAACAAGGTGGACAAGGAGGTCAAGGCCCACAAGGAGGTCAAGGCCCACAAGGTGGACAAGGCCCAAGAGGACCACCACCACCACCATTCCTTCAAAATGTGACCGATGAAGCTCGTCAAGCCTACTTTGAAATTGTTAGCAATGACAATTTGACTATTGCTGAAATTGACACACAGTCTGCAGCTTGGGCTTCAACCTATGGAGTTTCTGTAAGTTATTTTGTTGTTGAAAATTTGGATTTTGGAATCTAGTGTTAACTTTTCAAAAACACTCTTGAAATTCGGAAAAAAACGGGGGATTTTTTGGGTTAGAAATTTCTTGACTCTAACATTTTCCAACAATTTCACTAAACCGTTTTTTCCAGGACATCTACACCGAATTCCAAGCCAACCAAACCGCTCTTCTCGCTGAAATCAAGGAAAACGTGACTGAAGTCATTTCAAATCTCTCAAGTGTTCAATCACAACTCGAAGCCATTCTTGACAACAAAGATCAAACTCGTGAAGAACAAAGAAATGCCACCGAAACATTGAGAGAGCAATATCCAATTGAAGTTTCAGTGATCTTCTCGATCGCCAGACCACAACCACCACAAGGTGGGCCACAAGGTGGACAAGGACCACAAGGAGGTCAGGGACCACAAGGACAACAAGGAGGTCAGGGACCACAAGGACAACAAGGCGGACAAGGACAAGGCCCACAGGGACAACAAGGTGGTCAGGGACCACAGGGACAACAAGGAGGCCAACAAGGACAACAAGGTGGACGTGGAGGTAGACAATAAGCTTTCCTGAATTTATGTAAAAATTATTGCAAAAAATAAATCTTCAGCAATTCGAAAAAGGTGTTTCAGATTTTTCAGAGCATGTAGAACTTGAAAAATCTGAAAAGAATTAAAAACATGAAGGAATATCAAGATTTAACTCTTCTAGAATTACAGTACTCTAGAACTTTTTGAAATATTTTTTATTCTGTGAAATGGGGTTTCCTGACAAGAGGCCTTGAAATTCCACATTTTTTTCCCGACTACTTTTCTATTATGATTTCTCAAAAACTGAAGCTCTTCATTTTCAGAAGCAAAATTCAGATCTTCCTGAAAATTTTGCAAGTTGTTTTTTCATAACATATTTAATTATCCAACTCTCTTGATGATTTCAGAAAACCATCATTTTTTGCTGATAAAAATAGATATTTTCAATCAACTTCCTTTTTTGCAATAACATAACAACAAAAAAAAATAAAAAAAATTATTTACTCATTCTCAATCATCAAAAAAAATATATATCTCTCTCTCTCTCACAAATCAAAGATCAACTTGACATTCGAAATTTCTGACTTGAACCTCACTGGTTCGATTAATTCGATATTCCTCGAATTCATTTTTCGACAAATCGATTGATTTTCGACGTTGTGTTGAGAATTGGGTAATGGAACAAGTCGTCATTGAACCAGAGATTTGTTGAAGAGAATCATCGGTTAATGGACTCTGAAAATTAAATAATATTTTTATACATCATAGAAAAAATTATCATACATCTCGATCTTCGATTGACATTGATTTTTCACGAGTTGTTGATTTAGTCTTCTTCAAACCCTTCTTCGAGCCTGAACTCTTTTTCGAGTTTTCACGAGACAATGAGCCCTCTTTTTTGAGAGCTCGTGGAATTCGTCGATCTTTTTGATCGGAAAACATCGGAGATCCGGCTGTGGTTGGAGAACTTGCGTTGAAAACTGGGCGGCCGTCTGGAAAATTTGTTTAATTTGGGTTTTTTAAAAAAATTTTATAGATAATACTATTCATTACCTTTTCCAATGATGATTTCCATAGGAACCGAGGCTAGAAAAATAGAAAAATTGACAAAAGAATGAAAAAGCACGCACGCGAGCGCGACTAATTAGCTTACCTCGCCTCGACGCTAATGACAAAGCCATTGATTCGGTGGGCGAAAGTTTATCTATAAAAATTTGGAATTTATTTTCGAAGAACAATTTTGTTTTTGAAAAAATACCGGAGTCGTCAGATTCATAGAGCATATTTTCAGAAGGAATGAGTGAAATGAGCAAAAATGGGGAAGTGTGGGAAAATCATCTGTTTTTACGGTGTTATGTTGTTATTTTTATTTTTGGGGAGAGGTGGAGAGAAAAAATAAGGAGGAAAAATATGAGAAAATATATTTAATTCATAGGATTTTTATGGATACCGTAATCCAAGAAGGAAAAAATGATTTTGGGTGTGAAAACTAGGAGATGAAATGCGTGATTTTAGGTTTTACAAAAATAAATTCGACGTGGCAAATATTAAAATTTTTCTGATTGTGAAGTCCAAAAATTAGAAAAAATCTGATTTTGCCCAATGTCAGCACTATTCTATTTTTCAAACTCAATATTGTTTTCTTATAAAGGACAAATACGAATCATCAATATTCCACCAGAAACCTGATAATAGAAAATTTCATGAAACGTATTTTATACGTGAAAAAAATTTTGAACATTTTTTTCATAACAGTGGATTTTTAGGCGCCAAATATCTACAGTAATCCTAGACCTAACAGTTTTTTTATTGGAAAATTTTCAGGAATTATTTTCAGAAAATCAAAAATAGCAAAGAAGCAAAATCATTTTCAAACTTGTGCTAGGCGAAATTTGAAAAAAAATCATAGTTTCCTAGAGACATGATGAGAAGTGACTACATTTTTTTCAAAATAAAAAATTAGTGCCAACTCACCAACTTTCAGCGTATTAGTTCGCTTTCGTGCCTCGGGGTGATGTATAACTGAAAAACAAAAAAAATCATAATTATTTATCTGCTCAACTCACTATTCGCTTCCATTTCAATTATATTTTTTGCTGTCAACATAGTAGATACCTGAAAAAATCACGAGACAGACTTAGCCAAAATAGAAAGTACACCACAATAAAAAATAAATCGTATAGAAGCCACAAAAAAAACGAGAGGCGTTCTCAAAAAGGTGACATGAACTTGTTTCCCACAAATAATAGCTCCTCCCCAGCCTAGCAACCAAAAATATAAAATATACTAATAACATTTGGCTCTCGAGGCAGCAGCCCTTTCTAATCACATATTATAGGAAATATCACAATTTAGTTTATTCACAAATAAAAAACGTGATGAAATACATACAAGTTTTTCCTATGTATTGGGGGTGGGGGAAAAAAGTTTCAAAGTCCGAGTGATTTTTTCCACTTGATATAAGTGTCCATGGGATTTGCTTTGATTGCTGCTTCGACATCGGCTCGAACTCGATCATTCACAACTTCGCCATTCGAATCGATCAATTTGAGCACCGGAATTACGATGGCTTTGTATTTTTCGCCGAGTTTTCTGGAAAAATTGGGAATTTGGGATCAGAAGATCAGAAGATTTTCAAAAAAGTAATTTCCTAATTTCATGAAACATTTCGAAAAATTACAAAAGGTTTCCAATTTGAAAATTTATGAACTCGAATTTTTTAAATCCAATATTTCAGGAAAATATAGAATTTGAATGATTGTAAAAAAAACTTTAAAAAATTTCAAAATATTCAATTTTTGAGTTTAAAAACCTACTGAATATTCTCATCTCCAAATGGAACATACGGCCAATCCGGCAAATTTTTCTCATAATATTCCAATTGATGATCCGCCTCTTTATCCTTCGAAACCCAAACAATTTCCAAACTTCCGTCCGATTTCACAGCCTCGTAGAACTTTTTCAATTTCGGTGTCAGAAATTTACAAGAACCACACCAACCGGCCGAAAAATACAAAACCACTGCCTAAAAAATGAACACTGATCATTTCTTTTTTTTTTTTTCGAATGATATAACCCACTTTGTTATCAAAATAATTGGCTGGCAAAGTTCCCTCAACTCCTCGTTTTTTCAAAGGAACATTTGCAAGAAAATGAGCGTTTCGAAATTGATTTGTTGAAAATCGTTTGATCAACATTTTTCAATGAAATTTTTTTTATTGAAAATAGCCAAAAAGCCAAAAAGCAGTTAAATAGATATTTTAAAGGTCACGCACGTGTTTTTGAAAATGAATAAAATTCTCGGAAAAATTGAACTATTTATTTATGATCTACTTATGTTTCGAATTATAACAATCTCGAGAAATCAAAGTCTAGTTCTGGTGCAATTGGTTCAGCGACCAACAAATCTGGATCGGATAATGATTCGGAGAAATGAAGAAGGAATTTTTTGGCGGAAAATTCGTCGATTGCACGGCCATCGAAGCATAGATTCACACCCATTCTGCAAAAAAAAATATAATTAATTTTTCTAGATTTTACTATATTTTCAAAATCCCCTTACAGTTGTTGTGTTTGCAATTGTCCATCAATTGATACAACTTCGGTTCTTCCACCTCCAATTGTCAAAATTGCACATTGTGGTGGATTAATGATTGCTGTGAAATTCGAAACACTTCCAAACATTCCCAAATTGGAAATCGTAAAAGATCCGCCTTGAAATTGGTGTGGTTTCAATTTGCTCTCTTTCGCCAAACCGGATAATTCTTTCACTTTGTTAGAAATGGCAGCAACGCCAAGAATATCAGCATTATTTACAATTGGTGTGATCAAACCGGTTGGTGTTGCGACTGCAACAGAGACATCAACTTTTGCGAGACGAACAATTCCTTCAGGCGTCCAGCGCACATTTATTTCTGGAACTGATCGCAATGCCAATGCAGCTGCTTTAATTATAAAATCATTTAGAGATAGAACAATTCCAGTCGATTTTAATTGCCTTCGCAAAGCTAACAAATTATCGATTCGCACATCAATTCCTTGATATTCATGAGGGATTTGTTGTTTTGAAGCGGTCAATCGTTTTGCAATCACAGATCGAATATTGGTGAGTGGAATATCTTCGTGATGACGAAGACTTCGATTATTATTCGCCTTCTTTGGTGTTTCTGCTGGTTTTGTTGCTACTGCTGCTGGTGGAGAAACTGTGTGAAAAACTGGTTGAAGTTTCTCTTTTTGCACCAATTCCAAAATATCATTCTTCAGAATGTTGTTTTTTGGACCAGTTCCTTTTATCTGCCGGTTCTCCAAGCCATATTTTATGATAAGTAACTTCACAGCCGGACCACACAACCCCACGCTAAATTTTTTGTTTTATTCATTTCAAAATTATAAAATCTTACCTCGAATGATTGTGAGCTGCTGTCGAAAGATGGCGCAGCATTTGACCATTCGGCAACTTCATTACCCACCTACAAAAATGATTTGATATCAAATTTTGAACCCAGCCTTTCAAAGTTACGAAAACATGTGAAAAACACGAAAAAATCGAAAAAAATGGACGACCAGAATGCAAGTGCGCTCTAATGAAACGCTCTCGCTCTGAAGAGACGCAGAGAAAATTACAAAATATTTTTTTTTCAATTTTTCACATTTTCAAAAACGAAAATGTATTTTTTGCGTCATTTCTCACGTTTTCGACCCTTACCGAAATTTCAACCTATTTTGAAACGTCATTTCGCATCTGAAACTGCAGGAAAAGTCGAGGACAAAGTCACCAAATGTAAGTTTTTAGTTGTAAATTTCGATTTTACGTTGAATTTTACAGTAAAAGTTCGTCGAGCTTATGCATTGGGAGGATGTCTCATGTTTATATGGGTTTCAACACACGGAATTCTATTGTACAGGTAAAATAATACTTACTTAACTTATTCTTTTTTAAACAATTTTTTTCAGACGACGAAGTGAGCATAGAGCTTTGAATGAAAAGTTGCCACCAATTCCGTGGGATGAATTTGTTGAGAAATATTTTGCAAGTGGTGATGTTAAGACAATTGTTTTCCAACCACATTTTGAAATCGCAAATGTGTATTTGCATTCGGCAAAAGAGCAACAAATGAAGAAAACTGTTGTTGATTTGGTAAGCAAAGTTTTTAATGATTTTTTATACAAAACTTATTTTAGATTCATACAACGCCAGACAAATTCTCGCGTCCTCCAGATGTCCGATTTTTCTACGAAGGTTCAGCTGATGATGTGAAAAGCGCTGTAACTTCTGCTGTCGAAAAATATAAACATAATGTAGACTTCGAACTCGATCAATTCCCAAGTTATCGGTTAGTTTTGTTCATTTATAATTTTCCAAATAAAATTGTTTTTTCAGAGAGCTCTCATTTATCGTTGGAAGCACATTATTCGTTTTGGCTGCAATTTCATTTAAATAAAATATTGTTGGAATTTTTAAATATCTAGGATGCTGTTATAGTTTGTTGAGATGCTTTATGAAAAAAAACACTTCATTGAATGATATGACATGACTAAATCAATATTGCACAACTAAAATTAAAGTGAGTCTAACCGAGGTATTGTACATAATATCTGTGAACTAAGAGTTTGCAGTTAACACTTTACTCATCTCATCTGTCATGGGAATTCCTCTTTTTCTAGCTTCTTTTTCAACTATGCTACTCTGAATCTTCATCATTTCCTCAAATGATCCTTGTCCTTCAATTCTTCCGCGATTCACATATACAACATTGTCAGCTTGTTGCATTGTTGCTAATCGATGAGCAATGCATAAAACTGTTAGATCATGATTTCTAAGAAGATTATTAAGGGTCATTCTAATCAAATAATCCGAAGTAGCATCTAAAGCACTTGTCGCTTCGTCCAAAATCAGAATTTTCGGTTTTGAAATCAATGCTCTAGCAATTGCAATTCGTTGTTTTTGTCCACCACTCAATTTACATCCATTTTCTCCAACCATTGTATCGAAACCATTCTCAAACGAATTTATGAAATCAATAGCATTTGCCAACGTGGCAGCTTCTTCCAATTGTTCATCGCTAACTTTTTCTGGATTTTCAGCACCTAACAGAATATTATCTCGAATTGAACAAGTGAATAATACAGGTTCTTGTCCAACAGTTCCAATTGATCTTCTCCAAGCAGTTGGATTTATATCTTTCATATCAATTCCATCAACTGTAATTCTACCAGAATCTGGATCGTATAATCTCAACATAAGTCTTGCAATTGACGATTTTCCACTTCCACTTGGCCCAATTACAGCTGTGATTTTATTACGAGGAATATCGAAAGTTATGTTATCCAAAGTGTTTTTCCTGTCGAAATATGTGAAGCTAACATTCTCAAAATGCACTCTATCAGTAATATTTGTCTTTTTAATCCCTTCATCCAGTTTCATTCCAGGTTCGGCATTTCGTAAATCAAGAAGTCTAGAAGATGCTCCAATTCCCTTTAAAAAACTGGTAAATTTTTGTTATACCAAAAATATTGAATACCTTCATAACTTCATTGTAAAATCCTGAAATATTCGACAAACTTGCAGTCGCCATAACTGCATACAAACAAAAAGACGATAATTCTCCATAACTGATTTCTCCGATATTTATAAGATGTGAACCATAAAATAAAATCGAGGAGAATGCCGAATATGCAGTAAATTGGAACGATCCAATCAAACTTCCTTTCGCCAAAGCTTCAGTTTTCGAAATCTCAACAACTATATCACCTTTTCTTATGTATTCATCAATCGATCTTTGTTCAGCACTTATCATTCGAAGGGTTTTAGCATGAGTCATTCTTTCAACAGCCATCTAAAAAAAGATTATTCATGATTCGAGAAAAGCCATCAAGAAATCACAAACTCTGTTGATATCTGCAATAACTTCTTGTAATTGCCACGTGCATTGCTGTTGAATTTTACCGAACATTCTGAATAATCCAAGAACAATCGGTGCAGTTAAACAGGAAACAATTGATAATTCGGTTGATGTCATAAACATGGCAACAACTGATCCAATACCAATCAATAATGCTCGAACACCGCCTCTTAAACTCGTTGAAACACTGTATCCAACAATAATTGTATCAGCAGAATGTCGCGAACCAATTTCTCCAACAATATTCTTATCGAAAAATCGCATATCTTGTTTGAGAACAGAACTAAAAACCGATCTTCGTAACGCACGGATAAATTTGACGCCAGCGATTTGAAGACAATAAACTTTAGCTGCGGTCGCCACTGCTCCAGTTGCCAAAAGTCCCGCCAAAGCGATCGGATTCTCTTTGAAATACGTGGCAATTTTCATTGTCAAACTATTATCTTCTTCAGTTAGATTTTGTTGATTTCCATATTTGTCGATGAGTTTTCCAAGAATTCGAGGAATTATCAGAAAAATTCCACCACTTATAATCATGAATCCCGTCCCCACTAAAATGAAAATTAGAAAACTGTTAAATTTTGAAAATAACTTACTGAAAACCAATTTTCTGAAAGGTTTCGCTATCCGATAAATCTCGCGCAAATCTTTTCCAGTCGTATGTCTCAATAAATATTGTGCATTACTTTCTTGATATCGTGGACTCTAAAAACTGTGCGAATTTATTTTTTCCCATGGAAAATAATTAAAAACTCAAATACTTACAAATCTGTCCGCCCGTATATCTCTAACCTTCGTTGTGACTTGTCGAGCAAATCTGGAAAATGCGGAAAAATTAGCCTGAAATTCGTCTTGAAAATAAATCTAACCTGAATGTTGAACATGATAACCTTGACAGCAGATGCATCTCATTTGTTTCTTCTTTTGGAAACTTCCGAAGCGAAAAAATAAAAATATTTTTCCGATAAAACGCGGCTTGTGCGCCCCATTGCAAATTTCGTGTATTTCTCTCGGACAATTTTTGTTTTTTATTTTTTTTTCGCTAAAATTTCAAATAAAACAGTTTATTTACAACGAAAAATAAAGCTAACAGATTAACCCTTACAACAAATTCAAAGTGACCTATTTACAAAATATTTTAACATTATACAAGATTAGAAAGATGTTCTAACTCGACTCATTTGTTCATTAATTGGGATTCCTCTCTTCAACGCTTCTTGTTCGACAATACTACTTTGAATCTTCATCATTTCATCGAATGAACCTTGTCCTTCAATTTTTCCACGATTCACAAATACAACTTGATCTGCTTGTTGCATAGTTGCTAATCGATGAGCAATCACAAGAACAGTTAAATCGTGATACTTCAAAAGGTTATCAATTGTCATTCTAACTAAATAATCCGAAGTAGCATCTAAAGCACTTGTCGCTTCGTCCAAAATCAGAATTTTTGGTTTTGAAATCAATGCTCGAGCAATTGCAATTCGTTGTTTTTGACCACCACTCAATTTACATCCATTTTCTCCAACCATTGTATCGAAACCATTCTCAAACGATGTAATAAAATCCAACGCATTCGCTAACATCGCCGCCTGTTCCAATTCATTTTGACTAATTCGATTCGGATGTTCAGCTCCCATCAAAATATTATCTCGAATTGAACAGGTGAATAATACAGGTTCTTGTCCAACAGTTCCAATTGATCTTCTCCAAGCAGTTGGATTTATATCTTTCATATCAATTCCATCAACTGTAATTCTACCAGAATCTGGATCGTATAATCGTAACATCAGACTTGCAATCGATGATTTTCCACCGCCACTTGGCCCAATAATTGCCGTGATTTTTCCACGTGGAATATCAAATGTCAAATTTTGCAAAGTCTTGAGTCGCCCGGGATAAGAAAATGAAACATCTTCGAAATGTATTGCTCTCTCCAGTTGAGTTTTTTGAATTCCCGAATCAAGGGTCATTGCGGGTTGTGAATTTTTGAGCTCAAGAAGGCGAGATGATGCTCCAAGACCCTGAATGGAAAATTGATGAACTTAGTTTTTGGATTTTTTTTGTTGCTAACCTTCATGACCTCATTGTAGAATCCCGAAATATTTGATAAACTTGCAGCCGCCATAACTGCGTACAAACAGAATGAAGAAAGTTCACCATAAGTAATTCTCTCTTCACTAACCAAATGTGAACCATAAAATAAAATCGAGGAGAAAGCCGAATACGCGGTGAATTGGAAAGATCCAATCAAACTTCCTTTCGCCAAAGCTTCAGTTTTCGAAATCTCAACAACAAGTTCATTTTTCTTCGAATATTCATCAATTGATTGTTGCTCAGCACTAAGCATTCTAACAGTTTTCGCCTGTGCCATTCTTTCAACAGCCATTTGATTCACTTCAGACACAACTTCTTGCAATTGCCACGTGCATTGTTGTTGAACTTTTCCAAACATTCGGAAAATCGAGAGAACAATTGGAGCGGTCAAAAATGAAACTGTTGATAATTCGAGTGATGTCATTAACATTGCGGCAATCGATCCGAAACCAACCAACACAGCTCGAACTCCATCTTTCAAACTTGTGGATACACTGTAGCCTACAATTACTGTGTCGGCGGCGTGTCGAGAACTGATTTCTCCAACGATGTTTTTATCGAAAAATCCCATGTCTTGTTTGAGAACTGAAGAATACACTGCCTTTCGTAAACCACCAACGATGTAAAGACCTGAAAATTTAATTTTTCTGGAAAAAATAAAGAGAAAAAAATACCTGCAATTTGAAGACAATAAACTTTTGCTGCTGTCGCAACTGCTCCCGCAGCTAATAAACCAATCAGCGCAATTGGATGTTCTTTGAAGAAATGTGCAAATTTTATAGATATTTCCGAATTCGCATCAGCCGTTCTCTCATTTCCATATTGATCGATCAATTTTCCGAGAATTCGAGGAATTATCAAAAATATTCCACTGCTCAAAATCATGAAACTTGTGCCCACTGAAAACCGAAATTTTATGAATTGGGAAAAAAAATAAATAATAAGGGAACTCACTAAAAATCCATTTTTTATGAGGCTTGGCGATTTCGTAGATTTCCACCAAACCTTTCCACGTGGAATGTCGAAGGAGATATGCGGCATTTCGACGCTCGACTCTTTTCATGTTCCGCGTCAAATTCACGTTTCGCGCTTTGGTGGTGAAGTTTTGTTTTGAATTTGTGAAGATTTGTGGTGAGAGCCTGCAAAATATATGGAATTTTTTTTTGAAAAAATAAATATTAAAACAAACCTCAAACTTGAAGTCGGAAATTGTGAACATCGCAATAGAATATTCATTTTTTTCTATTTCTTTCTATGAGTACTAACTGAAAAAAGTTGTATATATGAGAAAAAGAGAGGGAAAAGCGAGCGATGATCAACGAAACATTTGTGAGAGAAAATGAGAATGTTTTTTGAATTGTTTATTTTAAACAAAATCATAGTGAACGATAAGAATTCATAGTTCATTCAATAAAATTTTGAATAATCAGAATTTTGAAACTTTGGAAAAATTGTCTGATTTTTGGGTTCCAACGTTTTCTAGATTTGTTAAATTTTTTGGTAACTAATTTCGGATTGAAAAATAGGCCAGCGAAAAATTTTAGATATTCAGAAAAATCTCAAAACTTTTCCAAATCACAAAACAGACTGACACATTTTTTAGTCGCGTGGCAATTAATTAATTAAATAAAAACCTAAATACTAACCTAACACAATTTCTAAAAACAAAAAAAACACAGTGTTTTTCTCAAAATGATAAAAAACCTGCCCAGAGAACACTCAAAATTTTAAAAATAAGTTTTTATTTCCAAGCAAGCCGTCTGGGCGGTCTTTCAACAGCAAGCAAAAAATGAAAAAGAAAAGTGGTTAGACCTCCTCGCCTCTCTCATTTTCTCACACTATTTCCTCGTTTTTCGTGATATTCACATGTCGCACAAAACACGTCGTGCCAGACAAATGGGAAAAGATAATTTCGTGGAGACGCAGACATTTTGTGTGGTCTCACAGCGAAACACCTGAGAGACCGCGGAGAATACGGTTTGACGCTTGGTCTCGCAGCGATTCACCTGAGCAACGCGGGAAAGTACGGTTTTGGCGATTGGTCTTGCAGCGAATGACCTGAGCGACAGGGGGAGAGTACGGTTGCTTTTTTCTCTGCGTCTCCTCGGATTTGTGTGGTGGCACGACGTGAAAAAGAGAGACTAACGAAACAGAAGAGCAAATGGGTTGGCTCAAAAATATAGTGGAGTGGAGACTGTGAGGTCTGAGAAGATCTGTGATCTATGATGATAAGATCGTGAAAGTGATTTTTTGATTGGTTTTTTGGTGTGACTGAACTTTGGAGTCTCAAAACGAAAGTGAAAAAATTTTGATCAATTTTTTTTTGAAAAATTGAATTTCTTTGGTGTTAAAATATTTTTCACAAAAACTTTTATGATGTGGCAAAATTGAGATTTTTGAAAAATTGGAATGATTTTATATTTTTCCATGCTCTGGAATTTCTTTGAAATATTGGATTTAATTTTTGAAATACCAAAAATTATGATAAATCTCAGTTTTTCAGCCAACTTGAAACATAAGATTTCAAGTTTCACATAGTTATGACGTGGCATAAAACCTAGTTTTTGTAAAAACGAATTTTCCCTTGAAAGTTTTCTGAAAAATTCAAATTTTAAAATTCCGATTCGTCAGAAAATCAACATTTTTCCAAAGATCACCGCAAAAACAATTAGTCGCTTATCACACATTCCTCATCAAAAATAATAACAAATTAGTCCTCAACCAGTTTACCTCAAAATCATGAAAAACTTTTAATTCAAAATTCATTTTACAAAAAAAGGAGAAAAATAAAATAAAAATCAGAGGCAAGAAAAATAAAAATACAACCTTTTGATCTATTTGACACATACCCAAATTATTTGACAAGAATTGAAATGAAAATGAGGAAGATAGACGAGAAACAGGAAGAAAGAAACCCTGGTAAAATTCAAAAAAAAAAAAAAAAAAATACAGAAAAAAATGAGAAGAACAAAGAAAAGAAAAGAAGTTACATGATAAATGAATACAAGATCCAATTTATACAGGACTTCCGACCATATTTGTTATATCGATTTTGGTGGCAAGACGATTTTGTACAGTTTCAGCCAAAATTGGTGGACTTGGTGTTGGCTCACTTGGTGGAATTGGCGCGATTGAAGTTTGCGAAGCATTTTCATCAGTTGGAATCGGTGCTTCTTTTTCTTTGCTTCGGCGGCGAGTTCGAGTTGGAGAAGTCGTTGTTTCCTGGAAAAATTGAATAGAGGTTTTGAATGTTTTGATTTTTTGGAAATGAGAAAAATAAAATATTTTTCAAAACTTATTTCCAGATTTTTATAAACATAAAAAAAACTCACAGTAGCCAACGGCGATGGCGCTTTCTTTCTTCTCTGCTGAAATTCTGACGATGTTCTGGTCGAAAACATTCTCTTCAACTCTTCAACCGGCAATTCCCTCGAGTTGAGAGCCAATGATTGTCGACCCAGCGTTTTTTCGCCATCTTTCAACGATCGAATCGCAATACTCGGCAGAGAATGCATTGAAGTCGCTCGTTGAATGCGTGATTTGTTGAGCGCCTGTTTGATCGCGTCTCCCACAACTTTCATCGCTTGCTCAAGAATTTCAAAGATTGCTTGGAGCGCCATATCTCCACCACATAGATACTCGCGAATTTGTTGCTCGGCGAGTCGCAATTCATCAATTCCGCTTCGAACATCGGCGAGTTGTCTGCTGACTTTCTGGAATAAACAAAACTTATTTTTTAAAGGGATTCTTTAACCAAAATTTTAAAAATGAAAAACTACCAAACCTCAATAAACGGAGTATAAGCCGCGACCAATTTCTCATCCTTCGATCTTTCCATTGCTCCATTCAATCGTTTAATAGTCTTTTCGACTTGATCGACTGCCGCATTCAAATCATTCAAATTAATCGATCGAACAGCCAACATTTTCGCATGTGTTTCTTCAATTTGACTTGTTGGAAGATCACAAAAATCGACAAGTAAATCCACAAGCCGAGTTGTCGAATGTTGGCCTTTTCCTTTCAACTGCAATAATGTCAAAAAATAATTCAATGAAAATCCAGCAGCTTCGGCGAACATTGATCCCTGATTCAAATAATTTCCATATTGCAAACATTTTCGGAGGATAAGTTGAATTACATCACCGCGGGCTAATCGACAAGCCGACAACAAAATATCCACTTGATTTTCGAATTTCGTTATCTAAAAAATGATTGGTAAACAATATTTAAAAAAAAAACAAGAAAACTCACCTCCGAAACCACATTCTCTTTTGTGATCAACAATTCAATTCGCAATTTCAGCGTCTTCTTTCTGGAGATATGCCAACAAAATTGATCGCTAGCATGCGATAATTTGGCCAATTCCACATTTTCAAATGGAGCGAGTTCATCAGGTTCGGGATAATTGGAATGAAGAGTTCCCATAAGATCGATCTTGATTCCGTTCGTATCATTGTTTTCGAGTTTTTCGATGAGTTCGGTGAAACTGAGTGGCTTCAATCTGAAAAAAATTTTTTTTGAATTTATTCGAATTTTTAAAGAAACTTTTGAAATATAGAATTCCGAAAAATGAAAAAATCAAGAAAATATTCCCAATTTCGAAACTTCTTTTAATTCCTATAAAAATTCCACAAAAACCCACTTTTTCAACAAAATCTCAATCGTCAACGCTTTCGGTGAGCACAAAATCTGCTGAGTTGTCGGCGATCTTTGCGTATTCGAATCCGATGACGAAATTGTTGCTCTCGCCATTTTCTGTCCAAACGCTCTTCCAACCGATCCACCAACATTTCGAGTCGCTTGTCGAATTTGCGCCTCTTCGAAAACTTCCTGCATTCGAAGTCGTTCGTCTTCATTGAAATCGACACAAATCGAATCGTTGAAAACCGTTCCGGCGCCTTGCATTTGCATCGGATTCAATTTTTGCCATCGCACCAAACATGTTTTCTTCTCTTTTCGATAAACGACTGCCGATTTGATGACACCTGGTGACAAGACTGGCGGAGAAGATGTATTTAATGGACCTGGAAGAAGAAGGGTTGATTTTTTGGGAACCGCATTAATTTTCTCTTACTTATCGGGTTGCCATTCAACAAAAATGGTGGGGGAGGCGGAGCTGGAGGCGCACCTTTTGATAGACCGCCTGGAGGCATTGGCGGCGGCGGCGGAGGTCCGTTCTTTGTGAAACCTGCTGGTGGTAAAGGCGGAGGTGGCGGCGGTCCATTTTTCGAAAATCCCCCAGGAGGCATTGGTGGAGGCGGTGGCGCGTTTGTTGAAATTCCAGATGAAATTCCACCAGGTGGAAGTGGAGGAGGAGGTGGGGGTCCAGATGTTGCGAATCCTCCTGGCGGCATTGGCGGAGGAGGTGGAGGTCCGTTCTTTGTTAAACCTGCTGATGGTAACATCGGAGGGCCACCTTTTAATAATCCTCCAGGAGGCATTGGTGGAGCCGTTGGCGCGTTTGTTGAAATTCCAGATGATGGAAGTGGGGGACCATTGAAAATTCCACCAGGTGGAAGTGGAGGAGGAGGAGGTGGAGGTCCAGATGTTGCAAATCCTCCAGGCGGCAATGGTGGCGGAATAGGAGCTCCAGATTTCAATAAACCACCCGGTGGAAGTGGCGGTGGCTTTGGAGCATTTTTCGATATCGGCGTCGGTGTAACACTGATATTTTGAGAAGTTGTTTCGATCCAAACTTCTTGCGAAAGGATCTCACTATAATCCAAATCCATTTTGTTTTTTTGCTCAACATTCGGAAGTTCAATGCATGTTTTCTCTTCGGAACTTTGAATTGATTGAAGCTGAAAAAAATTCAAATTAAATTGACAACCATGAAATACTAACCGTAACATGTCCAATTGATGGTAAAGTTGTTTCATTCAATAAATGTTCCTCATCAAATTCTGAAGACGAACTACCCGAATCTCGGAAAAATATTTGATTATCTGTAAACAAAATATTTTTTTTGTTGAAAATCTAGGAATTTTTCACTCACGTTTAACCGAATATGCCGATGGCAAATCTGTAGTTGTCGCCCATTTTTTCAAATTCTGTGAAGTATCGACTGGTGATAAAGTATCTGGTGTATTCTTGTTTTCATCATCTGATGTTGAACAAACATCGAATACAAATTCATTTTCTTCCGGAATCTCTTCAGGTCGTTTTGATCGATACGTTACATGTCTTCTTTGAAACACTACATTATCAGTTTGACATTCGATATCTTTTGATTCAATAATATTTCTAGATTTGTCAATAATCGCACAAACATCTTCACTCTCCTTTTCAGCCAAATATTCGAAATAATCCGCAATCTTTTTCCATGTTTGATCATTGCCAATTTTTCCGAAAATCTTGTTGCAAATATCGAGAGGAACTCTTCGATCTTCCGAATTTCCGAGAATTTGAGTATCTCGTTTTTCTGATTCGATGAATGTATCGATTTCTTGATCAAGTAATTTCGAAGAAGATGAAATATTCGCAAAAACATTCAATAATCCGAAAGCATACAATTTTTGACGGAGTTTATATCGTTGCAAGAAACTTGAGGTGCTCCCAATCATAAAATTGATATCCGCCATTGCTCGACATCTATCCATTTCCGGTAATTTTGCATTTCGAACCTCATCGATAATTTGCTGAATATGATCATCGGCTGAAGCTTCGATGGATGAACTTGCAATTGGAACTGCATCTGTCTGAAAAGAGTGTTTCTTTAAAGTTTTTCCTGTGTGGGAATTGAATCACTTTTTTTCTTCTTAGAAAAAGCATCAATAAATAGACAACAATATGAAATTAAATATGGAAAAAATCGATTCTTACATTTGGAATATTGACTTTTGATGATTTTCCCAATACTGTTTTCGATACATTTCGCTGTTTTGTTGTCTCGATGGGCGCGTTTTCGACATTGCTTTCGCGGCTCACCGGGCGGCTGGCATCTGATGTTGATGCAACAGATTCAGAACGAAATTCTGGAAAAATATTCTGACTTTCAAAGTTAGATTTTAGGTTTTGAGAGGATTTGATTAATTTTCGAAAAGTTTATCGGGTTCGCCTTTTATTTCCAAAGTTAGCTAAAATTACCTATAACATCCCCAAGTCAAATTTACCTGCATTACAAGTCGGCACTTTGGTGACAACAACCTTCAAGCGATTTCTCTTCGAGTTTTTCTTTTTCGTCATTGTGATAAATTGACGACGTTCAAGTGCTGCAAAAATCGAACTCCTTATCAGTGAAAAATGCAACTATTTCAACACAGTCTAAGAAAAGAACAACTCAGGTGATCACCTTTTACCATTCCGGCAAAAAATAAAAATAACGGAAAAAAAACGGTTTTTTGACGTGGGGGAATATTTAATGGGGGTCAATTTGCATATTTTTTGCCTGTTTTTTGTCAAATGATTGTTTTTGTTGGAGAAAAGATATAAAATGGGGGAAAAAGTTTACAGCTTCCAGACAACCGGTTAGAATGGAACAACTTTTGCAACAACTGATATAAAAAGAACATTTATTCCAGTTAGTCACGCAATTTTATTATTTCTTTGATAAAAGTGCTCAAAAACTCATAAAAAGTCCAAATTTTTAACAGCTAAATAGTTGAAAAAGAAAGAGTGGACGAAAAAAAGAGAAATTAAAGGTAGAGAAAGTTGGTGATTTATTGGTGAAGGTCAAAAATTCTTTAATCAAATAAAATATATCAACTTTCAAACTTTTTGCCGTCCCGCACAAAAAAGATGAGAGACGCAGAGTAATGGTGTAAAAGCTTTGGCGGGAGACAAAAAAAACATACATAGACAGGTTCCCTTTACATTTTTATTGACAGATGTGTCCTATTTAAACTATGTATTGTTGAACGCAAAAAAACGGACGGTGATTTTTATTTACATGAGTGCGCGTATTGGAACTTGACTCAATGAATGGCTGTGGGAAATCAAGATGACGATTTGGGTTTTCTTTTTAACTTTTGAAATCCCATCCCTAAAAAGAAAAAACGAAAAAAATGCTCGGGCAAAAAACTGAATTCAGAGAAACCGGCTGGAGAACCGGCGGAGAAAACGACATGTCGGCGAACTCTCGGACAACCGGCGGAGTGTCTGACCTACACTATTTCGCCGAAACTTTTGTCCACCGATTGTCCGAAAGTTCGCCGATAGGTCGTTTTCTCCGCCGGTTCTCCAGCCCATTTCTCTGAGCGCGAAAAAAAGAAACAGGGAATTCGAAGAAAACGTTTGCGCGCTCGCGGGTTACTGTAGTTTTGTGTGTTGTTGCGAGACCCAAACAAATTTGAATTTTATTTTTTTTTTTCACATTGGTTTTGTGCAAGAGAAATTTGTGAGCAGAATCTGGTGATTTACAATGAGAAATATACCATTAGGTGGAGTTTTTTACGCTGAAAAAGACCCTGACTTTAATTTTGGCTGAACGACTCTCCAACGAGCCTAAAAATGAGCCAAAAGTCGAAATTGTTGTACAAAATAAGTTGTATTTTATGAAACAAGCTGGAATTCTACAGTAATCTACATGTTTTTTTGTGGTTTGTGATAATTCGTCGAAGTGAACAATGTCCATTTAGATATCTCCTTGTAGCCTACATAATGATGTTTTTATTATCACATCACGACCAAAACATGGTCTCTGCTAAGTGGTATAAAAAGCGAGAAGTTTATTGAAATATATTTATAAACATGATCAAGCAAATTGGGTTTTTCTCTATTTTATTTTTTGGATTTGTTTCTGCACTTCCACAGAACTCGGATGTTCTTGTTAGTCTTATAAAGGAATACAAAGGTGAGATTTTTCGAAAACATTAAAAAATGTATTCATTAAAAAAATTGAAGATTTCTTGCCTGCCGAAGTTGTTGAAGCTTACAAGAATTTGTCACCGGACGAGAAAAATGCTCTCAAAGAAGTGTTCAAAAACTACAAACAATACAAAAATGAGGAGGAAATGATTGATGCGATCAAAGAAAAATCGCCGGAACTTGGAGCAAAAGCTGAAAAATTATATGAAAAAGTTCAAAAAAAGATTAAAGGATTGAGTGAGAAACCGAAGGAGTTTGTTGACAATCTTCTGGGAAAAGTTCGAGAGATTCATGCGAAACATATTAGTGGGGAGAAAATAACAATTGAACAATTGAAGACAATGGTACAAGAGTGAGTTTATATGAGAAATTGAAGGATTTCTGAAATAATTCAATAAATTCAGACAAGTTTTGGCTTACAAAGGATTGTCAGAAGAATCGAAAAATGAATTGAAAACAACATTCCCGAAAATCACAGCTTTTCTTCAAGAAGACAAAATCAAAACTCTTCTCAAAACGTTGGCCGAGAAAAATTAAATGACATTCCTATTTTTCCAAACAATCATTTTTTTTGCTATTTACATATATATGTAACAGGGCTGGGCGGAATTTACTTGTCGGAATTTCGCAACGCCGACTTTTCGTGCCGAAAATATTTTCGGCATTTCGGGATGCCGACTTTTTATGCCGAAAATTGTTTCGGCATTTCGGGATGCCGACTTTTTTGTGCCGAAAAAAATTCGGCAATTCGGCACCCCGATTCGGCATTTTGGCAGTGATTCAAAAATTTCAAAAACACTCAAAATGATAGAAAAATGAATATATTATATTAAATTAATATTAGACAATATTAATATTAGACAAAATATTTTTTAAAACGTGGTTTTTTATAAAACACGGTTTCTAGATCATAAAATCTAAGTTTTCTGATTTCAAAGCTTTATTCGAGTGCAACATAACCTTCTTTGATAAAAAATATTACCTTTTAAAATTTAATTATTCACATGAAAATAAAACCGATCTAGGCGAACTCCAAAATACGATAAAGAACACGTGATTTTGTTTCTGGGCTCAAAATTTCGAAATCTTTGGATTTTGAGGCATCTCGAATTTCTTCAATACTTTCGAATGAATTGAGGCAAAGGTTCTGCAAAAATATAGGAATTTTTTTCATACACTTTTAATATGGTTTTAACACGTACCATTATATCCAAATAATTGTATTTGTCAGCGAATTTCAAACATTTCAGACGAAATTTCGGAAAATCGAAAGAGGCAGATGTTTTTGGCACATTTTCCAAGATTGAAAACATAGCAATAGCGATTTTCGAATGAACAATATCAATATTGAAACGATCAGCAAGTTCCACATATTTCGCAAAATCATCGAGTTCTAAAAATTTCGCGAATTTCGAAAATCCTGGCATTATTTTTGGATGAATAATGAGTAAAATATTGAAGAAATCAGCAAGTTTGATATCATCAATTTGTACAATTTTATTCTCGCTCTTTAGGAATAAATTATTGAAATATTCGGAACTCAAGAACAAATCGCTTTTCTTCAAATAAAGATCGACACTTTCGATTTTGACGCAGATATCCGAAGAAGTGCCGGAATTTTGCGAGTAGTTTTGATATAAAAAATCCAAGTTAGTTTCGATCACAATTGAATCATTTACAATGTAGTTTGAAGGAAAATATTGATGCGAATACCATCTATCACAATCATCATATTGACTTTGAATTATCTGTTTCCACAATACCAATGTCAATTTTTCCTCGATATTTTGGAAATTATATTGTTTTCTTTCGAAGTTCATCAATATATCACGTTTATTATGTCTCTTATCGATAATTCTGAAGCCTGCATCAACGTGGCAAACCGCTGCTTTTTCCTCTTCCATATTTGCTATTTTCAATAAAACTGATAGATATTTTTCTTTATCTACTACATTTTGCTCAATTCCAACTGCCCTGAAACAAAAAATCAATATTTTCAAGAAAAAACAAAATTTACCATTTCAATCCTTCGACTTCGAAAATCTCGCTATATTTCAAACTTCCATCCCAAGTTGAAATGTCATTGAAAACTGATTGAAACTTTGTTGCACACTTTGAAATACTCATAATTAATGGGAATTTTTGACTGCCTGCCACTGGAAGACAAAAACTTTAAAGTTTTGTTTTTTGAAAAAAAAAAGAAAATAAGTGCGCGTCGGGTTAAATGTGTTGTGTGCAAGAGCCTGGGTGTTTGCAGAAATCTGACGCTACAGTAAGAAAATCTTGATGCTCGAGCAATCGAGGTTTTTTATTTTTTTTTGGCCAAAATCCTGGGGTTTTGAAGAGAAACAACTTTTTCACAGCGAAAAAAAATTATTTTTTTGTACACAAAAAATTCGTTGCGGAAATTCAAAAAATAAATAGGCGGAGTTTTCCACGTGCAACCCCTGGCAGCGTCTTTCTGCAATATTATTGCATGTGCGCACGGTTTTTGTGTGTTCTCCCCTTTTGTTTTTTGTTTTTTTCCTTTGTGTGTGCAAACACTTTCTGTTTTGCGCACCGTACCACACGGAAACAGAAAAAATAATTTTTTTTCGCTGTGATTTTTTCTTTTGCCCAGCTTTTAAAAACTCAAAAAATATTATGTTCTCTCCTTTGAACATTCTTATTTCAGGCCTATTTCAATTTGAATCAATTGCATAAAGAATACCAAAATCAAGAAACCCGCCAAAAAATCAAACGTGAACTTCGAACAATTCAAATCTCCTGTTATTTTCGCCATATTTCATTTTTGATATGTCTGATAGTAATAAATTGATAGCTAAAAATGTGCAAAGTTTTGGTGAAACAAAAAGTAGAAGCAAATCGAAGTCGAAGTCGAGATCGAGATCGAAATCAACTTTCAAATCCAAATCAGAAGAAAGTTCTGATTCATCTCATTTAAAACATTTGGATCCGGATAAATTTGTCAATGCCTATGGAACATTTGGCAGGTAACTTTATAACAGGGAATTTCAATACTTACGATTTTCTATCGGAATTCTATCTATTTCAGATATCAAATGTTCACTTATATATTGGTTCAAACATTATGTTTCTTTTATGCGGCTTCAGTTTATGTGATGTCATATGTTCAATTGCATATCAAAAAAGAATGCTTTTATATGAATGTAAGAACTTTATCTCATATCAAAAATAATAATTAATTTTTAAAGCAAACATATCCAGCATCTTCCACTTGTCGAATTGAAGCTGAAAATAATGAGCAATCTTTTCCAAATCAAGAATGTGGACAATTCGAAGGTTCAAAGTTGATGTAAGGTTTCGGCAGGAAAAAAATTTTCTACAAAAATTATTTTTTCAGAACTTATGAACACACGTCACGAACGAATCTTCTGATGGATTTCGATCTTGTCTGTTCGCATTGGTTTATTAAAGAACTTGGTCTCTCATTTTTCACAATCGGTGCAGTTCTAACCGTCCCTTTCATGTCATATTTTGCTGATCGATGGGGAAGACGACCAATTTTATTATTTTCCACAATCACTGCTTTCATCGCAAATCTAATTGCATCATTCAGCCCAAATTATGTGATTTTTCTAATTCTTCGAACAATTATCGGTGCTGCCAGTGACACATATTTTTCAATTGCAAGTGTTGTGACTTGTGAATTTCTGGCTGAAAAAGCTCGACCATGGATAACTGTTGTTTATAATGTTGCATGGGCGCTTGGAATGTTATGGGTTTTGGCAGTTTCTCAAATGACTGATAGCTGGAAATGGCGATATTTTTTTTCGTCTTTGCCTGGAATTTATGCGTTTTTGTTGATTTTGTGAGTTTTATTATGGAAAACTTTAAGAAAAGAAAAACAAGCAAAACTTTTAGTGTGTTCTCCTAAGATCTTAAACGCTTCTCCAAAAAATTTCCAATGTTCAATTTCCAGCTGTCTCCCAGAATCACCCCATTGGCTAATTATTCACAACAAAACCGACCGTCTTAAAAATACATCAAAACCTCAAATCGAATAAACAAAGCCGATCCAGATTTCGATGATTGTTATGCTGAAAATGAACACGAAGAAAAACACGAGGGAGTTTTTTGCACTTTTTTCGAGCTGCAAAATGATTTGGATTCTTTTCGCCAATGGTTATATCGAATTTGTTATATCAATTGTATATTTTGCTGTTTCATTCATTTCAGTCGAATTCGAAGATGATCACGTAACTCCGTTCTTTTTCATAGCTGCCGTTGAAATACCAGCGGGTCTTGTGGTTTTACCATTGATGATTTATTTTGGTCGAAAATCGCTGACGATTTGGACTTTTGTTATTCAAACTTTGTCGCTTTTAGGAATGGCATTTTTTACTAACAAAACTATGAATTTTATTTGCATGATTATCGCAAAAGTTATGTCCACGTAAGTGAAATCCTTAACTAGTTCACTAATTAATTTTTTTAATTACAGTATAATATATACTATCCATCCGATTTGGGCAAATGAACAATTTCCAACATCGGTCAGATCTTTAGCCTATTCTTTGATGAATGTTCCACAAAGTATTGGGATTATTGTATCACCTTATTTGAAACATATTGTAAGTTTTAAATTTTACCGGAATCTTTTTGATTAACTTGATCAATCATTTATAGAAAATTCGAAGACAATGGCTATTATTCACAGTTGTTTCATTGCTCAGCTTAGTTGGAACGATTTTCAGCTTATTTTTGAAGGAAACTAAAAATTGTGCACTTCCTCTCGATGTAAAAAGTTTAACATCATCGAATGCCTCGCTCGTTTCAACTCAATCTTCCGAATCTGTGAATTTAGAAAAAGAAAAAAAGAATCTTATTGAAAATAATCAAACCTCTAATTCAAATGTATAAATTTTTGAACTGAGACTCCAAACTACAAACATTTTTTAGAGCTTGCAAATGTGCTCCAATCAACATTTTGTTGTGTACTTTGCTCGGATGATTTTTTTTTTTTTTTTTTTGCTTTGCACTCCGAGGACACGAGCTCCTGTTTATTTTGAGAAAAACAACAATTTTCTTTTCTTTTTTTTTAATTTTTTGATCGGAAAAAATAGAGATAATTTTTTCTGAATCAAAAATTGCTGATAACTTTTTTTCTGAATTTCTTGAAATTTTTCTAATGGGGTGATTCAGGTCGAAAAAAATAATAAAAAAAAAACGTTTTTTTACAAAAAAAATTCGATTCAGCAAATGTCAAAAAACTATATTTTTTTCGTATTTCTCGACATTTTTTGACATTTTTTTTCATTGAAACATTTTCGCTGCGAGATATCTTTCATTTTTGTGTGGAAAAAAATAGAGTTTTTTGACATTTTCTGAATCGAATTTTTTTTGTAAAAAAACGTTTTTTTAAAGTTTTTTTTCGACCTGAATCACCCCATAAAACAATTTTCAAGTCCGTAAACACCGTGACGCACGAATGCACATTTATTTTGCATACCGTATCAAAAAATTATAATTTTTTTCATTTATTCACAAAGTCAATTGATCAATTTTAATCGTCAATAATTAATTCGATAAAATATTTAATGGGTTCAAAAAGAATATAAATTTCCATCAAAATTTCGATTGTTATTCATTGGTCTTTCAAATAAATCGACAAATGTTATCATGTTTTTTCTTTCACCCGTGAAATAAATAGGAAAACAAAAAAAAATGATAAGAGTGTGTGTTATCCCTTTTTCTTTTGTTTTATTTTTCAATTTCCACTCAATCTATAGATATTTTTTACAGAAATAAGTAGAAAAAGATCAAACAACAACAAAATGGCTGAAAATATAGGAGTTACAAGATTTCGCGAATATTTGAGAGTGAATACCGAGCAACCAAATCCGGATTATGGTGAGCTTTTTTTTTAAAGATTTTCTCGTGAAAGCTAGATTTATCATGTGAATTACTCATGTGAGAATCGAAGAATCAAAGAACATTTTTTGCAGTTGCTTGCCGTGATTTTCTTTTCAAATATGCTGATGAATTGGGAATCCAAAGAAGAGCTGTTGAGGTAAACCATCTCATAAATAATGAAATTTGCTCAAAACTTTATTCCAGACTGCTCCAAACACATTTTTCGTAATTATGACAATTCCCGGAACAAATCCATCATTAAAATCAATAATGTTATACTCGCACACAGATGTTGTTCCAACTTTTCCAGAACATTGGACATATCCACCATACTCGGCGCATAAAGATGAAAAAGGAGATATTTATGCGAGAGGAGCGCAAGATATGAAATGTGTTGGTGTTCAATATATGGAAGCTATTCGAAAATGGTTTTCGAAAGGTGTCAAACAATGGCCAAGAACAATTCATTTGGTTTGGGGACCTGATGAGGAAATTGGACATGTTAATGGAATGAAAGGATTTTCATTGACGGAGGAGTTTAAGAAATTGAATATTGGATTTACAATGGATGAGGGAATTGCGTCAGAAGATGGGGTTTATAAAGTTTTCTACGCTGAAAGAATTCCATGGTGTGAGTTTTTTGGGGAATTTCGGCATATGAACCTGGATTTTTATCCTCTTTATAAAATATTATAATTGGAATTCATTTGTTGAGCATCTTTTGAATACTGTCTTCAAAAAATAATATTTTTTCCCTCAATTTTTTTTTTCGTTCAAAAATTTGTAAATCTGGAAGGTCTTCCAGTTTTACAAATCCATCATTTTCGAGCCAAATTTCAAGATTTTAGGCTGAAATTGATTGGAATTCATTTGTTGAGCATTTTTTGAATACTGTCTTCAAAAAATAATATTTTTTTGATCAATATTTTTTTCGTTCAAAAATTTGTAAATCTGGAAGGTCTTCCAGTTTTACAAATCCATCATTTTCGAATCAAATTTCAAGATTTTAGGCTGAAATTGATTGGAATTCATTTGTTGAGCATCTTTTGAATACTGTCTTCAAAAAATAATACTTTTTTCCTCAACTTTTTTTTCGTTTAAAAATTTGTAAAACTTTTCAAATTCCATTTTTCCAGGGGTAAAAGTAACTCTTCCCGGTCAACCTGGTCACGGCTCGAAATTCCTCGAAAACACGGCAATCGAAAAATTGCAAAGATTGATTTCGAGTGTTTCCGAATTCCGAAATGAGCAAAAAACGCTTCTCGCATCGAATCCTGAATTTACCACCGGTGACGTCACAACCTCAAATATGACAATCATAAATGGCGGTGTTCAAGTGAATGTTATTCCAGAAAAATTTGAGGCTTGTGAGTTTTTTTTTCAAAGAGATTTTTTTAAAAAGAAAACAAAAAAAATAATTTTCAGTCATTGATATTCGAGTTACTCCTCGTCAAGAGTTAGACGAAGTCAAATCACGTATCGATAAATGGATCAAAGATGCTGGAGAAGGTGTAACCTATGAATTTATGCAGGTAATTAATTAATCAATTTTGGTTTTAATTTTAATTTCAAAACAAAATGCTTTTAACCTCCACCCGCGTTGTGCTTTTTGTCATTCATTTTTAATTTGTTTACAGTCCTCTAATCCTGCGGATAAATCGACTTATGAATTTAAGCAGGTGAGAGAATTTGTGTTTTTGGTGACCTTTGTTGGCTTGATGTTTATTTATTAGTCATTAATTAATTGAGACAGGATTTTTTGTAGTATTCGAACTTCAAATCGATTTCGCCACATACGAGAGAGGATCCATTTTGGTCGGCCATTGAGGATACATTGAACAAGGAGTGAGTTTAGAAAAAATGTTGTAGGTCATATCGGGTTCAAAATTATTTTCAAAACATTTTTCTGGTAAAAATTTCAAAAATGTACTCTGAAATTCGGCTCGTGGAAAAACTTTTTCCTTGTAATTTCCGGATCTGAATACGGTAGAGAAAATGTAGAAAAATTGAACAATTTTTAATTTGAGAATTTATTTTTGAGAATTCAGAAAATTCTTTTTTGAAAATTGAACCCCCAAAATTCAGAATATAAACGTGAACTGATACGTGGCAATTTGGAGATTTCAATTTCAAAAATGTGACTGAAACTTTTTCACCTCAAAACCTTTTTTTTTTCCAGAAATTGTCCATTCAAAAAAGAAATTTTCATCGGAGCAACAGATTCAAGATTCGTTCGAGCTGTAAGTTCCCACCCTTGTCTCTCTTAAAATACTTCTCGAATCTTTTTCAGCAAGGCGTAAGTGCCATCGGATTTTCGCCAATGATCAACACTCCTTCCCTTCTCCACGATCACAACGAATTTTTGAACGAAAACGTGTTTTTGAGAGGTGTCGAAATCTACGAAACATTGATCAACAATCTTGCAAATGTAAATTGAATTAGGTAACATTTATTGCGTTTTCTTGCTCACTTTTTTTAAAAATTCTGTGATAAAATTTTTGGGTTTTTGTCTCATAGATGGGCTGGAAAATGAAAAAAAAATGGAGAGCTCAGAAATCGAATGAAATTTGATATTTATGTGCCTACTTTGGAAAAAGAAAAAAAGAAGAACGAAATGCACAAAAATGACGCAGGAAAATTGGATTCTGCTTTGATCTTGGTCATGGATAAAAAAGGAGAGAGCTCGAAAATTGTGCTCATCTGAAATTACAACAGATTTAGCATCGTAGTTACAGTAATCTTTCAAGAAACTTGATTTTTTGCTCTAAAACCAGAAGTACCTGCTGATCAAGTTTTTTCTTAATTTTCAAAAAAAAACATCACACTTGAATTAATTCTCATTCATCCGTTCAAAACCCAAAAATTCCAAAAAACATGCATTTTTCGTTCTCAAAAATGGTAACCCAAGGAAATATCGAATTATCTTTCGAAATCCCACAAAACTTTGTCCATTATTTCGATTTCATCGGAACTGTTTCGCTTTTTTTGAACTCGTTTGGTTTTTATTTGATAATTTTCAAGAATTCGAAAATCGATTCATATCGATATTATCTTCTCAATTTTCAGGTTTGGGTTTCAAAAATAATTGACAACAGGAAAAAAATAATATAATGAACATTTTCAGATAATGTGTGCAATTTGTGATTTTCATCTCACATTTTTGATGAAACCTATACTTTTGTTTCCGATTTGTGGAGGTTTTGCAGTTGGAGCTTTGGCTGATTATTTGAGCACATCTGTTTTTGCGGTAAAGGGTTTAGAAATTAATTTTTGAAAGGGTACTGTAACATATGACGTGGCAAAGTTTTTCTTTCAAAATTAAAAATGGCCAAAGTTGGCATCACAGGAAAATTTCAATAAAAAATTTACAAAATTGATATTTTTATCTTATGTTATTGTAGTTTGATTTCTATTCCATTTTTTGACAATTTTAATTCAAAAAATAAAAAATGATCTACAAATTCAAGGAAATTTGAAATTTCAGAAAAATGATTGAATTTCTGGAATCCAAACTCAACTTGAGAATTATATTTTTGAACAAATAACATTTTGAAATTGACAAATGTAATTTTTCTTGCCACGTCAACTCTTTGTCGATAGAAATCTAGAAAAATCTGAAACAAAAAAATAAACCTCCGTCTGAATTCCCTTCTGTATTTTAGTGCATAACATTGGCAACAATCGGTGCACAAAACAAATCCTTAACTCTCTGCTTCCTTCGAAAACATCGTGCCATATCAAAAATAAGCAATAATAAATACACAGTGATTCCGTTGTTTTTTTTTCGCCTAGTTATTTTATTCATTGCAATCTATCCATTTTTTATCGCCTTCTTTATGTATATCTCAAGAACACCAAAAATTGAGCAATGGTTTTATATTCAAACTTATTTGCCTAATTTTGTAGAAGGATTTAAAAGTATTCCCGAGAATTTTGATATATTTTTATTGAATTCTAGAACAATGTTAATTCTATCATTCGTAATGTTTTCTGAAATTCTCTCAATTTTTGTCGCATGTTTTACAACTTTCAAAATGTTCCAAATCCTTCGAGAAAATCGTCAAAATATTTCTATTCTGAATTATAAAAAACATCAAAACGCACTCATCACTTTATTAGCGCAATTCAATGTATCCACAATTTCAATGATTCCCCCAATTATAGTTACAATTGGTTTTTTCTGGAATTATCCGAATGCCCAACTCATTTCAATGTTTTCCTGCGCAATTTTTGCAACACATTCCAGTGTTAACACAATTGTTATGATTTTTACATGTTCAGAATATCGAAATTTTGTTCTTTCTCGATTATTGCGCAAAAAGTTTGTGAATTTTTTTGATGGTAGAAAAATAATTCGAATTAAATTTTTCAGATCGATCCCAAAAATGACAACAAGAATGAGTATATCTTCGTCGAATCCAATAACACCTTTTTGAATAAATTCCATGATCATCAGAATTTTTTTCTCCCCGAATTCTGGAGAATAATGAGTAATCCGAACCCTGAAACTTGATATTTCATGAAACCAGGCAAACAGAAAGAATAACGAAATGCATAAAAATGAATAATCAAAAGCATTCGCCCCAGAAAAAAATTAACAAAAGAAATGAATTTCAAAATATGTATGAATAGTAAAGATGTTTATCTGCGCAGGTTTTTACTCAAGTAACAAAAAAAGATAATATCTGATGTGAATGAAGAAGTTTGATGCTTCATTTTTTTCAATTTTCATTTATTTACCAAAATTTTGTAACTGTATACATATACATTACGAAAAAAACATATTTTTATTTTTTTGTGATAAACTAACTAAACTGTATACATTTTGTCATGTGGTTAGTCATAAGCTAACTAACTAATTTCCAAAAAAATTGTATACATAGATTTTGATAATTTTTGATGCTTGACACTAATTTGATAATCATTCGGGGAAACTTTTTGAATTGAAAAAAATAAAAAATGTGTTTTATTTCAGAAAAAAAAATAAAATTACAGTAATTATTTCGATGATGAAGTACAAGTTCGTCAACTTATTTACTTGTGTATGCGGAACCAGTTTTATGAAATTGATAACTTTGAAATAATGTTTGGAAATACTAAAGTTTCTGTGGAAATCGCCAAATTTCGCCAGGTGGAACAAGAGAAATTTCATGAAACTTTTAGATTCTGAACATAATTAACAATAAGCATGTTGTTTTTATCGCGGTTTGGAAAGGATACTCTAACTGAAAACCTTTCAAGTTATTATCCACGTCATAAATATTTCTCTGAAAATTTTCATATGCATTTTCAAGTTTTTGCAAAGTTTCAAAAAAATTAAATTTTTTTGAAAGATAAAAATTTGAATTTATTGATAGAATTCAAGTTTCCGAAATCTTTGATACCCAACTTTTTTTTGTGAAAATTTCCGCCAATGACTAATTAATTCTGACATATTTCCGATTCTCCTATCAAAAATCAAAATCAAAAATTAAATCATTGCACTTTTCAAATAACTTCTCGGGATTATTCTGTTCAATCAATCATTCGACAAATTTCCTGCCCGCCCAAAAAACAAAGTGGGATACTGTAGCAACAATTTGAGAGATAAAAGATGTGTCCTTTCTGTTTTTTGCAACTTCAGGTTTTTTCTCGAGCGAGTGAATTTTTTATACGAAGTGACATTTTGATTGTTTTCACATTTTCTCAATTTTTTTTTGTAAAATACAAAAACCTCGAAACATTTTGTAAAAAAAAGTAAATAAACCCGTTTTGTGTTATGGTATGTTAAAAGTAGCATATTTTAGACTTTTTTGTTGAAAAAACAGGAAATGGGCGGGGCTTTTGGTCATTTTTTATAAGGATCCGAGACCGTTTTTTTTCAGAAGAAGAAGAAGAAACATGAAACTTTTTTTCAATGTGGAGGGGTGGGAGATGTGAAATTGAATACTTTTTTTCTGCTCCCAATTTTTTTTTGGAGGAGACGTTTTTTGCTGCTTTGCTCGATTAATTTAAACTAAACTATCTCATTATTTTTCATCATCCAACTTCATTTTCTTTCCTCATTCTTTCAACAAAAAATCAAACTTGTGAAAACATCTGATACAACTAAGTAGCCTTGAGAGTTATCAAGATTTCGAAAATAAAAAAAAAACAAAATTCACTTCCTTCCTCTTATTTTCTTCCTTCCCCGCCACCCAAAGTTTTCATCTTTTATCAGAAAAAAATTTGTCTTATTGTTAACCATATCACATATATTTTATACGACAATCTATTACACTTTTTTTGTCTTTCTCGAAAAAAACTAGGTATAAATTGGTTTGGTCTTCATTGTTCTTGTTTTGTTTCACACTTTTTTTCTGATTCTTTGAATTTTAATTTCTTTTCAATTAATTAAAAAACAAGTAAAATCACATTTTTTAGAAAATGTTCAAATCATTCTTCATTCTCTTCGCTCTTTTCGCTCTCATCGCTGCTAATCCAGTCAAAAGAGAAGCTGACGAAGTCATCGAAGTTGTCGATGATGTTCCAGAAGAATCCGGAGCATCTGGGGAAACCGAATTGCACCATCATGATCATTCCGAACCTGAATCATCTGGAGAACAACCCGCGGCTGAGGAACCAATGGAATCTGAATCAAAAGCTGAACAACAACAACAACCAAAAGTGATTGCTGATGAGCCAAAAGAAGATGAAGCTGAAGAGAAATCAGTTGAATCCGCTTCAGTTGCCAATATTCCAGCACAAGAAGATGCTCCAGTTACCGCTGAAGTTCCAACAACTTCAGCTGCAACTGAAGTCAAAGCTGCTGAACCAAAAGAAGTCTCATCGGCCACTTCAGTTTTCTCATCAATTTTCGCAATTTTGTCCCTTTACCTTATCATGTTCTAACTTTTTTTCAAATTGAGAATCACAAATCCATAATCCCTAATATTACTTTGCTGATTTTTGTATGACAGGGCGGGTAATACTCATTTCGATTGACGAAAAGAGTTTAGTCATACCTGAATGTATAAAGAGTTTTACTGAAATTATTTTGTGTTTTTTTTTTTTGAAAATTTCAGGTTTTCTCAAGATTTGGAGCAATTTCTTCAGAAATTAGAGGTTTCTTCGAGAAAAAAATGATTCCACAGATTTTTGCTTTATTTTCAACAATCCTCACCACTTCAACCCACCAAGAATCTCACTTTTTCCACAAGAGAAAAAACACAAAAAAAATAAAATAAAAAAAGCAGATGTTGCAAACGCGCTCTACCGACAATTTTTGTTGCCGCCAAATTGACTTTGAATTTTTTGGGTTTTTTATTTTTTTCAACCGTTTTTTCAACGTTTAATCTCAGAGAAAACGACGCAGAAATTTCGCAATTTGCGAGAGCCGCAAGGCTGCTGAACTGCTGCTGAACTTCTGCTGATTTCTTGCCACACATTCAGCAGGCTTGCGGAACTCTTGCTGCACTGCCTTTGTTCAGAGAAGAGTGGGCGGAGTCAGAGTAATGAGAGATATGGCGCAGCGCATAACCGACGAGATGTCGGACACCCGGATTTATGACCTCGTTCGAATTTTTCCTCAAATTCAAAACTTGTTGTTTTTAACAGCGTGTTATGAAAACTCTGCATCGAATATTTCTTTTATAATAGGAAATCGATAGAGAAAATAATTTTGAAAAGTCTAATCTAGACAACCTTAACGAATATTTTAAAAAAAATAAATAAAAAGTCCGACATTTTTTCACTTCTGGCAGCATTTGCGCAAGAGTTTCGCAATTTTGCGGGAGGGAAGTGTCAGGCCTGCTGATATTTTGCCGCAGAAATGCGTGTTTTTTTTGCGAGAATCCTGCGCCGTTTTCTCTGAATTCAACACAAGAAAACCGGGTAATTTTCAGATGCCAGCAAACGAGAATTATAAGCGAAAAAGTAATGGACGTTTTCAAGACAATGAAGCAGTTTCCAACAAGAAAATGAGAATGTCGATGGGAAATGAGGAAAATAATGAAAGGGCCATGTCGCCAGAGACACTTATTCATAATGTGAGTTGTTTGATCTTACAGTTGCTTCTATTGTCTTCAATTTATTTGATTTTCAGCTCGATGACGTAATATCCCAAATTTTGAGTCAAAAAGATTTGCCAGAAGCTGTTCAACTTGAGCTCAAAGGTTTTGATGCATCAACAGCTTCAATGGAAGAGTATAACAAAAAACGCGATCAAATTCGCGAAATGTTGCGAGATTCGGCGTTGTTCGACAAGAAAATGGAGTTGAATTTGGAAGAGGCAACGATTGCCAGCGCAAAACTTGAAGTCGACAAACGAATCACAACACGAAGAATGAGTCGTAAATTTCATGAAGAATGTGGTGTGCAAGAAAGTGATATTCTCTACAAGGGTTTGGATTATCGTTCCACTGAAGCAAAAGCGAGCAAGGAACTTAGAGAGTGAGTTGGATTAGCATGAGCAATCCAAATTTTTTAATTTTGCAGCACAAGAACCGCCTCAATCATCGAATCGTGTGTAGATTTTCAAAAACAAATCCAATGGAAGATGAATGTTATGAACCACGTTAAAGCAAAGCAAGAACGTAAGTTTTTTGGGGATTCTCATCAAAACTAAATATATTGTTGTCCTTAGAACCCACTGAATCACGTCATTTTCCGAAATCGGATGGTCCAAGTGTTCGAACACGTGGCGGTCAAGACAGACAACGAGAAAATTTGAAAGAGCAGAAGAAGAAGATTTTGGAGCAGGCGAAAAATTCGAAAAACAGCAAGTCAAAGGATGGAGATCCATTCAAAACGCCGCAAAAGAAAGTGGAATTCAATGCGTTGGATGAGAGAAGAGTGGGTTTTTTTGTTTTGAAACGTGAACTATAACGTGAAGAACATTTTTGACAATTGTTTTTTAGATTATCGAGAATTACGCGCTTGAAGTTGCATCCGAACTTCGTGACACAAGTAATAAAAATCGTCGTCAAATTGCTCCAGTTCCATTCAACATCAATATTTTAGACGATGAATCAGATGATGAAGAAGTTCACGAAATGGAGATTGATTAAACCTTTTTTTCTCTCAATATTTTTGTTTATGATGATTATCTAATAATACATCTCGGGTGAGTTTACTTTATAATTCGTTAATTTGTCAATCCTGTTCTTTTTTTTGTCAATTCAATTTTACTTTTGTAAATACACATGTTGGATCTATCTATTCTCTTTATTTCTCATTTTTTCTTGTCCGGATCTTCTAAATGATTTTCGGCAGAGTTGAAATCTTTGACAATTGGCACCTTCTTCAAGTCATTGTTCAGTTTGTTCATCGATGTTTCGCTTGGACATGAAACCAATGCCACCGGCTCATCAACTGATTCTGCCGACATTGGTCCTTTTGCTCGAGCAGTGGCCATCTCTTCCAGTTCTTTCGCTGATTTCTTTCTTAGCTTATCTGCGGCCTGAAATCAAAACAGGATTTACTGAAATTATATTTGGGGTGCTACAGTAACCCTAACTCACTTTTTGATCAGAAGTTGACATATTATTTCGTATAGAGTTTTTGCAAGAACAATAATTCGAAAAATGCCGAGATTTTTGCTGGAAAAATCTAGATCACGCTTTTTTTCACGTCGATATTTTTTTCGAATTCCAGTTTTTTATTTGTTTTCAGAATTTTTCATAAGCATCTAGAAAATCCACGAAAAACAACAACACTTGGAAACTTTCTCTTTTTTTTTGAGAAATGACCAACCTACCTTTTTTGTATGAATAATAATAATATAAAATAAGGATATTATAATTGAGACCAGCCTGGATAATTACCTTTCCGTTCTCACTTTTCCTTACTTTCTCAAATGTACTTTTCATACCTTTTCCTTTTCCTATTCCTATTTTTTAATCCAACACTTAGCCTAAATCTACTTTTCTATGTTCCAACCTTATCACTTAGCCATGTGTCTTTCAATTTCAAACTTGCTGAAATTTTGTCCAAATATGAGCATAATGTAACATTGCTCATGCCAACAATCGATGATACTGTCAATTTTTCCACCGAAAAATTCGAGATTTATCGAAGAGATGTTGGAGTGCCGAAAGGTTATTTGAGACGAGTTTTGTGGAGTAATCCGGGACCTTATGAAGATAGCTCACCTTTGAATCCGAAGATTATTCAAAAGTTAGTCAAAGTATCCAATACTTTTGTGGATTCTTGTCATCGTAAGTGTGAAATTCCAAAAAAATTTTTGAGACAAAAAAATATACAAATAATTTTAGATATGTCTGAAGATGCAGAGTTTTTGGAATCACTTCGAGGAAAATTCGATATTGGTTTGGTTGAACAATACGATTCGTGTGGATTTGGGATTTTTAAAAAACTTGGGATAAATTCGACGATTTGGTTGTCGGCAACTGCACTCTATCGACCACAAGCAAATAATATTGGTGTAAATTTACCGTATAGTTATGTTCCAGGTATGTTTTAAAGGGATACGGTAGGGAAGTTTATTTGTATTAGATGATAAATTTTCCAGAACTATTCGCGCAATTCAGCGATGAAATGACATTTCTCCAAAAATTCGTCAACATTCTAATTGGTCAGACAACTTCAATTCTCCTCGAAAACTTTGTGCAATCTCGACAATCTAAAATCTTCGGATTTGATTTATCCGAAACTATCCAACAAACCTCATCAGTTCTTGTAAATTCTGCACCATTTTTCGATTTTAGTATGCCAACAAGTCAACAATTCTCAAATATCGCCGGGTTTACTGTCGATAAAAATCCACCAAAACTTGATTTTTATTGGCAAAAAATCGCCGATGTTCAAAGTTTTATTCTAGTTAGTTTTGGAGGAATTGCGAGAACTTGTGACATGTCAATTGAAATGCAACAAATATTTTTTGATAGTTTTTCAAAGTTTCCAAATATCACTTTCATCGTTAAATATGAAGTTGAGCCGAATTTTGATATTCCGAATAATGTGATTTTGACACCATGGATTCCTCAACTACCATTAATGGCTCATAAAAACTACCGTAGTATTATAACACACGGTGGATGGAGTACTATTTTGGAAACTACAATATTTTCAAAGCCAATGATTCTGATGCCACTTTTTGCAGGTAATTTTTTTTGTTTATAAAAAAGTTTCTAAGTTTCCAAATATTTTGAACATCTTCAGATCATGCAAAAAATTCCAAAGTAGCTGAATCCAAACAAATCGCAGTACTTCTGGACAAAATGAATTTATCGGTCTCGAAAGTTGTTAAAGCAATCGAACTGGTTTTGGAAGACTCAAAATTTGCTGAAAATTGTCAAAAATTTTCGAAAATGTTTTGCGATCTTCCAATTTCTCACGAGGAAATGATAAATTGGAGAATTCGACGAGCAATGAAACCACATTCGGAAAAATTTTTGAAGCCTAAAGAACCGAAATTTGAATTTCTGCAGTGTTCAACATTATTTATAGTTATTCTATTTATTTATTCCAAGTTGAAAAATATTAATATTCACTAATTAATAAATTATTATTGCTCATGTTAGTGGAAAATATTAGTAAAAATTGTTAGTTGCTGAGTAAATCTCTAACTTCTAAACAAGCATCAGTCAAAGATTTTTTGAAAAATTGCAAATCAGTTCGTCTATCAGATTTGAAAGCGCTTGGTGCGAAAACAATTCGATTTGGTTGAAGATTATATGAACATCCATAGCCATCTCGAACAACTGCACCATAACAAAGATAACTATCAGGAATATCGATTGATGTTGTTACTTGACTTGTTGACAATGGGAATCTCATAACTTCACTCCACAATGGATCGAGAAATAATTCAGGAATATCTTCACCGGTTGCTTCTTCTCTTTCTCGAGCCAAACAATAAAGTGCGCAAAGATGATTGTCGATTCCATATCCAGTTATATTCTGAAATTCAGGGGAATGAGATGTAGAAATGTTTTTAAGAAATATTTTTTTTCAGCATTGACCAAAATCATACCTCTACAGTAACCTGAGCTTGTTTCTGCACCGCCTTTTTGAACAATTCCAACTTTCTCTCCTTTGTCACATTTTTAGTCATTGAAGTAACCCATTCCAATGCTTGTTGTGTATTTGCTCGAATATTATCAACTCTTCCACATCCAAATCTTCGAATTGATGCGGATTCATAAGTCGAAACTAGATGTCCATGAGTTTTATAATGTGCAAGTTGAAGAATTAGTTGAATAAAACCATCAGGGCTGATTTTCCAATTCTTAATCGCATCTTTCCCAAATTCTTCAAAAATCAAGACTTCTAGTTCTAAATCTTCAGCAAGTCTATCAAAAATATGTTTCTGTTTGGTCAGCAAATTTCTCGATGTTTCAGAAAAATGCCAAGTCAATGATTTTGGATGAATATGTCTGATTGGATCATGCATCAAATTACTCTTAAAATATTTCTGTCCATATCGAATTGCACTTTCAGCCATATTTATAATAACAATTCCTTCAGCTGTCGAATGTTCGATACATAATCCATTTGAACCATTTGATGATACAACTAATTGAATTGTTGCATCATACCATCTATTGAATCCGAAATTTTTGGAACCATAGCCTGTTAAAGTGTGATATCCTCGCAGTACAAATTCAGCTTCTTTAATCTTTTTTGGATCATTTCCAAAATTTGGATATAAAGTTTGATCATCCATGTCCAAACAAACAACGAAAAGAGCGGATTTGACCCATTCATAAGATTTTTGATTTTGTTCAACGCTCAACATATCTTGCCAAAAACGAGCTGCATCGTCTCTTTCACCACTTGCACATGCTCCAATTGGAATCGTGTTCTGAAGTGAAAATACAATTTTTCAAATTCCTATCTACCGCATCAGATTCAGCAAACCTACATTCTGATTAATCATCGAAATCTCTTCAATTTTTCTGAGTTGATGTTCAATATCAGCAGTCGGTACAAGAGTTCCATTACATCTTGTGTGCAAAATGAACGATTGATTTCGACACATCACAAGAACATGTTCATTTCCCTCATATGTTTTTGGTTTTCGAATCTGAACATCTTCTCCAATTCCAGGTTGACGATAACAATTCATAATTCGTTCATATTGCTCCATGCACATATGAAGTTTCTGAGCTCCGGTTGATTTTTCGCGCTCGATTTGTTTTCTGAAAATTGGAACTCTTCTACGTTTTGATTTGAAAATTATTTACTCACGTATCAATTTGATTTTTATATTCAACTAATCCACGTGTCAAAAGTGCTGTATACTTCAAATGTTCCTCTTTTGTCTCAAACTTCATTTTCGGAAAAATATATCCTGGATTCGAATTGATCGGCGTCGGTATTCTCACTCGCATATACATCTCAGGCAACCAATATTTTGTCGCCCAATTCGGTGAACTTTTCGATATTTCGACAAGTTGTTGTTGAAGTGGAAATGCTTGTTTGGTGAATTTTTGAGCCGCTTGATGAGTTGTTGCCAAAGAGGCTTTCTGTCCACATGCGACGACTGCAGCATATTCGAGATATCGATCGAGAGTTGACTCGAGCGTCGGAATTGGTGGCTTTGGCAGAGATTTCTGTGAAATTGATGGGGATTTTTGAGGATCAACATTTTTTTTTTCAAAAAAAAATGTGTTTGTGTTCAAAAAAAAAGCTGAATTTTACCCTAGATTTTTGTTCTTTTTCTGAAACGGAAATAGCGCGACATTCTGTCATGTTAATTACTAAAAATGCCACTATCCATTTTCACAAATGCCTGTTTTTGGAACACGTTAGAAATTTCATAAAAATTGTGAAAATAGAAATGCAAAATTTTGGGGATTCCCATTTCTCTCCCTTATAAATAACGAAATCACTGAAAATTTGGCGTCACATCAAGAGAAAGGATCACATAAAAAATATAACAGTTGGGAACCCTGAGATTCTTTCAAAAGGTTGGCACAAAAATAGAAAATTTATTGAATTTATTGATCAATAATTTGAATGACTTTTACAACGACACTCCGCTTACCCGCTGTTTAGCGCAACATCTCAGGGATTTGAAAATGTTAATCGGCGAGCAACTCAGCGGACAACTTGAGATTAATCTCGTTTCAATCGCGTTTTAATCGCTTGGTGTGCGGTAGAGCGAATTTGCTCGATTTCACAAGAAACATCCTTCTAGAAAAAAAAGTTCGCGCTGAGGTAAAATCGAACCCAGGTCTCACGGGCGGCAGCCTGAGACTCTACCACTTAACCAAAGGCGCTTTTCTAGAGTTGCATCGAATGCTGGTCATAAAGTAACTAGAATCTAGGATAGGTTTTGGCCGTGGCCGCGATGAAAAAGTTGTCCGCCGATTAATCGTTCGGCGGAGTTTCGTTGTTTCTTCAAACGATTAATTGGCGATGAATATTTTCATCCCATTTTAATCGCTGACAACTATTTTGTCCGCCGATTAACATTTTCAAATCCCTGAGGCACGAGAATATTTTCATTTTTCGTTTTTTTCGCAGGGTTTTCAGGTTTCCGGGGAAAAACAGTGAATTTCAGTCAAAAATTGAATTTTTAGATGTTCTACAAGTCTGCAATTACCGCTTCCAACAGAAAATCCAAGGATTATCGGAGAAATGTGGGTTTTATCGATGATTTTTGTGTGATTTCGGAAATAGAAGCGATTGGTGAGTTTTTTGGGGAGGGATTTCGGAAAATTTGAAAAAATCGATGAAAAAATTCTGTAAAATTTGAAAAATATATAAAAATTATGAAAAAAAATCTTTGAAAATTGAAAAAAGTTAGGCTAACTTCAACTAAACTTCACGAAGAGAATACTAGTTTCATTTAAAAACAAAACAATCAAAAATCTGAAATTCAAGATAACTGTTGAAAAATACTCGAAAACATTTTTTCTCAGATTTTTGATCACCCATTTATTCAGCCGGTTGCATCAAAAAAAATTGAACAAGAATATTATATGAAAATTTCTAAACGTATTTTTCCCGGTTTCTTTCCTGGCATGTTTTTGAAAAAAAAAATAAAAATATTCAAAAATATTTTGACTCTAAATAAAAATTTCAAATGTTACTTATTTCCAAAACCAAAAAAACTCACTTTCACTGTTGTCAAACAACGTTTGAATAGAAATAATCTCATTGAAATTCTTCAAGGCTCTCTATTTTTTGGGGATGGTTTTGGTGAAAAATTGCCTTTTTTAATTAGCTGACTTCTTTTTTTTCGTTCTTCTTGAAAAAGGGGAAGAAGACAAGAAAAATTGGAAAAAAAAGAGGAGAAATTTGTAATTAAATTGAAAAGGTGTCCCAATATTCCTTGGGGATTTTTGTAGAGATTTTAGTACTACTTCTAGAGATTTTGAAAGGATTTTCTCAGGGAACTCACCTCATACCAGCCACAACATTCCTTCTCATCTGTCATTCTGAAATTCTTGGTTGTTATTAGGAATAAAACATTTTCAGAAAATCTCCAACTCATTTTATTTCATTTCCAGCACTTTATGAGATCAAGAAAAATAAATTAATATATTTTGGCCGATTATAAATTTTTTTGGCAAAAAAAGCTACTTCAGGGAAGAAATACGGGAAACATCTACCATTGTGGATTAAGAGGGTCATAACCAGCCGGGAATTCTGGTTGTGGTTGGGAACCACCATTTTGATAGGATTGCTGAGTGTCCCAACCCTGATAGGTCTCATTTATAGTAGTTTTCTGGGGTTGCGAGTTTTGCGTTGTGGTACTATTATTCAATTGTGTCATTTCATTTGGTTGTTGTTGATTTTGTGCCAAAGCATCATAAGTGTGAACTTTTCGCAAAATAAAAAGAACTGGAGCATATGCAACATTTGTGACGAAAATGACAATGTTGAGAGCAGTGAATCCGAAATTTGTGACAATCCATCCAGCGATAATTGGTCCGAAAGCGTAGGCAAGAGAATATGAGATATCGGCGATGGCATAAACCGATCCGTAAACTGAAACATGTCTAGTATCCACTAAATGTCCTAACATTGGCAAAAGAGAAGTGTCGATTAATGCAATTCCAAAACAAACAAATGATAATGGGATAACTAATTGCATAACACTTGTTGTATATGGAATTGTGAAACATGCAATTCCTTCCATCGCCAAACCGCTCATCGCAATTGCCCAAGTATGATTTGGATATAATTTGAGAAGTTTGACAGTCGCATAAACTCCGAGAACATGAGGGAAGAATGGGGGAAGCCAGATGACACCGATTAACCAGCCAGGAGTGTCACTCATATTTTCAGCAATCCATGTGCTGATTGTTGGTTCGAGGAAAGCGAGAGACACATTTGCCATTATTAGAGCACCGGAGCAACAGGCGATGAAGGGATCCATAAAGAGGCGCCACATTGGAGTTCCTGAAAATGCAAAGGTTTAAAAGAAAAATTGAGTAGGAGTGATGGGATTAGGTTCAAGATAAGAGTAAAAAATTTGTTCCTGAATTTTTTTCAGAAAAAAATTACCTTGAACTTTTTCTCCTTTCTCATCAGTTTGCGCAACTCGATGTGGATTAACAACCATAAAAACAGCAATAGCATCAGCGAGACAAACAAATGCCAAAATCAAAAATGGGACAGGTTTTCCGGCGATCGAATAAAGAACACTTCCAAATGGTGGAGCAACCAAACAACCGAACGAAATGAATGCGAGAGCAATTCCGAGAGCTGCTGATCTTTCGCCTTCTTCAGTGAAACGATCAGCAATCATTGCGAGACCAGAAGTGTCGGCGAATGCAGAACCGAATCCCTGGAATATTGATTTTTGATTTGTTGATCAGGTGGTTTTGGGAAAAGGATAATTGAGTAAATTTCGAGAAACCACATTTTTAAAGAAATGTTTTTAAAAAATTTTGGCCGTTCAAAGAATTTATTTCATTTTATATATATTTTTTAAAAGTTCTACTCTTTTCAAAAATTCCTAAAGTTTTTGACAAAAAGCGAGATTATTAGAATTTCTGAAGTGAACCAGATTGATCACTCTTTTAAGTTTTTTATCACTTTATCTCCAATTTTTTTGAAAAGTCTGAATCGAAACATTTTTTGAATAGTTTCTGATTCAAAAATCACACTTTCCGAAACTTCGGGTTAGGTTCACAATTTTTCCTGTTTTCCCAAGTCGGATTTGAAATTTGCTAAAAAACTTTTTTTTCAAAATGTTTTCTTAAATTTTCACGTGGTTCACGTCATAATTTTAACATTTTTTGAATTTTCCACATTCTTTTTTTTCCCAAAATTCCCATTTCACCACCATCATCATCATTTCCAAGATCCTCTCTGACATCACTCGTTTTTCCTCAAATTCCCCCAGGACAATCTTCCCTCAACTATATTATCACCGAAATTCATCTTTTCTTTTCATTTCGTAAAAAAAAGCAAATTCTCTTCGTTTTTTTCCATCTTCTTCTTCCGCAAAAGCTCCAGTTAATTAGCACCAAAGAAAAATGGAGAAGACACGAAAAAATAAGGACAAAAATTGCATGTTTGATTTTTTTCAGTCAGCTATTTTTATACATTTTCGGGTTTTTTCGGGTGGTCGGAAAAATGTAAGAGAGTGAAATTCAATTTTGAAAATTGGTTTTTCTCGAAAGGAAAAATGGACAAACCTGTAAACTTCTGGCAAATAGCAAAACTCCATAACTTTTTCCAAGTGCAAAAATAGCTGTTGAGAAAAACATTGTGCATAATCCAAGAATCATAGGAATCTCATAACCAATTCGATCAATAATATATCCGGAAAATGGATTGACAAAGATTTGTAGTAAAGCTTTTGATGCAAATAACCATCCCAATTCCAATTCTTCATCTTTATAATCAATTCTTCCACCAACTGATCTTACTAATATTGTGCCATTTGGTAATACTGTAGTTTCATTATGATATCCTTCAAATGACACTTCATAATTATGAATATCTCGAAGATATTTTGGAATAATTGGAACAATAACCATATATAACATATTATCCAAAAGAAGAGCGATCGAAACGATCACCAATACACATTTCTTTTGATTTTCTTGAACTTCTAGCCATTTTTTCGCTTCGGCTTTCAATAAATCCGAATCTCGATTGATAAGTGGCACGTTGAAACCCATGGCCCCTAGTTCTCTCTACCCTCGGCGGCGACCCTGCAAAAAATATGAATAGTTTCAGTCAGCAATTTCAGACTCAAGAAAAATATGCACAACAACGCGGGCGCGCGATAGATTAGAGAGGCCCCGAGGGAGAGAGACGCAGAGTTGCGTGGAGGCCACGCCCATCCACGTTTTTGCCGCGCCGCGCGATGCATATTTTTTTTTGTATATGGAAATAAAGGGATGAGTTGGAGATTTTCTGATTTTTTTTTGATTTTGAAGAACACTTGGGAAAAATGACTTACTTGATTGGATTCGGATTGATTTCGAGTTTGATCAGTTTTTCATTCCAAGGATGAGGAAATCTGAAAAATATAGATTCTGGATGAATTTTCAAGAGAAACGAGAGTTTGAAAAAAAAAGAAAAGTTCAGAAATTTAGAATTTGGAAAAATGAAAAGTTGGAAAATATAGGAACAGCTTGAAAAAAAATGATACATAATTTTCGAGTTTGGGAAACTTTTTTGTTGATATTTTCCAGATTTTTCAGAAGAATATGGAGAAGAACAATTGAAGTTTATAAAATTATAGCTTTGAAAATTATTAAATGAAAATGTGATGTAGAACTTTTCTTGAAATCATCAGATGCTTAAACTGAAATTCAGAAAAAAATGAATTTATTATATTTTTTAAAACGTCTCCAAAAATGTTCAAAAAATCAAAATTCTCAAAATTATCGCTCTACAAGCTATAAAAAGTTTGAAAAAAACTGGTTTTTGATGCGGAGAATTTTTGTAGCTCTCATTCTTAAAAGTTAGATTTTTAAAGTTTTGGAAACTCATTTCTAGTTCGAAAAATCTCAATCAAACATTTAATGAAAATCCCAGCTTCTGAAAACCATTGGTTGAAGTTTCGGAAATCGGGAAAAATATTAGAAATTGAAAATTATTTCCAGAAAAAAGGTTTAAAACTTTCAAGCTCAGTCTCTAAAACTTCTAAAATATTCAAGCTCCTTTGACTCCAAGCCAAACCCAAAATCCCACGCAACAAAAAAAAACAAGCACAAAAAAAATTCAAAAAAAAAGTCCTCTTCTTATTTTCGCCGTATATAATTTTTTTTGTTCCTTCCCTTTGTTATTTTTTCGACGATCGCCTTGGTGCCAATTGAAAATGTGCATGATTGATTCGATGACTATTTTTTTCCAAAAAAAAAATAGATTCTATAAAAAATATCTGGTACAATAAATATACTATGAAAAAATAAAATAAAAATTGTTTTTTTTTTCAAGCTTCGCAGAAAAATGAGGCTCATTAGGTGAGTATTCAAGAGACAAGAAACGGATTTTTTTTGCGAAAAATGAAGGATTGGCTAAATTTGAGATGAATATGAAGAAGGGAATATATTGATTTGAGAAGGAAAAATAAAAGTGCTGGCTGAATGGATTAGAGATTTTTGTATTTATTACAAAATACAAAACCACCTTACTATGCAAAAAAATTGGGAGAAGATGGGGGAAAAAGCATTAAAAGAAACTGGAAGATTCCCACATTTGAAAATTCTAGAAAAAAAGAAATTTGAGTCTATAGCTTCCCACGATCGACTGCCGTCATATATTTTCTTTATTCACTTTTTTATATTCAGAAATCTAGAATGTATGTGGAATTTTCTGGCAATGAGAGGGAACAGAGGAATATTAGGTTTTTAGAGTTTTCAATCGCTGAAACTTTTTAGTTCTGAAAATTGGAAAGTGTTATAAATTCTTGGAAAATTCATTGAAAAATATTTAGATTTGTTCGAACTCTCAAATCTTATAGATTTAAAAGTTTGAGAAATTCTGAATAATTTCTGAAAATATATTCATCTGGTTTTGGTGTTTCCGGAACTTCACAGCGCTTTCGGAAATTTTATCTGAAGAGCTGAGGAATTCCAAAATTTAATATTTCAAACAGATTTTTTCCTGTTGATATTTCAGATTTTTTGACCCAGAAACCTTGAATGTCTTTACTAAAATTCAGATTTTCCGAAAGCTAACATTTAAAAAATTCAGAAATTCACAATTTTCCTAGTTCCTACTCTAAAATTTCACGTAACTTCCAAGAAAAGTTTCCTTGTAAGCGAAAAAATGTTGGGAAGAAACTTTGGAAAAACGTTTGTGATTGAAAAGAAATTGTGCACAAATCTGGTTATCTTTTCGTCTTTTTTCGTCGTCGTCAGCCAAAAAACTTTGCTTTTTTTCGTCGAAAAACTCGTATACTTTGAATTTCTAACAAGTTTTTTTGGGAGGAATTTCTGAAGAGTTTTGAATGCTTAATTTCTTCTGAAAACTCGAAAAATATACGAAATAAAGAAAAATGAAATGAAAGGAAGGAAGTTCTGATTGAGAAAAAATATATATATAATTATGAGAAAAAATATGTATGAACAGGTAATATTTGACGACAGGAAAAATAAAAAAATGGGAAAATAAATATTTTGGATTTTGGATCGATGCAATTTCTCCTGGGATTGGAAAGCTTCCAAAGAAATTCTTGAATTCCAATTTGATCTGGGGAACAAAAATTTGAAATTCAAAATGAACAAATAAAACTTGAGCGTCTCTAAAAGGTTTCAAAACTCCAATTAGAAAATTTTCAAGCTTTAACAAAGTTGAACTATGAATTCTATTGGAATGTAGCTGCACAATGTTTTCCACGACCCAAAAACTAAGCTAAACCAAACTAAAAAAACACAAAGTGTGAAATCCTTCCCTCTCCCCCCCAAAAATCCGCCCATTTCTCCACATTTTTCCCCATCCATCCAACCAAAAAATATACATACATGTGAAATAAATGCATGTATTCCCCCGGGACCATTTTTCCCCCGAAAAAACGGCGACTCCACAAAATCCAAGCCGAGGAGGAAAAAAGTTTTGCGAAATTTAAGCGAGCAATGATTTCAGTTGTCGTCCATTATAAATCAACCAATTCTTCCGTTCCCCTATTTTTTTATTTTGGAGCGAAAAATTCGGAGAATTTGGAATTTGGAATTTGATGAGATTTTCCGCTTCGAAAACGATTTTCTTTTCTTTTTATTTTTTTTTTGATGGGGAAGGGTGGAACTTGGATTTAGGAAATTCGGAATCCTAGAGCAGGTCCCAAGTTCCCTGGAAGTGGGGACCTACATAGTTCTGTGGTAGTGTCTGGGGACCATGTTCTACGATCCACCCGGAAACCCTTTGGGAAAAAATTCCTCCAAAAAACGTCTGACAATAGACAAAAAAAATGAAATCATTTTGTTTTTGGTTGACGAAGCTTCTTTTCCGAAACAAAATTCAATTTTCACACTTCTTCTTCCCTCCTTCTTCTTCTTGAAGCCCGAAAACACAAAAAATAGAAACACAAATTTTTCTGGGAAAAAAACTTCTCATGAGATACGATTTTCTGCTCGCCTAAATACGAAAAAAATTGGAATATGCTGAGAAATTGGCAGATCTCTTTTTCTTTCTTCTGTTAATTGTGGGATTTGAGATTGAAGCTTGAAAAAAAGGGTGCAATTAGGTGAGGAGCGAGAGGAGGAAATTTTGAAAAATATTGTTTTTTTTTTGAAAAGGGAATCTTGATGATGAAAAGCTTGGCGTTAAGTGAATGAGGATGCGTGGATTTGAGAAGGATTGAATTTCCAAGTTGAAACGGATACTTTTTTGGAAAATATGAGAGAAATCTGATGTCATTGGTGAAAAAAACATTGATTTCTCGAAAAAAAAATGAGGAAATTTATGTTTCAAATCTATATTTGAAATTTCATGACGTGGCAGAGTTACCTGAACTTTTATTTTTTAGATTCTGAAATAAATCAATTTCAGAATTCGAAAAACATTGATCAGCTATTTGAATCTTGGTCACTAACCAAATTCCAAAAAATACCTGTCAAGACAAATTCATGTCAAAAGTCTGAACAGAAACTTTTACCAAAAAAATCGAATCGTGCAAAAAGCAGATTTCAAAAACGACTAAAAATGACAAGATTTGTTGGATGAGTAGATAGATAATCCTTGAATCGTCGCAGAAAAAAAACGAGAAAAATCATAGGTTTTTATTCGTTTTCCTCGTTTTTTTTTCTCGAAAAATAAAACACTGAACGGAAATAAAAAATGGTTTCCATCGTTTCGACGAAGCAATGTTTAAAATAATAATGAAAATAACAATATTCATATTTGAATATACATATTTTGGGAGGAACCAGGAGGGATGCGCAGACAAAAAGGGGCTCTGAAAAAAACGAGAAATTTTCAAGCACGGCTTTTGGATGGATGGATGGATGAGCATTTGATTTTATGGGATAAATGTTTGACGATTTATTATATTATATGTATATGAACGGAATAAGAAATGGGAGAAAAAAAGAAAAAAACAATAGACTATACATTTTTGAATTGAATTGAATTGGTTTTGAAATTGGATTGTTTCTAGGGGGGAATCACAGCAAATTTTTTCCTACGTAAATTTTCATTGCACACATTTGAAACTACAGTAACCCAAAAAAATAAATAAATAAAATTGCAAAGTGCGGCACACACATTGGCAGAGGGAAAATTGCATCATTTTTCTTTTTGTTTTTCGCTTGTTTCTTTTCGAATTTTTTCGAATTAGTGCGTTTTCGTTGATTTTTCTTGGATGTATTTCAGTGTTATTGTTGAACGGTGTTGTTATTCGATAAGATGGCCAAATTTTACACATAGATATAAGTTTTTAGGTCGTAAATTGATATTTTAGGCCAATGTAAAATTATTGTTTATTGATTTCTTTACATTTGCATTGAACATACCATTGTTTCATTATGTTTTTGCAAGAAGCTTAGGTTTCCTATCATTAGTCTAGGTTATACAATCCATGTGGGAGTATTTTTCGAAACACGCTTTCCAATTATTTCATTTAATAATTTATAAATCACAATTTTCATATTCTGTTCAACTAATAAATTAAATTTCAGATATGTTGAGCATATATTGGAGTTATTGAAAGGTTGGCGACGCAATTATTCAATATTTGGATATGGATTGCCGATATGGATTGGGTTTGTTCTGGATATGGATTGGATTTTGATTTTTGATGATGGAGTAGGTGTGGATGTTGATGGAACTTGAACGTCGATTGAAGGATTATAACAAAGGTGAAATTTATGCTTCATTTCAGGTTGATGTATTTCAAAATTCACGAAAAGTTATAATTGTCGACCATCTTGTTGTTTAGCAGAATTCTGGTGAAGACTCTTCTAAGAATAAGTTCTGGATTTTTCGCCGAAGCATAACTGAAAAATGAGATTTGTTGTCAGAATGTTTTGACAAAAACTCACTGTCTGAATAGGGCATTAACATATGCATGAATTCCTTCCACTCCTTGTTCCGAAACAAAAGCCCAAGAATCAAACATCTTTACGAAATCTGGTACATGTTTATCGAGCATATGGAATTTGACAATCGGATGGTCTTCAGGAACCGCGGCAATGAGTTCAGAGCAAAATCCTTTCAACGATGCGTCGAATTTGGCATGATCATCGGCATCGAATCGCTCAGTTTTGCACATGCTCATTATAATTCCGAGATGTTTTGCTGCTGTTCTTAAGTGCTCCAATTGTGGAGTACTCGGAAATAAATCAAACATTGCATCTATTGCTTGAGGTTTCAGCAAGGCATATGTCTGATTTCCATTAAATTTCTGCGTCCAAGTTGACATTGATCCACCATGTTGTTTCCAGCAGTCTTCCAATTTTTTCCTCCATACGCCCGAATTGCTTGTCACAGATTGTTCGAACAAAGATTTCTGAACCTCCAATTCTACTATTTCTTCTTTTAGAGCAGTAATATAAGCATCGGTTTCAACAATGGTTTTTTCCAACATTTCCTTGACGTTCAAGTTTGTCTTATTCTCACATATCAAACACAAAAATGGCTCATTTGGATCTTCAAAACGAATCCGATCGTCTGGCAGCCAAATTCCTGCACACATGATGTGCATGAATCTGTGGCAATATGCACATTCAATATGTCGCAACGCTTTTCTCGATTTAACAGTAGTTTTGCAAGATTTATGTGTATAAATGCAAATTTCAGCATGACATGTTGGTGGTGGATTTCGAGCTTTTGATATTTTTCTACTGATTACACTAGTGACAGCCAATAGCATATCTTCCATTGATTTTTTGTCGCTGATCCAAGTTTTCAATACATTATTTTTGTTATCCAAGTTTTTCACCATTTCTTTCATCTTACTCTTTGTGTGGCTCAACTTTTCGAATTCAATGTCTGTCAAATTATCTTCTTTCGCGGCGAGAGTTAGCAAGAAAACAAAAATATATCGATCAGCTAATCCCATCAAGATATGAAGTGAAGGGACAATTACATGTGATAATTTCACTAGTTTGAAGATAATCACGGAGCCAATTTGTACTGAATTAGCACCAGTCAAAGCATCATTAGCATATGATTGTACTGTTCGAAGGATAGCATCTCCATTATAATCCCTGAGCTGTGTACATTGTCTGTTTACTAAATAGCAGAAGAAGCAAAATTCCAAAGAACTTGCGCCTGAAATGAATTATTAATTTTTGAATCCATAGACAAATCATTACCTGCATGCCCATGACACGAACAAAGGAATTTGATGTCGCCACCAAGCATCCATTCAACATCAATTGTAACAAGAACACCGTTCTGTTCGAAGCTGATTGTTTCCAATGAATTGAGTTGGTCCAACACATCAGGAATGTATTTCAGCATATTTTGAGCTGTGTCATCTGCACCGAAAATTGATATGACCAGAATATTATGACGACTATTCGGATTTGCAAGATGTACCAGAACAATAATTAGTTTCGTTGTTCCTCCTGAAAAAATACTTTGTTTGTCGCCTCAAGACATTTTCTCACCTCCTTTATCCCCGAACAATGCCAATTTTCTGCCAGCTAACAATTGTCCAGATTTTGCCAAATCTGTCATCCGAGTTTCGATTGCTTTTTTCACATTTTTAAGAACTCCAACAATAGTACCATCAGCATGGGTTCGAATCTCTAAGTTATCCGAATCCACCAGCTCTTTCTCGAGATTGTTCATTTTTTCCATTGAAGGGAAAGGATCACAGCCCGTTTTGACCCGAATAAATCTTTTTCAGCCGTACTACTTGTGATTTGGTAATATTCAATTGTGAAACAACATATACTGCATCTTCAACGTTGAGCTTGATTCTGAAAGCCATTTTATCTGATTTGTCTGCTTTTTTGATCACCGCGTGCAAAAGTGCCGAACAATCCTCCTCTTTCGAAATTTCACAAAGCATTTCCAAAGCTTCATCTGTTCGTTTTTCGATGTAATAGAAATTTTCCATTTCAGAAAACGCTTTTCCACGCGTCTCCTCTGTTGTTTCCGCTGGTTTTTTATTTTTGTAATAATTTATGGCATCATTTTTTTTTTCGATTTCTTTCTCGCAATTCAAAAACTTCTCGAGTTTTTTTGTCCAAGTCTTTAGTTGCAGTTTCTAGTCGACTTTCAATATTTTTTATCAGAATACGACCATTTGCTATTGTTCGGTGAAGATCCATGATTTCAGCATTTTTTGCATTCATATCTTGCTTAAAATGATTCAATCGATTCACATACTCTCGCCTAAGATTTTCCAATTCCTTGTTTGCTGCTAATAATCCATTTCTCAAATCAATTTCTGCCATGTGGTTATAAACATTCGATTCCTGTTCCCGTTGCCTTTTAATAGCCAGATCAACTTGCTTGTTTTCTTCAATATTTCGAATGTGTGTTCTTAATCTGGTGTTTTCTGACCGCAGGTTGCGCAATTCCCTGTCCTTTGTATTTATCTCCATTTTTAGAAATCGAACTTCGTCGGTGTCATTTGGCCTCGGCCTTTTTGCCGTTTCCTAGAATAAAAGTCACAATATAATTTTTTCAGATTTTCGTCATTCCCGGAGGAATTCTCAGAATTCATTGGCTCATCGAATGATATGACTGTGGCCTCGGAACATGTGAGTTTTTTTCAAAAATCACAGTTTCTTCTCAAAACTTGAAAGGAAAAAAATCATGTTAAAATTAAAATAACTCACCATTTGAACCAACTCTGAGATGAGAAACAAAAAAACTAACTTCTTTGATAAACATATTTTGTGGAAAATGAAATGACGTGTCACGTCACGTCAAAATAATAATATTCGTTCTCAAGTTTCAATAATTTTCATTCAATATCGATTGATATGAAAAATACAGTACTCAATAACTACAGTATCAGAGACCAACATTTTTCATTTCGTGACAGCAAATAAACTATTTTTCTTTTTAAAATGAATCCGCCAAATTATGAGCATAGTTTTACTTTCAGGTATCGGACAAATAATTGCTCATTCGCCACATCTTCGATTTTCAAATCAAAAGTTGTTCATCGGCGGTCAGAATGGATAAAACGTGAAGATTTTTGGTCGAAAACTTCTTGAAAATCGATATGACCGATGATCGATGAAAAAGTGTCTGAAATAGCGCAAGAGGAAAAGAATAAACTTCGGTCGATGGATTCTGAATTACACACAAATCCGGAAATTCTTTCTGAATATTTGAATTGTCTCACCCAATATGGGTTTTTCTGTTTTGACAGTTTGTGTTGTTTATAAATGAATATGTTTTTTTTTTGAAAAAAAATGATTCAAGTTTTGGCGACATTTCTTACAGATTCTCAAAATTCACGCTGTTTTCAAGTTTTTCAATAATTTCCTCTTTTTCATGAAATTTTAGAATAAAGCTGTTGCGACAAAATAAATATAACGGTTAGAAATATATATATAAATTGAGGATTTTTCATTTCCAGAACAAATGGGGATTTTTTTCCGGATAAATTGGGATAATGTGTAAGCCTTGCTGTTTTAATTGAGAAAAAATTTGATTTGTTATTTAAAAAATTCCGACCGACTTGAATAATTGGAATCTAATCACTTTTTTTCTTCCAAATGTATTTTTAAGTCATTAATCCTCTATTCCACCCGTTTTCGCCAATATTCTTTTGAAAAAAAAACATTTTTCCTTTTATTTTAATAATCATGGAAAAAACTGTGCGAGCTGTTGCAAAAATTGCAAACACGTGTGCGATGCTGTTGCACAATAGGCTCCACCCATTTTATTGTGCGAGCCCTTGCCATTTTTCTGCAAGGACGCAATTTTTCGGTGTTTAGTAGGAAAAAATTTGCTGTGCGGGAAATGGAGAGATTACGGTATTCAGATTTGACTTACGCTAACTTGATCATAACTTTACACAATATAATTTTTTTAGATTCAGAAACAGCAAAATGTATTTTTGATTATCCAAGTTCAAATCTTGAACCTTAAAAAATCTCTTTTAAAAATTCCTAATCGATAAAAAATTTGAAACTGGTACTTTCAAATTTTAATGGGACGATGCGCGAAGAAAAAAAACGTCAAAAAACGTGTTTCGAAACATAAAAAAACAATGCACGAAATGTCGCAAAACGTCGCGAAACAAGCATGTTTTTTGTATCGTACTGAAACCACAGACACTGGAGATCGATTCTTACAATGTTTTTACTTGTTAATAACAGTTTTCATCGTCATTTTCTTCGGAAACTTGAGATGTAGCAAATGTAATTTACAGATAATACTTTCATTTGACCAAGATTCCGTTTCAGAAGTTTTTATTACTTATTTTCGTGAATTAATATCCTTTTTCAACCCCTGATATGTTTTTTCTACAAAAACAATCTATATTTTTTCCACATTTTGAGAAAAATCATACTTGTTTCGCGACATTTCAATGTCGAAAAACTCGAGTTTCGCGACGTTTTGCGACATTTCGTGCATTGTATTTTTATGTTTCGAAACACGTTTTTTGACGTTTTTTTTCTTCGCGCATCGTCCCATAAATAATTTGTCACTAGTTCAGAAAAGCCACGTGGAAAATCTGAAAAATTTGGAAATCGAAGTTCAATTTCCAAATTGCCACGTTTTACAGTAGTTCACGGCGGAGATTTGATTTTTTTTTATTCAATTAATTTTTTCTAATGCCACGTGGAAAAAATCAATTCAATGAAAGAACTAAATTCGCGATTAATTCAAAAACTCGGAGAAAAACGTAAATCGTATCCATCTGCTTCATCCAAACAAAAACTTTCAATATATCAACTTTTTATGTGAAAAAGGAATGTGAGCTAGCGTAAAAAATTTTTCAAAAAAAAAACAACAAAAATAAAACCGGGGGATATGGTACAATTTCTTTTTGACTGATGTTATTTATCATAATAATAATTATTATGTGCTTCCATATTGAGCGTCGAAAATCGCCTTCAAAACTTGCATTTTCGCCAACTCTTTGGTTCTCGCGTCCAATTTACTCAATTTCAGTGCAATCATTCGACCGAATATCTCATCTTCTTCATCATCTCGATTTTGTGTCCATGGAAATATTCCGAGACTTGCAGCAGCTGCAGCGGCGGCCGCAGCATTTCGAGCTTGTCTGCAAAAATTTATGACTGTTTTTTAAAATAAAAATAAAAATTAGCAAAAATCTTACATTGGAATCGCTGGTTCTGTATGTCTTGCTCGTTTTGTTGGCGGTGCAACATTCGAAGATGTTGTTGATGGCGATGGTGTGACATTCATAGGAATCGGAATTGGTAAATGCGGTGGAGTTGAGAGTCTTCGACCATTCGATCGATTTGTTGTTTCTGAAGTTGTCTCTAACTTCAATGATGAACTTGATGCTGTAGACGCCGAATCTTCTACAGAAGACGATGTTGATGTATTTTCCTGATTTCGAATAATCTCATTTTCAATGAAATTGATAGTTGCTTCCATCGGCGAAACATCTCCTTCAAGTTTTGCTTCCAACGGTTCACTTTCATCAGTACTATAATTTTATATATGAGATAGATCCTATGAATCACCCTGGCCAGGAAAAAACTCACTGTCTATCTTTGAGATGTGCTTGAATAAATCGCAATGGTCGTTGAAATACCCAACTCGATGGTTTTTTCGAAACTCGTTCTTTTTTCTCTTCTTTTTTGTATCGATCTCGAAGGGTCTTCCAGCGAGTTTTCACGTGTTCTGCTGCAAAAAAATGGGGTTGGCAAAAGTTCAAACTTTTGTTTGTTTAACCATAAAATAAACAATATCCAACTTTTTTGCCGTTGGAAAAGAACAGGAAGAGATTGATTGAAATTCGCTTTTGTGATTAAAAATTTCAAAAAAAAATCCAAATCTTGATGAAACAAATTTTTATAAAGGCAGAACCAGAAAATGAAAAACTCAAAGTCTTTCAGATTTTTTTTGCAAATTGATTTTTAAAAATATTTATTTATTACGTGACCCAAAAAAAACCTACGTGTTGTCTCCAGCGCTTCCGAAATCTCATTCCATGCTGAATTCCGCCACGCAATCATATTATACCCTTCATCCGCTTGATCATATAAAAATGGACGAGATTTGACTTCGGCGATGAGGCGAATATTGAAAACGGGCGTCTCTTCAATTCGCATATTTTTGCTGCCCGATAATAGGAAATTGAGCTCCTTCATTGCGTCTGTGTCCATACAATCATCAGATGATGCTGATATTGTAGGTTTAAGTTCGGGGTCCATGGCTGGAATTTGGAAATTTTTTGGGTGAAGCTGGAAAAAGCGAGCAAAAAATAAATAAATAATTTCTCGTACTACGGTAGGAAAGAAAGTGTGCAAACATTTTATTTTACGCGCAGTTATTTTTATTTTTTTATTTTTGGGGCGTCCGAGTTTTTTCTGTTTTTCGTGGGTTTTCGCCATTTTTCTCGAATGGTTGTGATTCAAATAACAAAATTCACGAACTCTAGAATTACCGTAAGTTATGGAGTGATTCAGGTCGAAAAAACTTTACTCAATCCTGAACCTACTCCAAGAAAATTTCAGAATCTCAACGAAATTTAGATTCTCCAGCCCAGAGAAAGTTTCAACAAAACCCCAAAAAATAAATATATGTTGTTATATATAAATAGAAAGTAGTAGAAAATGGCAGAAAAAAAAACGCGGAGAGAATGTGAACCAACACAACCCCCGGTGCCCCTTCTCAAAGCGACAAAAAAACGAAGCAAAAAAAAGAAGAGAGCGATAGATTGGGGAATATCGAGAGACGCAGAGATAGACGCGCACGCACATGCGGCAAAAAGTGGTAACAAAATAAACAGACAAAACCGAGACGCAGAGTGTGTGCGGAAGGCGAATCGAGATGGCATTGCACAAAAAACACACGATGAAGAAGAAGAGGAGAAGATGGGAGAAGAGGAAGAGTGCTGAAGTATGTTGTGAGGCGGTAAGACGCGGAGAAAAACTATATTGTTAAGTAACCCTTTAACCTTCTTCTTCTTCTATCTCTCTCGCGGGTTCTTTTCGTAGTCACAGTGTCTTTTTTGTGTGTTGCAGTGGCAGAAAAGAGCGCGGCGGCGACGGAGGAAAAAAGACGACGGACTACAGGCAAATACAAAAGTTATTGGTAAAAGAAAAAAGTAAACCAAGGTTGACTTTTCGTAGCGCGTACTTGTTAAATATTTAGGTAGATAGAATCCAGATTGATGTTGGAGTTGAGTTGAGTTGGCGGAAAGCGAGAAGGGAACATCTTTAGAAAAGAAGGGAGGTTTCCGTAACTTAAAATTTCAAAACAAAACTTTTATGAAGATTTTATGAATAAAACATATTTATCCGAAAACAGTTTTCTAACCTAAATTAATTTTTTACATGATCAATCAAATCTTATTCCCAGTTGAACCAGTCCTTGTGTGATTTTGAGAAGCTTCACCAATTGTATTTTGTTTTGCCCCAGTCAATGCTTCATAGACACGTTTTATAGCGTTTCTGAAATTTATTTTCAAAAAATTTCAATTGAATTCTCATTTACTCACCGATATGAACTCAAACAACTACACAAAATAACGCAATCAAAAGTTGGGAACCAAATCAACGCGGCACTCGAAATAGTTCCGATAAAATTTGTACTTTTTTCGAGATAAGTACTGATTGCAAAAAGAGTTACGTGAAATCCGCAACAGAAAAAGACGCTAACAGTTTGTATAATGTGGTAGATCAGGATTTGCTTTTGTAATTTTCGAGTTTTTTCGCTGGCTGAAATTTTTCGAAGAGAACAACTGACGTATGAACCACAGAATATGATAACAGAAATCTGGAATTGAGGTTTCAAAAGTTAGATTTTGAAGTTAGGTGAAAACCCGCCTCAAAAAGAATAGTCAACAAGGAAAGTGAAAATGTCTTTCTAGCTTTGTTTACCAATGGATCAGTAGAATTTGTCTGAAAATTTTAAAACACGTGTTACTATACAGTAATCAACCGTACCCTAGCCGCATAAGCAACAATATTTTCAGTTTCCAATAATTTCAAAGCAATCATTTTCATTTCATCATCTGTAACTCCTTTTTTCTCCCAAAGTGCAAAAACTGCCAAACAATAAAGTGTGGGAAAAATCAGAATTGATGAAAATATGATGATTTTCAGAATCCTTGAAGTTGATGATGAACTTGATTGAATATTTCGGATGGAATAAAATCGAACAAGAAAAAGGGTCATTAAGACAGTGATTGACTGAAAAAATGAATTGGATCAGAAAAAGTCGGTGGAAAACCCACCTCAATGAACAAAAATGCAAAAATTGCAAGAATAATTTTTCCGAAAATTGTTTCTCCAGTAATCGAATACGAAAAATAGACATAAACATTATCAACAATTGCAAATCCAGGTTGAGCCCAAATATGAAATACACAATATAAAAAATCCACCAAACAGTATAATATGAGTAATGCTCGGAAATTATTCGTTTCCGCAGTTTTGACCGAAAAAATTATGAGAAGTGAAAACACATTTCCAACAATTCCAGATGTTCCGAAAATTCGAGAATTGTATTGGAAAAATTGTTTTTCGAATGACATAATTAGAATGTCTGATAGTTTTTTGTGCTTTACAAAATGAAATGATTAGATGAGTCGAAAAATGTGGTGCAAATTAATATCGGTTGAAAGAATTTGGTTTACTTGGAATTCGATGACTAAACTTTACTATTGGTTTGTTTTTCAAAAGAAAATCATTCAAGGGAAGGAGTGGGGCTGTTACTAAATTATTCTTTCAGACTAGAATGTCTTAGGAGACATTTATTCTCTTTGCACTTGATCAATTGGAAAATAATTGGAAAAAATTTTTAGGCCTCAAAAATAGAACTTATAAAGCTCTGTAAATTTGCAAAAATAGAGAAAGCCGGAAATTTTGTGAGATTCAATTTTTTTTTCCAGTAAATTTTGATTTTTACAAAAAATATATACAAAACAAAACCCGCAACAAATTTATTTTCAAAAATATTTTTTTAAAACAATTTTCATGGAAGTCTTGGAAGTCGAATCGGACACGGCAAAACACAGCAAAGCATTGGAGAATCACAGCAAACCTGAAAATTTAATTTCAGTTAGAGAATAGCTTTATTTTTTTTTTTTTTGAAGAATCCTCATACCTCTCCAACTAAACAACCACAACATAGTGCAAAAAGTGAGGTGAGCCAACAATTGTTATCAGATTGTTGTTGACGGCGCGGCGGTTCTTGCACATAGCTGAAATTTTTCAGAAAAATAAGAAAAAAAACGAGTTCTGATAACTCACATGACTTGCGGCTGATTGGGGTTATAATAACCTTGGGGATATTGTCCTTGTGGATAGGGATTTTGAGCCTGCGGGTGATAATTTTGCTGAAACAAATTCATATTCAAAAAAAATTCTAGAAAATCAGAACTTACTCCATTTCCATAATAAGGCATAGGTTGTTGGGTGTATGGTGGTGGAGCTTGCGACATTTTTGTGGTGCTCTGTGAAAAAATTATTTAAAATGAAACAAAATAAGGGAGCGAGAAAGTGTATGAAAAACGAGTACTGAATAAACAAGACAAGAAAAAAGGAAAAAAACTCTAACCCAAGCAATTTCGAAATACGAGAGAAGATGAGAGAGGAAGTCTCTTGTTTTTGCGCACTATTTCGCCCCTTCACCACACCCGAAAAATGACTGTACACAAATAATTTTATTTTGGTTGGAAAAATAACTTATTGATTTGCTTGTTTGTGTGATTTTTTTTTGGAAATTGGAAAAAAAAAACGGGGACCATGGAAACCTGAGCCATTTTTGAAAGCTCAGTGAGCAAATGTTGGTTTGATGGTGGATTTTTGGCACAAAGTTTTCCGAAGTTTCAGAAAAAAACGAAATAGTTTTTTGAAAAATACCATTTTTTCTTGAAAATTTTGTAAAAATTAAAGTTGTGATTAACTATAATGTAAACTACTGTAAGAAAAATCATGAGGCGGAAGTTAGAGCCTAAAGATTTCAGAACACACAGTCACAAACTTCTAAAAAAAAATTTCAGACATCTTGAATAATATTTTCAAAAATAATTTCTAAAAACTACAGAAATGTTTCCAAGTCATGAAAAAAGGGATTTTTCTCCCGAAAAATTATAACTAATCAAAAATCACAGTTCAAATCTTTATTCATTCGTTTATTATATTTACAAAGCTTCTTCACAACAACAACAAGTCAACCACGACCAGCAAACGCAACAAGCACAGCAACATTCACAGCATTTGCACATTTCGCAGCAAACTCCATCTTTGTCAGAAGGTGGAGGTCCAGGATATCTGAATTCATTCGAAAATCAAATTTAACAACTATTTAAAAAACATTCTTAACTTACCCAGGCCCCATTCCAGGTTGTTCAGTGAACACAGGTTGTCCTTGATATTCTCCTTGAGGTGGCGGCGGGTAGTCCATTTTTTTTTTGAGAAAAATGACTGACTGAATGAACGAGACTCTGTGTATTTTTTGTATAGTATTTGCTTAGCAACATGTAAAGTTCAACAAAACACGTTACTTTGGATTATTGCTCATGAATTGAGTTGGGTTTCGAAATTTACAGATTTTCAAGGACAAAAAAAAACAAATTTTTAGATTGCAGAGAAATTCGAACATTTTGAAGGGAAATTGGAAGTTTCGAAAAAAAATTCGATCTAGTTTTGATCCTAAAAATTTCTGAATTTTGAAGTGTTCCTCATTTCTAAAGAACTTCCAAGTTCAAAAATTCGAAAAGCAAGACTTCATTTAACAATACTTTATTATAAACCTGAAAATTTATGAATTAGAAGCAGCACAATTCCTCGCAACAGCAACAAAATGCGAAAAGCGATGAACACGCACAGCATGCCAAACAACAATCACAGCATCCTGAACTTCGCGAAGCTTGTTGAGGAGCTTGTTGATAACTTGAAAAAATTTATTGAATTTATTGAGTATGGTATGTTCCTTTAAGATTGGCCGCCAAATTTCGGTTTTTCCCTGAAAACTCACATAATCACTGGTTGCTGTTGTTGTGGATAATAAGCTAAAGGCTGTTGTGTGTACACTGGCTGCTTCTGATAACTTGCAAAATCTGGAACTCCTGGTGGAGAAGCCGTATAGAAAATTGGAGTGCTCATCGCAAAATGCTCACAATTTGCCTAGCAACTGTCTCCTTTTGCCATACCTTTCATTGCCCAAAAAACAAAAGAATAAATAATTTTTAAAAATTTTTTATCCTGATTTAAGTAGCAACAAAAGAAAATATTTACTAATATTCGACAAGAGAGTCATGAGAAAATATGAGAGAGAGAAAGTATTTACAACCGAATAAAGAAAAACCCGCGTGGGAAATGAAAGGGACCGTAGCAATTTGAACAGACAAGAAAAGGAAATAATTTAGAAATTATATGGTTACATTTTCATTTTTAGAGAGAAGTTTTTGGGGACATAGATCTCTTCATCCGATTCATCTAATGATTTTCCCCATCTTCGTTGTTGTTTTCGAAGATTTGAACGAGTGCATGGAATTGATGGAAGTGTTGATGTGACCGACGATGTTCGACTGATAGATTTTGTTGAAATCGTTGGTGACGAAATAAAATGTCTTGGTGGCGCAATCGATACATCAATACAATAATTCGATCCATTGTTATTATCCCAATAACTATTTCCAGCAACTTGATAGCTCACACAAAATTCGCATTTTCCGCTCAATAATTTAGCTGGCAATACAATCGTAAAGTTAAACGCATCAATATCTTCTGTCGCAAACATTCGATGACTATATTTTGCAATAACTTCATCAATCGTTTGCCAATTATCAGTTGTATATCGAACTGTGACACTTTTATCAAAAGCCAGATTTAGTAGATTGACTTGTCCGACGATCGAATTTCCAGCGGCGCGAAGAGCGCTTACACAAACATTTGATGCTCGAACCAAATTATTATATTCAAACTCGGATCGATATGCAAAATTAGTTACGATAAGTCGAGGTGTCTGTTGAATTGTTTGTGGAGGCGATTGAGATGTGCTTGTTTGTGGGAAACTGATATGATTGAATTTCTGGCATAATTCCTCATTCACAAAATATTGAAGGTTTTCAAGATCCAAACCAAGAGAATCAGCAAATCGAACACGTTTGACGTTTTGTTTCGATCTTGATCTTCGCAAAGCTGATGGAAGAGTTTTTGCGCGACTTCTGAAAAAAGAAAATGATTATTTCAAGATTTTATGGATTTTCAGACATTCTTCGGCCTGGTTGTTCTTCATCACAAACAATATGAAGTTTACTACAATATCTAGGCATATAGAAAAGACATTTCATACTTGAAACATCGAAAATAAACAAGTGAGGATTCTAAGACAAAGAAGAAAAGTGGGTTTGGCTAACTTTTAGAGATGCATTTTTTGCAAATCCGCACGTTGTTCTCAATGATGTCATGATTGGTCCCGGGATCATAATAAAAACAACTTTCAATAGAGAAAAGATATCTGATATCCTACTTACTTATTTCTTTTTTGTGGAGCTACGGAGTGGAGGACAAAGAAAAAAATGAAAAATGAAAATATTTTTTGGAACACGTTCATGTGCGCTCCACCGCAACACGTGCGAATTTTCATTTTTTGAAAAATGGTTTATTTTTACTTTTTTTTTCATCGAAAACATGTTTGTTAAAAGAGATGATTTCTTGATAAAGTTCAAAGTATTTTCTTCAAAAATCACGTACAAAATAACAACGTGTCATTGTGTAATAAATGATACTTTTAGCAAAGAAATAGATAGAGAAAACGATGTTTGTTGATGATAAACACTGTTGACCATGTTTGTAGACAAAAGCAGGTGGTAAAAACTCACATTCTATCAGAAAATGATGAATCCGTAATACTGTCATCGGATGAAAATCCGGAATCTGGGGAACATGGTTCAGAAAATGATAGGTATGGATCAGAAGCCGGCAGGCGAAGTTTCAGCGATTCTGGTCGAATTTTTGAAGAAACTTCCACGCTGAGCATTTCTTTCTGCAAAAAATGAAGAATTGTTGATAGAAAAAAATCGAGCGAAAAATAAAAAGTTTCAAAAAAATAGGAAAGTTTTTAAAGAAGACGACCGTTCACCACAAAAAATAAAAAATCAACTAAAGATTCTTTATAAACCGCGTACAGTATCCAAGGAAAAGATAGCAAAAAGTGGGCGGAGTCGGAAAAAAAGATAGGGAAGAATGAGAGAGAGTGTGTTTGCACCCAAAATGACACATGTTACCTTTTTTTGCTGTTATTGTTTTTGTTTTCCCAGATTTTATTTTGGGAAGGCGGGAAGATCAAAAGACGAAAATGGGAATGGAATATATGTCGAGGTGGGAAGTTTGCGCATTTCCGGATTATCTCGATTTATTTTCATAGAATTTATGAATGAAGAGATTATGAGAAAAATTTGAATAAATATTTCCGAAACTGAAAAATAAAGTGACCAAGGGCCAAAAAATTTTCATTTCATAAAAAAAATAAATAAAAATATTAATTTTGGTTTTGAAGAGTTTCACAAAGTCTCAAAGCTTCTGGATATTGAAAATAATTTAGAGCTTCAAGAATTCCCGTAAGGCCCTAATTTTATTTTAAACTTTTAACCCCCTAATCAAAATTGAACCATAATAAATTAATTATCGATTCAAATCTAAATACCAACACAAACAAATATAAAACCAAAACAAAAAATAGTTTACACCAAAGAGAATAGAATAAACTAAAACTAAGACAAAAGTAAACCAAAACCCATCAATCATTTCACCCAATTCAATCAAATTCATAATTCACACCCAAAAAAACTATATACAAAAATATAAAATATTAGGTGAACAAAGAATTGACCAGATTGAGATACGGAATATATGAAAAATATTTGAGAGATAGATCGAATTAGAATAATTTATTATATTTGCCCTATGTATTGTCTCTTTTGTTCCACAGATTACAGCAGAAAACAAAACTTTTTCGAAAAAAAAAGAAAAACTTTAAGAATCGATATTACATCAGGAAAAGATATAGGGTGGGATGGATATATGACAACAGAGACAAAAAATGAGCAGATAGATCTATGAATGAACGAATGACCCAATCGTTTAGAGAGGTCACTTTATACAATGGTCCGTTTTGTCGCGTTGTAATAGAGATTTGGCGAGATTGATGATGGATAAAAATAGGAGAAATAGTGTCTTTTTGTGTGTGACCGACTAGAAAATATGGAAATCCCAAAGGCACACACAAATCAAAATAAACAGACACAGATTTTTGATTGAAGGTGTTGAAAATTATGGGCCGTATAAATTATTGTATAAGATTTCTTTGGGTGCAAATGAACTTAGGAAGGGGAGAAGGGTTACTGTATGGATTACTGTAATTTTGAATTCAGAGAAAAAATGGAACCACTTTTTGAAACTTCTCAAAAACCTGAAATTAAACTGCTAATTTCGAATTCAATTGAACTTTGAAAAATTATTTTCAAGTTTAAAAATGAAGCTGAAGATCTGAATTTTGGGATTTTTTGAGCTACTAGATTTTAGGCGCCAAAAATTCCTACATTTCCTAAATTCAGAAGTTTCTGAAAGTTTTGATCAAACCCTGTAACATGAAACTATATCATTTTATTGGATTTTTAATGGGATAAACAAAAAAAAATATTTATTTCAAATAATGATGAAAGGTTTTCCGCTGCTATCTTATTTTTGATAAGCAGATACAATACAGCCTGAGGGTTACTGTAGTTTACAGCAACATCTAGAAATTCAAACTTCCAACAAATCTCATAAGTTTTTTTCAGTGGTCAAAAAAATTCCAAAACAAAAAAATAGCTACGGTATTTTATCCCGTGACAATTGGTCGACCAAAACTTACCTTACCTACATTAAATATCAATTTTTCTCTGTTTCAATTGACATCACACCTTTTCTACCAAATATTGCATGTGAACTAAAACCAACAGATTCGTCAGAAATTCACGTGCAATTTGAGGGAAACACCAGCAGAAACATATGATGCTTCTTATCTGATGTAATAAAATGTGTGTGGGTTCATTCATGGGGCGGAGCTTTTTGACAAAAAGTTCAATAAAATATAGTGAAGTTTGGTAGAAGTATAGGTTGTAGCGAATGGAAGCTTTTCAGTTTTAATTAAACCCTGAAAACTTCAATGATCAGTGGTTTTCTAACAATAAACAAGAAAATACAGTAACAGCCTTATCATTCTTGTTCCACCTGACATCAAAGAGAAATCCATAAAAAGATTGGCGTGCAAAAAACAAACGGTGATTTTTTTCTTTGAAATGCAATTAAATGGCCAATTAAAACTACCGTACTTTGATCTTGATCTCTTTTCATTTCCATTTCTTATCTTCTACTTAATAGTCAATTATTATTTTGCACTTTTCCAAAAAATCTACAGTAGTTGTTGAAATCAAAAGGCGCGGGAACATTGTGGAAAGAAAAACAAGATAATAATATGATGGGGTGGTATGATAACACAAAATGAATGAATAGAAAGACGAAAAAAAGGAGATTTTTGATAAATGGTCTGTTGATTTTTTTTTTGGGTTTGACACGTTTGCATTGGGGAAGCCTTGATTATGAGAAGAAGAAAAGTGATGTGGTAAAAAAAGGATGAAGCTTAAGCCTAAACTTTGGTTTTCATAACTGCGAATGGGGACTTATTGAAAAATTCTAGAAAATAAATTTATACTTTTTACAATTTTCTGAAACTGTTAGCCAAAAGCATCGCTAAGCCTAAATTATAAAAAAAAATTCTATTTCTAAAAAGTTCCTAAATCCTTGCCACGTCATAATCTAGGTTCAACCCAAACAATCAAGTTCCTCGATTTTGCCACGTCATCCACTTCCTGAGCCTACACTAACAAAACAAAACTACACGACCTCCTCTTGTCATCGCTTTTCTTTCTCACTCCCGCCATACCTTTTTGGAAAAAGGGTTTTCCAGAACTTTCCGATCAACTTATCAAAAAGCAAATGTTCTTCTTTATCTTCGTTTTTTCATATAGTTTCTCCTAGATTTTTCTCGAAAAAGAAGAAGATACGCAAAAAAAAGCACCCAACATAAAACGTTCAAAATTCACGTGTCAAAAGTGAGGGCTACTGTACATAGCTGTAATAAAAATCAATGGCCAACCAAAAAATAACACAGGCTAGATATTGGTCGATTCGACAAAACATTGAGATACAAACACAAACATAAATAAATAAAGATAAGAAGAAGAAAAAGAGGGGTCAAAAAGATAGTTAATTTTATGTCGAGGCAATTTTAAAAGTTAAAGGAGTACTCTGGAAAAAAAATCACGCCATAATTCTAATTCTAATTCTAATTATCATTGAATTTGATTAATTGCGCAGCTGGGTGTTGGTTGAAAAAAGATAAACATGTTTGATGACCCATGATATCAGGAGATTAGATCTTTGTAAACATTTATTTACACAATTGATCGGATAACACCAAAAATATTGGGAAAACATGTGAAACAAGCGTGGATTTTTTGATAAACAACTTTGCACGGGGAGCAGGGGAGAAAAGGAGGCAGAGCAGAGTTTTTTTTTGAAAAAAATGTGCTCAATCAGGGATAAAACTAATATAATTGGATTATAGAATTTTGAAAAAAAAATTGAGAGGGGATAAAGAAAATGTAGTTTGCAGAATATATATATATTTAGAACAAAGTTTTGAATTCGGGATTTTCAAAAGATTGTATTTCCCAAAAATTCTGAAATTTCTGATTAGTTTGGGAAATTTAAAGCTTACTGGAATGAAATCTGAAAGAAATTATCAAAACTTCTCCCAAATTCAAATTTTTAAAATAAAAAAAAACTTCTGTGTAAAAATTATCATTTTCCGAAAAATTGTAAACACATTTTCTTATCAAACTTTTTCTTGTTTTTCTTTCACAGACAACCAAAAACCACACAAAAACTATTTTTCCAGAACTTTCTTTCACAAAAACAAACACATTTCTGTTCCAAATACATATATTTACACTTTTTCACCACCTCCGTTTGTAATCGAAATTGATGAATTGTGTTGTTATGCTTCTCAAACAACTGTCACATTTTCCCCTCTTCTCTTTTCTATTTTTTGTCTTCCACAAAAATCAACTCGGCTGATGGTCAGGGATCTTCGAGATCTATTTTTTTGCCCTTTTGACATGTGTGAGAGGAGTGCACTTTGAATTGCTTTGGTTGAACTCAAAGGAGGAAGAAAATCCGGGGGAAAATTATTAAAAATAGGCCAAACCATCAAAACAAAGTTTTAAGTTCCGTCTTCCAAAAATTGTTGCACTTCCAAAAAAAATCTTTGTTTACCATAACAACTTTTTCGATATTTTTATCTTTTTATATCAATGTTTGGTTTGGAAAGGTTAAAGTTTGATGTTTTGATTTGGGGAAGAGGCATTTTAGGAATTTCTGAAAACATTTTGTGATCTGGATGACTGAAATTTGAAGTCACAGTTCTGAACTTCAAAAAAAATTAGAAATTTATTCCTCATTAAAAGTTTGCAGATGAGAGTTTCAGAATTTCAGATTCTGTCGATTTGCAATTCTGAAGTTTCACGAATAAGCCTAAAGTCAACACATATCTAACTTTTTTTAGACTTCAAAAATTTAATTAATCTTTCTATAATTGCCACGTGGATTTCTGGAACTAACTCTAATAAACTCAGTTGCTAAATCTTCCCAATTATTTTCCAGACATTTTTTTTTGATCTACATCTCAAATTTCCTGTGCCATAACGTGCAAAAATCAAAATCCATCCATTTGTTTTTGATCGACAAAAAGAAAAAAAACGCAAAAACCACGTTTCAAAGATGCAGAAGCAAATTTTGTCTTCTCGCAAAAAAGTCTCTAGTCTCTTTTACAACGCCACCTGACTTTGTCTTACTGTAGCTGATCAGAGATCTTTTGCAGAATCAAATGGGCGGTTTGTTTTTGTCGAATAAAAATAATTTATTTTGGGTTTGCAGAGATCAAAGTATGTACAATAACAGAAAAAAGAGAAAGACATCAAAAATTATTTTGTTAGATGAAAATATGGAACTTTTTTGAAAAGTTTGTGAAACTTTTACAAAAAAGGTTCCACTGAATGTTAAAAAATACACGTATGACAATTTTGAGAAAATAAATAAGCAGCTCAAACAATGCTAACCATTGGTGCTCGCTCGAAAATATTATGATTCATGCTCAAATACCGGCCACCAGAAATATCATGAGTATATTCATTTGTTGACGACGGCGGTGTATATTGATAATTATTATTGCTATGCGGTGCAAAACCAGCTTCAGTAAATCCACCATCAATCACACAACGATCCGATGCAATGTCGGATTTTGTATCAACGTGTTCCAAAAGTGCTCGAGAGATGTCGCGTTTTCTCTCGAGGGAATCTGTCGATTCACCGGAGCAACTGTAATTCGCGCCGTTTGCAGATGTTCGTTGAAGAAGGAAGCGAAGTCGGAAGAGGTAGGAGGCAAAAAAGAAGGCGGTGACCATGTGGAAAGATTGGAAGACACAAAATAGAAGAACTACGATAGTTGATTGTTCGCGGAAGAAAAATAAAAGAATTTTTGAGCACAGGAAGAAGATCTGGAAAATTCATGGAATTTGGGAAGTTCAAATGTTTCAAACTTGGAAAATCCTACCATGAATAACGCTGTCAATGACGCACTGATCGCTGGACTCAAAGCTAAAACTCTATCCGAAGTACATCTTCGATTATTCTTCGTTCCACTCGCAATATAAACATTCCAAACTGCATAAACAATCGAAATCGAGAAGAAAATAGCGGTTGGAAGAAGGTAATTCGATATGAAAAGCCAATCAATTTTCTCAACTAATCTCGAAATATCAATATCTCGACCATCGGTGAAATAATGTGTTGAAAATGTGAACAAAAATGGGAGCACTGAAAAAATATTCATGAGAAAATATAATTTTTTCGTAAAATTTACCAATTCCCATCGCAAAAACATGGAATGGTCTTGAGAAACATGTGACATTTGAGTCTTCGTCATTTTTCGTCACATCGTAATTGATTATTGTTGTATGGATTGAGTATAGAACTAGGCTTAGTAATCCAGCTGAGGCGATGATACAAAATTGGAGGATGAATAGAAGAGTTGTTGAGAATGCGAATGGTTCGCCGACTTGTGGAGCAAGGAATAAAAGAAGGTGAATTAGGTGGATCATGAAAATGAAGAAGAGGTAGAAAAGGAATGCACAGTCTATTGGTTGATTTCTGGAAAAATAAGAATTATGGATGTGTGTCTAGAAGATAGAAGATTTGGATTGAAACATGTTCAAAACATTTTTCGAACAAATTTTCGTGAGCCCCAGAAAATAAAAAAAAGTTTCAGAACTCACTTTTGCACGGCTGCCATAAACAATAACAAAACAGTACAAATTAAAGTGACAAACGAAGTTACTGTAGGCATATGTGATGATAAATCCTTCCAAAAAGATTCCGAATTGAAAAACATTCGATCAGGCAAAATTGAAAATACTCCAAAATGATTGGTCTCGCATTTAACGTATCCCAAATAATTGTGATCAATTCTTCGAATTCCTTTTGTCGACCAAGCTTTTTCTTCTTCATCATAATAAACACAAGTATAGTTATCATAATTATCCGGAGACCTAATCATAATAGTCATTCTAGTAAATGTAAAATCATCTCGATTTTCTGGTTTCACTGATAAAACTGGAGTTTTTGGATCGAGAAGTTCGAAAAGTGTTGCATTCGATGTGCAAATTGCTCGAACTGTATGATAAGAATCAATTGTTGGCAACTGAAGTCGACAATTTTTTCCAATCATATTATCATTCAAATCAGCTTTTCGATTCCATTCAATCGCTTTTATATGAATTCCATGATCTGGTGATTCCAAAGCATAAGGAATTGGAAGAGTTCGAGAAAAACTGTCGATAACATTCCAAGTTTCTTCCCTCAAAACAGTTGTGTTTCCAGCAAGAACATCCAGATTTGTTTTGATAACTGAATCGAGAACCAATGCTGCCATTTCAGCGATTTTCTGATCAAAATCTGCATATTTTGCAGGCTCACTGACAGAAAATGATGGAACCATCACTAGTTTTCGGATGAATCTGAAAATTTTTCATTTTGTTGTTTTTTTCAGCGAATCTAGAAAAAACTCACGAGGTTACTGTATTAACAGCTGAAACATGTGTAGCTTTCGCTGAAAAAGTTCCAATCATCCCAAGATGTGTTAAAACAGATGATTGATGTGTGCATCGATCATTTTCTTTCGCCTTTTTCCAAACAGCTCGCCCTGATTCCTCATCCCATTTACAAGATCGCTCAATCGATTGATTTTCAGCTGGACTATTATACGGGCAAGGTAATCGGAGTGTTGTATTCGAGTTGACTTCTTTCCAGTTTATTCCACCGAAAACGTCGATTGTTCTTTCAGCGCGACATTTGTCTGGAAATTTTGAAATATTTTTTACGTGTCCCAAATTTCAAAATTCAAAATTCATATTTCATTTCTTATTTTATTTATTCCTTCATTTTCCGAAAATTATGAATAATATTCTCTTTCTCCTTTTCCCAAAGTGTGAATTTCCTGCTCAATCTGGTTGATTGGTCAAATTAAACGCGGTCAGCCTCTTTCAAGTGACCCGCCCCGCTTTTTCGAGCCCTAAAAGAGCAGCAGACTGTCAATCCGGAAATGAAAAAGCGAAGAAGAAGGAGAAGAAAGTGTCCACTCAAATATACATATATGAGTGTTGCGCAATAATTCATCATCGTCAAAACATAAACTGCGTCGCTCTAATTCAGCTAATTTATAACTGTCCGGTAGCTTGAGAAATTACTTGGCCTTATTTATTTATATAATTTTGTTTTTGTTTTTGGATTTGGATTTTTAAGAAAAACAAAAGGGCAGCAACAATTTTTGTGAGAATTTTTGAAAATTTATTTTATCAATCAACAAATAAACTCACCAATTCCATCACAAGATACTCCAATAAAACCAGGAAAACATAAACAATGTGCACCGCGCGAATCAACAAATTGCTCGATTCGATTAAATGCTCCAAAATAGCAAAGAGGAACACCTCCGCCTTTTGAACAATCTCCATCACATTCAATTCCCTTATCAATTGTTCCTAAAAACAACCAATCAGTCAAAGTGGCACCATTTGAATCGATTGCAGCGATTTGATATGTGATATTTGTATAAGGATCCAATTTGATTTTAGTCAATGCGACATTTCTCGTCGCCTCCAATTCTTCTTCATAAATTGTTTGTTCTTGATCTTCTTTTTTAATTGATAATCGATATTTATGAACTTGCCCATATTCTGGCGGTTCCCATTCAAAGATTTGATATTCTTCCGTGGCAACATTGACACGTGGATTTCTTACTGCAGAAACTGTTACTGGTAGAAGTGTGACATTTACTCTACTGTACATTTGTGGACTTCCAAAATCGATTGCCAATAATTCTAATCGAATTGGTGTATATGGATGGATTATTGATACATCTTTCGCTAATTTCAAAGTTCCATCTTTCTCAATATTCACATATTCATTATTCGGGTTATTTGTAAATTCCAAATTAAAATCTGAATTATAGATAACTGGGTCCAAATCGAACACTTCAATTTTCCCAACAATTCCACCAATTTGCAAATTTAAAGGAACATAGAACAAATAAAATGGTTTTTGAAACTCTGGCGGATGATGATTCCGATGTGTGATATGAACACGAAACTCGAAAATATGCATAGAATTTCCAGGGCATAATCTGCAAAAAAAATTGGGGATAACAATTGGGTGGGGGTTCAAGAAAACTTACAAATGAAGAGTTCCTCCTAAATGATTCGAATTTTTGGTGGCTGAGAGTGGCATAGCTTCAGTTGTATAGAATGCTGATTTCGGGGTGGAATATTCGATCCAATTAACATCGGTGTCTAATTGTCCGAAACAATATGTCAATTTTCTTGTTTCATTTCGCAATTCGGAACTCATTATTAATCTGGTTCCACTTTCAGCTCCTTCATGAATTCGAATATCGAAAACATCTGGAAAACGGGGTTTTTTGGGTGATTCAAATGTTTCTGAGAATCAGATTCTGATGTGAGAAGAAAAGGGAATTCAGGAGATTTTGAATTGGTTTCTCTGGAAAAATTAAATAAAAATTCTGTAATCCGAAAATTTTACAATAAAGTTTTTCCAATTCAAAATCCCCCGATCTAATTTTTTCTTGATCTACAGGATAATCATATATATCAATCATGCCAGGAGGGAAATTCACAAATCACAAGAATTTTTTTCTGGGAGGGGATCATTTTCAAACCTTCAAATTGAGGAGCATGTATTATCTCCGTTGGCACATTTTCTGCAACTTTTTTTGAGTTAATTTGATTTTGGCCTTATTTTTGAAACAAAGTGGAAATTTTTTCTTCACAACAGAAGAAAGAAAAACGGAATTCGATTTGGACCACTGGGTTGTTTTTGTTTTTTGACCGGTGGTCCAATTTGCATTTTTTTTTGTTCCGCGAAAAAAAAGTTGTTTGAATGGATAAATGGTGATTATTATTATTTTTATTTTTCATTTTTTGTTAAATATAAATATAATAATTCATATTTATCCCAAAAACAACAACAAAATTGCAATTTTTCGTATAGTTTAAATAATCATTTAATTTTTACTCACCTTTTAATTCTGCAAAAGAAAAAATTTGTAGAAATATTGAGATGAAAGTTAGAAGAAGTTTCATTTTCCCATCAGATCTGGAATAAAAAAATATAAATATAAATAAATAAGTTGCTCTCGACAAAAAAAAATGGCAACACAAAAGAGATGTGCGAAAAAAAAGCAGGCCAAAAAAAAGAGGAAAATATTCATGTACATATAAGTGTATTCATTCGAATGGATACTTAGCTGTGAGCCAGGCGAGGTGAAAAAAAAACGAAGAAGAAAAAAAAAGGAAGAAGGAGGGGCAAGCGAGAAGAAAAGCTGAGGTTTCCTGTGTGGGGGCTCGGCTCGGCTCGAGAAGAAGCGAATAACTCCTCGCCAAGGACACGGACACGGACACGCCCTATTATTTTCTTCGAGTTTTTTTTCGTGTGTTGAAATTAAATTACTTGACAGGATGAGTATAGGTTTCAAGAAGTGTTGATGATTTAATTGGAGATCCAGGAAAAAAAGAATTCGGGAAATTTTACGATTTTTTCTGGAGTGACTTTGAGTTTTTCAAATTCAAAAATGGTTTTGAGAGACATCATGGATGATTAAAAAACTCGGTAAATTTCAAATTTACTCAGTTTTGCCACGTCATAGATTTTTTTTCAAAGAATCTAGGAATCTAGGAAAAAACCTAGATTTAAAATGCATTTATGAGGTGGCAAAAGTTCTGAGAGCAGGAATTTTTAAAGATTTGCCACGTCATGAATTTTTGAAAAATCTGAGGCACAAAAAATGTTCCAAAAAATGAAGAGTCATAAAGATTTACCTAACATGAGCAATTCATAAGAAAAAACAGATTAGGCCTAAATTCTATAGGTTTTGCCACGTCATAAGTCACCTAAAATTTGTCTTTTTTTTTAGAATAAAAGTGTCAAAACCAGATTCCCTAAAAAACTTCTGGCCCAAACTCACTCCATTTTTTTTTGTACTAATCAAATTGTCTTCCACGATAATCCAATTTTGAAACTCGGAAACATTAACCAACAAAAAAACCTATGTTACCTAATCTTCTGTAATCTAATCTAATCCGAATGAAAAAATAATCAAATTTCACTCACATATGGCATAAAAAATGCGAAAAATGAAGCTAATCCGTTGCGAGCGAGTCCGAACACAAATGTTTTCGGAATTAACATTCAAACATTCAAAAAGTAGTTTTTTTCTTCGTTTTTTTTTGGGGGGGGGGACTCTAGTAGAATGTGGAGACAAAAAGGGAGAAAAGGAAGAGGTTGATGAGGTTCCGGAATGAATGAACTACTATTTTAGATAGATATTTTTATTTTTGCAATTGTTGGCTGTTTTTCAGCGCTCTTCAAGAGAAAACTACAGCCTAAAAATTTAGAAAATTTAGAATTTTCCCCTAGAGCCTGGATTACTGTAGCCCCCCATCTGTCACCTAAATGAAGATTTCCTGATGTTTTTGTCGGCTCAGCTTATCCTCCTCCCTTCCAAAAATATCCATCCATATGCGTGTTTTTGACTAGTAACATTTGAGTAAACATTACATAAGCAAAAATAAATGGTCGGATGAAAATAATTGGAATGAGAAGAAGTGAGAAAATGAGTTTGAATAGAAGAAAAAGAAGACAATACCTATTGAAATATTTGGGAGAGCATGAAAAACATATTTTTTTGAGGAACCAAAAATAATCAAAGCTTTAGGGTAATCAAAGCTTTAGGAGAATTTGATGCATAGTATGGTTATGACGTGGCAAAATTTTACAAAAAAAACTAGAAATTTCTGAAATACAGGAGAAATTTGAAAAGTGTTTCAAAATTTTTGTATGAAATATTTCTAATTTTGAAAATTCAAGTACGGAAAATAACTGCAAATCCTAGACAGATCTGGGATTTTCCAAGCTAAATGAGGTCCGACAAATTCAAGCCTAACTTTAGCCAGGGCTAACCGGACCTAAATTATTAGCTCTAACTTGACCGGACCTAAATTATTAGTCCTAACTTGAACCAGGTCTAAAATCAAGCCAGAATTTTAAAGTTATAGAAAAATTCAGAAATTTTAAGATCAATGTTTAAAGTAAAATTATTGGAAAAAAATGGGTATCACACAATTACAGAGTCAAAATAACAAAAAACTATTACATAACTCCTTCAAAAAAGGTCCACAAGTGGACCTCAAACTGTGAATGCAGTCATGACTTCTTCTAAAAAGTGCAACACTATCTATGCAAACATGTATGTAATAGAATAACAATACAATATGAAATAATAATAATTTGGTTGGTCGGGTCGGCAATTGTTCAAACAGTCACATCAAATTAGTTAGATAGCTTGAGCATATTCATGCATAAAATGGAATTAGCTGACTTTTGGGGAGGATGAAAATTAGAAGGATAGATACTAGGGGGAAGGAAGGAATTGTGGTACTGTAGGGGAGAAATTAATTAATTGGATAATTATTTACAATTTTGGAATTTATTGAAATTGAAATATGATTTTGTACCTTTTGAAAAGCATTGCTCATATCAATCCAAAAATTAAATTAAGGATAGAAATTCAGACTTTTACCTACAGTAACTAGGTTTTTTGTCGTTGAGAAATTTTTTTGCGAATTCTGAAAAAAAATTGTACCAAAAAAAACTGGAAGAGTTTTTAAAAAAATTGAAAAAAAAGTTCCTAATCTCATTTAATTTCAGAAGTTCCGAAAACTAAAAAAACCCGACTTTCTCCAAAAACACAAAAGTAAATATTCATCTCCCACCAAAAACAAGTCATTTTTCATCCAACCCATAATTAGCATAAATATACTTTACTTACTCCCTCACACCCTATTCCCAGCCAGTCAGCTAATGGATTCAAAAGTATCCCGTTGAGAAAATAAGGATGATCTATGCGACCAGAAAAAAAAAGTTGCGAAAAATTGAAATTTTGAAAAAAAAAATGGAAAATAAAAGAAAGAACAGAACAGGTGATGGACATATGGTGAAAAATCGAGAAAAATAAAATGGAAAATAAAGGAAAGAAAGACGGCTTGGCTTATATGATCCGAATTTGTCACGGTCAATTAATATAGAAATATACATACATGGACATGGATATAAATAAAATGATATTTCATTTCATTCCCAATGAAAAAAACAAAACAAAAATTGTAAAGTTCACATAAATCTTGAAAGCCAGGGCGACATATTGTCTCAAGAGGATCATGTGAAAAAAATGAGCAGCGCCTTCCAAAAAAATGGGGCCCCGGAAAAAGTTGTGTGCGAACAAAAGAAAAGGAATTTTATGAATTATGGGCGAAACACGTTCGAATGAAGAATGGATGAGGTTAGGAGGAAATAGTGGGCAACATTGAGAGGGTGCAGATGTGTACTTTTCACGTTTTGTTTTTGGAAACGATTTTTGACTTTTGAAGAAAGGCTGGAGGTGGTTGGAAGTCATGGGTCAGAGATGGATTAGAGAATAAAATTATATTTAAAAATTTTTTTTGGAGCGAGATCCAGAATTTCTCATAACATAGAAAATGAGATTCAGGACTAAAAATTTCAGCTAGAATTTATTCCAAAAAATAATCCTAACCACCCCAAAAATGAAACATTTTATAGCAAAAAAGCTCGACCAAATTCCCAACCTTGAATTTTATTTGCTATTCATTTTTTTCTCTCTCAAAAAAAAAACAAAGCATGAATGAAAAACTTCCAATATTCCCAAGCCCATTATCAAAACACCTGCATGTACTTCTTGAGAAAATATTCCCACTGGACACCACAAAGGTACACACTTCTATAAATATCAAATCAGGCAAATCCCGCGCAAAAAACTGGCCAACATAAAAAATGAAATGATATATTTTTTTCGATAAATTTTAAAATAGTCACAGAGTGTGTACATATGAGAAATGAATGAGAGAAGTATAAAAAATGCACAAAAAAGTGTATTTTTTTCAGCTATGTGAGGGGCTAAAATATATCACCTGCCTGCCGAACATTTTTTTTCAGACGGGGTGAAAAAAGAAGATTTTGTTGACCAGATGTTTTTTGGCGGACATTCGAAAACGTTTTTTAATTATTAGTGTGTTACAAATAATAATGGGAGGAAGGCTGAGGCTTTTGAAATTCGAGCGAATCTTTTTTTTGTTCGGAAAAAATGAAAGTGATTTTTTCTAGAAGCAATAGGAATGGGAAGGGTGTAGATAAATTGAAAACAAATATTTGGTGTTGGTGGGTTTTTGAATTTCACCGCAATGATTATCAAGGACGAATTTCGTTAACACAGGAAAAAAGAAAAGGAATAATTTTCTTTTTTATTTGACAATGGTACGTGTTTGAACTTTCTCGAGTTTATCGAGGGTTGTAAAATCAAATGATTTTGAAATGGGAAATTTGAAAAACCGTACAAAATCAAATTTTCAAGTAGCTGAGCCTAGAGTATGTTTATTAAAACCTTATACAACACCGAGAACGAACATTAAAAAATAATAACTCAAAAAAAACATTCAGCCTCCGCGCAAGAAAGAGTTCCACACATTAATCCATGCATTTTATGACACTAAAAAAGGACACTTTACAGCGAAAAAAAGGGGAGAAATTTGAGATTTCCACTCTTTTGATTCAATTAACATTTTCCATTCATTTTATACTACTAAAATGTATGAAGTGGGGAAAATGGAAAAGAAAATGAAAATGAATATTTAAATGGACATTACGAACAACAAAAATCTGAATCTTCTGAATCTTGATAAAATTTCGAATTAAAATCGAGCAAGGTAGGCTTGGAATGGGCTAGGTAGAATGTCAGTGAAAAATGATCAAACTAGGCTGGAACAAAAGTCGCAATAATACAACACTTCTAGAAATGTAAAAAAAAATGGCCATACACCTCACGTTTTTTAAAGTGGATTCAATAAAAAAATCGATCCACAACATGTCAAAAAAAAACAATCGGTGAGAGTAAAAGAAACGAAAAGATATTGGAATCGCGCGTGATCTACAACGAGTTAAATTTGCGGGTTAGGATTTGTTAAATTTAGAAATAGGCTTCCGCTTGATTTTTGGGATTTTATTCTTGAACTTTTACTTCCGAAATCATAATTTTTCCACGTCATAACTAAAAAAAAGTTTTTTTTCGAAATTCTGAGAAATATTGACTCAAGGTGAGGCTGAAAATTTGAAAAAAAAATTATTTAAAAAATTATGAGCAAAACTTTTCAAACAACTTTTAAGGAATAAAAATTTGTAAAAATTCCCCTCCACATAGGCTTAAGCTTATACCATGCTTAAAAAAACAAACATAAACAATACAAGTAATTATTTCAAAAAAGACAGGTGTCTATTTAGGATAATCTTCTCCGTATGCTAGTTATACTTAATTACTGTAGTTTTCTTTTCTCAAGAAGAAATCAGACCAATTTTTTGCTGGGGAGAAAAAATAGCTTCCAAAAAAAAAAGAAACAGCAAAAGCAAAAAAAATAAGATGAAAGGTTCCGATAAATCTCATTCACTCACTGCAAGATCCACTATTTTCGATAATAGTAGCCAAAAAAAGACGAATTGTTGGTCCATTTTTCTTTTTTTTTTCAAAAAGGGCCCCTTGAAGTGGCAGAAACTTTTAACAAGTTTACATACACATTAAAGGAACAAAAATAAGTTTTTTTTTTGGTCAAAAGAAAGAGGGAAAGGTTCTTTCATTCTTTAGAAAGGTGTTTCACATATTTTACATAACACATTAAGCGTGGTAAACCTTTTTTTCGTATAAGTTTTTGACCGGCGAATTTTTTTGAAGAAAGTGTATAGTAAATTTCTGAAAACTCAAATTTTTCAGAAATTTTGGAAATTTGTATTTCAAAACCTTTGGAAAAATTCTCGCATATCAGAAAAAAGTAATACTCACCTTAAACCAAACAACTACCCAAATAACAAGGAAATTTTAAATAGGTGCAAATTATGTCACTATGCATGAAGCTCCCCTAATTTTCTATTCATAAAGCAAAAGGTAGTAGTTGTGGTAGTTGTTGTTGGGTTGAATAAATTAGGTGTCTTTTTTCTCCACACACACCTTCGCTTCAAAAAGTTTATTATGAAAAATGAGGAAAATTTGAGGGCAGAACTAATATTTTTGCTCGATTTGGTCGTAGAACCAGGCGCGTTTCGAGCTTCGATCGGTCAGGATTTCGCAACCGGTTTCGGTGATAATTAGGGTTTGCTCGAATTGTGCAGAACGTTTGCCGTCTCGCTGAAAAAAATTGAAATGAAATAATTATTTTACGTGAAAATTATGACGTGAAACAAGATTTCATTTCTAATTTTTTTTGTGAAATCCCTACCGTAACAGCAGTCCAATCATCTGGCCATCTTTCATCGTGATGTGTTCCAATATTAATCATTGGTTCAATAGTGAACGCATTTCCAGCTTTCATAACCCCAAGTGCACTATTTTCTGAAACAAATAACCTTATTTCGAGCCCTCGAAGATGAAATAAAACTCACTAGCATAATGTGGAATATTTGGAGCGGTGTGGAAAAGTCGATGAATTCCGTGACCACAGAAACTTTTAACAACCGAAAACCCATTCGCATTCGCGTGTTTTTGAATAACATTTCCAATCTCGCGGAATTTTACACCTGGCCGACAAATTGCAATCGCCTGTTGCAAACATTCATAAGTGGTTTGCACCAATTTTCGCGATTCCGCATCAACTTTATCGCCAACAAGGAATGTTTCATTCAAATCACCGTGAAAACCACGGTGAAATACAGTGACGTCCACTGAAAATATCACATGGTACAGTATTTATTTTATTTAGAAAGTTCTTCTTACCGTTACAAAGATCACCATTTTCTAGCGGTCGAACATCTGGGATGCCGTGACAAATAACTTCGTTGACTGAAGTGCAACAACTTTTTGGGAATTTGTAGTAACCGAGAGGACTTGGATAACAATCTCGTTCGATGGCTGCTTCATGAACAGCTCGATCAATTTCATCCGTTGTCACTCCAACATCACAAACTCGCGCAGCTTCATCTAAACATTCTCTTCCTAATTTGCAGGCTACTTTGAGACCCTCAATCTCATCATCTGTTAAAACTTTGATAATTCGTTCATTTTTCGATTGCCTTTCTTCAAGCGAAACTCCTTCTGGATGCAATACATAATCTGGACGAGGAATATGTTCGGGAACAGTTCGTCGTTCTGATAATTTCGCTGGTCTCAATGTTCCGGTGTATGAAAAGAATGGCCACGGATTGTATGGACCGTTCAAATCTGTATGAACATTTTTGTGGGTTGACCAGTTGCTTTTGAAACAAGTTTGATCACAGAAAAAGGCGTCGGGAAGCAATTTCTTGATGCAAGTTGGACAGCGAAGTTTTGCTGGTTTTTCGCAACCTGCTCCAGAGCACAGCTTTCCTTCCATCTCTTCCATGTCTGAAAATTTGGATTTTGATGGGATAAAGTATGAAAGAGTTACGAAAGATGGAAACACAAGGGAAAAATTTTCAATTTTTTTTCAAGATATTGAATTTTGTTTTTTATTCAATCGATTTGCAAAAACGAAACTTTCCAGCAACCTAAAAAGTTCCAGGAAATAGCTACTTTGTATAAAAAATGATTTTAATGTTTTAGAGGAGTTCCGGATGGTCCAAAATCTTTATTTGCCTACGAAAGACGCGAAAAAACAAAAAAAAATTTAGGCGAAAAAATGTGGCCTAGAAAAAGTTTATGCCACACATTTGGTTTCTTAGGCCATCTTGAATAAAATTCGGAAAAAAATCATGAAATGTCGGTCGAATTGTTCAAATCAGCTCCAGACGACATAATTTTCAAATGCGACTTCTGCGAAAAAAATTTCGCATCAAACATTCTTCTCCGAAAACATCGAGTGATCCACAATATTCCAAGAAACAGTTTCAAATGTGAAAAATGCGACAAAACCTACAGTTCAAAAAGTTCGCTTGGAAAACATCAGCGAGAACACGAAAATGAGAAGCGGTGAGGTTTTCCAAGAAATTCCATATATATAATTTTTTCTCAATTGCAGCTTCACATGCCCAATTTGCTCCCAACAGTTCAACTTGAGCGAACCATTCAAAATCCACATGCGAAAACACGACAATCTGAAGCCTTTCAAATGCAGCATCTGCTCAAAAACATTCGCATCTCGCGCAGTTTATTTACGCCATCGAAAATCACACAATATTCCGAAAATATGAGAAAATAATTTATAATTATGTACAAAATGTTAATTAATTATTTGAGAGATCCATGAAATAGTTGCTCAAACAGTTCTACCAATCGTCGCATTTCTTTTCTGCAAAAAAAATAAATAAGTTGAGGTAAGTTTCATAACTTCAATTACATTTGAGTCGCAAGTTTCCCAACATTTCCCATCGATTGATTCACTTCTTCAACTTTTGCGAGCATCGCATACGTGGATTTTGTGTTGGCGTCAGCTGAATCGCACGCTCTTTCAACTGCTGAATTATAGCATTGAAGAGATTCGAGTGTGAGATCAGACATTCCACGTAGGGAACCTCGCATATCTCGCAACATCATATCAACACTTCCTACGATATCTTTGGTATGTTGTTCGATATCTTGCAGAATCTGCAACATTTTATTGTGGGGAATATCAACCACGGCATGGTTCCCAGAGAATTCCACGTCATAACTCATATTAAAAAAACCAAACCTTGGGATCTGGCAACCCATTGTCTTGCTTTTTCTTCGGACTACTTGAAAGTCTCGCACTTTCCCTGATCTTCTTCTCCAAATCATCGACAACAAATGAAGTTAGTTGTTTCGGCATATCTTCGGATATTGTAGGTGTATCCGGTGTAGACATCTATAGAAGATCTCAAATTATATTCAAACATGAAAGGCAAATATCGAAATTCCGATGGAAACGGAAATAGAAAAATTCAAAAAAAAAAATCAATAAATAGATAAAATATTCATTAATATCAACAGAACGAGCAAAAAAAATAACTATTTAACAGAAGACCCGACCGAATTTACATGAGAGAATCATCGCCTAAACTCGAAACACGTGGCGGTGATCGTCTAGCCGCTTCATACGCTGAATTGTGCCATTGAGAAGTTGAGAGATTTGATGAGGCGCTGGCGACTGTGACATAGGATCGATGATGGCCGGCGGCTTCGGCTGGACCGCCTGAAACTGGTGGAATTCCGAGACCGAAGAGGGAGAAGTAGACATCGACGAATGAACAGCGAACATTTCCATCCTGGAAAGTTTTATTGAGCGGAGAAGGGAGGAAATTTTGAATTCACGCCCGAATCAAAATTTTGATTCGGGCGGGAAAGAATTTTTGAAAAAAAAATTTTTTTTGGAACTTTAGTGGATTTTGAGGTCAAAAATTTTGATAATTATTCTAATTATTATAATATTTTTTCAAGTTAAATACAATTTTTAACAGAAAATTGAACAAATTTCAAAATTCAATGTGAAAAACTCACAATTTTCCGATCCGTCACCAATTCCCATAATTTATCAGCAAATTGTTCAGTGTTGCACGAATTTGTGTGTCCATATTCAGTGCTAAAAAACTTCCGAATCATCAATTTTTCAAAAATTCCAAACCCACTTATTATAAGTTGCAAACGGCGGTGTTTCTGCCAACAATCTCGGAATTCTTTTCCGTATCGATGGATCAATATCATTCCTCGCCATTTCTAACAACTTCAAACAATCCTTCAATCGACAATCGGAAGAATGTGGATCATTACAAACTCGATCAATCAATAAACTAATCGATGCTTTTCGCATTTCTGCACAGATTTTTGTTTCGGTAAACATCCATAAAAGTCGCGAATCAAGTGGAAGATATCCACATTTTTGTAATTGATAAATTCCACTAAGTGCAGCAATTCCAACAATTCGAGAAAAACTTGGATTTACAGTATCCATGTTTAGCGAATACGTCAGTTCCTGAATATTTATTGCCGGTGTTGTAAATTTTCAACAAAAAAAAACAGTATACCTTCAAAATCTTTCTGATCTCAATCGTCAAATTTTCAGGCACCTCAACTCTCGCTGGCAAACATTCTGCTGGATAAATACAACTGCCCAAAGCACTCAACAATCCAGCCGTATAAAAATCATCAGCATATCGATTTGTTGAATTATCATTGAATCGAACCAAATCCAACAAAAACATCAGCACATCTTCATAACATTCTCCAGTGTGTTTTCGAAGTTTTGCGGCTGCTTGTGGTAAGGCTTGCATGAGGAAATATTGTTGTAAATATTGTGAAGTGACAACAAAATTATTGGGTTTTGGAATATGAGGAACTGCTTTTGAGCCATACATTTCTTTGAACATATTTACGAGAACTGGAGTTCCACCGGTTAATGCTTCGGTTTTTCGATTTTGGACAGATGAGAGAACAAAAGCTGCACGACATCGGATTCTGAAAAATGGAAAATCTAATGTTGCACTTGAAATGATCTGATTTTATGGTAAAATTTTTCAAAAATAGAATTTTCTAGTATTTTTTTTCGTTGAAAGAAAAAAAATTCAACAAAAACCGAAATTTTGATTTTCGTTGAAAGAAAAAAATTCAACAAAAACCGAAATTTCGATTTTCGTTGAAAGAAAAAAATTCAACAAAAACCGAAATTTCGATTTTCGTTGAAAGAAAAAAAATTCAACAAAAACCGAAATTTCGATTTTCGTTGAAAGAAAAAAAAATTCAACAAAAACCGAAATTTCGATTTTCGTTGAAAGAAAAAAAATTCAACAAAAACCGAAATTTTTTTTATAAAGAGGTTAATTTTTCATACTTTAAAAAGAAATTGTATTTTTGAGGATTTTCCTACAATTTTATATTAAATCTCACCTGTAGAAAAACTTCTCATTGGCAATCGTGTCAACAATAATCGATTTACTCTGCGCTGATGGAAATATTTGAATTCTTTCCAATGCCTCCATTTGTGCAATAACATCTCGCTCATATTTCAACATATATTCCCAATGAAACATTGGCTGCGAAATATTAATATCTCTTATCAGCAAATAATCATAATCCAATCGAATCCATAAAACCGGCGATTCAGCGTCCATATTCGATAAATCGAATTCGATTTCTTCTCCAGTCATTATCGGAATCTTTTTCCGTTTCTGTTTTCGACCTTTTGAATGACATTGAACATCAGCATGTGTAACAGCTCCATCAATTTGAATTGTCTGTGTAAATGCTCCATCAACTTCTTGCACAACAATCGAAAGTGGTCCAGTATATTGTGCTCTTCCATTTCCTTCCAAATCATCTTGTTTGACTTCAAGTTCAATCATATTTCTTTTTCTATTAAAATCAAATTTGACAGCGAATGCGGCGTGTCCTCCTGAATTCACCCATTGCTCCACAAAAGTTGGAATCTCACTTCCAGTTACAGTACTAACAGCTCTAAAGAATGCTTCAGAACAAGTCAATAAATGTTTCCAGGCTCCCGGTGTCAATTTCTTTTCGCTCATTTCCAAACCAACAGTTAAAAGTCGATGCAAAACTCGGAGAAATGGTTCTTGTCCAAGTCGTTTCAACAACATTCTCATCGTCAAATAACCCTTTTTCAGCATATTTTCAGCATAAAGCGGGGAACAAGTGTATTCATGACGTGGATCAAAATGCAAATTTCGTCTTGATTGATCGCTCAAATTCGGTGACAATATAATCTTTCCCCATTGATGTTCATAATCACAAACATCATCCATAATTCGTTTCAATTGCCATCTCGCTTCAGCCATTCCTAATTTCGATTCCACATATAAACTAGTCATCAATCTCGAAATCGCCATCACAACCCACCAATGAATCCAATGTGATGGACAAATAAAACAGCCGAAGAATTGTTGAGCAATTCCATTGATCAATTTCTGTCGAACTTCTTGCACAACATCAATGATTTTTCGATGATAAAGTAGACTTGTTGAAGCGATTAGAAGACTACTATAAACACTGATATCTTCATTTGCTTGATCGACGAAAACGATTTTTAGAGTTGGATAAGCCATTCGACAACTCAATTTTTCTTCGAGAAATTCAACCATTTTATCGACGAACATTGTTGTGTATTTTACGAATGGTCGAAGTCCGGGTAATGAAAATGTGTGAATCTGGAAAGATAGGATTTTAGAGCTTGTGGCTCGAAAAAAAACTGTTTTTTTCTAATTAAGAAATTTCAGTAGTTTTCAAATCACTTTTTTCAATTAAATTTTTCGAATTCAAATTCTTTCAGCAGAGTTGGTTTAATGATTTAATGAAAAAGAAAATCAGGATTGAATTTTGAGCCAGAAATTTTTAATTCTAGTGGACCATTTCGTATCAGAATTTTCTCAGAATCTTACCGTTGGTGTTTCCTTGTGTGCATCTGGTGTAAATCTTGCAATCGCCCATCCAATATTACACGCACTTGTCGGTATTGTTTGTGTAAAAGTATAAACCCAAATATCCTCATTCGCTTCCGAAATCTGTTTCTCTTTCAATTCCGCACTAACAACCGGCACATAATCACTCGGAACTTCGAAATTAATATCCCATAGCGCTAATTGATCAGGTTCATCATAACATGGCAACCATTCCCGTGTTCCACTTATATAAGGTGTGTGATATGTATACATATGTTCATCATTTGTATTTGGTTGATCTTTTGATGCTTCGACGAATGTGATGCCTTTTGTTGGATTTTTAACTGAACAATCAATTGTAATTCGAAGGGCTTTTCGATATTTTACTTTGTCTTTGAGGTTTTCAGGAATTGTAATATCCAAGTTATCTGGAAAGGGGAATTTTTAAATTTTTTAATTGAACAAAAATTTCGAACTTCTAGAAACTCACAATCATTTTCCTTTAATTGTGTATAAATCATTGGTTCCAATTCCGAAATACAATGCGAAACATTTGGCCCAATAACATTTCCAAGCGGATCTCTCCTCCGAAACTTTGCCGTCAATCCATCAACCATAATTCCAGTTCCATCATCCGGTAAAATAACAGCTTGTCCCATATGCAATAGAATACTCATTGCAAATCCATCAGAAGGCATTATCACTAATTCAGTATGAATTTTGAAACTTTTTTCGGTGAATGATAAGTCGAAAAGTCGAACTTGTTGGGATAGAATTCGAAAATTCGCCTTGTGTCTGACACCGGGAACATTGTATAATTCGGTGGTGACAACATTTGGAGCAGATGTTGATTGTCGAGCTGGAATCACAGGGCGAACACCATTTGAGTTCTGAAAAAAATGCGAAATGACGGGAGAAATTTTCACGATAAAATTATTTTTTGCCAAAAATTTTATTTAAAAATAGGGCATTTCCAATTTTATTTTTAGAAAACGTGAGTTAAATTTGGGATGGTCAATTAGGTTTTTAATTTTTTTTAATAAACTTTCTTACCCCATTCACAGCTGGTGTTGTTCTAACAGGTGAAAATCGATCCAAAGTTGGAGGTTGACTAGTCGATTGCTCCATCTGAAAAAACTTTCGAGTCTCAAGATTTCGTTTTTTTTTCCCGGAAAACAGGTATTTTTTAATCGATTCAAACGATCTATCAAAATTCAATCAATTCAACAACAAAATCTTATTATTCTAACAAATCAACAACAAAAAACAGATCAATATGAGCTAGCTTTGTGCTTTGGGATAAACGTAAATCCATCGGGAGTTGGTCCAAGTAACCGTTTCGAAATCTCAATCCAATCATCGGCTCGCGGACTGGCAAGCAATGTTTCCAACTCGTTTCGCCCGCAGAATCTTGGTGGTCTATCATTAATCCTTTGAGGAATGACTTCAAGAAGTCCCACAGGAATATAGCGACAGGTGAATGACAAAAATTCGAGGAGGAATCGACGAGTTCGCTCAACTCCAGCATCATCACTTCCCCAATGATCGAGACCGTAGTCGACGAATTTTTTGAGCATTTCGAAACGTTCAGTGGATGAAATATCCCATGTTCTTCTCTCCTCAATTTCGGTGAAAATCCAGGGTTTGATTAAAGCACCGCGACCAATCATAATTCCATTGACCGGATATTTTTCGAGTCGCTCATAATAATCCTCCCAACCCAAAACATCACCGCAAGCCCAAACAGGAATAGGTTTCGCAGCTTCAACAACATCATTTGTATAATCCCAGTTTGCCAATTTTGTATATCTCTGTTCCCTGAAAATTTTGAGCATACATACAAACTATTTTTTTCAAAACTCACTTGCTTCTTGGATGAAAAGTAATCAAATCTGGCCAATGATACGAATTCTTCTTCATAGTTTCGATAGTTTCTGGTGCTTTCAAAACTCCTTCTTTCAAGCCAGTTCGAATTTTGACAGTCAACGGACAATTTCCAATAACTTGTTTTGTCGCTGATAAAACTTCCAACAATTTCGATGGCCGATGTGGCAATGCACATCCTCCACCTTTTTGATTTACCACATCAATTGGACAACCCATATTAATATCAATAAAATCAACATCAAAATTATCAACAATAATTTGTGATGCTTTTGCCATTGTATCCGCAAATCCGCCAGCTAATTGAACACCAAATATTTTCTCGCAAGGATGTCTTTTCAATAAACTATATTCGGATGGTGTTCCAGCTAGAATACTTGTAGCTAAAGCCATTTCACCGCATGTTATATCAGCTCCATATTCAACACAAATTCGGCGGAATGGCAGATTTCCAACTGTTGTAAGTGGTGCGAGATATTTGAGTCTATCCAATTTAGACATGTCAAGTTTAGGTTTCTCAAATTCCATTGAACCAATTGTTTCATTTTTCAACCCTTCTAAAGCTTTATCCGATCTCTCGAAATCATAGGTTCTTTTTCGAAGTGCAACTTGAATTGCCATACTTTGCGCATTCTTTGTAGCTTCGTATGGTTTCTCTAGACTCATTTCAGTTTGCTTTCCGTTTTCATCAATATGAGCTCCACCAAATCGACAAGCGTAGCTGAAGGGACAAGTTCCACGAGCCTCGTAAACCGGACATTTATCCGAAATATCAGCAGACTTTGCTGGAAAAAAATTCAATGATTTTTTTCAAAATCAAGTATCTTTTACCTTCAAGAAATTTCGAAATATCATGTTCCGAAGTGCATTTCTCGCCAAATTTACATTGAACTGGTTGAATAACTGATGGACAAAGACGAACTGTACTTGCGCGAATTCGAGTTTCAGCATGTTTCATATCCTTTCGTCGAGTTTTATTCATTCCTCTCCTATCTTTCTTTGGCAACGCTTGCGCCTCTTCAGACAACACATTATCTTCTCTCTGAAATAATTGCGATTGGACGTTTAAGTTTTTTATTAGTGATTATATTTACCGGAAGGATGTATTCTTCTTTGATTGGAGCGATGTTGGCATCACGGCTATCGATTTCCTCAGTCATCTAAGCATTTTTTGAAATCAACATTAGGTAAAATTTAAATCAAAGTAATTGTTGGTATTCAGAGAACCAATTTCAAAACGAAATGTTTAGTAAAGTATTTATGTCAAGATTTTATTTCATTTTTTTCTTGGCGATTTTTCAATTCCAACCCGTATCCTTTGAGTGTCATATAATTTCTCGAATTTCCACAATTTCCGCATTTTTCTGTGATCGTGTTTTTGATTTTCGACGAGATCTCAGTTTTTGCAATTTTTCCCACTAAAACTTCACGACATTTTTTGCAAAATACTTGCTTCTTTTCCGGTTCCATCTGCACCATATCCGAATCCATAACTTGTCGACATAATTTCGAGATTCGCCGGCTGATTTTTGAAAATCCATCATTTTTCGAGTTTCCAAGTTTGGCGATGTGCAGGGCGCAAGTTCGCAAATGATCAGCTCTCGCATAACCAGGTTTCGCTTTCGGATTTGGTTTTCCTTTGGTTTTACGTTTGCCCATCCTGAAAAAACCTTTTTTATGTGGGGAAAAATTCGATCGAAATTTTTTTTTTCAAAAAATTGTCCGCGAGAAGTACACAACGCTATTTGCAAACACGAATGCACAACACACATTTTATTCGACGCGCAAATCATTTTGTGGTCCCAAAACTACAGTAATACTTCAATAATATGCTTTATCACATGAATGTCATTGTTATACTGAATAGATATAATACTAGATTGTTCACAACAACTGAATGAGCATTGCAGCATGAGGAGACCACTTGAAATAAAAACTAGAAATAACACAACAACCGAAAATATAAAATGAGCCATGGCTAATTGTTCATTCTGGAAAAAATGAGATTCTTGTTGTTCTTTTTATTTTTCGCCGTGTTCTACAGTAACTCCCTGGTAAAGAAATAAATTTTTTGAAGATTTTTTTAGGCTGAAATTTTAATTTCAGATAATTTACCGGCCAAAATGTGTGACATGTGTTCAAAAAGTGAGTGACAGGGAAAAATCTTGAGTTTAAAAATTAATTAAGATATTCTTTTTTTATTTTCAAAAAAAAAAACATTTTTTCAAAATTTTTTTTAGGTTCGAGTTTATCGACCGGTACAGCGAGTTTTTTGCTGCACTCCAATTAGTTAGTTTTCTTATGGAAAAATATTTTGAAAAAAAAAACACTTTTTTTTTCAGATTTCTCGTGTTGCAATGGTAAATAAATAAATAATGAATTGTTTTCAAAACTTTAAATTTTTTTCGGAAATAAGTTTATTGGGAGCATTCTTTTTTTTTAGCTGAAATTGTATCTGAAATCAGAGCCCCTTCGATTTGAGACTAGCTCATGGAGCATTCCTTTGTTTTTTAGCTGAAATTGTATCTGAAATCAGGGCTCCTTCGATTTGAGACTAGCTCATGGAGCATTCCTTTGTTTTTTGCTGAAAATGTATCTGAAATCAGGGGTCCTTCGATTTGAGATTAGCTCATGGAGCATTCCTTTGTTTTTTGCTAAATTTGTATCTGAAATCAGGGCTCCTTCGATTTGAGACTAGCTCATGGAGCATTCCTTTGTTTTTTGCTGAAAATGTATCTGAAATCAGGGCTCCTTCGATTTGAGATTAGCTCATGGAGCATTCCTTTGTTTTTTGCTGAAATTGTATCTGAAATCAGGGTTCCTTCGATTTGAGACTAGCTCATGGAGCATTCCTTTGTTTTTTGCTGAAATTGTATCTGAAATCAGGGGTCCTTCGATTTGAGACTAGCTCATGGAGCATTCCTTTGTTTTTTGCTGAAATTGTATCTGAAATCAGGGGTCCTTCGATTTGAGACTAGCTCATGGAGCATTCCTTTGTTTTTTGCTGAAAATGTATCTGAAATCAGGGGTCCTTCGATTTGAGACTAGCTCATGGAGCATTCCTCTGTTTTTTGCTGAAAATGTATCTGAAATCAGGGCTCCTTCGATTTGAGACTAGCTCATGGAGCATTCCTTTGTTTTTTGCTGAAAATGTATCTGAAATCAGGGCTCCTTCGATTTGAGATTAGCTCATGGAGCATTCCTTTGTTTTTTGCTGAAATTGTATCTGAAATCAGGGTTCCTTCGATTTGAGACTAGCTCATGGAGCATTCCTTTGTTTTTTGCTGAAATTGTATCTGAAATCAGGGGTCCTTCGATTTGAGACTAGCTCATGGAGCATTCCTTTGTTTTTTGCTGAAATTGTATCTGAAATCAGGGGTCCTTCGATTTGAGACTAGCTCATGGAGCATTCCTTTGTTTTTTGCTGAAAATGTATCTGAAATCAGGGTCCTTCGATTTGAGACTAGCTCATGGAGCATTCCTTTGTTTTTTGCTGAAAATGTATCTGAAATCAGGGCTCCTTCGATTTGAGATTAGCTCATGGACAACCCTGATAGTGGGTGTAAACATAATATTAGAATATTAGTGCACACATAAATACTAAAAGATTTATTTACATAATAGGAGAGTAGTCCAGCCCAGAATGCTTCCAGCGGCGCTTTATATAAGCGTTCTTATCTGATGAATATATGGAACACGCTGAGGCTGATTGTCGGTCACGTCAGATATTTGCAAAGCTAATAATGCTTATGCAACACTTCCTTTTGTTTATAAGTCGATTGACCATATCGATCTTCTGCATACACGTCATATTGATTGTGCAGCATTTTCCAAAATACCAACAATGCGTTGATAAATGGATACCATTTGGAACAATAACTGGTAACGAAATACCAACAATGCGTTGATAATCTCCAACATATTTGATTGAAGCCATTTGGTGAATATCCAACAATGCGTTGAATATATCCAGCGTTATTAATTGAAACCAAAGGCACATCGGCTGATTGCCAGCATATTTGATTGATACCATATGGAACAAGAGCTGGGGTGGCATGGAACATTGTGGTGGTAGGGCATATAAGCACCATAGTGCACCTCTGACGATTGTCCAAATGCGGATCAAAAGGAGGAAACGATGGCCATAGTCATTAGTACGACACATCGAACCACTACCATAACTCCACAACTGAGACTTCTCATACTCCTCCTCTTCTGTAGAATGTGCACGATAGGTGGGGCACAACAACCAATAGCTGGTGTTGGCGCCGCAAAAGTTGAACTGTCCTGATCGCCAATTGTTACAACCCTGATAAAAACAAAGGAATGCTCCATGAGCTAGTCTCAAATCGAAGGACCCCTGATTTCAGATACAAATTCAGCAAAAAACAAAGGAATGCTCCATGAGCTAGTCTCAAATCGAAGGACCCCTGATTTCAGATACAATTTCAGCAAAAAACAAAGGAATGCTCCATGAGCTAGTCTCAAATCGAAGGACCCCTGATTTCAGATACAAATTCAGCAAAAAACAAAGGAATGCTCCATGAGCTAGTCTCAAATCGAAGGAGCCCTGATTTCAGATACATTTTCAGCAAAAAACAAAGGAATGCTCCATGAGCTAGTCTCAAATCGAAGGACCCCTGATTTCAGATACAATTTCAGCAAAAAACAAAGGAATGCTCCATGAGCTAGTCTCAAATCGAAGGACCCCTGATTTCAGATACAATTTCAGCAAAAAACAAAGGAATGCTCCATGAGCTAGTCTCAAATCGAAGGACCCCTGATTTCAGATACATTTTCAGCAAAAAACAAAGGAATGCTCCATGAGCTAGTCTCAAATCGAAGGACCCCTGATTTCAGATACAAATTCAGCAAAAAAGAAAGGAATGCTCCATGAGCTAGTCTCAAATCGAAGGACCCCTGATTTCAGATACATTTTCAGCAAAAAACAAAGGAATGCTCCATGAGCTAGTCTCAAATCGAAGGACCCCTGATTTCAGATACAATTTCAGCAAAAAACAAAGGAATGCTCCATGAGCTAGTCTCAAATCGAAGGACCCCTGATTTCAGATACAATTTCAGCAAAAAACAAAGGAATGCTCCATGAGCTAGTCTCAAATCGAAGGAGCCCTGATTTCAGATACATTTTCAGCAAAAAACAAAGGAATGCTCCATGAGCTAGTCTCAAATCGAAGGACCCCTGATTTCAGATACAATTTCAGCAAAAAACAAAGGAATGCTCCATGAGCTAGTCTCAAATCGAAGGACCCCTGATTTCAGATACAATTTCAGCAAAAAACAAAGGAATGCTCCATGAGCTTGTCTCAAATCGAAGGAACCCTGATTTCAGATACAAATTCAGCAAAAAACAAAGGAATGCTCCATGAGCTAGTCTCAAATCGAAGGACCCCTGATTTCAGATACAAATTCAGCAAAAAACAAAGGAATGCTCCATGAGCTAGTCTCAAATCGAAGGACCCCTGATTTCAGATACAATTTCAGCAAAAAACAAAGGAATGCTCCATGAGCTTGTCTCAAATCGAAGGAACCCTGATTTCAGATACAAATTCAGCAAAAAACAAAGGAATGCTCCATGAGCTAGTCTCAAATCGAAGGACCCCTGATTTCAGATACAATTTCAGCAAAAAACAAAGGAATGCTCCATGAGCTAGTCTCAAATCGAAGGAGCCCTGATTTCAGATACAATTTCAGCAAAAAACAAAGGAATGCTCCATGAGCTAGTCTCAAATCGAAGGACCCCTGATTTCAGATACAATTTCAGCAAAAAACAAAGGAATGCTCCATGAGCTAATCTCAAATCGAAGGACCCCTGATTTCAGATACAATTTCAGCAAAAAACAAAGGAATGCTCCATGAGCTAGTCTCAAATCGAAGGAGCCCTGATTTCAGATACAATTTCAGCAAAAAACAAAGGAATGCTCCATGAGCTAGTCTCAAATCGAAGGAGCCCTGATTTCAGATACAAATTCAGCAAAAAACAAAGGAATGCTCCATGAGCTAGTCTCAAATCGAAGGACCCCTGATTTCAGATACAATTTCAGCAAAAAACAAAGGAATGCTCCATGAGCTAGTCTCAAATCGAAGGAACCCTGATTTCAGATACAAATTCAGCAAAAAACAAAGGAATGCTCCATGAGCTAGTCTCAAATCGAAGGACCCCTGATTTCAGATACAATTTCAGCAAAAAACAAAGGAATGCTCCATGAGCTAGTCTCAAATCGAAGGACCCCTGATTTCAGATACAAATTCAGCAAAAAACAAAGGAATGCTCCATGAGCTAGTCTCAAATCGAAGGACCCCTGATTTCAGATACAAATTCAGCAAAAAACAAAGGAATGCTCCATGAGCTAGTCTCAAATCGAAGGACCCCTGATTTCAGATACAATTTCAGCAAAAAACAAAGGAATGCTCCATGAGCTTGTCTCAAATCGAAGGAACCCTGATTTCAGATACAAATTCAGCAAAAAACAAAGGAATGCTCCATGAGCTAGTCTCAAATCGAAGGACCCCTGATTTCAGATACAATTTCAGCAAAAAACAAAGGAATGCTCCATGAGCTTGTCTCAAATCGAAGGAACCCTGATTTCAGATACAAATTCAGCAAAAAACAAAGGAATGCTCCATGAGCTAGTCTCAAATCGAAGGACCCCTGATTTCAGATACAAATTCAGCAAAAAACAAAGGAATGCTCCATGAGCTAGTCTCAAATCGAAGGACCCCTGATTTCAGATACAATTTCAGCAAAAAACAAAGGAATGCTCCATGAGCTTGTCTCAAATCGAAGGAACCCTGATTTCAGATACAAATTCAGCAAAAAACAAAGGAATGCTCCATGAGCTAGTCTCAAATCGAAGGACCCCTGATTTCAGATACAAATTCAGCAAAAAACAAAGGAATGCTCCATGAGCTAGTCTCAAATCGAAGGACCCCTGATTTCAGATACAATTTCAGCAAAAAACAAAGGAATGCTCCATGAGCTAGTCTCAAATCGAAGGACCCCTGATTTCAGATACATTTTCAGCAAAAAACAAAGGAATGCTCCATGAGCTAGTCTCAAATCGAAGGACCCCTGATTTCAGATACAATTTCAGCTAAAAAACAAAGGAATGCTCCATGAGCTAGTCTCAAATCGAAGGACCCCTGATTTCAGATACAATTTCAGCAAAAAACAAAGGAATGCTCCATGAGCTAGTCTCAAATCGAAGGAACCCTGATTTCAGATACAATTTCAGCAAAAAACAAAGGAATGCTCCATGAGCTAATCTCAAATCGAAGGAGCCCTGATTTCAGATACATTTTCAGCTAAAAAACAAAGGAATGCTCCATGAGCTAGTCTCAAATCGAAGGACCCCTGATTTCAGATACAAATTCAGCAAAAAACAAAGGAATGCTCCATGAGCTAGTCTCAAATCGAAGGACCCCTGATTTCAGATACAATTTCAGCAAAAAACAAAGGAATGCTCCATGAGCTAGTCTCAAATCGAAGGAACCCTGATTTCAGATACAATTTCAGCAAAAAACAAAGGAATGCTCCATGAGCTAGTCTCAAATCGAAGGACCCCTGATTTCAGATACAATTTCAGCTAAAAAACAAAGGAATGCTCCATGAGCTAGTCTCAAATCGAAGGACCCCTGATTTCAGATACAATTTCAGCAAAAAACAAAGGAATGCTCCATGAGCTAGTCTCAAATCGAAGGACCCCTGATTTCAGATACAAATTCAGCAAAAAGAAAGGAATGCTCCATGAGCTAGTCTCAAATCGAAGGACCCCTGATTTCAGATACATTTTCAGCTAAAAACAAAGGAATGCTCCATGAGCTAATCTCAAATCGAAGGAGCCCTGATTTCAGATACATTTTCAGCTAAAAAACAAAGGAATGCTCCATGAGCTAGTCTCAAATCGAAGGACCCCTGATTTCAGATACAATTTCAGCAAAAAACAAAGGAATGCTCCATGAGCTAGTCTCAAATCGAAGGAGCCCTGATTTCAGATACAAATTCAGCAAAAAACAAAGGAATGCTCCATGAGCTAGTCTCAAATCGAAGGACCCCTGATTTCAGATACAAATTCAGCAAAAAACAAAGGAATGCTCCATGAGCTAGTCTCAAATCGAAGGAGCCCTGATTTCAGATACATTTTCAGCAAAAAACAAAGGAATGCTCCATGAGCTAGTCTCAAATCGAAGGACCCCTGATTTCAGATACAATTTCAGCAAAAAACAAAGGAATGCTCCATGAGCTAGTCTCAAATCGAAGGAGCCCTGATTTCAGATACATTTTCAGCAAAAAACAGAGGAATGCTCCATGAGCTAGTCTCAAATCGAAGGACCCCTGATTTCAGATACAATTTCAGCAAAAAACAAAGGAATGCTCCATGAGCTAGTCTCAAATCGAAGGAACCCTGATTTCAGATACAATTTCAGCAAAAAACAAAGGAATGCTCCATGAGCTAATCTCAAATCGAAGGAGCCCTGATTTCAGATACATTTTCAGCTAAAAAACAAAGGAATGCTCCATGAGCTAGTCTCAAATCGAAGGACCCCTGATTTCAGATACAAATTCAGCAAAAAACAAAGGAATGCTCCATGAGCTAGTCTCAAATCGAAGGACCCCTGATTTCAGATACAATTTCAGCAAAAAACAAAGGAATGCTCCATGAGCTAGTCTCAAATCGAAGGAACCCTGATTTCAGATACAATTTCAGCAAAAAACAAAGGAATGCTCCATGAGCTAGTCTCAAATCGAAGGACCCCTGATTTCAGATACAATTTCAGCTAAAAAACAAAGGAATGCTCCATGAGCTAGTCTCAAATCGAAGGACCCCTGATTTCAGATACAATTTCAGCTAAAAAACAAAGGAATGCTCCATGAGCTAGTCTCAAATCGAAGGACCCCTGATTTCAGATACAATTTCAGCAAAAAACAAAGGAATGCTCCATGAGCTAGTCTCAAATCGAAGGACCCCTGATTTCAGATACATTTTCAGCTAAAAAACAAAGGAATGCTCCATGAGCTAGTCTCAAATCGAAGGACCCCTGATTTCAGATACAAATTCAGCAAAAAAGAAAG